ACTCCCCCCATCTTTTATTTTCCCATCTTTTTAATTTCACTGCTCTACTTTTTTCCTCTCCCTCCCTTCTCCGTTTACGCGTCCTTTCCCCTTTCAGAGGGTCGTGCGCACACCACTTCCCGTTCGCTCCAGTACACCCCTGCACCGCTTCCCCAGTCAACTCTTCTCCGCAGCACCACCCTTTTTACGCCTGCACTCGGAGCACACTAAATTCGGATTCCAATTCTCTCCCCCGCTAGCTCTGCCAGTTCCTGCATTTCCACAGTTCAATCTTCACTTGTGCCAGCACTCCCCTTTCCCTCACCTCTGCCTACGCCGCACACGCTTTACTAATTACTAATCACATTCGTACTCCGTAGATATTGCTACCCTTTTGATGGGGTTCCCCGATGGTCGCGATGCTCGCCACCCCTCTACACAACCTCTATTTAACACGCCCCTTCGCCCACCACTGCCCCTGTACTCACCCCTCCCCCCAACATGCCATCCTACTTCATCACAGGCACCTCCAGCGGCATCGGCCTCGAGCTCGTCAACCAGCTCAGCAAGGACCCAGCAAACCGCGTGTTCGCCTCCTACCGTCGCTCCACACCGGAGCTCGAGGAGCTTGCGCGCGCCCCTAACGTGAAAACCGTCCTTCTCGACGTCGACGACCAGTCCTCCATTGAAAACCTCACCTCCCAGCTTCCAGACGCCCCACTAGACGTCCTGATCCTCAACGCAGGTATCGCCAAAACGTTTGACCCTGTGGCCGCCACCGCTAGAGACATGTGGCTCGACCACTTCGTCACCAACACTGTCGGACCAATAATGGTGTTCCAGCAGCTGCAGCATCTCCTCGAGCGGTCCTCCAGCCCCCAGGTGTACTTTGTGTCCACAATGGGAGGATCCATCCAGAGCCACCTGCCGTTCCCGTCAGGCGCATACGGCGCCTCCAAGGCCGCCCTCAACTTCATCGCTAGAAAGCTGAGCGAGGAGTTGCCGCACATCAAGGTCGTCTCGGTGCACCCAGGCATGGTGGCAACCGAGAAGGCCCTCGAAACTGTTGGCAGGGCCTTTGCGGGAAACGAGGCCGTCAAGGCCAAGCTCATGGCAATCTGCATCTCGCCGGAGCAGAGCGCAGCCAATATCATTGCCGCCATCCACTCGCCCATCAGGTCCGGCCGCTTCATCAGAGTCGACGACCAGTCGGACATCCCGTTCTGACCAGCGAGCTACGTCCATAGGCCGTTAAAGCAATTCGTTGAAAGTCGTAGTCTACTTAGAAGAAGTCCCGCTCGTCCAGAGAATGGCCCAGTGCCTCGCGCTGCGACTTGGAGCCCGCGTCAAAGTACGGCACCTCCGCCAAAGACGTCACCCGCGTTCCGTGGCGCGGGTCCTGCCCCTCGTGGTCCCACGCAGCCGAGTGCTGAGACACCCGGTTGTCCCAGATCGCCGACGTGCCGTACCCTGGCCGCGATGGCGTCCACTTGAACCGCACCTGTATGTCGGCGTTCTTCTCGTAGACCTCAAACAGGTAGTTGAGCACAAGATCCGACTCCACAGACGACAGCCCGATGATTCGCTTGGTCATGGCCCGGTTCACGTAGAGAGACTTCCAGCCGGTGGCCGGATGCGTTCTCACCAGCGGGTGGACTCTCTCGATCTTTTTGGGTCCGCCAAAAGGATTGTTCCTGTCAAGGTAGCCGTGTGCGGAAACAAAAACAGCCTTCTTCCCGTCCAGGAACTTTTTGAGTGATTCAGACAACTTATCGTAGGCTGCATAGCCAGATGACCATGAGGTGTCACCACCAGTAGATGGAATGGCATCCAGATGTAGATGCGTGATTCCTGCAGGACGCTTTTCATGAACAAGATCTGAGTGCCAACCTTGAGGGCCCGGTGATAGGTGCTTGACAGCGTCCCAATTTGCTAAACTATTGTTCTTAAAACTGAGCTGCCAACCAAACACCCCCCGCCAGTAGTCGACCCAGACAACGGAGACGCCAGGAAGGCCATTCACTTGAGGGGCCTGAGGATGTTCTTCAACACGGCCCCAGTAGTCTCCAAGCTCACGCTGCTTTTGAGGAGACAGTTTTTGGTCTCTAAAGAAAACAACAACTCTCTCAGCAACCAACAATGCCAACTCATCTTTTTGTTTATCATCAAGGTCTGCAAGCTGGAGTCCAACAATCTCAGTACCAATGTGGTTAGTCAAATTTATAACTTCTTTTGCGGCTCCAAAAAGGGCCTTCTTTTCAGGGTCTGCGTTTTTGGCACGTTCAATATATTCGTAATCATCATCCCTAATTGCAGCTGCTTCGTCCACAAACACAGGGATTTTGGCCTTATCTGGTCTCCATGGGTAGCCTTCAGAGATATCAATTTCGGCTTCCACAAGTCTTTTTCTAGTAGACTCTGGGAGGATCTTTAATCCATCGGGATCAGGACCATAGTTGGAAGTAGTCGTCCCACCCACTGACAAGTCTTTGGACGACTTAATAAGATGTTCAATTTCTTTGTCCACAGGCACTGCCTGAAGCTTAAGAGTAGAAGTTGAAGTCATGAGTTGCAATCTCTAGATTGCCAATTGTCAGCATTTTATACCTGGTAACTGGCTGTGGCTATCCAGGATGTGTGAAGTGTGGCGCCGTAGTTGAAACTTGATTACTAAGGAGCACTCCGTGCGAGGCTACGCTTTGGACGGATCATATTTTCGTTCAAGGAATCAGACCATTACAAATCATCATTAGAGTGGTAAGTAGTGATTTCTTTACCAGTTTGGTAAAGACGGCACAGTATTTAAAAAAATCATTAAGCCCTATGAATGAATGCATGAAAGACGGCACATCTTTTAATAGATCGCTTACTTTACCTGATCCTTAAACTCTAATGCTTACCGTTCAACATAAGCTCAATAAAGTAGAAATTTTTTATTGACTATAGCTAACCTAGACCGCTTCAAGGAATTTGGACGCTTTTTGGTAGCTTGGTTCTTGCTTCGTCTCTTTGGGTGAAATACCAAGCAACAATGGTTGCAACAAGGCCTAAAGCACTCAAACAAGCATTGTATGTGAACCCAATATGATAGACTGGAGCGTCTTGCGCATTCCAGACAAGAATTGGAACCCATGCATTGGTAACATAAGCCAGCGTGTTGGTAACAACGACAGTAAAATTTCTTTTCATATCATTGGCGACCAACAGCCTGTTAACCCATGAAAAGATCTGTGGTTGACCCCATCCTGTTGGAACTCCAACCAAAAAGTAGGCAAGCCAATGAGCAGGACGTGGAATATGCCAAGCAGATAGTAGTGATGATCCTAGCATCTGGACAACAAAGTATAAGCCGACAAAGAAGTAATTGTAAACTCCGCCTGCAATATCGTGCACATGGGAAAATATCAGTGCAACTGCAATAGCGACTCCATATAATATCGACGGGTAGGTATTGTATTTTGAGGATGGAAGCTTTAAATCTTCCTTCATCCATGTGGTGAATGTAGGTTGAGAAATAGCGTTTCCAGTGTTGTTGTAACATAAGAAGACAATTGGGAAGACCCAAATGTGCCACGTTTTAAAGAACCCTTTAATACGATCCCATGAGTATGTGTGTCTTGTCTTCAGTTCTGCCCCGACCTGGCGACGTCTTTCCAGTGCAACTTTCTTATCAGTTTCGCTAAAGTACCAGGCTTTCGTAGTAGTAGGCGTGTTGGGATCCACAAACATGGTGTATATTCCAATTGGAACAGAGATCACGGCATCAAACACGAACATCCATTTGAAAGGTGGCAAGCTGGAGTGTGAGAAATTCTGTAAAATTCTTTCTTGTAAAGGACCAGAGACAAGACTGGCTGCAATACCCGAGACAGCAAAGTATGATGATCTCTTGGATAATTCTTTTGCGCTATACCAAGATCCGACCAAGTACTCCAATCCAGGGAAGTATCCTCCTTCGAGAAAGCCAACAAGAAAACGGATTCCGTACATGGCATGAATTTGGTGTTTACCACAGGTAATCATCAGAACCGTCAAAAGAGCCCAAGTAAGTTCCATTCCACCCAAATAGTACCTTGCAGATATTCTTTGTAAGATCAAGTTGGATGGGATAGCACCAAGGATATAACCAACAGTCCACAACGTGACCATGTAATTATACTGATTTTTATCCATCTCAAAGTATTCTTTCATACCATTAACGTATGCAGTGGATATGTTTGACTGATTCAAATTCTTGATAAAATATCCTAACATTGAACTCGACATCAGAAAGAAGTCGAGCTTAATCAAAAAGCTCTTTTCTCTTGGTTCTTTGTTATAACCATCCCAAAAAAATGAAACAAACCTAGAAAACTTGGTATGCTCTTTCTCAGGGATGAGATCAATGATTGCAGTGCTGCTGGCTGAATCAAGCTCCTCTGTGTGGACCAGGGCATCACTTTTATCAGTGGAAGCTTCGAGTAATTGTTCTTCTTGGTTGGTCTCAACCTGCTGGTCTTGTTTTGAGTGCGGCATGAGTTTTACGACTGGCTGGTAAAGGCCTTTTATTCTTCAGAAAAGAACTGATGATCGAATAGTTGAATTCCAGCCATAGTATGCCACACTCACATTGTTCTGCTACAATACTGCCCTTATCATCTGATGCATGATCTCGAAAACCCTCATCCTCCAATTGATTTTTGCTTGGAAATCGGATTACTTGGCTTGCACCAGTGGCTTTCAATACAGCACTCTTTTGTTGGTCATCTAATAATTTGTGGCGCTCTTTGAAAAACTTTTCAAATCTAAACAAGGCCGACTCAAGAGGTAGCTTGCTTCTTCAACTCGCTAATATAGAGGAGAATGGGGCATCATCCTACAAGTTCAAGGTTTTTAATTTGTATATGGCGATAAAATTACTTTGAACCGAATGCTAAAGCCGGCTTTCTTGTGTTGGAACAATCACTGTGGCAATGATGGACTTGAAGATTGCGTTTCGCCGCGAAGCCGCTTACTCATCTCCATTATTTTTTTTTTTTTTTTCGCTGTAATTGACTACTTAGCGCAGTGTACTGTGGCATCAAATTAAGTGTTCGAACGATAAGGGTCAGTATTTGACAAATTTGGCGATATTAGTCAATCTCTGAAGTACCTCATACGGATAATTCCGAGAAGATTACAGTAGCCATCACAATCCGTATGGTGTAATTTCAATTATGGATGTATTAAACTTGCTTGAGCGAAAATGGAGTTTGAACGAAGAGCTCTTTGGGGTGGCGTAATTCCCTGAACCTCATTATATAATTTTTGCTTAGAGTAGAGAGTATTAGTGCTCGATCAATGTTGTTAAATAGCTGTTTACTGGTCGCAGATCTAGCTACGTTGGGAAGAGAGTCAAACTGACGTGACTCTCTGATGCTCCATAAAAAGCTGACTGTCGAGCAAACGTGGAGTCACTATGCAATTTACTAGTTCTTTGGGAACAGTGAATCATTTTGGGCCTCGGATTTAGGTATGAACAGGGTTTCGTGATACGCGAATCGTAAAGGCTGAACAATTTGTTATTTTAGTAAAATTCCAAATAATGATTTCACGTTGCCTCTGGTAACAAGTCCATTTTGACTGGGAGTTCAGAAATCAAGGTATGCTGTAGTGGGATCTAATGGGGGCTTCATGAATAGTTCTTGTACTCCGAAGACTGTATTGCTAGTATCATTTGGGTTCAGGTGTATCACCAGCCTTTACGAACATTGCAACCTCATGATGTTCCCTCGATAGCATCCAAAGTGTGCTCGACTACATTAATCTTACGACACTAGCATATGGACTTTTTTTCTTGCGGGTATAGCTCTAATTCGCTTACGAATGAACTTCATACTATGCCCGAAATTATTATCTAATCGTTAGTAATATTTTGTCAGAAATCTTCGGGTTTGCGAAAATGTAAGGGGTTTCGCTTAATGTGTCCCGAATACGAGCCGGACTTCAGGAAATTAAATAAAGTTTGACGTGGTGGATTGATGATTTATCAGGTTGGCCCGTACATTGGCTGACGCTAAGAATAGCAAGACATGATATAAAAGGAGTCCAATTTTTCACAGTTGAATCGATCATCGAATAACAATGTCTAATTCAACTACATACTTTATCGCCGGCGCATCAAGGGGCCTCGGACTGGAATTAAGCACTCAGCTTGCCAAGACTTCAAGCAATAAGATCTATGCTACATACAGAACCAAGTCCACTGCCCAGGGTCTGTTTGATCTTGCTGCTGCCCACAACAATGTTGAGCTATTGGTCGTTGACTTGAACTCCGAAGAGTCTATTGAATCCCTCAAACTTCCTGATGAAATTGATATTGTCATAATGAACGCAGGTATTGCAGACTCATACTACCCTGTGTTGGAGGCAAAACGTGATAGCTTCTTACGCCACTTCATTACCAATGCTGTCGGACCAATTACTCTATTCCAACAGGTTTTTCCACACCTGTCTCCTTCTGCTAGAGCGTATTTCATTTCAAGTTTTGGAGGATCGATCACTGGTGATGTCCCACTCGCTGTCAGTGCATATGGTGCATCTAAGGCAGCATTAAACTATTCTGTCAAAAAACTCAGTGTTGAACAGCCAAACATTACCTTTGTCCTAGTTCACCCTGGCGTTCTCAGAACCGATATGGGCGACTATGGAAAGAAAGCCGTTGCAGGTGACAACAAAGAGCTTCAGGCAATGTTTGATGGAATGAGTGTCCCTGCAGAGGTCAGTGCTGCTGGCGTCATCGAGGTTGTTGACACCTTTAACAAACCCTCAGATACAGGAAAGTTTGTCGACGCTCTTACCAAATCAGAGCTCCCATTTTAATGGCCTGAACCAGGTACCAGACAACTTCAAACTCTGTCGTCCTTAATTTGTTTTAGTACGTTTTTCCGTATCTTCGCGACTGATTGTTAAACTCATTTACTTGTAGATTCTTTATTGCATGCAGCATAATAATTATTCTTATCAACATGCGTGCGGCTCAGATCCGAAACTCTTGATATGATGTTAAAGCGATATCGCATGCTTATTCTTGGCACATGAATATCTCATGACACTTTTCTAGAACGTCTTCTTTCCCTCTTTCTTATATACTCTGCCGTCCTTCATGACAAAAGATATATCTCTAAGAGCGGTCAGATCCTCACGCGGATCACGATTCAAGGCAACAATATCAGCTGCACAGCCCTCTCCAATCCATCCAAACTTTCTTCCACAGCTATGTCCTCCACATGCAAGCCATCCATTGAACGTCAATGAGCGGAGCGTATGGGTTAATGGGATCCCGGCTTCAATGAAAAGCTCTGCTTCCCGAATATTTTGGCCATGATTGAACGTTCCGGTATCGCCACCACAAGCCTGATTTATACCCATCCTCCAAGCATTATAAGTTTTCTTTAAAATTGCTTGGAAATTGGTTCCAAATAGATTTTCTGCAATTGTCAATGTTGGTACCATGATGCAATTGTTCTCTTTCACGATTGCAAGAGTCTCGAGATCACACCAGTAACAGTGTTCCAGAGTATTGACCCCAGCTTTTGCAGCCATCTGAACTGCTCTGTTTGTTGCACAGTGGGCGGCGACTGGACAATCTGCATTTTTTGCTTCCTCGCACAGGACGTTTACCTCCTCTTGAGTATAAAGCACCACATCTGGATTTGGTATGTCTGGAGGAAACATGACCGAAGACAGATATGGGTGGGGTGTGGCGGGTGGAAATCTCATTACACGTTTTCTGTAATCAGCAAAGAATTTCACAACATCGCACCCCATCCCCAACCTTCTCCTAACGGCCTTTCGAATCTCGACTTCTCCATCGCACGCTTCACTAGTGTCGGGAATCCGAGTACCGCCAATTTTGTTCTCGGTATGCGTCATGACTCCGGCAACTGATGCGAGTACCTTAGTTGCAACGAATAATCTAGGGCCGACAATAATGCCTCTGTTGATAGCATCGCGAAAGTTTGCATCGGCGTCCTCCATTCCTTCAGAGCCCAAGTCACGATAGGTGGTATAACCAGCTAATAACGCTGAAACACAATGATTGGTGGCTCGAAGTATTCTTTCTACAAAGCTTTCGTCTCGAGTCTGTTTGGCGATGTCCGCTTCATCGTACGAGTGCAGAAATATGTGAGTGTGAGCGTCAACAAATCCCGGAAGAACAATTTTGCCACGCAAGTCAATGTCTCCTTTTTCCACTTTTATGATGTCCTTTGAATTTTTGATGATCTTAGTGATAAGACCAGTTGCTGGATCTATTCTCAGAGACAAGTCCTCATCAAACTCTAACGTTATGGGATTAAATACCAAGCTAGTATGAACAGTGAAGGGAGGAGGAAGCATTTCTCGGAGCCTATCAAGGCGGCCCGCTTCAGCTTTTGATTGAGGCACTGGTGCCGCAGGTTTTGGTGGTCTAGGTACTGAGCAACAAGTATCCATTGAAACTAAAATGCCCTAACGTGAAGAACGACTAATCAAATTTCTGATAACAAATTATCTTTTCTGATAAGAGTTTTCGCGAATACGTCGCTACCAAATTTGGGCCTGAATACCCGAGATTTAGAATCTTATATAGTCTCCATCTAAGACAGCATATTTGAAATTATATTCGAACGACTTTCAGTAAGAAGGCTGAATTTCATATCAGAAATTTAAAGGATGGGTCATCATCTCCGTGCTTCCGAGTCTGTTTCCGGTCATCAACTCCAGTCTCCAATATTTTTCGATGAATATTGTTTCTTCTCCAGTAACTCCAAGACTGAAGAGCAATTGCAAACAAGCAAAATGCTAAACATCCCAACGTGAACGCGTGGCCAAGGGTGTAATCAGGTGCCTTCCTGTACACTTGAGGACTAACCGCACCAGCGACATTTCCCAGAGACAAGTTAAACGATATTGACGTACCTCTTTTGAATGCGGGGGCGGTATTTGAAGCCAGCCAGATTTCATTTAAGCCTGTTCCAAGATACAACGTGAAACAGATTAAATAGCATGCAAAATATTTCACTGCTGACTTTTTGACTGATAGTAAGATGATGTACCCAATGATTGCAATTGATGTTCCAAACATTAGGATCGGTCCTCTAAGTCTGGTCCTATCTGATATTTCTGCCTGAATCAAGTAGAGAATTCCCGCAAAAAAGTACACGGGGACCGTCAGGTACTGAGCCTCTAAAGAGTTGAATCCCAAACCCGATTTCAAGATAATCGGCAAAAACGTGGAAAATCCATAGAGACAGATATCTTGGCAAAACTGAATCACAATCGAAAGTAGCAATTGCCAATTTAATGTGGCCAGCAGCTCACTCTTGCTGAATTTGGTATCACCCATATAAATAGCTCTTCTCCTCGAGCGATCAGCGTGAACTTTCTTTTCGGTCTCGGTTTTGGTAAGGACACTTGGACTATCAGGAAAGTACAAAAACACCCAAATTCCTGCTGCTAGTGACAGCAAACCCTCAATCAAGTACAGATATTTCCATGACTCAAGCTTCCCACTATTAATTTTGGTGATTCCAGTTGCGATGAGTCCTCCAAATGATCCAGAGAAAGAAGAAGCCACAAAATAGTAGGCGCTTCTTCGAGCTAGTTCGTGTGGGAAGTAATAATCTGTTGCAATAACAGACATACAACTCAAATAGGATCCTTCCAAAAGTCCCACAAGAAGTCTGACCGTGATTAGGCTCCCGTATCCGTTCACAAATATGGTGAAGATAGTAACTAGAGACCATGCAATGATCATGGAGCCAAGGTAGTATTTTGCCCTTGCGAATCTCCGCATGAACCAAACACCCGGGATCATAAATGGAATATAAGTGGCATACAAAACACTTGTCACGTTCGAAAATTGAACATCAGTGATTCCAATGTCAGTTGCCATTCCTGCGACCTTTGCATTACCTATGTTCGATCTATCAAGAGCTGAGAAAAAGTAAGAGACACAAAAAAAAGGAACCAGTCCATAATCGAACTTGTGAACAAGTTTGCGCTCTGCTTCTGGATCAATAGACTCCTCCAAAGAAGTCACGTCAATAGCTAAGTGGCTAGATTTTTGCTCAATTGACATCTTCTCCTCTTCGCTACCAGTCAAAGATATTGATCCTCGATGATTTTTAGCTGCTGAAAGTCCCATTTTATCTACCCTAAAGAACAAAACGATAAACCAAACTTTTCAATCAATCGCGGAAGTTAATCTCCTATCTGGTTCGAGGATCCAGCCCGAAGCTTTTTTTATGCAGGTTTGAGGAGTGCTGATACCGACGGATAATTCCCGGAAGATAACCGCCGCGCCCTTGATATAGATAGACAGTTATCAAATTGTGGTAAATTTATAGATAGAACAGTAAGCTGAAAATTAAGTAATATATAGTACTAGTTTTCGAGTTGGGTCCGCATTCTTTCTGAAATGAAACCCGAGAACCCATATTTCTCGCTAGACTTTTTGTGAACTCCATTTGGCTGCTTCTCGGGCTTTCCCCAGCCTCCACCACCCGGAGTCAAGATTCTAATTCTATCACCTGCCTGGACTTGAACTGATGCTCTTGGCCCAATATTGAGCGTTTTTTTACCACCATCTGTAATCCATAGATTAAGACCTTTGTCTCCATTCTCGCCTCCTTCCATCCCTCGAGGTGCTATAACCCTTCTATCAGACAGCATTGAAGCGGTCACGGGAACTCTGAACTCAACATCTCTGATCACACCATCACCACCGTTGAACTTTCCTTTTCCTCCAGACCCAGTCCTGATCGAAAATTCTCTGAGTATGATTGGATACCTTCTCTCAAAAATCTCCGGATCAGTGATCCGGGTGTTCGTCATGTTGGTATGAACACCCGATTCTCCATGCCAACTATCGGAGGCGCCATGTCCACCTGCGATTGTCTCGTAGTATCCAAATCCTTGGACATAGCCCTCTTCGGTGTTTCCTCCAGTTCCAAATGTGAAATTGTTGCAACACCCTTGGCTATCGGCCATAACATTAAAAGCCTTCAGAATTGTGTCAGTAATTCTTTGTGATGTGCACACGTTTCCACCCACAACAGCAGTAGTGAAATCAGGACACAAAAGTGAATTTGGTGGGATTCTGATACTAACAGAGTTCAGGCAACCTTGGTTCAAAGGAATTTCCTCTTTAACCAAACATCTCAAACAATATATGATTGCGGAGTGTGTAATTGCAACTGGAGCATTGAAATTGTTATAAGTTTGAGATGATGTTCCATCAAAGTCAAAAACAACTTTCTCATTTTCACGATAGACTCTTAATTTGATAGTCGACCCGTCATCCATGTAATCTTCACATTCCACCTCATTATAGTTGTCCATCAACCTATTGAGCATTTTGCTGACTGTGACGGCGGCATTCTCTTGAATTGCTTTCATAAAGTAAGAAATCTTCTCAAGTCCAAACTCATCAACTAATCTGTTGATCAAATTGATACCTTTCTGATTAGCTGCAACTTGCGCTTTCAAATCTGAAATATTGTCAGACAATCTTCTACTTCCCGAACAACCAGGGTAAGAAGCTGGAATTTTCATTAATTGATCAGTTATCATCTCGGTTTGGAACTCATGATCTTTAACCAACAGCTCAGAATAGATTGCAGCACCTTCCTGCCATAAAAATGTTGAGTTTGGAGGCATGGATCCTGGAAGTATTCCACCAATATCAGCATGATGAGCCCTCGAAGCAACGTAAAAAATGATTTTCTCTTTGTTCCATGCTGGAGTAATCACTGTAATGTCTGGTAAATGAGTACCCCCGGAGGATGGGTGATTAGTGACGATCATATCACCAGGTTTAAGTTTTCCTTCCCAGAGCTTGGCTTGTGTGCTAACACATGTGGACATTGATCCCAGGTGACCAGGTAGATGCGGAGCATTAGCAACCAAATTGCCTTCTGGATCAAATAATGCGCAAGAGAAATCGAGTCTCTCTTTCACATTGACAGAAACGGATGTCTTTTGAAGTGAAATTCCCATTTGTTCAGCAATATCCATGAATCTGTGTCCAAAAATCGATAACAGGATTGGTTCACTCAAGCTCACAGAGTTCTTGTCGTGTCTTGTGATTACCAAATGAGTTCTCAGAACCAAAGCGGTTGCATTTGGTGGAACAACATTGGTTTGAGTCCCATCTGCAATAATTGCAGGACCCAAGACCTCAGAGCCAATGGAAAGATTGTCAAGTCTGTAGACAGGAGTATCCGTTGTCTTTTGACCCCAGAACGTTTGTTTGAAAAATTCCACTTTCTCAGTGGATGCTCTCTTGGTTAATTTGGAGTCTTTCAAGGCTTGAATTTGATCATCAACGTACTCTTGATTTTCCTGACTTCCCTTTCCAATAGCTCTGACTCTAATGTCATCAACGATGATCTCTTTCTCGAAGACAAATCCAAACTCTCTTTTGTGTAGAGCAATAAATTTCTCCTTAAAGTTCCAGCCTTCGTCTTTGGGGACCATAAGTCCCGATTCGGTACCCTGGTATCTGAGGTTAAGGTACTCTTCAAACTCAATGTTCTCAAAACCCTGAGACTCCAAAGATTTCTTGGTTGACTCCTTCAAATAGACTAGTCTTCCATTGATTAAGCTCTTGGTGTCCTCACTTAGTAAGTACGATGATGGCTCTTGGGCTTCTTCGACAACGCTTGCCAAAGCCATTCCATAGGCTGAAAGAACGGAGGAATATCTGTGGATAAGGATAGTTTCAATTCCCAGTAATTCGGCAACATCACACGCACACTGGCCACCTGCTCCACCAAAGGAAACTAATCTATGTTGTGAAGTCATATGACCTTTGGCTTCAGTAAGTTGTCTGACAGGTCTGGCCATTGTCTCATTAGCCACTTTAAGGAATCCGTATGCCACCTCCTCCATGGACATGTCTGGGAGATTCGGATGAGCACGATTAATCTCGTTTGTTAGATCAACAAATTTCTTGGTTGCCACATCCAAATCCAAAGATTCGTTCTCGTTAGGGCCAAATATTTTTGGAAAGTATTCTGGAACCAGTCTGCCTAAGACAAGGTTTGCATCCGTGACAGTCAATGGGCCCCCCTTTCGATAACAAGCAGGGCCGGGATGTGAAGATGCTGATTCAGGACCCACGGTCATCAATCCATTCTTAAACTTGAGGATAGAACCACCACCTGCAGCAACAGTGTTGATATCCAATTGAGGAGACTGAATGATTACACCTCCAGTTGTTGTCTCAAACACGTGGTCAAATTTTCCGTCACCAAAACGCGAGACATCCGTCGATGTTCCGCCCATATCAAATCCGATTAATGGTATATTATTCTTCGGATTGTAGCACGTTGCAGAGTATCCAACAACACCTCCAGCTGGTCCGGATAGAATTGCACGAAGACCAGAGAATGACCCGGCATCGACGAGACCTCCGTCGGATTGCATGAACTGACAGTTCAAGCTATCAGGATTTTTGAGCCCTGATCTGAAGCTACTTAAATATCTTTTTATCTCTGGTGTCAAATAGGCATCGGCAACAGATGAATTTGCCCTGGGAACAAGTTTGATCATTGGAGAAAGCTCGCAAGACAGAGATACATGGGTGAATCCAATTTCTTCAGCAATCTTTCCAACTAATAGCTCATGATCTGGGAACGTGTAAGAATGCATCAAACAAACTGCAAGTGAACGAATTCCGGTATCATATAGAATCTGAAGATGAGACTTCACTTCCACTGGATCAGGTCTTTTCAAGATTCTGACGGTTTCTTTTGACAATCCTTCAACTAAGTCAACTCCATTAGGTTTGGTATATTTCTTATCTGGGTCCTCAACGTAGTCTTCCAAAGTGACCCTCTCGTCAACTTCGACAACTGAGTCATATAACACACTAGGACGTTTGACAGCCAGATCAAAAATCTGTGGTCTTGATTGATTTCCGATTCGCAGAATGTCTTTGAAACCTTTCGATGTCACTAATGCACAACGTTCTCCTTTTCTTTCCAGCAATGCATTGGTGGCAACTGTAGTTCCCAGTCTCAATGATTCTATCTCTGATGTATCCAAAGATGTCCCACGAGGAATCTTCTTTCCACCGAAGATCTCTAGTAATCTTCTAATTCCTTCCAAGTTTGCATCGGGATAATTTTGAGGATCCACGGATAAAAGTTTGATAATAACGTCCGGGCTTCCATCTCCCCGATTACCAACACAATCGGTAAAGGTTCCCCCACGGTCAATTGCTATTCTGATTCCTGGCATCACAAAATGTCTTGTGAAATATGAATGCAGTACACATCCTGGTATTTATATTCCTAGGTCGAAGAGCATCATCGGAGGTTAACTTCCGAAATATTCTGATTTCCCCGAAGCCATGCATGATAGGATTTTTTTGTATGCAGATGGAGAAATCTGTGAATTCTTATCCGGGTCAGATTCTGGGTAGAGTGCGGAACAATAAATAAGATTTATCCGATACACGTAGAATCAATGAAAAAAAGACATTTCGGACCTAAAAACTTGAAGGCATGCAAACGATGCTTTCAGAGGAAGATCAAGTGTGTTCGTAATGGAGACGACCCATGCTCTTATTGTCAGAAAAGAAATTACCACTGTGAAAAACGGTCACTAGTAGAAGTCTATTATACTGTCGACGCCAGTGAGCGTCCAACCGTTTCGAGCCAAAAAGCATTCGAGGTCTTGACGAATTCAATTCATTTCTTCGAATTCGTTTATAGAGCACTTCAAGATTCGACTTCGAAAGATCTCGGCAGCACAAAACTGCATGAACTGAACATCAACGAAAGTTTTGTCGACTATTCATTTTTAAAAAGAGACAGTTCAGTACAGGTTTTGGAACCTTCGGCATTTCCTGACAGAGAGACTGCATTTGCTCTGTTTGAACAGGCAAAAAGAACTATTGCATTTGATACCCAAGTGATGCTCCATGAATCCACAGCCAGATTCATATCAGAGGTATATGAACAAGGGTGTATCGTCGATATCAGCAATCATCAGGTCAGAATAGAAGTTTTACGTCTTTTTGCATTGTTTGCCATAGGACGGCTGCATACGAGTGGTGATGTCGTCCCAGAAGAGTATCCTGGGCTGAAATTCTTCAGAATAGCACTCAGTTTGATGAACGATTTCTATGATGCTCCTTCCATTTCCTACATTGAATGTCTAGTTCTGATTATCCTATATCTCGTTGGTTTGAATAAGTTGAATCATGCTTATATTCATTCTGGTACTGCGCTAAGACTCTCCATGCTACTCAGGTTGGATAAGCCACAAGTAAAGGGAGGTGTGAAGTTGAGTGAACTAACTAAAGAGCGCCGACGCAGGCTCTGGTGCTCGGTTAAAAACCTTGATTTCTATTTGTCCTGGTGTCTTGGATGCTCATCAATGATCAAATCACAGTCGCCAATTGACTATCCTAACGACAACATTTACGAAAATGAACTTGCGACCGGATTTTTTATTAGAGAAAGAATAAAATTAACGGAGCTTAAGGACCAAATATTAACATCAGTTCTTGATCCTGATAATTCACATGTTTCTAGGTTTTTTGAGAGTTTCAATGAAAGATCACAGGCAATCAATACTGCGGTGTCTCGGCTATCTCATGTTTTTGACACGGCACTATTTCACAAGGTGCTGTTTGGACTCGTTTTCAGATTAAATGAATGCATAATTCTAGCTACTATTCCTGAATTTTTGCAAGAGCTCAAGCCTGAGAAGCTCAAATTGCTTCCTGCTCGGAAACCTTTGAATTTATCCAAGACATGTGTCATGGCGGCAATTTCAAACCTACGTATCTACGAGTGCCTTTTCCGAAGCAACAACATTTCAATTTTTGGATTTGTTGATACTAATTTTCTGTTTCTATCTTCAATCGTTCTTCTTCTTGCACGCTACCTTACAGTCGAAAGAGTTGAATTCCAGCAGGTTGAAAAATCCTGGCAAGACTGTATGTTGCTCTTTGATGAATTGACAAAAATCGGGAATCTGGTCGCAAACGAATATCTCAATAAGATTGTTCATCTTCGCGATCTTTTATCAATTTTGGAAGATCACATTAAGCCAATGGAGGACTTGAGCCTGACCCATAATCAACATCCAGATCATCAGAATCATGAATTTAGCAAACAAGAGCTGGTACATTTCAACATTGTAGAAACTCTGATCAGCTGGAATCTCTGAATTTATCCACGAACCACCTCATCAAATGCAGATGCAAATAATTTGAAGTTAGATTCGTTTAGGCACGCAACGTTCACACGGCCGCTAGATGGAAGATAAACATGATGCTTGTCTCTGAGCTGAGCGCACTGATCTGCAGAAAGACCAGAATACCAGAACAAGCCCTTTTGAGATAACAGGGTGTCCCAATTACCAGGAGTTTTTAGCTCCGTGGTCAGATAATTGTGCAACGTCTTTCGTCTGTAATTCAAATCCGCAACTGCGTTTCTAATATCTTCTTTCCAAAGCTCCATATCATTGGTTGCAGATTCAATCATAATTCTGGCTCCGTATGCTGGTGCTGAAGAAGCTTCGGCCCTGAAAAGATAACGGATATTGTCAGCAACAACAGCAGAGTTTTCGGGGCTGTCAGAGACAACGTGTAACGCACCCACTCGTTCAGAATACAATCCCAAATTCTTTGAAAAAGATTGACACATGATCAATTCTAGTCCCTGCTTAGCAAACTCTCTGGTTGCCCATCCGTCTTCTTCAATCGATCCCGAAGCAAAACCCTGATATGCACCATCTATAAATGGAATCAGATTTCTCATCTTCATGATTTCAATTATTTGCAACCATTGGTCTTTAGAGTAGTCAGTTCCTGTGGGGTTGTGACACACTAATTGAAACACAAACACCGACCGTTCTGGAACGGTTTTTAGAAGATTCATGAGCACATCCCAGGCAATCTTCTTTGTGGCAGGGTCAAGGTGGTTGTAGTAATGAACGTTGCCCCCAACCTCTTTAATAAGAGACTTATAATTTGGCCAAGTAGGCGTTCCCACATAGAACTCTGTGTGACCGCTTGCGGTCAAGAGCTTTGCTCCCATGTGACATGCCCCCGTTCCGCCAACTGTCTGGCAGGAAGCCACCTTTTTTTCGGACAGAATTTCCTCACCCACAGCCAGCTTAGCGGCCATGTTTAGGTATTCTGGGATTCCCATACAGAAAGTATAGTCATGTCCTGGATCATTAGCACCGAGCTTCTCCTTTGCCTTTTTCACCACAGGAAACATAATGACTTTATCATCTGCACCACGATAAACTCCTGCACTGACATTGACCTTATTTGGGTCCGTGTCCCGTGCCAATTGGACTTTCAAGTCATTCATTTCATCTGCTGGTTGCAGTCTCAAGTGCGAAAACGCACTGATCTTTGTCAAAGTGGTGCTCATAGTTGTAAAATATTCCTTCAATTCAAAATCTTATATTTTAGGTTCGGCGATCAACCTCCGTTATCTTTAAATAAGAACTCGCGCAAAAGTTTTGGAACTAGATAAGAGAACAATCAGATTTAGAGCCGCACTTCTGGTTATTTTATTTATGTTTCCAGGTCTGTATCAACCTCCGCTGTGATTTCGTTCAAAGATCTTTCTAAAATGTCAACTATTGAGTCAGCAAGCTCCTTGGTGGTAATATATGCTGGGCATAATAGGGCCTGGTCTCCCTGATACCCGTCTGCAACTCCACTGCCTCCCATGACCGTCAGTCCGTTCTTCAGACACAGGTCACCAAATCTTGCTCCAAAATTGATTTTGTGGGGGAAGGTTTGCTTTGTGGACTTGTCTTGAACAAACTCGATTCCTCTGAACAACCCGGCTCCTTTGATACAACCAACATACTTATGGTCACCCAGTCTGTCCTGAAGTAACTTACCAAGGTAGTCGCCGACCTCACGTGAATTTTCAACCAATTTCTTTTCCTTGATCTTTTTCTGCACTGCTAGTGCTATTCTACAATTGAAAACGTGACCATGGAAGGACTGAGCTCCCATTGTGAACTTAGAGCCCTCTGCTATAACTTTTTTCACCTTCGGCGAAACCAGCACGCCAGCTATCGTGACAAAGCCAGATCCCAGTGTTTTCCCTATGCTTTGTAAGTCGGGGCCTTTGTCTTTAGGCAGGTATTGTTCCCAGGCGTGGTACGTTCCACAACGCCCCAAACCAGACATAACTTCATCAGAGATAAATAGAGCACCATGTTTATGGATTATTTCTCTTGCTCCTTCTAAATATCCTGGTAAAGGCGTTTGACAGGCAAGCGATGATCCAGATACAGTTTCAATAAAGACACCTGCAACCGTTGACGGATCAGCCTCCAAAAATGTTTGCTCCAACTCAGCCAACAGCCGATTTTTGTACTCCTTTTCGGTTTCACCTTCTTTCATTCCCCGGTAAGGATTAGCCACTGAGGTTTTGAGAATCTGAGTTGATGGCATTGCAATTGCTTTGTAATCGTCGAACTTTTTCTGACCTGTAAGTGCCAAGGCACCTGCAGTAAATCCATGATACGACTGATTCCTTGAAATGAACTTGATTCTTTTCGGTTCTCCTTTTTCAAGGAAATACTGTCTGCTAATTCGCATTATATGCTCGTTGGCTTCGGATCCGGAGCAGACAAAGAGGGCCGAGGAAAATGCGCCTTCAGGTGATCTATTGATAATGAACTCTGCCAACTTTTCGGCATAGTAGTTCGAAACATAAACATGGAAAGAATATGCACATTCTTTCCCAGCTGCAGCAAACTCAGCGGCAATGTCCTCGTCGCCATGTCCTAGAGAGCCAATTGCAGCACCCGTAGAGCCGTCGATCACGGTTTTTCTTTCCCCAGTGATTGGGTCTTCGATGTACAAATAGCTGCCTTTACCACCGACGGACATAAGTCCTCTTTCGGTGACATTGTGCTGGAATAAGATTGAGTCGGTCTTTTGGCTTTCTGAAGTCATAAACAAATCTAAGGAAAGTGAGTTTAATCTATAGATAAAGGAGGAGTATCGCGATTTCCTGATAAGGAAATAGCTACAACTGATAGCGAGATTGAAGAAAAATTACACATTGTCACTGGTGGAATGTATTGTGGGAACTAGGCTGGTATTGGCCTTGCGAATGTAAACTTGTTCCATTTTCGATTGTGTATGAAAATATTCTTTCGTAAGTACTACAATTTAAAAACAGCTTTAATTAAACATACGATGAAAACTTTAGCCAGTCGGCCCTGTAGAGTAGTGTTCATAACATGCTGACCAATGCACCAGCAATCAATTTCAAGATCTGATGGTCCTTTAAGAAACCATCAAGCACTTGGAAGCCAACGCTTAAGCAGTTTGAACCACAATAAGCTTATCTTCGATCTCTTCAATATTTGAGTAAATTCATTTTTGGGCAAAACAGCAGTCTCTGCTGCTTTTCTGGGATTTTTTTTAACCTTCATGTCCAAAATCTGAGCCGCGAAGAACTTACTGATTCAGAGATTTTCCAGATTAGGCCAATAAATAATCTAGATATTGTACTAAAATCTTAGTAGATTAGTACTTTTTGCCTATTCCTCTTCCTGACTATGGACTACACCACCAAGAAACACGACTCTTTTCCATCTACTAAAACGACTCTTTCTTACTGGATTGGCGAGGCTGATCCCAAGTACGCTAAGCACCGTACAACATCTCAGCTGCCTGAAGAAATTGATATCCTGATCATTGGTGCAGGTTACAGCGGTGCTGCTGTTGCGTACAACTTGCTATCCCATCAGAAGACAAAGGAAAAAGTTCTCCTGCTGGATGCTAGAGACCTGTGCTCCGGAGCTACTGGAAGAAACGGTGGACACATAAGAAGTTACTACCATCATGATCAGTATGAGTTCACCAAAAAGTATGGCGCAAAGATTGCTGCTGACATCTCTTTATTTGAACACTACGAGCTCGATAAAGTTGAGAGTCTGGTGAAGAAACACAATATTGATTGTGATTTCGTTATGAGAAAAGCCTATCAGACGTACGATGATCCATCGATCGCTCGTGAAGGATTGAGAGACTACTACTATTTCTTACAAAACCCTCACATTCCTAAGGATGTTAAGGACTCTGTTAGGCTTGTCTTTGACGAACAATCAAGGGAAGAGCACGAGCGCACTGCTTTTGGAGTCTACACTCCAACTTCTTCTGTTTGGCCATACAAGCTCGTTTGCGGGCTCATTGAGATAGCACTTTCGAAGGGCCTGAATCTTCAAACTAACACCCCAGTTGAAGAGTTGCAGAGAATGGACGATAACACCTGGGTTGCCAAAACCTGTCGTGGTAACGTGCACGCTAAGAAAGTCGTCGTCACCACGAATGCTTACACCAGGTCGATCTTGCCAGAATTTTCTGCTAAGATTCTTCCAGTCAAGGGTGTCGTGTCTCATTTGAAGACCGAGTCCAACAAAACCTTGAAAACTAACATGATCCACGGATTACCAGAGGAGATCGACTACATCAGTGTCCGTCAGGACGGATCATTGATCATTGGTGGAGGTGCTTCCAGTTATTCCTCATACCATCTCAAGCAAACAATGGTGAACAATACTGACGACTCCTACTTCCCCAAAGAGGCAGGAGAGCATTTTGTTGGGTACCCTAATAGAAACTACAAGTCTCTTGAAACCGTGAAATTTGTCAATGATTACACATGGACAGGAGTCATGGGATTCACTGAGGACAATTTCCCATTTGTGGGAGACATGACTCCGTTTGGACGTCCAAACATGTTCATTTCTGCCGGATTCACCGGTCATGGTATGCCCCGGATTTTAAGTTGCTCCACGTACCTGAGTGAGCTGATCCTCGGCAAGAAGCCAAAAACCGAAATTCCAGAGCCATTCAAAATATCGCTGGATCGAATGAGTCGTGTCGATACTCCATACTTCGAGCGTTTGCTCGGTGCCTCAGCTAATACCAAGCTATAAATAATTAATCCTTTTTTTTTTGACCGGCAGATATCTTATCAATAAAGCTTGGCATCTCGTATTGATGAAATAAAAAGCCACACAAAAAAAGGTTAAATATTGAAAATTAGACGTTCTCTTGTTTGTTAATTTGATATATATCTTTTCCTCTAAAGGTCCAACTACAATGACTCTACCGCAATTTGAAAAAGAAGAGTTCAAGCTCACTACTTCGCCAAATCCAAACTGGAAACCAGGATCTGGCGCTAACGATGACGAGTGGAAGAAGTACAAGAAGATTGAGCTAGATCCTTATTCCGAAGGCCGAACTCCGTTTCAGAACTACAGACTGTTCACTAGTGCCGTCGCACCTCGTCCAATTGGTTTTATCTCCACAGTCAGTTCTGACGGTCACTTCAATTTAGCGCCATTTTCGTATTTTTGTCCTGGCAACTATGATCCCCCAATTTTCATGGTTGGAATTTCATGTGCCACACAGGTTTTGAAGGACACGTGCAAGAACCTACTGGAAACTGGTGAATGTACAGTCAGCTTGATCAGCGAATGGTTTATTGAAGCTGCCAACTTCACGTGCACCAACGCTCCTAGAGATGTTGATGAGTGGAAGTTAAGCGGACTAACCAAAGCACCATCAACAAAGGTCAAACCGCCTCATGTCGCCGAGAGTGCTTTTTCAATTGAAGCAAAAGTGGTCCAAGCAACCAACTTTGATTCCAAGACGGATCCGTCCAAAAAGTCCGGCACCATCATCCTTATCGAAGGGCTTCATTTCCATGTTCGCGAGGATATTGCCGACGAGACCTTGACCTATGTCGACATCAACAAGCTCAAACCCGTTGCACGTCTTGGAGGAAACGTGTATTCCCGTGTGCTTGATGGGTTTGATCTGCCAAGACCGAACTTCCAAACCGAGATCTTGGAGAATCCACAAGTTTCCAAACTGCTCTAAAATTTTCTGCATTCTGAAAAATGGTAGCAGATAATACACCTGTATAGATGGTATATAAAAATAATAAATCAGACTGCGAGTTCCGTCATGATCCCACGTAGCAAGATATCTGTCCAGTTTGTGATTGTCGGGGGAGGTATCGGAGGGCTTTCTGCTGCGATTGGTGTTGTTTTGGCGGGACACAAGGCCGTTGTTCTGGAACGGGCCAAAGAGCTGTCGGAGGTTGGAGCCGGAATTCAAATCCCGCCAAACTCAACAAGGATTCTCGAAGTATTGGGATGCAAAGAGGCCATAATCGAAAGGGCACTGGTTCCCAAAGCATATCATTTCTACAACTACAAGGGAGATAACTTGATCAGTCTCGAGTTGGATCCTTACTGTGCACAAAGATACGGATGCAAGTCTCTTCATATCCATCGGGGTGATTTTCATAAATGTTTGGTGAGTAGATGCAGAGAGTTGAACATTCCAATCATGGTGGATTCCGAGATCGAGACTGTGGACTTCGAAACCAATACGGCCATTACACATGATGGTCGTAAATTTAAAGGGGATATAATTGTGGGAGCTGACGGGCTGAACTCGAAAATTCGCAATAGCCTAGTCGGAAGATACGACCCACCTCGTAATAGTGGTGATCAGGCTTACCGGTCCTTGATCTCGATCCCAGAAATGGAAAAGTACCCTGAGCTGGACTTTATCCACAAGATCCCCTGTGTTAACTTTTTCTGGGGCCCTCAAGGTCACGTGGTGACATATCCTCTGAAAGGTGGAAACAATTGTAACGTTGTCGTGATGGCCCCGGACAATCTTGTTGAAAACGCCAGCGTGGTTCCTGCTGAGCAATCGGAAGTTCAAGAAATTTTGAAAGAATGGGATCCAAGATTGAAGCTACTGTTGAGTCTTGCCCGGGGTACATTCAAATGGAGGCTACAATCTATTGACCAGCTGGATTCGTGGAACCATTTGCACGCTAACGTTACTCTACTGGGAGACGCGTGCCATGCTACTCTTCCATACCTGGCACAAGGAGCAGCACAGGCAATTGAGGATGCAGCGGCATTGTCGTACCTGTTTGGAAAGCTCGATCATAAAAGTGATATCCACAGTTTGCTGCAGACTTATGAAGACGTCAGAAAGCCTCGAGCAACAAGAATTGTTGAGTCCTCGGCACAGTGTCAAAATATTTATCATCTACCTGATGGCCAAGAGCAAGAAGTTAGAGACCTCCTATGCGCAATGGATCCACCTGAAGAGGGGTGTCCAGCCAGATGGGCAGATCCTGTATTCCAAGAATACCTGTTTGGATACAACGTTTTTGAGGAGTGTGAAAAGGCCTGGGCAAGTAGACACAGCCGTCCTACTCTGGAAAAGCTTTAATTACAGGCATTTGAGTTGGACTGCTAGAGTCTCGGCGAGTTGGGGTATAGTTCCTGTTAAATAGCACAGCATATGGCAAAAATACATACGCATGACTTTAGTTTGAGAACCGACAATCCAGCTACCAAGATAGTGTCCTGATCGGGAAATCTCAGATCCGAACCCTCGCACCTACTTTTCTTATCAACTCGGCAATGCAATTGCGATCTTTTTTGTCGCAGATAAATTTAACCACTCCGCTCAAGTTCGCTCCGCAATGACGAAAACCGGCGACTTTCATGCGATTCTTGTCTGTGACGTATACAAAGACTACTTTGCACCATTTGGTGACCAAGGTGATATCACCAGTGTCTTTTTCAAGAAGAATGGATTGAAGCGTCCTACCAAGAAATATCATGCTGTTCTTGGAGACTTGCCAACACCGTACGAATTAGAGCTCATCAGCTCTATTCACATTACTGGAGCCGCTCAGTGTCCATATGGGAATGATCCGTGGGTTTTAGATCTGGTTGCTTTTGTGAAAGACATCATTGAGAACCATCCATCGATCAAGATGACCGGCTGCTGTTATGGCCATCAGATTATCTGTCGTGCAATGGGCGGTCTGGTTACTCCCAGCTCGAATGGAATTGAAGCCGGTATTTGTGAAATCAAGCTGGCTGATGACGTTCCTAAAAAGTTGCTCGACCCTCCTGTTCCTGGAAAAGTGTTCCTTGTCGAGGCACACAAGAACTGGGTGAAAGAAGCCCCAGAAAATGTTTTGGTCATTGGCTCCTCCGATAAGACCCACATTCAAGGTGTTTACAGAAAGGGCAGATTTCTTACTTTACAGGGCCATCCCGAGTTCCCAAAGGCTATCAGCGAAACCATTGTCGAACATTGGATCAAGAAAGATTGCTCGAAAGAGTTCTACGATGACTGTGTGAAGCGGAACAAACTGTTGCCTAACGATGAGTACGTCCTCGGATCAGCAATGGTCAATTTCCTGTTGGATGATACTTTGTAAGTTGCTTTCTATAACAGATTTTCAATCATATCAGATTCTCAAAGAAATCTCCCGAGTCTAACGAGTAGTTAATTTCCGGACCTTGCATGTAGACCTCTTCCCAGAACTGCGCGTCAATCTCAGATAGGAAGTCAAGGTTGTTCGGTGGCTCGAATATCGGTGACTGGCTTTCTGCATGGATGGGAAGCTCGATATCTCCCAAAACAGAAAAGTCCTCCGAATCTGACTGTTTGAGTTCCTTGATCGCATTGATCAAAAATCTGTATTCTTCTTTAGCCCGCTTGTTTCCACTATCGGCCATGAACTTGGCGTATCGAAGACATTTTTGCAGCGATTGCTCTGCATTGGGGAACTGTTTGTAGCCTAGAAGCATAGCCATGTAGAACGTCATGGAAGCTCCATAGAGGTGATCTAAATCCATAGGACCAAAGACTGCAAGTATGTTGTTGCTGTAAAGCATTGCGACAACCTCCAAAGCCTGACATGCAAAGTTAAAACATATTGTCAACAAAGTAGCCACCAGATTGGGCAATTCCTCGAACTCGTATTCCAAACCCAATGCTTTATTCTCTTGCTTCTTTTTGATCACTCTGAGAAAAATCGGAATCGTAGCAACATGAACAACAAAGCAGTGAATTAAGTGCAAAGACCCACACCATCGTTTCTTATCGAGAGGAAGGTTTACGAGCTCGTGCGCTTTATATTTTTCTGGAAGACCTTTGGTCCAGTCCAAAATCTTCTGGATCACCTCCCACACAGACTTGAGATACTTCTGCTTTCCCGACTGCAGACCAGCTTTAAGATATATGACGTTGATTATATCCTCTGATAGCAGAGCCAAATTGAAGTAGCTACTAATGTAGCTGGCGTCTGGGCTGTCACCTCCTCCAGGGACAGGGTCAAAGAATGTACGCGGGAACCCGATCTTGATCAGATGTCTGTTTATCAACAGCGGGTCCCCAACTTTGAGGTCAATGAACCTGTTGATAGTGTAAGTTTTCCACCAAAGTTGCTTTCGATACTCTTGGAGCTTATCTCTTTCTGATGGATCGGGAACGTACAACCGCATCAGAACGGCCAGCTCAATTGCAACGTTCGAGTAAAACAGTGCATTTTTCTCGTCCCCAATAGCTCTGAAATAGTAGCAGATGCAGTTGCAAACCTCAATCAACCTTGGATGGCGAAGAGAGTGAGTAAGATCTATGGAGGCCAACGTGGCAATGAAAAAGTCATACCCAGGATAAATCTGAGCTGATGTGGCAGAGGAAGAATCCCACAGCTGCCCCATAGCGATGGTGATCATCAGAAGCTGTTTCCAGTAGTCATCGTCGCAAGATGGAAATTTCAGAGACCCAGAGGCGCTGTATTCGATGAACTTTTGCTTTAAGCCTTCGGGTTCCAAAGGCAGGAAAATGGCTGTGAGCGTTTTCATCATCAAGAACTCTGCGTACTTCACATCGAACGAGGACAATTGCGGATTACCAGACAACTTTTCAATTTCAAACAGACTGGGCTTGTCGACCTTGATCTCTCGTAATCTTTTAATCCTCATCACTTTCTGGATCAGCGCATCTGACGACGACGTTTCAAACATCGAGTCATCGCTTTCTATTTCTTCCGCTTCTGACGTATCGTGGTCCACATGCTGGTGCGACTCGTTCTTAAAGAGCAGGTCGTATGCTTTTGCTTTCGCTTCGAGATCTTTGAGTCGTGACTCTAGAACTAGAGTTTTTCGACGCGGATTACTAAAGTGACAATCTCTCTTCATGCGCTGACAGTAGTCGCATGGGTTTCCTCCCGAGCATTTCGATCGCCGGCTTCTACATCTATCACACCTGAGGAAATGTTAGTTGCCGAATCAGTCTCAATACGGTTTACTTACGCAGTTTTGCTTCGTTCAAGCTTGGCTCCTTGCATCTTCCAGTTGAAAAAATATTGTTCCGCTTATCAAGGGAGATAAGAAGGGAATATATTCCCGAGACTGAATAATTCTCCGAGGATGGATGCTTTGGAAAAAAGTTAGCATTGTACACCCCCAATGGTTTCTTATTGTCTGACTATCCACCAACCCGTTCAAGGGTTTGTCCATGAGTATGCTGCTAGACTCACAGCATTCGAGTTTTTGAACTCCGGCCCGCAATCCAAAAAGGTTGTCCTCTTCATTGGCGGCCTTACTGACGGGCTGATGAATGTTCCTTATCTACCAGATCTTGCTGCCGGATTGGACAAGATTGGATGGACCTTAGTTCAAATTCATTTCAGTTCTTCGTACTTAGGATGGGGAACTGGTTCGCTGAAGAGAGATGCAGAGGAGATTGGCCAGTTGGTTGAGTATCTTCGGTCGGAAAGAGGTGGATCTCGCGAAAAGATTGTGTTGATGGGACATTCCACTGGATGTCAAGATATCATCCAGTATTTTTCTAAGTACGCCCCTGAAGAAAGCTCCAAGCACGTTGAAGGAGGCATCATCCAAGCATCCATCTCCGATAGAGAGGCAATATACTTGGAGCTGGAGAAACAAGGAAAAGGTTGGAAAGAGCTTGAAGAGATGAACCAGTTTGCACAAACCTACGTTGATGAAGGCCGCCCACTCGATGTTTTGCCAGGCAGATACTCTGATCTGTTCCTGGGAGCTCCACTCAATGCCTACAGATGGCTTTCACTGGCTTCCAAGTTGGGAGATGACGACTTCTTCTCCTCCGATCTGACTCCAGAGGACAATGCCAAAACTTTCGGTGCTGTCTACAGACCAATCTGTGTTTTGTACTCCGAGGCCGACGAGTATGTTCCGTCCTTCGTTGACAGAAGAGCCATTTTCAACCAATGGAAGAGCGTGACTCCTCCAGGAATGTGGTCGGAGCATTCCGATTTCATTCCTGGAGCGTTGCACAATGTTGGTCCAGGCTCTGCCCCAGGTGGCGTGGAGTTCACCGTTAACAAGGTGGTCAAGTTTTGTAAAGAGTTCGACTAAAGCACAACGCTAAATTTTGCACAGCCAAAATTGTAAATAAATAGTTCACAAATGTATATATGTCCTTCGAGTTGGATCATCAGCACGACTTGCTGCGTTATTCCAGTTTCGACAAGCTTGTCTCCTACATAGAGACAACAATGCTGGCAGATATGCCCACGCTGAATTTGCCGAACTTCAAAATAATGAATTTAATACTCACAGGAACAACGCTCGCTCCTCAAATAACTCCAGATATACGCCATTTGGACGATGGATACACAAAGCGACCTTTGAATTTACGATGTTTAGATATCTGTGTCCACATGATGGATCTACTGAAAGCGGACACCCAGCCAATGGACGATTTTTTTGCTCCCCAGCTCGTGAGCCCTGATTCTGATAAACAACTAAGGGAATTGATGTACCAGCTGTTTGCTTTTCTGAAACCAATAGACCAGTATCGTTGGACAGATATACGCGACAGAAGCAAACCGAAAAGCGCTCAGAGCTCGCAGACTGGCAACTTGCGCAACGGGATATCTCTTACAAACATAAACACAGATGATGATAAACACGACGAGCAGTTACTGACAAACATCCATTTCAACAGGCTGAGTACAAACTTTTGGGATTTTCTCAAATGGGCGTTGAACTGTGCAAGTCTGCAGCATCAGAAGCCATACTTTGTCAGTTGGAGAATCTGGAAAAACCTAATTCGCCTGTTTGTCGACTTTTACTGGTATGATATGGAATCTCAGAATTATATTGGCAACCAACAGAGCGACATCCAAGCGATCCGCTCAACATACATCTACAACGCTGTGTTATTCCTGAGTGGAGAGTCGATTGTGACGGGATTCAGAGAGGTCTCCAAAATCCTGTTCACATCCAATAAAGTTTCTGGCCCAATTTTTGAGAATGAATTGCGGGTGCTAAAAACAGCAGCGATCCCAGAAGAGATTGGTGCTCCAAAGTACGATTCGATTCCACTTAAGAGTACAATTATGAATCTTCTATACAATATGGCCAAACGGCTGGACCCAGATCCAGACAGGTACACGTCGCAGCTGATTTTGGAGTATGGCGAAAAACTCATACAATTACCGACCCGTGAGCTTGTTGAGCTTTTTTCAAACGCGTGTATACAAGAGGAGGAGATGTTGCTTTTACTGAGCTTAAACCTGCTGGAACAGATCGCCTCAAACGTGGACTATGGAGAACCATACTCCTGGTTCTTTAAATCGCCATCAATCGACGAGTCGTTCCTCAACTTTATTGTCTCTGAGGGACCAGACATTATCGAGCGGAAATCACATAAGCGACTTCGGCAGCACATTGATCATCTTGAACTAATGAACACCCTAATTAACTTCCAACTTGCACTGTGGATGCGACACAACTTTGAATCTTTGTCGCTTGACGAAAAAACTGCTACCAAAGACAAGATTCTGTATTCGCTTAAGAAGATGGATGAAAACCGTCAAAAGAGCATAGAGGTGACCTACAAGGAGTGCAAACTCCAAAACATTTTACTAGAGGAGGACGATAAATTGTATTTGGAAGGCAAGCTATTTCTTCCCAAGCTACACGATATCTACTGGATAAAGTTCACTTAATTAAATTATTTTATTCGATCTGTACATGCACTAAGTAGTCCAACATCTTTCTCACCGCGTGAACATGCCACGGGCAGATGCCATTTCTGTTCAGGACGCCAAGATGCTTGTACTGACAAATGAGCTTTTTTAGCAAGTCAATTGAAACCACTCCAGCTTGGCAACTCAAGAGGTTCAGCTCGATGATTGCACCTGTTGGATAGCCCTCACTGGTGCGAATCCCAGAATTGACCAAGAAACCGGTTCTCAACGGCATTCGGATCGACTGATTAGATAACTGCTGGGCAACTTGGAATATAAGTCCGTAGCACTCGTTCGAGAGTTCCACCAGTTCTGGGTTCTCCATTAACGGTTGTTGCGATGAAGATATCCCTGTGGTATCCATAGGAGAAGCAGCAGGATCAAAAGATGGAGTTTGGCCCGCCATTGGACTCTCAATTCTATTAGCCACATTAGGAGTCATCATCTGGGATGTTGTCGATCCAGCCGTGAATTTCACAGAATACATGTCCTTGATTTCATCTTTTTGCTTTTGAATGTGAGATAAAATCAGCGTGGACGGTTCCAATTCAACAGCCAGAACGATTAAAACCAGCTTGCCATTTTTAATAGATAGCCGTTTCCATTCAGTCAACTCGTCGTCTGGAATGATATTGTTCAGTCTGGTCAGGATCACATACGTTTTTCCTGGATGATGGGCAACGTATTCCAACGTCGTGGACAGTATCTCGTCAGAGACTTCTTCAAAGTTGTGCCATTTTGATTCTGGTGCGATGTACCAGGATCTCACAAAGTTGATTTCTCCGTACTGATCGGTCCAGCTGGCCACGCACCAGTGCTTGTCGATGGATCTTTCGTAACAAACGTGAAGATAGAGATCGTCCACTATCAAGCCTGACGAGACAGGGTTCTTGGTCATCACGAATGGAATCTTCTGGGGAAGCTCTCGAGAAATAGACATCACTCGGGCTCTGTTCTTAAAGGGCTGAAACTTCTCGTTGCCAGGGCATAGCTCATAAAGCTGAAGAGCAGTCTCAATCATTTTCTTGCACGAAATGACTGCGAAAGAGCCGTTGCTTGGGAAATAGTCCTGCAAGGGAATGAGTTTATAAAATGAACGGATCGGAATTGGGATAGTTGAAGCATCGCTCTCATTCTTCTTTCTACGCTTGCGTGCGTCCTCATCCATCTCGAAATCAATTGTTTTCTGAGTCAAGGACGATTGAAACTGCTCCAGTACGTCAGCCAGATTGGCTGTGAATTGCATGCTGGTACTGGTGACACCAATGAGCACAAGAACAGGGTCTTTCTGGGACTCGTAATCGACGAGATACTGGTTCTTGAGCGACGAAGCAAGGTCACCAAGACGGTCCTTAACGGTCTGTAAGAAGAGTTCATCGTTATCTGCATCGATCTCGAGCAGGTCCTGTAATTGTTTCATACTACCAAGATTGCAGCTTTGGTAGGTGGAAGCAAGATCGCTCAAAAAAAGCCGGCTCTTTTCCCGCAGGAAAGGCGTACTCTTAGGAATGATAAAGACGACTCTGGTATTTATAGGCTCCTTGAATGGCTGAAGATCCAACAGTTTCCAGTAATCCAGACTTGTCTCGTTAATTTTCATCTGATTATTGTTTCTCTTGGTGTTGAGAAGCGTGGTTGGAATGCGAAACAACGAGTTCCGTTGAACAGAATCCAAAATTGCAGAGTTGGTGTTATCCCTAAAGACTCCCGAATGGCGTTTGTTTTCGGTTTCAACCACGTTCATCAACGGAGAGGTGGTTGCAAAGCTGGGGTCGTCGAAATCGAACCTTGGAACCTCAAGCTTGATCACTTCCTGTGTATTGCCAAAAAGACTATCAAAAAGCTTCACCTCTGGCGTTGTACGAACGCAGTCCAATAGCTCATAAAGCCTCACTTTGGATGAACCAGGGAAAACGTCCAGTATCACCTTTTCCAAAGTTTCGGGTACCTCGCCTGGTTTCTCCCGAAACATATTATCCGAATCTGAGGAGTACAACGTCAACTCCTGTAAGATTGGAAGCACTTGGTCAATCCGGTCCTTGGAGATATGCGGATTTCCTTGGGTAAGAAATCGTGGTGGGATTGTGCAAATAGGAGGCCCCCTGAGGATCCAGAACAGCCAATTTTGAATTTCTTGCGACACAACAGGTGCAGTCGGCTGGCTGGCAAGAGGTGGAGCAAAGGCAGTGATGGACGATAAGATTCCTGTGTTTTTGGCGATCGACTGAATACTGATTCCCAGTCCTGTTTGGTCCTCCTCTTGGTCCTCCTCTTCCTCCTCTACATCTTCTTCACTATCACTGATCAAATCCTGGTCTTCGAAATCGCTTTCGGCTTTTTTATTCTTCCAGAAAGTCGGTGTTGTCGACGCAGACTCCTGCGAACGAGCGCTTTGTGAATCGTTCTTCACAAAGAACTTTCCGCCATTGGAATACTTGCTGTCTATGTCTTTTTCAATGAGCGGGTTGAAGTTCAGCGGAGCAAATATCGATTTTTTGAGATCTTTGGGAGTACCTTTGGGAGTTCCAATGTGCGGCTCCTCGGTTGTGGAAGACATATCTGTTGTCTGAGGACTTGGAGATGCAAATATCTGAAACGACACCGGCGAAGGAGCTCCCGGGTCTTCGTAAAAAGGATTGGTTGAGCTCTGTTCAATGAAGTCCTGGGTTTGATTCACAGGACTCGACTCAAACTCTATTCGTTCTTTGGTCTCTTCACTTGGAGGGGATTCTTCAACTTCATCGTCTGCAGACTCGTCCCCAAATAAGTCGTCCCAATTTCCGGGAGACTCCTTGACCTGATCCATTTCGACGTCTGTGTGAGTCTCTGGCTCTTCCTCGATCTGCTCCATTTTAACATCCGGGACTTCTTCGGACTCCTGCATTAGCTCTTCAATGAGATTGAACGAGTCTTCGATATCCACTTGAGGCTCAATTTCTGCGTCAGCAAACTGAATCATACAAAGCTCCGCGGGCCACATAATGTACTTTGAGTTCGGTGCCGCACTTTCCAGGTACTTTGCTATTTTTGGAGTTAATCCGTTCATGTGGTTAAGGTTTGGCACCAGTTTGATCCAACGCGATGGGGTAGTGAGCTGTATGTTTGAATTTCCGGCCAGAAGTGAAAGCATGTTCTCATAGTTGGATGGCGGCTCGAACGAGATCGAGTTGGCCAGCATGTTCATATTGGCAAAGCTGCATCGGACACCGGATGGACAGATGTACAGCACGTAGTTGTTTTTCAGGATATCGAATTCTCCGTCCAACAGAGTTGAGAGACGGTAAAACTGGGGAATGCCGCAGACAGTCATGTTGGTGATGATCTCGTTGCGGATGCTGAGCGAAGCGTTGATCTTCAGGATCCGAAATGCGTCCTCGGACGACTTGACAAGAAGCTGGTTGGCGAAAGGCAGAATCTCAACGTCCGGCCGGGAAATAGTTAGTTTCTGACAGAGATACTTCTTCAAAGCTCGCAGGAAACTCAGGTACACAATGCTGACTGGCCTCGCGCCGTGATGATGGGCCGGCTGCGGTTTGAACACAGAATTTGCGTCGAAACTGCTAGCCGATACCAGTTTCATCGAGAGCTTATGCTCGTTGATCAAGTTGTCTATTGCGTCCTTTAACTGGTTGAACCCGAGGTCCTGATCGTGCTTGTTGAGAGTGGTCTCCATCCGGAAAATGCATATCTCTTTTTTGGCTCCATAAGTGAGGATATCCGATATCCTGTAATCCTCGGCCAATTGGGACCGTACTGTGGACTCGTAATTCTGGAGCATTTTCAGGGGCGACATCTGTTCCTCCTTTGGTTTTTCTGGGTTCTCTGTGTCCCGTTTCACGGGAGACTCTTGTATTTGGTAGAAGTAAGCATTAATCTTCCCCACCAATGCGAACTTGTAGTAATTGGTCATCGTTGGCATTCGTTCATCAAGCGGAGCATTATCCTGTCCGCCTATAGACGACGGGCAGAACAAAGGATTGAGGTCCTCCAATTTATTCATGCTGTTTGAAGAAGATGCTGATTTAAGATAATTCAGTTTACAGTCCCGGCGATCGACCCCATCTAGCTTTTTTTTTCACTAATTATTCTTCACCAGTATGGCAAGTAGGTATACTCCAAACACGTGTTTGCACTAACAATCCAGAAGCTAAGGCTAAGACGACGGTGATCCAGCTCATCTCCACTGCTAAAACCGGCTACACCCGCTCGTTGGTGGTCCAGAGATCCGCAAACGAAAGAAAACATATCCATTACGATCCTGTTGTGCAACGTCATGTGTTGTTCACCGAGAGCAAAAAGAGAAAGATGATGCAAAAGAAACCGCTGGACTTTGCAAGAGGAGCTTTCAACTGGCAAAAGAAGAGATAAGTTCGGTGACACAGCTACATTCGGTACAGAGTATCTTAGAAAATTGGGAGAAGCCAACACCTCCCAAACCTTCCTTGCTGCTCTTCTCAGACTTCCATGGCGGTCGAGCTGATCCCAGCTAAGGAACCCAGCTCACCACCCACATCCACCGACGAAGCTACTCTTCTGTCGTTCACTGTATATAAGGTTTTGAGCCCGCGAAAAAATTTGCGTTGAAAAATAGTAGTGGCAATTAAATAAATAGTATGGATAATGAGTGAGGAAACTACCAACACCGGGGAAGTCGTGAAACAGAGTCCACCGGCTGAGGTCAAGCCGGACGTTGAAGAGGAAGATGAGGTCAAGGACGAGGACCTTGATAATATCGATCTTGATGGAGAGGATGACGAAGAAGACGAAGATGAAGATGATGACGATGAAGACGAGGCTCTCCGTGGACGCAAAAAGAAGCGCGGTAACCAGTTCCTGGATGTTGAGGCCGAAGTTGATGACGACGATGAGGAGGATGAAGACGACGAGGACGCAGAAATCCTTCGTAACGAATTCTTAGCCGATGATCAGACGCACGACGAGACAGGAGCAGTAAGCGACCGTTTGCACAGAAAATTGGACCGTACGAGAGAAAAGCTGGACGAACAGGATGCCCAGGCATTGGCTGATCAGTTCAAAGCCAGATATGGTCGGTCTGCCTCGTCCCGTTACATGGGATCCAATACCAACGTTTCTCAACGACTGCTTCTGCCTTCTGTTGACGACCCATTGATTTGGGGTGTTCGTGTGCGAAACGGACTGGAAAAGGAACTTGTCAAACAGATCTACGCCCGTATGTTGAACAAGAAGTTTGGCGAGGTGTTCAGTGCTTTCCAGAGAGATAATTTTACTGGATATGTTTACATCGAGGCGCGCAAGCTGGACGCTGTTAACCAGATTATCCAGGGTATTCCCGGAATCTATGCCAACAACAAGATTCTTGTCCCAATTGAAGAATATCCCGACCTTTTGCGTCCAGGAAGATCCAACGAGGTTCAACTGCAGCCTGGAGCCTATGTTCGTGTGAAAGTCGGAAAGTACAAGGGAGATTTGGGAATTGTTGACAATTTGGCAGAGAACGACTTGGAAGTGAGGGTGAAACTTGTTCCTCGTTTGGACTACGGCAAGTCACAGGGAGTTTTCGATTCCTCCAAGGGTAAGAGAGGTCCAGCAAGCTCCAAATTCAGACCTCCACAAAGACTGTTTTCCGAGTTTGAGGCTAGTCAAAACGATCCGGAACACTTATCCACAGCAAGAAGAGAAAGAGGCTACTACGTTTACAGAAACGAGGAGTTCATTGACGGATTCCTGTACAAAGATATCAAGATCCAACAAATTGAGAGCAAGAATATCAAGCCTACGTTGCACGAGCTCACGTTGTTCAATTCCGGAAGCAACTCCGACGGAATCGATCTCCAGTCGATCGCCTCTTCGTTGAAGGATGCTAGCGACAACGCTATTGTTTTCCAACCAGATGATAGAGTGGAGATTGTCAGTGGTGAACAGGCCAAGATGAAAGGTAAGGTTGTTGGAGCTCCAGAAGCCAAGATTGCTCGTATTCAACTGGAAGGAAACGAGGATTCTGAACTTAATAACTCGATCGTCGAAGTTCCTACGTCTACTCTGAGAAAGATCTTCCTTGCTGGTGACCACGTTACCATTGTGCATGGTGTCCACGCCAACGAAAGTGGATTAATCGTCAAGGTGGAAGATAACCAAGTGACTCTTGTTTCTGACCAAACGAAGAAAGATATCACCGTTTTCCCTAACTATCTGTTGAAGAGTGTTGATTCTTCCAGTGCAACTGTGCAGGCTGGTGCTTTTGAGCTACTCCAGCTTGTCAAGTTGAACTCTCAGAACGTTGGTATTGTGATTAGAGCCGAGAAGGAAGTTTTCACTGTGCTGTGCACAGACGGAAGAGTGGTGAAGGTCGAGCCAAAGGCCATCCAGTCTGCTCTGGAGCTCAATAAGATGACAGAAAAGTCTACGGACAGAAGCGGTAACGAAATCGCTGTCGGTGACGTTGTGAAAGAGGCCGGTGGAGAGAGAAGAGAGGGAAACATTGTGCATATTTACCGCTCCCATCTGTTCCTCAAGTCAAGAACTCTTAAGGAGAATGGCGGAATCATGGTTGTGGATTCGTCCGAAGTGCAAACTGTCTCCAACAAAGGATCGATTCTCTCTGCATTCAAGGCTCCAGACCTCAACAAGATGAACCCGGACAGAGTGATGCCTCCTCCTGCTGCACCAGTTGTGGCAGCCAAGTTCGGTGGCCGGGATATCACAATCAGTCAGCACGTTAGTGTGAGAAAAGGACCTTACAAGGGAAAGAAAGGTATCGTGAAAGATGCTAACGGTGAGGTTGCGCGTGTGGAGATGCACAACCCGGCCAAGATCATTCCTATCAGCAAGTCGGACTTGCTGTTTGAGACGCGTCCTGGCACGTTTGTGCCGTACGAACAATATCTGGACAATTACCGTGGCAGACGTCCAGGAGCTGCATTTTCTTCCGGAGGTCCTCCAAACGGTGCAAACGGTGGGTCCATCCGCAACAATGGTGGCGGATTTGGCCCTGGAGGAGGAAGAACGCCGGCCTGGAGCAGTGGTGGCAAGACGCCTGCCTGGGGAAGCGGTGGAAAGACTCCGGCCTGGGGCAGTGGAGGAAAAACTCCTGCCTGGGGCAGTGGGGGTAAGACTCCAGCGTGGAACTCGGGCGGTAAAACGCCAGCTTGGAACTCTGGAGGCAAAACTCCTGCTTGGAACTCTGGAGGCAAAACTCCTGCTTGGAACTCTGGAGGAAAGACTCCTGCTTGGAATTCTGGCGGTAAGACGCCTGCCTGGGGCAGTGGGGGCAAGACTCCTGGCTGGAACGATGGGTCAGGATCTGTGTGGGGAGGCCGTTCTGCATGGCAGCCCGACGCCGAGACTCCGCACGAAAGCGATTGGGGCACCTCTCCTGCCGTTGGTGACTGGACCGCGCCTACTCCCGCCAAGGCCGACGACGACTACCACCCAGAGTGATTACGAGATTGTAAATTAAAAAAAAATAGTTGAACCGTATATTGCCGTGGCAGGCCCTGAAAAGTTGGCCAAAAATTTCAACTCGACGCGGTTTTATAATTAGATCTGTGTTTATAGCGATGCAGTTTGTCGAGCTGGTGAAATTTCTTGTTTTATATGCGACATTGGCAGCCTCGTTAAAGCTGGAGGTGCCTGCCACGCTGCACAACCCACCACCGACGTGTGTGAGGGAGCCGATTGCCGGCGGACAGCTTGTTGTTGTTAACGTGAACACGAACGGGTTTGTGGGCGACGGACAGAGTTTGACGCTACGGATTGTGGATTCCGAGGGCAACGAGTACCGGAAGCAACGTGACGTGGCGGGCAACTTCCACGCCGCGTTCACGACGCAATCGTCCACATCGCTGGACGTGTGTTTTGAGAACCGCTTGCTCAACAGACAAAGAGAAGGCCAGCTGTCGCGGGAGATCGAGTTGGAGGTGGAGGCCGGTGCGGCCGCCAGAGACTGGAATGCCATCCAGGCAGTGGAGAAATTGAAGCCTGCGGAGGTCGAGTTCCGTAAGATCGAGGAGATGATTGACGAAATCAGCGGCGAGATGCAATATTTGGTTAGAAGAGAGGAAAGACTAAGAGATACCAACGAGAGCACCAACAGACGTACGAGAAACTTCAGTGTTTTGATCATGTTTGTACTGATTGGCGTTGGTTTATGGCAAGTGCAATATCTGAGAAACTACTTCAGATCCAAGCATATTTTGTAAGCATAGCAATGAATTAATCCCATTTTGTACTTAGTTCGCCAACGCGCCCCAAAATCAGCGCGAAATCCCAGAAATCGATGTATTGCTTGTCGCCTTGAACGGTGAGCATGTCTGCGATGGTTGTTTGCGGGGTGTTCTGGTTCAAAAGAGCAGCCAGTTTCTCGATGTCGGGCAAGCGCAGCTTTTCGCTCGTGTTTGGCTTGCGTCCCAGCGCAGAAAACACAAGTTTCCAGTTGTGCTCGATGATTTCGAGGTTTTTGTTTAAAATTAATAGCAGCCCACCTTGGTAAAGGTAGTGCTCAAAGTCCACAACCTCGGTGGTACCTTTTAGGATAAATTGATGCGGTTGTATGAATGCTAGTAGTTTTTCAGAAACGTGCAGGTATTGTTCGAAGAACGGTTTCAGATTGACGATTAAAAGGTCCTGCTGGTCGTTTTCGTCGCAGTAAGCCGTGAACGAGTCGAGCAACACGTTCTCTAGAGGTTGTGAGAGCGCGTACCGCCCCCCGGTAAACATGCCATGGAACGCGGTAGACATTTCAGAAAAAACGCAAATACATTACGTAACACTTGTGTTTTTGCAGGGCTTTAAGGGGAGTTAGCCAATAAAAGAATTTGAATAAACCTTTTTCACGGGGTGCGATAAAGGGATCCAAAATCGGCATTTTCCCACCCCCTATTATCTCCATTAGCTATTATTTAATCCCTCGGAGTGAGGAATATTCTCCTATGTTTTCGGACTCCGTCGCCCTCCGATTTTTTCCAGAGCTGTTTTGCTGCATATAGTACTTTGACATGAAAATATTTGTAAAACCGACCACGGCATTGGCTGGAATTATGCTCGCTGATTACCTCAGCCAAGATTTTGTGGTATGATAGTCCTGGGCCAAGCTGGTTTTCGTCCTCTGTTTGAAGGCCATCTTGCAACCAAACGGCCGTGTATGGCTGCGATATACCCCCGCCAGCTTCTCTTCTCCTCACCCCGTACAAATTCGGCCTCCTCATGTCCACCCCCACCCGGGTTCGGTGAACACACCCCAACACCTTTCCTTCCCCGGACTTTTTGCGCACGATGCAGGACGGCTCTAATGCCAGTTAAAAGCAACACATCCTCCCCCTTTTTCGCAAAAATATGTGCGAGTCGTCGCCCAAACGAAAGTTGGTAACTCTGTTGCCCAACACGCTCAAGAAACGCCGTGTCCAGCCGGCCCCAAAGCCCCAGGCCGTGGTGAGTAACCGCCAAGGTGCCTCCAAGGGACAGCCCAAGTTGCGCTTCCTCAAGTCCTGTGCCCGGTGTCGTAAGCACAAGATCAAGTGCAACCTCGCCGAGACCAGACCCAGTCCGTGCACTTCCTGTGCCAAGCGGGGCCACGACTGCCACCTGGAAACCGTGGTACACGTGCAACGATCCACCATCATCAAAAATCTCGCAGACAGCATCGAAAACATGAAGGGAGTCGTTGATATGCTGCTTCTGCAAGACAGACTGTTGCAGAACATCATCCAAGAGCGTGGAATCAAAGTGGACGGCTTGCTCGACCTGGAATCGATTTCCGGTCTGCCCTCCCCAATTTCCTCGAGGTCTCCGTCCAGCGACGAGAGCTACAAGTCGCTCTCAGTCGACTCGGTATCCTCGGTAGTGTCTGAGGACGAAGACCTGCTCGACCCTGACCAGAGCTACAGTGTTGGTAGCAAGGAATTTTCTGCAACCACCATTTCCCAAACTTTCGATACTTTCAGCTCCACCTATCTGCATTTGGTGCCTATAATGCACCACCTCCCCTCCCCAACCAACCTGTATCGTCAGTCGCCGTTGCTGTTCTGGACCATTGTGTATCTTGTTCGTCCCGACGACCAGATCGCCTCGTTCTTGCAGCAGCAGCTCCAGCTCGTGTCAGATATTTATTCAGTGCAAGCGGTGGTGTTTCTGGCCTCCTTCCCGCTGCAGCACGATCTCGATATTTATTCGTTGCTCCAGCGTGCACGTGAACGTGCGTTGCAACTCGAATTCCACAAGGCATCCGTGTCTTCCCCACATAACCAGAACACCTGGTGTTTGATTTTCGTTCTGGGCACTCTTCATGGTTTCAGACAGGGCTTCCAGTGGGAGTCATCTACCGACAAGCTGGTCGAGCTCAAGCGCAATCAGAACTCGTACATCGGCCACCTGGTGGACCTGGTGATGTTTTTCTCCAGACTGTTGAACGGTCTGGTGTTTGACATCGACCAGAACAACAGCGCCGCCGACGATTTGGTCCAGAGCTCGCTTTCTGCCTGGAAGCACCAGCTTAGCACTGTTTCTGCCTCGCACTACCAGCCACTGCAGTGTTTGGTGAACATGATCCACTTGTCGTTGATTATGTTTGAGCCTACTAAGGACAGCGCAGACAAGGCTTTCCAGCAAACCGCGCTGGCTTCTGGCTCCCAGAAGCTAGTCGATCTCTTGGAAACCATGGATATTGCCAAATCGCCGATCTTTTGCAAGATTGCCTTGGACTTTGCCACGCTGCTGACCCTGAAACTTAGCACCACTCCGTACAGTTCGTGCGCCAAAGAAGAGCAGAGCACTCTGGAGTTGTTTGTGAGAAGCTTCAAGCAGCTGTGTTGTGTCCGGAACTACGGCGACGCCGCCAATCTGATCGACACGATTATCAGTTTCCAGGCTGCAACCATTAACTACGGTGCTCTGTTCTACCAGACCAACAACTTCAAAGTCAACCTATTTGCCGGGCTGTATCCAAACACAGATACAACGCCGAACCCGGACTCTGAGGACCCATACGTGGTGGACGCAGAGTACAGACTGTTTCAGCAGCTCAAATGCCTCGACCTGAAAAATCCCCAGAAACCTAAACCGTTTGATGTGATCGACGTCTTCCTCCGTTTGGACGACGAAACTGATACCTTGAATGGTATATAAGATTATACATGCGGTTTGAGAACTTTACACAATTATGCAATCGTCGGGCCCGAACCCGTACATGATCTTGTCGACAGACCGTTTGATGCTGACCCAGTCACTGCGCCGGCTCACAAACGTGTACACCTCTTCTGGATTGAAGATACCGTTGTCTCTGCCAAGATCGATCACGAGTTTGCCAAGGTCCTTGCATTTTTTGCGATCGTCGCACTCGATCAGGAAAAGCTGGCTGATTTTCTTGAACGATACCAGATACTGCACCGTTGGCTTGATTTTGCACTTGACAAAGAAGTCGTAAAAGCAGTTGATATCTGTGATGAACTGGATCGCGCCGATCGTCGAAATGACAAGCTTCTTGGTCAGGAGCTTGATGAACGCCGCTATAAACCGCTCGCCTATTTCCTCCTTAAATACGTCTAATATGGATTTATCAATAGATTCCGATAACATTTTGAAGTGCGTATCGAGTATCTCCACTGTCTGGCGCACGTAGACGTTTGGCATTCCGTTGGTAATGGCAAGTTGCTCCAATGTTAGCAAATTGTACGTTCCTTCGTTCACCTGCGACCTCACAATGCACAGATTGACCTCGTTAATAATCAGCCCGATACTGATATCCAGTCCATCTGCCACGTATGTGTCCAGCATCATCTCCAGTTTGGCGATGATCTTCTCGCAGTTGTTTGCTGACAGAAAATCTCTGCTTTTTTGTGGTTTTGTCTTGACGATCCCGTTGCGAACAAGCTCTTCGTTGTAAAAGTAGCTGATCATTTGCAAAGTGAGGTCACCAACAGTGACCAGCTCAATAAAATTCGTCAGCGGCTCCACCTTGTTGTCTATCGGGCCATCCATCTCTGCTGGGTTGTAGTTCTTAAGTCTGCTGAGCGCTTCTTGAAACCCGCTCTTGATGTGGCGGTCAATCAGCGTCGACAACATGTCGATGAATATGTTCTGACAGACAGTGTGGATGCTGGCCTTGATTTCTGCCGTGGCCGAGTTTTTGGTCAATCCAAGCAGAAGATCGTAGCTATTCTTCACGTGCTGCAGAATCAACACCGTCAGGTCCATACTGATGAGCGACTTGATGTTCTGGACGCTGGTAGTGAGGATCTGGAGCCGGGCAGCAAACTTTGTGAGCTTTGTCTCGTCCTCCTTGTGTTCCTTTTCTGTTTTCTTCCCGCTCTTGAGCTTGAACATGTTCGAGAAACTGCCAAACAGATCGAATGTGTGGTTGCTCTGCGCTTCCGACGTATCATCCACCATTTTCAGGATCTCCTGTTCAAACATTTTCTCGTTCTCAACTTTATTGGACTCCCAGTTGGTGATCAGATGGTTCAATGACTGGTGACACTGTTTTGGGAGCTGTTCAGAAAAGTCCATCAGGTGCTGCTCGTAGTAAAAGTTGATGAACCCAGACACAATCGGGTAGTAGTCCATGTTCTGTGCGCTGTCTTCTCCGCCAGATGTCTGTGGATAATGCAATTTTTCAAACGTGGTCATCAGCTTGTGGTGCAGGTACGGAACGCACTGGAAGTACAGCGAGTTTTCGTTCATCACGTTGACGTGGTCTGGCACTTTGGGCTGTTCAATCTGTTCATCTTCCTCTTCTTCCGCTTCTTTTTCTTCTTCCTCCGTCTTCTCTTCAACTTCTGTGGTTTCCGTTGCATCGATCTGCTTCGACCGTGCAATCAGTTTCTCTACCAGTCCTCCAATCAAGTAGTTCCCCAGAAACGTCTCCAGTAGTTTCAGCACAATCGGCACCTCATCTGTGTCGACGTCAAAGATCTTTTCGATCTCGCCGAGTTGGTGATTAAGCAGCATGGCAATCTCCTCGAAAAGCGTATCCACCCCTTCAAAATCGAAAACGTAGCCATTCACCACGCCGCGCGCTGTCGAGTCGGTTTTCTTGAACACGCGATCCACTGTCTCCTGTGTCATCAGAAACGAGTACGTGTCTGAGTACCGCTCGAGGAAAAACTCCAGTAGAGCCTCAAGACTGTCGACCTCAAGGTCGTCAAATCCAAGGTTCAGGTTGTCCAATGCGCTGATCAGTTTGCGGGCCTTGGCAAACTCCTGGCTCCCCAGCTTGACCTCGACCTCCTTCACGATGGAGGTGACAAATAGGTCCAAAATGGTGTTCAGCCGGATCACCATGTTGCGGTATCCGTCCTCGTGGCGGTAGATCTGAATAAATTTGGCGATGCCAGCGAACAGCATCGACTGGTCGTATGGGTCGTTGAACTCTTTGAACACCGTCAATGACTGAAAGTTCGAGTAGTTCTTCACGAGCAGGTCGTTGGCAATGGGTGCCATGATCTCGTAAATGCGCACAAAGTGCGTCCGTGCCATGTTAGGGTCGCTGCTTGTTTTCGAGACACAGTTGATGGGCGTGAGCTCGTCCTCCACCAATAGCGAGTTGCCAGTCGCCGACTGGTACGGATTTTCCTTGGCCTTGGACTTGCGGCGATGTTTCTTGGAGTCCCAGCATCGGATGGTCTTCATGTACCCTACCCAGAGCTGGTGGTCATTTAGAACCTCATTGTAGCACGATTTGTTCACCAGACTGAAGTTCAACAGATCATGGAAACTATGGATATTCACGGCAATCAGATGAACAACCTCGGCCGGAATGGCTTTATTTGCCGCTCGCGGCCATCCAGACAAAGCAGGTGTGCTCATAGGGACATGTAAATATATTTAGATTATTTTGATCCCATTTATCGTCGCGTCGATGATGCTATATAGAATTAAAGTATCTGCCCAGCACGGTGATATACACGGCAATGCTGGCCAGCACATGCAGAGCACAGAGCTTGATGCTAGGGCTCTGTGGAATGTCCCAGTCGAGGGCGGTGTCGAGGAGTTTCATCTTAAACGACTGTCTCTTCATGAGATCGTCGTCAAAGAGCGGCTTTATTACCCCGAGACGGTTCTTGACACGTTCGTTCAGAGTCTGTGCAGATTTCGGGAACACATATATTATCACGAACGAGCCGGTCATCAGCACAATCACGAATGAGTACCACCGCAGACTTTGGTACGGGTCAGGTAGGTAGCACAGACGAGACTGGAAAGTGTCATGAGAAACCACCATCGAGCCGGTTTCCTCGATGGTCGCGCCTGGATCGGGAACGGTATCTAATGGGTTGTAGAGCGAGAGCAGCTGAATCGCCGGTTTGCGGATTCCTCCGGTCATGGCCGACGACTTGACCGTGATCTCGTCCGTGAAAGACTCTCCAACCTGGGTCGGCGAGGTGTCTGCGTTCTGTAGCGGGTGACGGATATGGCAGTAGTCATGGTCATCTCCCGACAGTACCAGTTTCGGCTTCACGCCGTTCAAAATCCGCTGGCTGATTTCGTACTCGATCACCGTTTGGTACTGTTTTCCGTACATGACGGGAAACTTCTTCTTCGACTCACGAAGCGGACCACACGACTGTTTGTCGGTAAATCTGTACAGCGGGACGTGCGAAAGCAGGATTCGCGGGTATTTCTTGGAGGGGTGTGCTGCGTCGGACAAGCTGGCCAGAAACTCGGTCGGAGCCTTGTTGATGTCGGGGTGATCTTTGGAAGACAACGAAATGGTATCTAGCAGCACTAGAGAGTGGTTACCAATGAGAAAGTAATCGTTCGGGTTGCCGAAAAAGCCCGTAAACCGGTTCAAAATATTTGCCTCGACGCCATTGCCGAACCCAATGTCGTGGTTGCCTGGGATCTGCAGCATTGCTCTGGCAGACTCAATCGGATTAAACACTTTGAAGAACCTGATGTATTCGTCGTACCAAACGGGGTTCGACCACTCACGTCCGCCGTCGAACAGGTCGCCAATGAACAGCGTTGTATGTGGATCGAGGATCTGGTGGTATATCTGGTGGTTTCTGTGAAGATAGTTATCGCTCAATTTTTGTGTAATGCGCAGCAGAAACGAGTTCCTAGAAGGATATGAGTAATTGTCCACTAATTGCGGGTCACCTACCATGACCAGTCGGTGTGGAGTGGCTCCCGAAGGCCAATGTTCCCAATTTTTCCAGTTACAAGCGCGGATGTAGCTGCTGACCTGCCATCTTTCGAAATACTGGACCGTCAAGATCCAAAGGATCAGAAACACTAGCGATTGTTTCCACCGGACAGTGATTTTTGCGCGGGTCCGGTTCGGTTTCGCACGCATCTCCACTGCAGGCCTCGTATCAACGTGCGGAGGCTCCCCACCGGTGGTGGACACTCTTCGTAACTTGGACATGCCGTGCAGGGGTAAAAGAAAATGTTGTTAAAAAAACACACTCCCCGGTTTACGTAATTGCATGAACAATGAGACTCGACGGCGGTCTCTTCGAGGAGGAGGAGAGAAGCAGCCTGCTGCTGACGTGTATGACTTTGACGCGTACCTGCGTACGGGGGTGTCTGAGCAGCTGACCATGGAAGTTGTGTCCGAGGTTCCTGTGGGTGCACGGCTTCGACACAATCCCGAGCTGGACGATTTCCGAGGCAGGATTGAGCAGTATCCGGTGAATCTTGTGGATCTGCGGGCCAGCAAAGGGCGACGCAAGCCTGCAAAGGTGCATGTTGAGCCCGGCAAGCGGAAAAAGGACCCGTTGGAGTCCAAGTTCTTTGAAGCGTTCCATAGCAGAGGAGAGAAGGAGGAAAAGCGATTTGCACGGGAAGACCGCAACAAGCTTGTTCGCGAGTACCAGAACTGCAAGGAGGCACTAAAGAAGTTTGGGGAAACGCGCGGTGCGCCCAGAGGAGACAGACTGAAGTATCTGACGGAGGTGACAAAAATTAACAATATCCAGGACCCTGTAGAGGTCCAGATCAAGTTCATGCTGACAATCAAGGAGCTGATCCATTTTGCGATGAACTACGACAAGTTTAAACGTCGGGAAGCCGATTTGAAGGCCACTTTGGAAGCCGACCGTTGGGACGAGCCGGACGGAGACATTACGGAAATACGAGCTCGCAGAAAACGACGGATGATCCGAAACCACGGGCCTGTGATCCGGGTGAAGTTTCTGAACGGTGTCACGCTGGAGCTGGACCCCATGGGCCGCGCAAAAATACGTAAGTTATGATCTGACCATTTACTGTAGTACTATACATTACTCTTTTCTCCGCCCACCACGACTTTGAACCCGTGGAACTCGTCGCACAGGGTCCGCAGGAACTCCAGGTCCAACACCAACACAAGCCGGATCATCACGCTCATCACTTTGAAGTAGCTGTTTTGTAACTGCCAGTAGTATTTGAACATTGATACAAACAGCAGCACCGAAACCGCGCTGTTGGTGAGAAACAGCGCGTTTCGCCGGAACCGCAGCGTCTGGGACTGACGCTTGTCAAACTTGGCCGATCTATTAACGAAGCTGCGGAACCCCTCGCTCCAGCTAACGCGGTCGGTCTTGACGGTATCATTTTTTATGATAAACCGAGTCTGGATCAGGTTCATCAAACAGAACGCCAGAAACGCCTTCAGATGAAGACTGTTGTCGTCTTCCTGGGTGATGTATGCCCAACAGAGCAGCGCAACGAGCTTGCGGAGACTCACAATGCCAAACGCAACAACTAGCTCGTTCACGGCCGTGTTTTTCGTGGAAACGCCAATTACTCGGAGGCCAAAGGTTACTATTTCGATGAGCAGGCGCGACACTTTCTCCAGAATGAGCGGGAGAAGGTTGAGCGCCAGTTTCAGCAGTCCCTGGTGTTTTTCCGGGACAATCTGGAAAGACTTGAGATACACGATCCAGCTGTAACATAATAACACTATGGTATAGACCCCAACGTACGCGGCCAATGCAATCTTAGATACGACGTTGGCCTCTCCCAGAACCAGTACCAGCGTCAAACATCCGTACAGATGGTATTTGGCGATCCTCCCAACCGTGGAAAGCGCAATGTTCATCTGTGCCATGGCCGAAATATTCTTGAGCCGGAGGATTATCTAAGCTCGGTCAAAATCCCAGGCAAAATAAAATTGGGTCTTAAACAATATCCTTTACCGCACAATGGACAATTCGAAAGTAGTGGACTCCACCACGTCAATCATTACGAAGAAAGACGTGGTGATTAACTCGCGCGTGATGGAGATATTCGAGGCCGAGCCGGACTTGGAGATGTACATCTCGGAGGCGTCCAAATCCACTGAAACTCACAATCACTTACAAAGCTACATAGTTTACACCATCAACGTTGGTCCATTGACGGTGAAAAGACGATACAGCGAGTTTGAGACACTACGAACTTGTCTGATCAAAATCTTCCCCACCGTTCTGGTCCCTCCCATTCCTGAAAAACAGACCCTAGCATCTAATTTGACAACCACCACCAAGAACATTGAATCGCATTTCCCAACAGCCAACGAATCGCACGCCTCCAATGACCCGTTGAACTTGATTGAGTACCGCAAGCGAATGCTCGCCGTGTTTCTGAACCGGTGCATGGCCTTGCCCCAGATCAAGACGTGTCGATATTTCCTCACCTTCTTGGACCCAGAGACAAACTTCAGCGATTTTCTTGCCCTCAAAGAAACACAGACTTTGCAGAAACTATCGATCTACCGACTGGCTCCCTTCGATCCGCTGCTGAATCTCGACAACCAGCTGTACCGCACGCTCCCGTTGCCGGCCGCCTCGAGCTTTAGCATGTTCCCGGAGCTGGCAGGAGAGGAGCAGTTTGAAAACTTCGTCAAGTTTGAAAAGAAGTTCACCAAATACGAAGCCGTCCTGGACAACATCTCGAAAACAAACAAACGTCTCGTCAAACACTTCTCCGAGATGGGACCCGATATCACAGAATTGGGGTCCTCTTTCAAAGCCCTGTCGCTGATCCAGGACTCCGACTCGATTGAGAATCTGGGCCGTGTTTTCGATAGAAGCCTCATCTACAACACCCAGCTGCGAGAAATTACCAACCTCCGCTTCCTCGACAAGTTGATCGAGCTCCGCAACTTCACCAAGATCGCAAAGAAGATCATCCAGTACAATCGCAACAAGGCTGTGCAGCTGAAAATTGTGGAGAAGAGCTTGCAAGACTCGCGGGCCAAGTTCAAGGAGTACCAGAAACAGGAGGAGGAGATCCGCAAAATTGATGCCATGGCTTCACGAGCGACTGGTTCCGCCACCTCTGGAAACTCGTCCGCGGAGTCTCCGTTAACCGACGCCGAGCTACAGTCAGCTTTGTATGTGAACTCGAAAAAACCGTTCTACGGCAAGATTCCCGGGATCAGCAAGCTGAACAACGTGATTCTCAAGTACACAGACTCTAACCCGGACCAGACGCGCAAAAACAGGTTCTACAACCTGCGGCTGAAAATATACCAGCTGGAAAGACAGCAGGAGATACTAGAAGAAGAGCTGGGGAAGATCAATGATGAGGTTTGGGACGAGCTTGTGCGGTTCCATGAATGGTTCCGTGGAGTTCTTGCACAGATTGTGGTGGACTACAACAGGCAACTAGGCGAGTTCATCCACATGAACCTGGAAGCCTGGGAGGGCTGCTACAACAGATGATTGATTACGTTATATTTTTTTCTAAGGCTGCTAAAAAAAAAATATAGCGACCGTTTTTTGTCGCTTGATTAATTAATCATTTCTTTTCTCACCGCCACACCTCGCGCCACAAGGCTGTGGAGACAGCTTATCTTTTCCTCTTCCTGCCGTATTTGCCATCCAATTAAAACACAAGACACTAGCGTTTCAAGATAAAGTGTGTGTCAAATTGAATAAAGACTGATTATTTACAATGAAGGAAACTTCAACGCCCTCTTCCAAGCAAGCCGGGGCTGAAGCGGGCCATTTGCAACCCAACGGAAGCAGCCACTCTGTTTCTGACATTCTTACCCCCCAGGAGCTTTCTTCTGACGACTCATGGTCTATAGTGACCGGTAGCGACTCTCAATCTGTTACTTACAACGAGGTTGTATCAAGCGATGATGCCGATTCGGAGCCAGATACAAGAGAAGCAAGAGCTTCCGTGTCCACGCTGAAAAACGATACGGCCGGCTCCCAATTTTCGGTGCCAAGATTAGGCTCCCACGATGTGTCTTCTGACAGCGCTTGTTCCGCAAGAGATACCCTGATCAACTACTATAATATCGCCAAGGCCAAGCGGCCAGAGAACCTAAAGTCCTGGCACTATTTTGCCGTGCTGGGATTAGCCTTGACCGTGCTGGTTGGGGGTTCGGTTTTTGGCTCGCGCGAGGTGGATTGTCCAGCCATTACGCAGGCTCTTTCTGCGGATCTGAAAGAGTGTCTTGTCACGAACGCCAATTCCGACGTGGGGTGTGTCAAACATTACCTAGACGTTCGGGAGCAGTATCAAAATGACTGCACTTTTGACGATACGCATCTTTTATGGGAGTTCAGCAAGATCAAGTTCCAACGGCATATCTTGGGCGAGAAGCAGATTGCGGATATTCAAGCAAAGTTGCTTTCAGTTAATGAACATGGTCGCAGATTGGGTGAATATGGAGAGGTGGGACTAGCGTGGTTCCGCAGGTTCGGGAACACTTTGGCAGAGAAAGCAAAGGCGCAGGTTAAGGAATTGAAGCAAGACAAGAGACTCGAGAAACAGCTGATTGTGCTGCGTAATTGGAGCTCGAATGCTAGAGTGACGGTTGGTGAGTGGGCTTCTGGCTTTATTGAGGAGTACAAAGCTGCCAACGAGCGCAGTGGTAAGCAACTGGCTGAATTTTTTGATTCCTTGAAGCAGAAATATACTCAGTTGTCCAATTCTGCAAAGTTGAAGGTGAAGAACGTTGATTACGACAAGATATGGGAACACGGTTTGGACAGGTTTAAAGGAATTCAAGATGTCGCTACAGAGCAATATTTCAAGACATTGGTTAAGGCTACAAAGGCAAGTCACTACATCAGAGCTCAAGCAATAAAGGAGTATAAGCAGCTTGACGAGGCATCTCGTCCAAGAGTCGCTTACTTGCGGAAGCAGGTCCTAATTGCCCAGGAACAGGCAGTCGACTTTGTTTCTGAGTCTTATAAAGAATTGGGACGCTTGGTAGAGAAACAAGACTTGCTATTCAAGAAGCCGGTTGTGTTGGCTACTCGCGGGGCACGGGAGTTCGACAGATATTTGCGCGATAAGGTTTTAGGTTGGTACAACGATTTTAGGATACCCTGGGTTTAGTTATGGTTTTGGTTACTTGTACTATGTATAGGTTACAGGACTTTCGAATGATGATTAGGAAGTAAGGTAGCAGGCACCGCTAACTTAGTAAATTGACCAGTTGAACGTAAACGTCTTCGGAGATGATTCCGATCTTGTACAGGTAGGTGTGCAAGCTCTTAACAAGAATGAGGATATCAGGGCCAGATAAGTTGATGACAATGGTTTGCAAAAGATTGCCAATGTTGAGATGGTGGGTGGAGATGAAAGTCTCGTAGTACAAGTAGGAAAAGGAACCCATAAGGAATTGGCAGTCCATTCTATCGGTAACACCTCCGTGTCCTGGGATGGTGTCTCCGAAATCTTTGACCTTGAAAGCTCTCTTGAGGCCAGATGCAAAGAATCCTCCGAAAGGTGCAATAAGGGATGCGAACAGAGAAAGGATCATGGCATGGAGGTAGATTGGCTTCAATTGGATGTATTCTCTATCAATCAGTCTTGCGAGATCTGCTGGAATCTTGTATAATTGGTGGATAAACACTGGGTTAGGCTCGCAGGAGACTCCTGTGAGACAGTTGACTTGCAAGTCGTTGTAGTTTTCGATAGGGCAGATGAAGTAGTTGAAGTTGCAAAGGTAGTAGGTGAGCACGATGGACGCGAAGGTGGTGCAGATCCATGCGCCAACAAATCCTTCGACGGTTTTCTTGGGTGAGATAGAGATGAGCTGGGTTTTACCAAACGTGATTCCGCAGATGTATGCAAAAATATCGTTTGTAATAACAAGCCCGACAGGTAACAGGAACCAGATCATACCGTGGAGGATGTTGTTGACGATGCAGTGGCCTTGGAAGATCACCAGCAGCAGAATCATGTGTGTGATGCAAAGCTGTGCAAATTGGAATTTTAAAGAACCTTTCTTCAACGTAGACACGAAGAAAACAAAGGCCAGCACGTACGAGCAGTACGAGATGAATTTCTGGTGGATAATGAACTTCATTGCCAATGCTGTTGGGTAATTGGAGTCGATCAAGAAGTTGATTGTGTAAGTAATCAAGGATTTGCCTTCGAGGTATGCGATGGTGGTGATGAGCAAGTACCAATTGAGGTATCCTGTGTACTTGAGGTCTTCGTTCTTGGCTCTTTCGGAAGTTATCGAGATGCACTCTTTGAAAACTAGGACCTGGAGCATCAACACAAACATGATGGTCCAGAAGTGGCCTGCACAAATTATGAAAAACATACCAAAGATCATAACAAGAGTCCAGATGGTCCGGACCACAAACGCCTGTTTCTTGCGCTCCTTCTCATTGACCACCGGTCCCGGCTTTTGTGTCGTGTCAGCAGCGACTGGAGGCGGCGACTCGGTTTTTTCCTTGGGGGTTTTCGACTTGGACATTTTGCCTAATAAACAGCTTATCACAAAGTCTGTAAAAATATTTTTTTCCCTTCCAGTTGCAGCAATCACATGTGAAACGTTTGGATACCGGTAATTGTTGGGGCAGTAGATTAAGTTTCTGAATATTTTGTAGTTTTCGACATAAATTCGAGTACTGTAGAAAAATGCGCTTGTTATTGACTTTGAGCTCCGACTCTCGGCGGCCGGAGACTTGGAGAAATTTAATCTCGTGATGTTTTCTTTTTCATGTCCAGAATAGACAAACCGCGGACCCAGCACCAGAACACCGACAAGTCGCGGCTGCTGGAGCAGCTGGACGAGGATATTCAGGAGCTGAACCAGCTCAAACAGAAGATAAAGCAGTTGGAAGAGGAAAAACAGCTGAAGGAACAGCAGTTGGAACAGCTCGACACCACCAGCGCCCAGGTGCCAAGCGTCATGTTCAACACCACATACAGAGAATACCGCCAGTACGACCTTGCTTACAACCGTGTGAAGGAGTTCTACAAAGAACAGCACCGATACCAAACGGTAGCGTACAATATCCAGGCCCGCATAAACTTTAAGACCAAGGTGCGAGATAAGATGACGATATGGGACGCTTTGTTGAAGCTGAATCATCTGCTGGACGAGAGCGACCCTGACACCGAGCTGTCGCAGATTGAGCACGCTTTCCAGACCGCCGAGGCCATACGCAAGGACAATAAACCGCGGTGGTTCCAGCTAGTCGGACTTATCCACGATTTGGGCAAGCTGCTGTATTTCTACGAATCCAAGGGCCAGTGGGACGTTGTCGGGGATACATTCCCGGTGGGGTGTCGGTATTCTACCAAGATCATCCATCACGAGTTTTTCAAAGACAATCCCGATTACAAGAATCCGCTATACAACACCAAATACGGTATTTATTCGCCGCACTGCGGACTGGAAAACGTGATGCTCAGCTGGGGGCACGACGAGTACATGTACCATCTTGCAAAAGAGCAGAGTCGATTGCCCCCACAGGCTCTGGCAATGATCAGATACCACTCTTTTTATCCGTGGCACCAGGAAGGAGCTTACAAATATTTAATGAACAAAAAGGATGAGGAGATGCTCAAAGCCGTGAAAGAGTTCAACCCCTACGATTTGTACTCCAAGACAGACGTGAAATGTAATCTTGAAGAGGTGAAAGATTACTACATCGAGCTGATCGACGAGTTTTTCCCGAAGAAAGTGATTGATTTTTAATATCTTATCTTAACTAATTAACCTTTCCTAATAAACCAAGCGTAAATCATTCCAAAATGTCAATGACACCAAACGACTGTTCAATGCCGTATGGACCTGGTTCTTTCCAGTAGTCATTGTATGTGGACAAAATTGTGGTTTTAGAGCCGGCCTGTTCGAGGATACCTTTGATAGCGATTCTTTGATTTTCTTTGGACGGAATGTTTCCGCCGTTCTGGATTCCCTCGCTTGGGTATCCTGTCTCAAGAACCAGAACCTCTTGGTCGGTACAAATACCTTCGATCAAGCTGATCTGGCCAGAAACAAAGTTTCCAGCGTCTTCGGCGCTCGAGGAGCTGTCAAAGTAGGCGTGAGGGTTGATACCGACAAAGTCGATCTCTGAGTCGGTACAGAGACTGGAGTGTCTCTCGTACGAAACTGGAGGCTCTGCGGTGGTGACCTTTCCAGTGTATCCAGCCGACTTGAGCTTGGACTTGACAGAAGAGATCTTAGAAATCAAGTCGTCCACGGTACAGTAGCCGTTGTTGATGGCCTCGTTACCAACAACAAAGTAGGAGAACAGGTCCCAGTCGAAGCCAGAAGAAGAGTCCTGGACAGCGTCGATCAGGTCACTGACGGCGTCGTCGATGGAGTCGACACCATCGGACTGGATGTAGAAGCACTGATCAACCTTGATTCCCTTATCGGCACAAATTGGGAGCACGGTGGTGAGGTAGTTACAGTCGTTTCCGTAAATTCTCACCTCGTTGATTCCCTTGGACTGGATCAGAGCCAAGTCGCTCTTGACTGAGTCGTAGTCCTTGCACGAACCGGAGTCAGTGTAAGGAGAGTACACAATAGCAGATGGGATGATGGTGGAAACGGCAGAGGACGACGAGGTAGACGAGCTGGCAGTTGTGCTGGTCGAGCTGGTGGAAGAAGCTTCGGTAGACGAGGTACTTTTGGAGCTTGTAGTGGAGCTTGTAGAGCTGGAGCTGGTGGAACTCGATGACGTGGTAGAGCTAGTGGAGCTTGATGATGTAGTAGATGTAGAAGAGCTGGTGGAAGAGCTCTCGGTGGAAGCTTCACTGGAGGACTCAGAAGAAGCCTCGGTAGAAGACTCGGTGGAAGCTTTAGTAGAAGACTCGCTCGTGGCCGAGGTGGTGGTCACCGAGCTGGCAGAGGTAGAGGTTGCAGAAGTGGAGGAGCCGGTCTCGCCAGTAGACAAGTTTTCCACATCGACAGAGTTCACCAGATTGAAGTCCTCCGTGGAAACAGTGGCCGCACTGGAAGTCTGTTCAGCAGAAGTCACAGACGAAGACTCAGTCGTTCCTTGGCTCAAACTCGTAGAAGTGCTAGAAGTGCTGGTTGTAGTTGGCTCAGGACTGCTGGTCTGTGTCTGACTAGTTTCTGCGTCAGCTCCGCTAGTGGAGACGCTGTCTCCTTGGACAACAAGAGTGGTGGTTGGCTGTATAGTGTCAATATCGCTGCCGGAAGCAGTAGTAAGGAGTGTCTTGGTGTAAGAAACACCGTTGGAAATAAGAACCTCAACGATAGGTATGGTGGAGGTGACGGTATAGTAGTTTTCTTCCGTGGTGGTAACAGCTTGTGCTGTGTGCATTCGTGTAATGAGCACGGGCACTGGGGCAGATTGGACTGCGGCCAAGATTGTCAAAAGAGCGACTGAAAAACGCATAAGGAATGTATGAGTGAGTAAGTTGGCGTGAATTGATAACGAGAAATGGATAGGTATTTATACACCGAGATTGCAGGCTCGCAAGCCTTCGCAAACAGCTCGATTGCTTTGATCTCTGGTCGACAACAAAGAGATATGTCCATCGTTTCCATTGAAGTCCACATTATGCTACCAAAAGCAGACTGCTGTGATCGCTAGCCATCCAACATTTGCATTGTTCAGTATGCAATTGAAAATTTAGACCCTGCTACCAAAAAATGGCTGACACCCAAATCGGGAAATTCCGGGCTGTGCTGTGACCCAAAAGTGGCAGGAACAAGATACAAAACGGTACACGCTGTTATAGCCGGTAGCGACTAACGCCCGCAATTAACAAGTTGTGGTAGGACCTGACACCTGGAACACCACTTGTCGCTTTGATCACACTCTAAAATGTGTTGAGGTCTGTCAGGTACCAAGCAATTTAAATATAGTCTGTAATTAAACTACACAGTGTGAAAAACGGTCCAAGACTTGAGAATCTTGATTTTAAGCCCAACCTTTGGCTCGTCTAATTACCAACTCAGTCATTGCTTATTCTGATGATTTTCATAAGCTCCATTTAATATGTCCGTTTGGTAGCACATCCAAACCCAGCCCCCTCAGTAAGCTTTGGCGGTGTTAGCGGTGCACGGGTGTTTAACATTTTTTCTCCGAGTTGCCCAGCGAGGAGCAAAATATCTCCCTAGCGCGGAGTTGCAAAATTATGCTTCCTGAAATCACCTACGCTCCGCCCATCCCGATGGATGAGCCTCCTGCCAAGCAAGAGACTACCGACGACAGCTCCGAAGAAGAGGCCATCGGGTCGCCGTGGCCCATCATCCTCTTCAGCACGCTCATTGCTACTGGCGGTCTGATCTTTGGCTACGATATTGGAACCATTGGTGGAATGATCGACATGCCTGCATTCACCAGCACTTTTGGCGACAACACCACGGGCACACAGCCGGCGTTCTACAGCATCACGAAGGGAGCACTGATTGGAATTTCCAGCATGGGAGGATTCGTTGGTGGCATTCTTAGTATTCTTCTAATTACCCCCTTTGGATTGCGTCCCACGATTTTCAGCGCCGGTCTCATTTACGCAGTTGGAAACCTCATCACCTTCACCGCGAAAGTGTGGGTCCAGGTGATGTTTGGCCGTGCGTTGAACGGCATGGCCAACGGCATTGTTTGTGTCACGTGCCCGATGTTGATCAGCGAGCTGGCCCCAACCAACATGCGCGGCGGGATGATTTGTATCCAGCAGCTGCTCACCACAGTGGGGATCCAGATTGGGTCCGTCACCATGTATTTGAGTCAGATGTACTTCGACAACACCAGTTCTTTGCAATACCAGGTGCCGCTACTTGAAGGAATTGTCTGGGCCCTTGCTACGTGCGCTTTGATCTGGGTGGTGCCGGAGTCTCCGTACTGGTATTTGACCAGCCGCAAGCTCGTGGAGAAGTCCAAGGCGTCGGTGGCCAGAGCGCGGTCGCTTGGCGTCAACGACCCAGGAGTGCTGCGCATTGTGGCCATTATGTTCAACAACAACTCTGACGAGGACGAAGATGCAGCAAATAGAGAGAAACGGTCCATCAGAAAGGGACAGCCAAAGTATCTGTTGCGCACCCTGACTGGAATCAGCGTTCTGTGCTGTCAACAGCTCACGGGGATCAACTACTTCTTCTTTTTCGGCACCACTATTTTTGCAACCATCGGTCTAACCAACCCGTACTTGGTGCCAATTTTCTTCGGGTTCGTGAACTTGATATTTTCCGTTGTGTCGCTGTTCATCATCGAGCGATTCAACCGTACCACACTGCTGATGTCCGGATCGGTGCTGCTGGTCTCCTTCATGCTGATCTTCACCACCGTGAGCCTGGTCTCTGTCAACAACATGAACGTGGTGTCAGGTGTACTTATGGTGACGGTCTCGTGTGGATTCATCGGGGTGTTTGCTACAACGTGGGGCCCGCTGAGTGGGGTCGTGGTGTCTGAGCTGTATCCGATCTCGATCAAGGTCAAGGCAATGTCGATTTGCGGGTCGGCCAGTTGGCTGGTGACATTTGTCATGACACTAATCACCCCACCCCTTACAGAGCTATTTGGCTTTGGAATTGGGTTTGTGTTTGTGTTCTTCAACGCGCTAGGGTTCGCGCTGGTCTACTACCTTGTTCCAGAAACCAAGGGAATGCCACTCGAGAGACTCGACGAGCTTTACGAGCAACAATAATTACTGCTGAGTGTGTACACCTTATTCAATCTTCATTATCAATACTAACGGGAGGTAGCATGGACTTTCTGGAAAGCACCCTTAGCTTGTTGTTTAGAGATCTTGGCACCGGAGGCAACTTGAGCAGCCTTGTCAGCCTTCTTTTTCTCCTTTCTAGCTTGCTTCTTTTCCTTCTCCTTAGCAGCAGCCTCCTCTCTGGTGGCCTTTCTTTGCTCTGGCTTCAAAGAACGTCTTTGTTTGATCAAATCGAGAGAAGCACCGACAATTGCTCTTTGGTGCTTGACGGTCTTTCTGGATCTCTTCTTGGAAACCTCCTCGGTGATACCTTTCTTGTGGTGTCTTCTGAACAAAACAGTCCAGGAGATTCTTCTTGGGTTCTTCTTTTGGTGGAAAAGGGAGGCAGACTTGGAGTTCTGGAATCTGAACACCTTCGAGTCACCTCTCACAAACAGAGTACCTCTGCCCGGGTAGATCTTCGAGCCGGAGAATGAGTCAACTTCAACCTTCATCTTGATGAGAAAAGATTATTTGTGGTTGAGAAAAAAAGCTAAACGGTGTGAGAGGGTCGAAAAATTTTAGACACTGCTGGATGCGGCAATTTGGCTGTGACTGTGTTTTGGGACTAATATTTTTCACTAGCTCTGAAAAAAAACTCTTCACCACAACCTTAAGACCGGAGTGAATACACAGAGATGGTCAGTATCATTTCTCTCTGTCCGTAACTAACCTAGATAGGCACCAAAAGTTAAGAAGTCCTCAGACAACATGAACGCCAAGTTGGCCTTGGCCATCAAGTCGGGTAAATACACCCTTGGATACAAGTCCGTTGTCAAGTCTCTCAGACAAGGCAAGGCCAAGTTGATCATCATCGCTGGTAACACCCCTGTCCTCAGAAAGTCTGAGTTGGAGTACTACGCTATGTTGTCCAAGACCGCTATTTACTACTTCCAAGGTGGTAACAACGAGCTTGGTACTTCTTGTGGTAAACTTTTCAGAGTCGGAACCCTGGCTATCCTTGATGCTGGTGACTCCGACATCCTTTCTGCTGTCCAGAACTAATTTAGAAGGTAATAGCGACTAATTTAGATAATATCAGATCGGCTGAACACGCTGACATGCTTTGTAGTTGGTTTCTCTCCTGGCTTACGTAACTCCCCACCCACCCTCTTTGCTGGAACAAATATTTTTGCGGGGCGCATCGTCCACTTTTATTCTTTCGCCATGTCCAAGACTGAGAAGTACGCTTTGGATGTTTACATCCGTATGAATCTCGATGACGAGAGAGATTACTGTTTTGAGGTCAAGGAAACAGACACTTTTAGGGACTTGCTCAAAATCTTCGAGACTCTGCCTTTGACTCTCAATCCGTCTTTATTCTACAACAGAGTTCCGATCGGGTTCAAGATCTCCAGATGCCCTGGTATTCTCACCATGGAGGGAGGCTTGCTGTTTGGCCGTGAGGCTGCAGACGACAAATGGCTCACCACTGCTCCAAACGACGCCCTTGTTGTTTCGAAAGTCTGGCCTGGCCAGCTGTTGCATCCGATTTGGGAAGAACGTACTTTCCTGAAATACTCCATCACCGCAGCCTTGCTTACCTGGCTGTACACAGACTTGCCCGACTTTGTTTCTCCGACCCCGGGCATCGGGTTCACCACCATTTTGTGCAAAGCTACATGCAACTTGTTAGAAAAGTACTATAGTGCTGATTTCGCCGACCATCTCCGTGGCGAGCTGCTTTCGGAGTCTACTGTTTTGGTGCAATGCGTGTTTTTCGCCTTGAACTTCTTCAAGGTGCTGATTGTCTACTTTGCTCTCTACTTCGGAGCCATCAACCCGTACTCATTCACCGAAAAGGCTCCTCAGGTCACCAGAGAGGACCTCGTGGCAATTGGGTGGACCGGTGCCAAAAAGGCCACTTTGGAAAACTTCAGAGAATCTTACAGATCGTATAGAATCGACCAGGCAGGCGGTGTTTTGAAAGCACACCAGGCAGGTCTGCTGACTAAGTTGTCCACCACCACCGTCACTCTCGGACCAGAAGAGGGCTTCAACACCCCGCTAGACCTCATGGGAAAAATCACTCTTCAACAGCTGGAGAAACAGGACAAGTTCCAGCTTTCGCTTGATCTACTGAACGCTCAGGAAAAGCTCGTCCATGACGAACTCAAGGACCTGGACGACAAGGAGTTTACTTTGCGGTACAAAAAGTTCAGATCTCTGGGTCCTTTCAAGACCACCCCTGAAATCGAAAAGATCGTCCAGCACAGATTCGAAATTGAGGCGGAAAAGGAATCTAAAAAGTCTTGATGTAAATCATTTCAGCAATCATTAATACTTCCAAGTGCTAATCTAATATAATGTCGTCAGCGTCGTTGGATTTCGACTTGAAAAATGGTAGTTTTAAAGCTTGGTCGGCAGTTATGCGCTCGTTGTGGTTCAGCTTCAAACACAGTTCGAGCAGCTCCAGAGCGTCGCCATACTGCGTTCCAAGCTTGGTTGGCAATGGACGGCCTTTTTTGTCCAGTGCACTTAGTAGCTCCCATGCGGGAGAGTCATCTGCCAGAGTGTCGCCCTGTTTGGCCTCAAGCAAAATGGACGTGTAAAGCAAAGCACCGAGAGACTGCACAGACTCGATCTTGGGCAAGTTGCTTTCGAGCCCCAGCCCGTGCAACTGCGAGCATTTGCGCATCTGATTTAGCCCGAATATGCTCGTGATCTCGACCAGCGCAGCCGTATCATCGGTGGAGTTGAAGAATGGGAACCGTCTGGACAGCAGAGTCAAAAGCATCACGCCTGCAGACCAGATATCCACCTTGACCGTTTGATTCGCACATTTGAGCAGAACCTCAGGTGCTCTAAAACCACGAGTTCCAGCTCTGTTTGCGCGTCTCCCCGGTCTACGGTCGTCTTTTAGGTACCCCTTTGCCGGGAATGCATTAGCAGGCGCAATCTCGTCCGCAGAAGCTCCTCCTTGGAAGCACGGACATGCAGAATAGTCAAGCTCTGCTTCTTTTTCTGCCAATCCAAAATCAACTAGAACTCCCTTTCTGGATAACGGATTGTACAGGAAGTTTGTGGGCTTGATATCTCTATGGATAATCTTCTTCTCGTGCACAAAGCTCAAAGCCGTAAACAGTTCGTGCATGTAAATCTTAATTCCAGACAGTGGTATATCTCTGTAGAAATCGCGGAAGTCGGCGTGCTTGTAGAAGGGAAGAACTGCGATCACTTGGTCTTCGTACCGGATGGCGTCAATGAGTGGAGCCACGTTGGGACATCCCACGAGGCTATGCAATAATTGAAGTTCGTTGTAGATTCTGGATGGAGACGAGGTCACATAGATACGTTTCAGTGCGACAACAGGAACATCGAGCTTGTGTGTTGGCTTATTAACTCTGTTCTTTGCTGGAGGAGAGCTCCACAAAGTGTGGCCCATGCTGGTTTCGGAAACTCGTTGCAAGTCGTACGCCTTGTACACGGTCGAGAAAGTGCCTTCACCAATCTTGTCGATCAACTTGTATCTGGAAGACAGTCCCGGGAACGATTTGACCAGCGAGTACAGTTCCTGCCTCACCTCCATCGACATGGATTCGTCAGAGTCTGATTCTTCTTCTTCCTCCTCCTCCACCATAGAGGACTCCGTTTGTTGTTCTTCCGTCTTGACCGACTCCGGAGCCTTCAAAACGGCCTCAGACAGCTTTTCAGGCTTCTCAGACGATATCAGTATCGAGTCGGCCTCAGTGCTAATCTGCGATTTCGTGTCTGACTTTGTTTCCTCTTTCGGGTCCTCACTGGTGGCCTGGGAGTTGGATAAGACAGAAGGACTCTTCCGGCCGAAGTTCGGCGGCATTCGCAGAACCAGCCGCTTGTTGAGCTTCAGACGCGGCTGGGTGCGAACGGGCGTCCGATCTGCCTCGTTCAGGTTTCTCTTTTTCCCCGGAATCGAAGTCATTAGTTACACTTTTTCTTGTTTGTGTATTTATTTTGATCTACGCGTAAATAAAATATTACGTCAGCTTATACTACTCACTGGGAGAGGTAGCCTTGAGTTTGAGCAGCGCGATTGAGCTTCGGGCCTTGGCCACAAGCGCAAGAAGTTCCTGATGGTCCTCTGGAGGTAATGGTCCTGAAATTCGACGTTGTAAGGCATGCAGCTCGTTGATTCGAGTCTGGTCTCCGTGGCCACCACAGATAATCACCAGCGAGTTAGTTGGGAGACCCTGGTACAATCTTTTGATGTTTGCGTCCAGATCTGCCTCCTCCCGCAAACGGATCAAGAAAAGTTCATGGTTATCCACGTTTTTCAGCAAAGCGTCCACCGCCTCCTCGTCGGAAGAAACATACACGCGCTGCTCGTTGAAAAACTCGTTGCCTCCAAAATTGATGCTCATGCCTGACTTTGGCACTTTCTTGTCGTCAACCTTGTACTTTTTGTATGTCCGGGACAGCATTCTAAAAATGGACTCTTCAGAGATTAGCTTTCCATGTCCTTTACCCTTTTCGAGCTTGAGCTTCACCAGATTCATACAGGCTCTGCAGTCTTCTGTGGGGTCGTGGCCATCGTCGGAGTTTTGGATGGATCTTTGGAGGAACTCCTCCGCCAGTACCTTTAGAGACGGCTTAAGCGGCGGGCCTTTGGCATGATCAAAACAGAATGCCGTGTCTATGATTCGTGGGTGCGAGATCTTGAGTACTTTGAGGTCTGAGTTCAACGAATGGCCAATCAGATAGTCTTTGCTGGAAACGGTTTCCAAAATCCGCTGCTGGATATCTTGCAAGGTGGTTGTCACGTTTTCGAGCGATTTCGCGTCAACACCCGAATATTGCGTCTTATAGTCGATGATCTCCTCCTCTGGCTTGACAAACTCGGTGAATACAATGTTGTCGTCTTCATCGGTCACAGATATCCTTGTCAGTGCTATCCCCGAAGCAACATCACACATCTCACAGTCGAGAGCAAGAGCACGAGGTTTAGTTCCCAGATCCTTGGTTCTGAGGTAGCTCGAGTACTGCGAAACGGACTCTTTCGTGCATCCTGGAATGTCAGGGTGGATCGGGTACTCGTTAGTGCTTAGTGTATGGAAATCCAGCACCAAGTCAGAGTAACAAATCTTCTGTGAACTCAGCTCCTCAACAAGAGCTCGTTTGGTCTTTGCTTGGATGGTTCGTGACGAAAGCGTAGCTGCAATAGAAAACAGGTACCTGTTGCTACCAGGAGTCATGATAGGAATTAATTTGGAAAACTCCGAGGAGACAAACGGCATTTTGGTTGAGTCCAAAACGTCCAGCTCGGTGGTCAGATCGCTGATGTCTTCGTGGCCAAAAGTGTGGTAATTAAGCGATTCGGCAAGAACAACAACGACCTTGTCTATGGATTTCGAGTTGTCTAGCCGCACAAATGCCGGACCCGGCGATCCCGTCAACACAGCGGAGATCAGACTCTGAATATTGTCTAGTTTTACTGGTTTCTTTGATGTTCGCTCTTGGAGACTGAGATCAATAGTCAAGACTGGAGGTTTCAGTGCAGAACGCTTGATCCGTTTATTTTTGTGTCCTGAAGGGAACGGCCGCTCATTTGAACTCACACCCGCATTGTTATTTGTGGTCGAATTTTCCATTGAAGCGGGCTGGAGGGGATGTGCTGCAAACGTGGGCCTGGGCTTTTGATTCCAATCAAGAAAAGTCCTGGACTAAATTAATTTTCAATATCTTCCCTTACACAGCCGTAAAGATACCTTTCAGGAAGTCCTGGTATTTTTGTCTAAGATTGGCTGTTTTCTGGACGGGATGACTGGTTTCTGACTCTGACAGTGATGGGGGAGACTGCCATCGGTTCCATTTTTCAAGATTCTGTTCGCACTCGAACTTATCGTTGATGATTCTGATCTTTCCTATGGAGTCTGTTCCGTACGGCACAAATATGGCGTCAAAGTCCTCAATGCGAATATCGGGCGAGTCCAGAAGGAGAGACCTGAAGTTGCTTCTGGTCTGCCCCCGCTGGTGGTACACTGTAGAGCCGTTGTAGTTCATCATGATCAGTCGCACCAACTGCTGCAGAAATTCGATCTGCGGCACGCTTTTCACGTTGTAGTCCACCTTGGCAACGTCGAACACCACAGCCACGCGCTGTGCCTCTGGGAATTCGTCGATCCACGGTTTCAGCTGCCGTGTCACTCTTTGGAATATGATTTCTTCAGTCTGAGCGGCTCGGAGAGCCTCAAACGCGTCCAGAAAGTGGACCACAAGCGACTTTGCTACACGCGGGCCAATACTGGTAAAATAATCGGGCTCAAAAGGCCCGGGAAACGAACGGAAGTTCAACTTGACGTCCCCCAGATCAACATAATGGACCCCGTATGGATTCACGCTGATCTCGTTCACGCCAAACTCAGATAAAAACTCAACATGGTGTCGCGTGGTCCCACCCAGCAGCAGCACGTCCTGGTCGAGTCGATCGTCCTGTGCCACAGAGTCCAGGATATCCTTGAGTGTAGTCATGTTTATATTAAATTCCTGGCTGTGAACAAAAAAATAAAGTTATGTAATCCATAATTAGGATGTCTATTTAGAATTGTCGTTAAAGTCGACTTTGCGTCTTTCCGAGATGCCGGCGGTATCTCTTTTGACTCTGTTGAACATGGTGACTTGGTAGTTGAAGATGAAGTCGACAATGACCCAAGACCAGGAGTTATGTGCCGGCAGGGGCTCGTAGAACTCCGAGGCTATCTTTTTCAGAGCAGGGAGCTTGCTCCAGGCCACGAACGGGAAGTCGTGGTGCTCGTTGTGGTATCCAACGTTCCAGGTGACCAGGTTCAGGAGCCCGTAGTATGAGTATGTCTCCAGGGGCGGTGTGTCGATGAACTTTTTGTAGATCTTTGGAGGATCAAAGATGTAGTGTTCGGAGACGAAATGGCCTGCTGTTGGGTGTAAAGAGCCGGCGAAGAACGACGACATGATGAAATACCACAGCGAGTTCGACGACCAGTACTTGACAACGAGGAGATCCACGAATAGCTGGGTAACCACGTTCAACAGATGGATAACTGTGAATTTCACCTGAGTGATGAACATGGGTCTCAGGGCATAGAATAGGATTTGAAACGTGGCGAAAAAGGCCTTACCCAGCACATTCGAGAGCAAGATCGCCTCGAATCGCGTCGGGATGTCGGTATCGTACACCTCGTCACCCAGAAATTTGTGGTGCAGTTGGTGGTATGGCTGGAACGAAGCACTGTAAGGGATTCCGATCGGGAGGTTCGTGACTATGGAAAAAAGACGGTTATGCAGGGGCTTTTTGAATCCCAGATTATGGGACAGTTCGTGGATGCAGAGGAAACAGTTCTGGTTGCAGGTACCTCCGATAATGTACGCAAGGGCCAGAAACTTGTAGCTGAACGGGCTGGTATTTCTGAGGTAGTATGCGATTCCGAACTGGAGACCAACAACCATCAAAGAAATGTACTTGGTGAGCGGTTCATGGCCACACAGCTTGGTGACTGTTGGGTATTTTTGTAGGATGAGTTTGCGTCTTTTTGAGTGGGGGTCCTTCTCGTTCGTCCAGTAGAAATCGAGCGTCTGCGTGATATCCACCTGGTCGATCACCGGCGGGGTGGTCTTGTGTGTTGTTTTCGCTAATCTGTGAGTAATCTCAGACATAACAAAGACAAATGTTCCTCAGATCTACACGTTTTTCTCTTACGATATACGATCGGGTGGGAGGTGTGGCTATTTAGGTGCGAGATCAGGCAACTTGGCTGGATTGCCAGGATTGGGTGGGAGGTGGAGCTGGTACGGCGAAGAGCAACTCCAGCAGCTATCACAACACCCAGTTTTACTATACTCCCCCCTGCTCGACTGATCCCCCATTCAGTACTCCCCCCTGCACAAGTACTTGTCTGCCCCCAGACCTTTTACCCTGCCGACAAAAAAAATTTACTCGACACATTACCCGACTTGCAAGCCGGCTTCCCCTCTCAAAATGCTCACCTTTAAACGCCTGCACCGTTCGTCAATGGCTCGATCTGTTCCTCGTCTTGCAGCGCTTAATTTGCAACTTGTTTCAAGTCGAATGAACTCCACATCTGCACCTGAGGTCGAATTCTCGATCAAAAACCGGACCCGGATCATCTCGCTCAACAGACCGGCCAAACTCAACGCCATCACCACCAACATGTGCGACGAGATTGTTCCCCGGCTGGTTGAGTTCTCGCGGTCGGACGTCAACGACATGATCATAATAAACTCCAAGTCTCCAAAGGCGTTCTGTTCTGGAGGCGACGTCATCCAATGTGCAAAAAACAACCTTGACAAACAACCATTGAAGAGCGTCGAGTTCTTCCAGAAAGAGTACAGTCTGAACTACTTGCTTTCTGTCTTCAACAAGCCCGTTGTTTCCCTCGTGAAGGGCATCGTGATGGGCGGGGGTGTTGGATTATCTGTTCATGGTCCATTTAGAGTTGTTTGTGAATCAACCCGGTTTGCCATGCCAGAAACCAACATTGGTTTCTTCAGCGACGTGGGAACCTCGTTCTGGCTGCCTAAGCTGGACGGAAACCTCGGTTACTACCTTGCTTTAACGGGAGACGAGCTGTTTGGTCTCGACACCCTGATTGCCGGCTACGGTACTCATTACGTTCCTTCCCACAAACACGAGGCTCTCACCAAGAGACTGACTGCTTTGGAGCTTCCGCAGCTTGCTGCTAACAAGGACATCTCCTTTTTCGAGGAAAACGACTTCCCTACTTTGATCAGCGAGGCTATTGAGGAGTTCACTGAACAAATTCCTTCGAACCATAAGTTCAAGTACTCTGCGGAGGAGCTCGACACCATTGAGACCTGTTTCAACCCAGACACACACAAGACCGTGGAGAAGGTGATTGAGGCTCTGGTGAACGACGGAAGCGAGTTTGCGCTGAATACAATTAAGAAGCTCGAGGCCAAGTCGCAGATCTCTTTGAAGCTGTCCTGGGAGCTGCTTTTGTCTTCCAGAGACTCCACGATCCACGGTGCTCTGTCGAACGAGTTGAATGTTGCTGCCAAACTGATGCTCGACTACAAGCCAAACGATTTCAACGAATACATTCTCAAGAACCTGATCAACAGAAACGCATCCAATCCTGAGGACAAGGAACTGCATCCAAAATACGCCACCCTGACCGACGTTCCAGAGAAGCTGATCAAGTCGCTGGTCTCCAGAGATAACTACCAGCCTGATGAGAACGGTGTTTTGTCGCCGGAACAGACCATCGAGTCCCTGGAGGCTCTCAAGGTGTCCAAGTTTGAGGACTGTCCTAAGCTCGTGCGCGACTACGACACGTACCCATGGCAGATGGGTCTCCCTACCCAGGAGGAGATTGAGAAGTACATCAAAGGAGAGGACGACTCGAACAGAAAGTACTCTGTCACTGCCAAGGAGGCTGGTAAGTACTTTATTGGTAAGTTTGGCAACAGAAACGGGGTTGTTTACAAGGTTAAACACGTTTTGGATAGAAAGACCAAGCCTAATGAGTACGGCAGCGAGTACCTCGAATGGAAATAATGTATATAACTAAGATCTGACACTCAAGCTGGTAGTCTGCAGTTTAAATGACCTGCATAACCGAAAAAAATATTTAAATTCATGGACTACGGCACTCCCTTGTACCAGTTGCCACTGTCGGAACACTGGTTATTGATTATAACCAACCGGGGCTACAAGTTCTACTTCAATTCCAATGAGCTGGTCTCATACTGGGAATTGCCCGAGTCATGTGTGGCCGAGCTGGACGAAATGAAGCGTAAGAAAAACGAAATCTTGTTACTGATAGGAGTCGCCAGAGGAGCCAAGGTGGACGACTCACGTGCAGGCGACCTGAACGAGCTGTTGCACGGAGAACGATACCCGCGAGACGTGGTGGAAGAGACTGCACAGAAAATCACGTCCCCTGAGGAAGAGAGCACTTCAGCGTCGTCAAACACAGCCAAAGATGGAATCTCGCTAGGCTACGAGTCGGACAGCGAGCAGGAAGCCGAGTCGTCTTCGTCTGGCGAGTTCAACGTGGCGGCAGGCAAGCCTTCCGACCACGAGTCAGAGCTGGAGTCGGAGAGAGAGCCGGAAAACGAGTCGGAGTCGGACTCAGACTCGGAATCAGATGATGCGGTAGGACTTAATATGTCGGATTTGGAAGATTATCAAGAAGACTCGTCAGACGCAGCGGAGCGGTTCTACGATATGTGTGTGCGCTACAAGATCAACCCGTACTCGTCGTACGATTTGGAATACGAAAAGTTCATTAACGATCCCGTCTACTTTGAGATCGACGATGATGAAAAACGAAGGTCTTTATTTGATCGATGGTGTACACAGGCAGCCAACGCGCAGGACAAGGTGGACCAGTCAACGTTGGCGGTGGTGGGATTTTGCAAACTGTTGGTGAACAATGGCGTGAACTTTAAATATTATTTGGAGTTCAAACGCAAGTTCAAATCTGCCCCCGAGTTCCAGGCTATCGACTCTGACAAGCTGCGAAATAAAATCTTCAACAAGTACATCGAGTTCCGAAAAAGCGACAAGCTGGCGTTTGTGCTCCATGCACTGAGAAAGAGCGGAAAACTGGTGGTGCTGACCCGAAAAATCAACACCAACAAACCACAGAAACTGCTTGACTTCTTGAGCCAATCCAACTTTAATATACAACGAGACATTGTGGAGTTCAACTTTTTGGACCAAGCCGACCAGACCACTCTGTTGGAACAATTTTTGGCTAATGCTTAATATATTCAACATCCCGTGAGTTTGTTCTTTGGGAACGAGTAGCCAGCATCCTCCCAGCTCGTCATGTTCCAGTCTTCATATGCCTTAGGATGGTCGTTGATGTAGTCGTACGTTGGGTATCCTGAAGGATCACACGTCACACTCACAGAGTCGTTAGGTTGGTAGATTCTCACATAATCGATTTCCATCGTGACTGGGAACGCAATAGATGGCCAGTCAATGTAGGCCCAGTTGTTCGAAATACCCAAGTTCAAAATCATCGACATTGGTTCCTTGGAAATTCTTCTCCAGTCGATGTTACCGTTAGGAGCCAAGGCATATGCATGGACAGTCATCGTTGGGTCATCACCAACAAACCATCTCAAATATCCATCGTCGTTGTCGTTCAGGTACTCGTAGGCGTATTTTTGGAAGCGGTGTGTGGAGTTTCCAAACTGGTACCAGGTTGTGTTCAATGTTGTTGTTGCCGAAAGAGCCTGTTGATAAGGTCCACCGGTATATGTGTTGACGGAGGTGACAGAAGCATTGTAAATTTCCACAAAGTTGTAATCTGGGTAATACCAAATATCCATAGGAGCCAGCTGAAGAGACTGAGAAGCAACACCGTTTCCGGCGGTAGTGTCGACTTCACCTTCAATGATATCGATTTCAGGCGCGCCTCTTCCAACACCTTGGTTAGGATGGTCCTCGCCGTTACAGGTACAGCTGTTCAATTTTTGTCCCGGCAAATATGAAATTCCATCTGGAGAAGATTGGTTAGCAGTGATACCAGCATCACATGCTTCATAAGAATACGGCCAGACACCTTCGGTGGTAGCCATGTATCCTGGACGACCAAGATTACCCATAGACCACATACCTGGCCACAGTCCACTGACGTTACCGTAGTTTGGGAATTTAGCAGAAACTTCCATAACACCTTGGGTAAAGCACATTCTGTTCCAGGAGTGAAGCATACCGGATCTGTAGAACAGGTTGTGGTTCTTGAAGGCGTCCATACGAAGCTGCAAAGTACCGTTGGAGGTGGTCACAGCGTCGGGGTCGTACCATTCAAGATCCTGAGTAGCGGCGTAATGGAAATCAGGAGCGTACCAGAACTGGTCATCACCATCGTAGAAAGTACGTCCCTCAGCAGCAAATTCATCACTGAAAACGAGAGACCACAAACTACCATCCTTTGCTTTTCTGGTCTTTGCGCTGTCTGGAGTGTCACTGTCGACCAAAGATGTTCTAATGGCACTGAGCTGTGGATACACGTATTCCGACAACACGGTGTATGTATCATGATAAGGCTTGCTGTCCAAGTGGTCGGTAACTCCTGTGAAGGTAAGAGCGGGCCAGACAACGAAAAGACATAATAGACCGAGTCCGAGGACAACACATCCAATTAAGGCACTTAACGAACGTTTATCCATGTTTTTGAGGTCGTGTTTGAATCTGTGTTTATCATACTGCTCGTCTGCAATAGGGTCTGGGTTGTGTAGGTAGTCATCCTCCTCCTTCTCGTCGATATGGAGAGGGAAAGAAGATGCTGGGTATCCTCCAAACGGAGAAAAATCTGTGTCAACCAAAAATGGATTTGAGGATTTCTCAGAGTTCTGAGAAGAAGAGTCGCTGTAGCGCTTTCCTTGGAATGGATCTGAACCAGTACCGTTGGAACCAGTCGACACAGCTCTCGAACCGGTCAGTCCTTGAGGGTACCGGTCGTAGTCTAGAGGCTGCGTGGTGAGGTTGTTGTTGGAGCCAAAAGGGTTTATGATAGACGAAGAAGAATCACGATAGTTTCCGTCATAGCTCAAAAACCGTTTCTGGTCGTCGTTCACCTTGGAACCGTTGGAGTTGGAGGAAGACTCGTCGTAGCTTTGCGACTCATACTCTTGGTTAAACGGGTCCGTGGTGGAGCCCTCACTGGAGTTGGATTCCATATGTGGTGACCGAGAGGTCAAGTTACGGGCTGCCATATCTCAAAGTATGTTTTTCCAATAACAGATTCCTCCTGCTTGTCCTAAGAAACGATATTTGTTTTTGTTCTGCATTTCCTGTGCCTATTTTCAGTCGTGCGCGTTGGAGAATTTTTTTTCATGCGCCTTTACACCACGCAGATCCTCAAGGGCTAGCTACCGTGATCACGAGACGTGGTTCAGGGAGAAGGTGTACGTGAGATGGACAACGCGCTCACTATTGGCGTGTAGTTGCCAAGGCTACGCACGATGTTAGTTACAGACTCATCAAAAAGGTGGTCTATGCTTAGTTCCACTATTTTTAGTAACATATTTACAAACGTTCGAAACACAGCTGACATAATCGCGTCAAGCAATCATTCGTCGTGTTTGGACTGATCTCGTGCGTAGGTCAAAAGCGTGAACCCAGCAACGCCTAACAAAATCGAGCTAGACATGATCTTGAACACCAGGTCCGGTATTCCCATCGATTTCTCGTCTCTCGGCCCCCACTCTCCGTAACTGATGTAGTAGATGGCTTTTTTCTCGTCCTGGGTCAGATAGGTCCATGCAAACTCCTGCTTGACCTTGAGATAGTTAATGATGTCCTGCTGAGCGTCTCCCGCAAGTTTGTTCCACCGAGCTGGAAGATTACTCACGTCCATCATATATTCTTCTTCAACCTCCGACGAGAGCCCTCTCCGGCCAATGAGGGCAATATGTGTGCAGCCAGATTGGCGAAACGTCGAGCGGCTGAGCGACAGACCCGTCCGCGGCACAGTTTTCAGCCTCCAAAGCGAACTAGACATGGTGAAGAATAATAATTTACTGATTTATTTTTCAGGTGTCAGGTGTTACTGTTTGAAGACAGCAGGAACTCGTTGCAAGGGTATCTGAAGACTGTGCGGAGCAGACTGGCAGGGAATAAGGTAATGGAGCAACCAGTTTCAGGGTGTTGGCTTGGTGTTAATGCGTTGATATTTCTTGCGGTGCCAAGGAACTAGATTGGTCTTGCTACCATCGACCAATGACAACTCTATGAGTACAGGTGAGGGAGCTAACCGCTAGCACGACCGACGGCGCTGCTCATTATTATTCTTTGGGTTTCCGCCTTTTGCTCCATAAACATAACTCGTTAGACAACTAGTGTAAATAATATATATGAAGTAAATAGCTACAAGGCATTCAACACGTCCAGCGACGTGGTTGGCCAATAAAGTAACGTCTCTGGGTTCCGTTATTGGCTGGGCCTATAGTATACCACTTTCCATTGTCCGTGACCGGAACCGCTCTACTCAAGGCGTTTGTCAATTTGGTTCTGGTGGGGAAAGATCACTTGCGAGTAGTGAACTCCGCGAGGGAACGACTTTGGGGACTTGGCATTTGGATACAGGTCGCTCAGTTTTGCGTCGGGCAGTTTCGTGGAGTTGCGCACCTCATTCCCTTCATTGTCGATCGAGTTGCACAAAGAGCCGTTTTTGAAGTTGAGTCCGTTCGAGGTCAGGGCAGGATCGCTGACCTGAATTTTGACCGATTTGAAAGGGTCCTCGTCATTAACGTTGAGCGTTGTGAAGTTTGCAAACGTGGCAAACTTGCGAAATTGCGGTTGTAGGAGCGAGCTGTCAATGTCTCTTTTTGGGATCCGAGTGTTTGTGCTAAACAGATCGTTAAGGTTGAGCCTGGAGTTAGCGAATGCAGGTAAAACGTCGATGGATCGTCCGTCTTGATTGATTTTGGTGCAGGTGTTTGTGTTCATGTCTTTCACGGAGCAAAATGCAGAGTGTGACAGGTCAAATGATCCAACAAACTTGATCCATCCCCGCGCAAAAATGTCAAATAGGGTGGACTTTGAATTTTTCTGGCTCTCGGCAAACACCATAATAAACACAGGAGACTTGATGTCCAGCTTGGAGTCTCCGTTGTAGTAGAGGAGTCCGTTGTTCGACTCTTTCCTAACACTGGTGATGAAACTGCCAAAATCTTTTTTGGCGCTCAAGTATTTGAACGGTAGCAGCAGACTGTAGTCCACCAGTTGGTAGCTCTTATTAATGTCAAACGGAACAGATAGCTTCATGGTCGAGATGGACGAGGGACCAACGCTGGACTGAGTATTAAACAAGAACAATGCCTTTGTATCTGGAGGCAGCACAATTGGGTCCTTGGCCGAGTCTCCACTCAACCCAGAAAGATCAAAGCTTTTAGCTGTTTGGGCCATCTTCTTGAGGCCTAGTTTGTTCCATTTATTAATGTCCATTGTTTCCTTTGTGATGAGCACTCCACTGGACTTAAGCTTATCCAGGGTAGACGAGTACTGACTCATTTCCTGGTCGTAAATGTTCTTGTTGGGAAAGTCTGGCTGGACATCGGCGAGTTTCGGGGTAGCTTCTGAAACTCGCGGAGACGAGGGCTTGTCGGGGAGTCTGGCTTTTTTCAACGGCAGAACGGTTCCACTGCTAAATGCTGCTAAAAGCAACAAACAAACGAGTCTCAGCAGACACTTCATTATTCCAAGGAGAAATAGACGTTTAAAAAAGGATCAATACCGATCCCCAAAACTTGTGCGCGGTAGAAAAAATTAGGCGCCCGGTGGTGGGTGGGTGGGTGGTGGAAAAGTGGAAAAAAGTTGGAAATATTTCATTAGATACAATATGGTGGGAATCTGGAGATCCAGTTTGCGCCAGACAGGACGTCTTTCAAGACAATTCGGCACGAGCCGTGCTGTCCGGGACGACCAAATGACCCACTTTGGTTTTAAGACGGTGCCTCAGGACCAAAAGGAGTCGCTAGTGAGAGGAGTGTTTTCTTCTGTTGCCTCGAAATACGACGTGATGAACGACGTGATGTCGCTCGGTATCCACAGACTGTGGAAAAAACATCTGATTGAGAAATTGGACTGCGGAATGAGACCAAACTCCTCAGACCCGCTCCATTTCCTTGACGTGGCCGGTGGAACAGGCGATATTGCGTTTGGGTTGCTGGACCACGCCAAACAGAAGTACGGAGACAACGAGTCCACCATGGTCGTTGCCGACATCAACCCAGAGATGCTGGCCGAGGGAGCAAAGAGATGTCTGTCTACAAGCTATGCTAACTCGCCAAGAATCCAATTCCTAGAACAAAACGGTGAAAAGCTCGACGCTATCGAGGACAACTCCAAGGACGTTTACACCATCGCTTTTGGTATCAGAAACTTCACCAACATCCAGGCCGGTCTTGACACCGCCTACCGTGTTCTCAAGCCGGGAGGAATCTTTGCATGCCTGGAATTCTCCCAGGTTGACAACCAGGCGCTCGACTACATCTACCAAACCTACTCGTTTTCGCTGCTACCTTTAATGGGCCAACTGATCGCTAACGATAGAGACTCGTACCAGTACCTCGTCGAGAGTATCCAGAGATTCCCTAACCAAGAAACGTTTGCCAACATGATCAGAAAGGCCGGTTTCTACGTGCCAGGCAAGGGATACGAGAACCTCACTTTCGGAGTGGCTGCCATCCATATTGGTGTCAAGTTGTAAAAAAGCGAGGCCCAGACACCCCAGTGCTCGTAACCACAAACAGTATATAAAGAGAAAAAATTGCAAACATAGAAAGTATCCTTATGCAAGGGCATTACGTGTATCAGTGAGGATTCGTCCGAGATCATGTTTTTGCTGGTTGAAAACTATCAACTGACCGCTCTCTAATGGACGGAACCTTGTTCTGACCGCTAGAGGAATTTTTGGAACCTGTTTCATTGTTCGAATATTGCATGCAAATTCGATTCGCCAATGTATTAATTAATTATTCACCGTATATGCCTCTCTATTTTGCTGTGATTGCTCATACCGCAACCAGTTTTGAAGGCAGTTCTGGTTTCGCACGCTCTTTTCGGCAAAGTACCCTGGTGGGTCTCTTGAGTAGTGACACTTATCGTTGAGCGGCCGGTGATGATAAGGAGACTGCGAGAACCCGATGTCTCTGAACCACCAGAGTTTGTTCTTGTCTGTGAACAGTCCAAGGGCGATACTGTGAACTGGCGCTTCTCCCCATCTTTCATAATAGAACCCGCCAGCGCTGTCGAGGTGCTGGAAAAATTGGTTGTAGGCCTTGGATCTGAAAAAGTCCATGTTACCAATCTCGAAAGCCGACCAAAAGTGGCATGTGGAGTAGCCGTGGGCGATTTCAGTGTAGGCTGGATTCTGGATCGACTCGGTCAGCCAATTGAACGAGGCGTTCTGGCTGATGTAGTTTGGATGCTTTTGCACAAACTCCAGAGCCGTGGGCCACAAGGTCTCGATGGTGTACGGGTTGTCGTACAGAGATATGGCGAACCCGTAAGTGAGGTCGTTCTGTTCCATGAACTTGAACACATCGTAGTTGACCTCGCAATGATACTGACTGCCCGGCTCGAGATTCCAGTAGTACTTGAAGTTTTTCAGAGACTCGGCTTTGTAAAAGTAGCCCGCTTTGAATCTCATCTTGTGGTGATAATTGAGATCGTCTGCGTATCTAACACCGTTCAAGTTCAATTTCTCGACCCCTTGCTTCTGTTTGGCAGGGTCAATGTTGGACGGGGTGGACCAGACCGATTCCGGGATCTGTTCGAAAAACACCTCTCCAGAACAAATTTGTTTCACCCTGGATTGGAAGTCCTCGGTAAGCGAATCCGGGCTTAGGAAGACATACGGATAGTGGTAATTTTTGTTCCACAGCTTCTCAACGTCGGAAAGAGTAGCTAGCAGCGGCTCCAGGTCGTCGTTGGTGATAATGGACAAAAGGGTGGCGTTGGTCCGGATATAAGGTTCGTTTTCCTCCTTCACAGTGACCATCATGTTTTGTGGCTCGGAGGGAACTTTTTCCCGGAAAAGCGTCTGGTAGTACTTGTAGGAGTCCTTACGGACGAAATCAGTCGGTGCGGTCTGCTCGTACACCGACGAGCGGAAGATCAACGCTTGTGAGACCTCCTCCCAAGTCCATGGGCTGTTGCGAGCATGGTAAAAGAAAGAGGAAAGCACCGGTTTCTGGATCTTATACATAAGCACCTCGCGATCAGGGGAGCCCTGGCTCAACATTGCTCCAACGAGCAAGTAAACGAATACGAGCGCAAAGATGCCCACTCGTAGAACCCGTTTAGGAATATGTATCATTGGAAGGAAGAAATTAACAAGTATGTACAAGATTTAAATTATAGGGAAGTTGGGCTGTATTGGGAGAGAGAAGCGGCTCATAATGCTGCGTAAAGACAATGGAAGAATTCATCGAATAAAAATTATTTCATCTGTCTATATGAAATTTAGCGGTCCAACATGATGTCCTCCTAATTAGCTTGAAACAGGCCATGTAGTCCAAAATCAGCTTCCAATCGCGGGGCCAGAATCTTTTCTTGGAAATCCCAAATGCCACATTTTGCAACATGGAAATCATCTGATCCAGGCCGATCTTTTTATGCCATGCCCGGATTTGGGTATTGTTATTTTTTTGCTTCACTTACAGGGCTCGTAATTAATGTATATGTCTCTTATCAGAGTCTATAAATTCTCAAGATTGACCGTCCTGCATTTAGGTGGACTGAATCTTTTGTCTTTTGTTACTCCAATTAGTCAGGGACAAGGACCGAGCATAGTAGAACTTCTCATATCCCGTACGCTCGTCGTTGTCATCATAATCGTCCCTCTCTGCATTTTCTGGACCGTTGAAAGTAATGCGCGGCATCACCAAGATGTCGTCCACTTGGGTTGGAGCAATGGCCCCGCTGAACGATCTGTACGAGAATCTTTGTCCCTCCGGAACTTCTGGACCCACAATAGGCTTGAGGTCCTTGTCCCTCTCGTTTTTGGCCACTCTAATGAACACAGCATCCTTCAACTCGTTCATGTACTCAAACAGCGTGTCGGTGAAGATCGATGGACCGGTGAACTGGATCAGAGGCTCGCCGTTGGCGTCGACGTTGTCAAACACCTCGTCCCAGTTGGTCTCCTTCACTAGGTCCTGCTGAGTGAAACAGATGTATGTGATTCTGGCAATCAATTTTGCAAGGAATGGATGGTGCGACTTGGCACGGAACAAACTGGTCGAGAACGAAAGACGTCTGTTGTACAGCTTTTCCCAGTTCAGGTCGTTGTAGTCGGCTGTAACTCCGACCATCAGCTTTCCACCAAGAACCTTGGACTCGTGCCAGTATCTCAAAGGCTTAATGTCGGTGGTGTCAATGTCCGCGTAAAGACCACCCTTGATGTAGACAAGCAGGTACTTCAAAAACTCGTATTTCAAACGGTCGTGGGGCAAGAATCTCAGAGCATCAACAACCTCCGGCACACTTGGTCTTAGATAGTCCACAACAGTCTCCTCGGCATCAGCCAAAGAGATGAGGTTGTGGTTGTAGTTGTCGTTCACGTTTCTCCATCTCTCGATGTGAGACTTGCACTCGTCTGGAAAGTCCTTGTCGTCCGAACGAACGGTCCACAGCTGCCAGATGTGGTTTTCCATCTCCTCTGCTGGGTTGAACGCGAAGTTACTATTGAGTCTGGCCTCGATCGTGTACATGTCCTTGACATTTTTCTTTGGTGGCTTTTGGATGGCCGTGGTCACATTATGAGTGGCTGAACCGACGTCCTTGGTGTAGATTTGACTCAAACTGAACGTCGGAGGAGAGCTTGTGTTGGAAACAAGCAGATTCAAAATTAAAAACACGGATAACGTGGACAGAGCCAAGTACTTGTAGTTCTTCCAGAACTTGCTGATAGCGCCGCCCACAGCGTTGCTGCCAGCCGCAGCACCCGCACCGTCTAGTCTCTTATACATGGCGTGAAGTTCCAAGTATAAAGGTGGTTAAAAGGAGTTTTTGATGCAATACTGAAATGCCAACAAGACGGATTTTTTTTCTTGCCTGTTCGTTGTTCATCTTTGCACCGGTTTTTGTGCGCAAGTATTGGAGAGAGAGAGGCCGGAAACGCAAAAAATGAAACAGAACACGCTGGCTTACAGAAACCGGTTCGCGCCACGTGTAAAAAAACAAAAAACCCGTTCAGGGACCAGGATAACCGGTTCGAAACCATCACGCAGCCGGTTTGGATCCGCACTAATTTTCATAATCGGGCCCTAGTTTCCGCTCTACATTTCCCTTTACGGACACAGGTCAGACGAAAAAATACAAGGGCAGTAATGGATTGTCTGTCGGTGGCTGGTGTGCTTGTGGCTAAAGTGAAGAAAAAAACTGCAAACATAATACCTGTTTCTTTAACAAATCCGCCAGCTAACACAGTGCTGTCTATTCCCCGGCCTGTGTTTGTTGATATAATTTGAGCTTGATTGTGCATACCCGGTACTTGCTATTTTAATACAGGAACCTAATAGTCGCGTTTCCGCTCTTTAGACTGCAAATTTCACCACACAAAGCTTAAATAAGGGAATCTCATCCACCGCGTTGAACACCTCATCCACTTTAATGTTTTTTGCTAGGAATAAGAGGGCCAAGACCCTCATCCTGACGGTGGTAGTGATTTGCATTGTGCTGTTTTTCTCCACCTCCACAGGCTCTCAGCATTTGTCCAAGCTGAAGCTCCCTAACTCGGCCTCTTACTCTATCTATGGCACCTCAAAAACCACAGACGGGACTGCAGAGTCGCCACTTCCAAGCTCATCGCTCGAAGATGCTGAAAACTTGAAGAAGCTTTACTTCAACCCTTCGCAAGAAGGCACCATTGATGGCGGATCAACTGGTAACACAAAAGGCTCTAAAATTTCCTCGATCGACGAATCCAAGGGCCAGAGAACAGACGATAGATCTTTCCCTCTCACAGGCAACCAATCGCCAACGGAGGACTCTCTTAACAAGATTACTCCTGAAGATATCATCAGAGGAGATATCACGTTCCAAAACTACTTTATCGAGATTTTCGAAACCATGAAGAAAAACTCTTTGAGCTATCCTCTGGCTGAAAGACAGGTTCTGAAAGATGGAAAGCCTTTCATTGAGAACGTCTTGTTTTACGCTCAGACCTGGGACAGACTCAGTGAGCACGACTGTTCTGGCTTCCTCAATTTCCCTGCCCAGTTTGTGAACGACTTGACCCTCAAGCACGAGACTGTTGTCAGCAGCTTGCCGAACACCGCCCCAAAATTCTATAAAGGCAGTGGTTACGTCATTGTTGGTGGTGGCAAGTACTCCTGGTTTGCGCTGCTTGGTATCGAGACTCTGAGAAAAGTTGGATCCACTCTGCCTGTTGAGGTGATTTTACCGTTCGACTCTGATTACGAGTTCGAGTACTGTGACCAGATTTTGCCTGCCTTGAACGCAAGGTGTGTGGAGATGACGAGAGTGTTTGGAAAGGAAACTTTAAAGAAGTTCGAGGTCAACGGGTACCAGTTCAAGCCGTTTGCGCTTTTTGCATCTTCTTTTGAGAACGCCTTTTTCTTGGACTCTGACGCTTACCCTGTTGGAAACCCAGACGTTCTGTTCCAATCGGACCTGTACAAGGAGTACCAGATGATCACGTGGCCAGATTTCTGGAGACGTACCACTTCTCCATACTTCTACCAAATCACTGGCCAGGAAGTTGGTCCAAAACAGGTCAGACACATCAACGACGTGTTTACCGATCCAAAGTACTATCAGAGCGAGGACAACGCTGATCCATACAACAACATTCCGTTCCATGATAGAGAGGGAACCATTCCTGACTGGACAACCGAGGCTGGAGAGATGTTGATCAACAAGACCCTGCATTTCAAAACTTTATTACTCGCTCTTTATTACAACTTCGACGGTCCTTATGGATACTATCCTCTTCTTTCGCAGGGAGGAGCCGGAGAAGGTGACAAGGAGACGTTTGTGGCTGCAGCCCACTATTACGGACTGAAGTACTACCAAGTCTACAAGATGCCTGACAGAGCGTACGGATGGTTCAACCACGAACAGAACTACGAGCACTCCAGTATTGTTCAGTACGACCCGTTGACCGATTTCAAGAACTTACAAGACGTCAAGGAGAACATCCGCCGTGCCATCGAGGAGGAAGGTGAGTCGTTCCACTACGAGTATGATCGCTTTTTCCACAACTACTTCCTCCCGTCGAACTCTAAAGTTCTATTTTATCACGTGCATGATCCAAAGATGGATCCATTTAATATCGTCGATAACAGATTCACATTCGACCTGGATGGTAACCGGATCAGAAACCTTGGTGAGGACTTCCCTAACTTCGACTTCGACTTGGAGAACTTTATCTGGAACGTCATCAACCACTACGTGTGCGAGAAACGGATCAATTTCAAGCATTTTGAGAATGCCAATTGGAATTCCCTGTGTGACGGGTTCATCCAGGATCAGCTCTCCTTCTTGTCCGAGTCTTCTGCACGGATTTTCCGCGATCATAACAAGACTCCGCCTGCCGAAGCAGAAAAGACCGTCGAGGAGCCTGCCAAGGTTGAGCCTGCGGAGAAGGTCGAGACTCCAGAAGATGTTGCTGTCGAGTAATCATAGACTATTAAGGGTAGAATACTAATAATTTGTAAAGTAATAATTTTTTTCGTATTTTCCACGCGTCGCGTTATGGAGGTGAGCAAGCTCGAGCGGTATGTGTACGGCTTAAAGAAGGAGATTAAGCGCTGGGAACATAGTTTTCAGTCGCAGAATGGGAAAACCCCCACTACAGAGGTGATCAAGTCGAACCCTGCCATTTCCGCGCGGTACAAGAAGTACAACAAGTATAAGAAGATTCTTACAAAGCTGCAGTCTGGCGTGCTGACGGTGGAGCAATGGAAACAGCAGGAACAGCCAGAGACTAAGAAAGAGCCGAACAGTGCGGCAGTGCCCCATTCGCCCCCGCTGTCGTCTCCTGACAGCGAGAGAGAGATCGGGCCCACACCGCAGCTCGATGGCCGAGTTTTGGGTATATTTGACATCGAGATCAAAGAGTCCCCCACCAAACAAACCCCCACCAAACAGCAAGTTCCATTTGTCAGGGTGGAGAGCCCCGATACGTTCAAAACCCCCACCAAACCAGTCGAGCGGAAGCTACTTTTTGGCGAGACTCCACGAACACAAAGACGAGCCACCGTGGAGGAGACCCCACAATACCTGCGCACAGAGTCGTATAACTCGGGCGAGATGCTGTTTGGGTTTTCCACTCCCGAGAAACGTCCCGCAGACCAGAACGATATTTCGCCGAGCAAAGTCGTTGAACCTAGTCCGGTAATTCGCCGGTTGGGTAGCCGGTCGCTCTATGAGCTGAACCAGGAGGCATTGGAGCTACAACGGCAGCACACTGTAGAGATCGAGGAAGAGGATCCTGAAGACGCCACCGAAGAAGTTCAGGAGCCCGAGGAGGCGGTGCTTGTGCGCAAAAAGACCGCCAAACGGACAACCAGACGCGTCAAGCTCAAGACGCTTGGCCCCGAAAATACAGAAGACGAGCTGGGCTCTGTCGACCTCCAATTTGAGATTAAGCGGCTGCGCGAGCACAAAGATGATCGGGTCAGCGAATCTGAGTCAAGTGAGGAAGAGGAGGAAGAGGAAGAAGAGGATTATATCCGCAAGAAAGTTCAACCCACCGACAAGAAGTCTACTGGAAAACATCCGCTGTCTAACAACTTTGTGCGCATGAAAATCCACCGCAAAAACAGAGGCCGTTTCAGACGAAGATAGTAAGATACATTATGAATTGATGACGAATCTATATGTTAACTTTAAGCAGCCAGGAGCTGGAGCATTCCGCCGATTTTGTATGCCTCCTCGCACTTGAGGATCTCCTGCTCCACACGCTTCTGGAGTCCCCACACGAGTTCCTCCAGAACGGGCTGTTTCTCAATCAGGTCGCCGTACATCTCCAGTATGCAAGTGAGATAGTCTGCAATGACACTGACGTTTCTGGAATCGGTGATATTCTTGAAGCACCAGGTGAGCAGTGGCTCCAAAGTAGCCTCGTCTCTGTCTCCAAGAGCAATTCTCACTTTACCGCGCTTTCTCAGTTCCTCCATACAGGACAGTGTAGACTCCTTGGACATTCCAGACACAAGAGCATGGTCCAAGGCCTCGGACCACTTGAAGTTGTTGAGATCTTTTTCGAACTGCTTCAGTTTCTTGGAACTGGCGTTGCTATCGTCCACGACGCGGAACTCGCTCTCGCCGTGGTACTCGGAGCCGCGCATCATCCGCGCAAAAGCGGCAGACTTGACCTGCTTCACGCCCTGTTGCACCTTTGGCTCTGTCTTTCTGGTTCTAATGGTGAGCAGACCAGAGTTCAGTCCCACCACCAGATGTTTGTGATTAGGCGACACACCGCAACTCAGGACCCCGCTACCAAACTTCCAGCCAAACTTGACATCCCAGTTCACCGACTGCGAGTCAAACACCTTCAAATGTCCGTCGATCGAACCGGCCAGCACTCCGCGCTCGCCAGCGTCAGAGAGGCACGTGACCGTCTTGCTGAAGTTGGCAAGGCTCCGTGTGTTCTTGCCCGCGGTTAAATCCCAGGTCTTGACGCTGTAGCCACCGCAGGACACCAGACTAGTTGGATTCAGCGACAAAACGTCCTCAACGGGGTCCTGGTGGTCGAATTTGATGATCGGCTGCGATCCGACTCTCGCGTCAAAGATCCGCACATAGTCGTCGTAACATCCCGTCACTATTAAATTTGTCGACACTCCGTTGATGAACTGCGCACTCCGCACATAGTCCTCGTGGTCCCCAAAGCTCACAATCGGCCGCTGGGTGTCGGCAATGTCGTACAATCTGGCGATTCTGTCGTCAGAACAGGTGAGCAGCTGTGTGGTGTTTCCTGGACTGAATTTCGTCACGTGGGTCGGATGGCTTGATGGTGAAAGCGAAACAAGCAACGTACGAGGGTGCAGCGCATCGAAGATCTGCACCAAACCAGAAGCGTCTCCGGCTACCAGCAATTTTCCGTCGTGTCTGAACTCTCCCGAGTAGACTGTATCTTTAAATCTCGAAAACGTCTTCGACACTTTGCGGGTCTTCGAAGAGAACACCTGCACTCTTGTGGAGGACGTAACTGCAAAATCGTGCGAAGGGTTTGGATCAAAATGGATGTGAGTAACAGAGTTGTGCTCCTTCACAAGCTGCGAGCTCGTAAATCCCCGCCAGTATCGTTGTTCGGGAGTGGTCTGTGCGGGTAGCGTGGCATGGCGCACATGTGGCACACGTTCCAGCGAAGACGACATGGTTTTTAAGGACTAGATATTTTTCCAAATTATTTTTCAAATTTTTTTATAGCCCTATATACAAAGTGGTAAGCTGACATAAGCGCTTACGTGCTGAGTTTATTGAGTTGGGCCAGTTGGTGATCAATGTCGGCGAGGTAGTCGTCCACGTCGTACTTGAGGGCAAGAACCCGCGCACGAAGAAAGAATTTCTTGCTCTCCTCGTAGTCCTTTTTTCTGAGCATGTGCATGGCCAGGCCGCACGAGGAGATCATCTCTGCCAGATGCATGCCCACGGTGACGAATTCTGGCAAGTCTGTTTCTGTTCCAAACGAGGCCGATCTGATCATGCTTGTCAGCTCGAGCACCTGTTCGAACGAGGCCTCCGATTCCGTGTAGGCAGAGTCGCGCATTCTGATGAATGCGTTGCCAAATTCGTCTGGAGAGGAGCCGTTCTTGGTTTTAAAGCCAAGTCGACTTAGCTCTTGGAAAATCACCTTTTCATCAGTGTCTCCAAGCATTTTTGCCTGTTTGGCGTACTGTTCACTGAGCAAGTAGAAAACAACGCCCATTTTCGTCAAAGTGAGCGACAACTTCCCCGGCTCGTCGATGGAACTCTGCATGAGAAGCAAGTTTGTGCGCAGATAAAAGGCAGCCTCTTGCAAGCTTCCTTCGGAAATGCAAATGTCTGCACATAAATCTCTCAAAGAAACGAGTTCCTTAACAAACGGAAGCCATGCGTCACCAGCCGTTATCAAGAGTTTGAGTTCTTTGGGAATTTTGCTCATCTCCGGACCAGGCTGAGGAGCAAGTTGCACAACCATGCCGTCCTTGACAAGATTTCTAACTTGTGGAGGCAGTTTTGCGAACTTGTCGTCGCCTGCAGTGATGAAATCCACAACGCTTCTGTTCAGTTGGTCGTACAACAGAACAAGGAACGGTGGATAATGTTCTATGATCCGTCTTTCGGCAATGAGAATGTTGTCCAGAAGCAGTTGTTTGATTTCCTGACGTTCAGACGGTTTGAGCAAATTGCAATATCTCATGGAAACGACCAGTGACTGTTGGATCAACATGTCGCGCTTTTTCTGTGATAGCTTGACTTCCGGGTTGCCGATCTGGGACAGCAAGAACTCGCTGAGGTCTTTGTAAATTGCCAGGGCATGGTCGAAATCATCCAATTTTTCATACATTTCCGCAACTTTCAAAACTGCTCCCGTGTAGTGTTGATCTAGCTGAGAAGTGCCCTCCTTGTCGGCCACTGAAAGACACTTGCTGTATAGTTTGAGTGCCTTAGCGAAGTTTCCCTCGTTTTCTGCGGTTAGGGCTTCGGTTAGAACGGCCTCGAACCCAGCACTGTATGTTGTGTCCTCGTATTCCTCGTACAACAGGAACCCACGATACACAAGCCATGAAAGTAAACCGATGGTTATCACAGAAGTGAGTGGAGATCGTTCACGAGGCTCGTTGGGCGTCTGGGGAACGGGGGACGGAGTGAACGGTGGTCGATACGCAGACTGGGGAGGCGGCCTATTTGGGTCCTGGAATTGGTTCAATGACGGGTTTTTGCTGATATCCTGTTGCGAAATTAGCCGGGAGTGCAAAAGAGGCGCCCAATTGCGCAAACTGGGCGCTCGCAACGATTTCCTAATGGGTCCTCTAAAGAGCATCAAACAAGAAAAATGGAGAAAATAAATTCTCTTTGCAATGTGCGGGAGATATTCCATGTCGTACGGGCCCGGGGAATTACCCGTGATGTTTGGGCACCAGGGACTTCAGGTGGATAGAGTGGAGGGTGCTGACGGCTGGTCGAATAAGCGGTACAACGTTGGCCCACAGAACGTGGAGCCAGTGTATTTCTTCTCGGTGGAGCACGCTGAGCACACTCATTTGCTTCGGTACATGAAGTGGGGGGTGACACCGAAATGGGCGTCGAAAACAACCCGACTATCCACTTTCAACGCACGCTATGAGGGGATCAAGGAAAGCAAATTATGGACCGGCTGTGTGGGGCACCGCTGCGCGGTTCCGATCGAAGGCTACTTTGAGTGGAAGACAGAACCATCAAAAGCGAAGCAGCCGTGGTTTATTCGCCGCAAGGACAAGGAATTGATGTTTCTTGCTGGCTTGTACAACGTCACTCCAGAGGGCAACTACGAGTTTACAATCATCACCTGGGAGGCCCCGAAGCAGCTGGAGTGGTTGCATCCACGAATGCCTGTGGTACTCACTCCGGGCACCAAGGAGTTTGATAGCTGGCTGGGTACTAGGAGTTCCGACTGGGATGAGGTGAAGAAGTTGCTGAACATCTACAACGACGACCAGCTGGAATGGTTCAAGGTGAAGAAAGAGGTTGGTAACGTGCACAACGACGGTAAACAGTACGTCGAGCCTTTGAAGGAATTGCAGGGGCTAGGAAACTGGCTCAAACAGGATAAGGCTGGGGATGAGAAGATTGTAAAGAAAGAGGAGGATGCAGAGGTTTCAACCAAGAAGGAAGATCCCGAGCTGGCTCTCGACAACGAGAACAGAACGGGCTCTTTCGCCAACATTAAGCAGGAATCGACCCCACCACGTAAACGCCCTCACAGCTCGCCGGAGTCCCCCACCACCCCCTCCAAACGCCAAAGTACGCTCACAAATTTCTTACGCAAATAATATCAGTCTACAAACCTATGCTATGTCTATCCTTCCAAAACAGAAGGAGAATTCCACCCTCGTAGAAGATTACACGCGCAACTGCGCTGATGACAAAACTGAGCCACTGCGAGTCGTGGTTTGTCATGATTCCCGTGGCTATTGGAGCAATCACTTGCCCGAATGTGCGCAGCGAGTTCTGCAACGCCAGCGCAGCCGACCGTTCGTGGTTCTCGGTAATTGCGCTCAAAAAAACAAACTTGGACCCCATGTCCATGCTGCTGAACGTACTTCTGAACACCAGAAATATAAGCATCACCCATAGATTAGGAGCAAACGGAATCAGGCACACAAACACAGAGCATGGGAAGTGTGTAAAGAGCATTGTTTTGATTGGGCCATACCGCTTGCAACAAACATTACCAACCAAACTCATCACAGCTGACACGCACCGCGTGAACAGGAAAATATTACCAACTGTCTTGGTGTCTGTCTGGAATCGCTGAACAATGTAGTAAGCAATCCAGGAGTCGATAACGATCGACTTACACAGAGCGTCGATAAAGTACAATATGACAACCTGCAAGATGCGCACAAATCTTGGCGACTGCATTAGCTGGAACGTAGTTGTTGGTTTAGGTTCGTCGATTTCGAACTCCGAGTCTGCTGTTTTTGGTCGTTCAATCTCTTCCTTCACGAGTTCGATTTCCTGACTGTATTGCCGACAGGTTGCGAGCATCAAAAGCGTCAGCAGAATCATCACAAAGAAGACGCTCTTGTACGCCTGTAGGTCTGACCACTGGAACTTGTTCTGCAATGCCCAGATGAGAGCACCGTTAAATCCACTGCCCAGAGCAGTTAATAGATTGCCCGTGAGAGCGTACCAGGTGAAATAATCGGACCTGGCAGAAATCTGACCCAACTGTGCAATTATGGTTTGCTCACACGGTCTAAAGATCGATATCTCCAAACCCCCCACAGAGAAGATGCCACAGAAAACGGCTACCCACAGAGCCGGCTTGTACGTGGTGAGCAAGAACACAAAGTTGGTGGCCATCATCCCCAAATAGCAGCGAAACATCATTTTCTGACGCCCGTAGTGGTCCATATAAAACCCCAAGTATGATGTCTTGAGCAGATCACCTAGCATCCCGACCGAGATGAATATTCCAATGGAACTGGGGTCAAATCCGACGGTTTTCAAGTACAGGGCTAGCATGAAGTTGACACCGCCGTAACTGAACGACCGCAGTAGCTTTGAGATAAATACCAGCCGGATATCCCTGGGCGACTGCACAATCGTCCAGAACCCTATCTCGTCTAGCAAGTCGGTCAAATTCATTTGATTTTTAAGTCTTGGCAAGTCGGGAAAATTTTAAATTGCCGGCTTATCTGACAAATCGTTGCATCTGCCATGAGTTAGTCACTGCTCGGCAATTTCACTCCCTCTATATGCTTAGATATCCTCATCCAGTTACATCCTATTAACGTTAAGTACTTAGTTTTTTTCAAAGACCTCGAGAGACTCTTGCTCTGCTAGCTCGCGCTCTTTTCTCTCGATGTACTTGGCCGTATCTCTTTTGGTCAAGTAAATCTCAGCAATTGGTAAGATAAGCATCAAGAAGGCGGCGATCGTAGAAATGATGAATCCTAAACGGAATTTTGGAGCATGGCTCGTTGGGTAAAACACAATGTTGGTCCAGATATTGATGGCCTGCGAAACAGCGTCGGAATAGCCAATCACAAACGCACGGCCACGACTATCGTGACGACACACTCTGTTGATCCATCCAGACACAATGGCCTGGTTAACCACGTCCAAACCGATCGCAAGCATACACACCCACTTCCACCCCCAGGCAATGTCCCAGGCAGCGAGCGATGAGTAGGCAATAATAAAACAGATCTGCGTAAATGCCAAAAATGGATAAATAGAAAATGAGTCGGACAGTCCTGCCAAGAAAAATTGAGCAACCACCCCCACTGCAGATTGGATTGTTGGGTAATTATTAACGTCCCCCTGCGTGAATCTGTGGTTAGTTTTCTGCTCGTATTTGAGCCACAATGGCATGGCTGTTCCGTCAGGCAGGGCCACGATGTTGAGCAGCACCCAGAAAGTGGCAAAGAAGTGGATAGGCCAGTTAAACCAGGTCTTCTTGACGATAGCCCAGTCGTACTGTCTGGATCCATCGATACCGGATCTGATCTGGCGATCAACAGCAAGCTCGTAATCGTCCTGGTTCATCCACCAAATTGGCTTGGTTTTCTTCTGCGACTTGGCCTGCAGCGGACCTGGGAAAAATGCGAATCCGAAAAAGGCCACAGGCACAGTGACAATTCCGTCAATGATGAATCCCCACTTCCATCCACTGAGACCTCCCTTACCGCTCAAGTTGTTGTAGGCCGCGGTTTGCAGATATCCAGAAAACATACCACCCAAACTCGATGAAACAGAAAACGCCATGACTCTCCGGAAAACCTCGTCTCTTGTGTACCAACTTCCCAAGATGTAGACAGACGATGGGAATGCGATTCCCTCGCAGAATCCAATCAGGAAACGCAGACAGAAGATGTGCTTTGGCTGAGAAACGGCTGCACCACAGAAAGTAAGAACACCCCACACCAGCTCAAAGGAGGGTAGCAAGAATCTTGCCCAAGATTGAGTCACAAGCAAGGTACCCACCGCCATCGAGACAATGTAGCCCGCGGAGTATAACGACTTGGCGTAGGAAAGATCATCTCCGCCAAAGTTAATGTCCTCTTTCATTCCTGTTGTGTAGGCATTTGTAATGTTGCTCTTATCAAGGGCCTTGGTGAAATATGAAACACAGGTGTAAACCAGCAAACAGGTGTCTAGTTTGGTCAGGAACTTACGTTCTCTGGAGTCGTAGATGTCGCCTGGGTACCAGTAGAAGAGTCTGATGAAGGCGTCATACCAGTGCTTGACTCTGACTTTTTCTTCGTCGCGGATAAGCTCTTCAACCTCAACTCTGGTGCTATCGGCCTTGGATCTGTGAATGTCCACAGCAGTGTCTTTGATCTCGTCCGACATACTTCAGGGTTCTGTTGCAGTCCTTGGAAAAGATGAACTTTTATACTTCTGCACTGATAGGAGCCACAATTTCCTAATCGCAGCATATTCTGGTGGTGCCGCACGAAAAATGCATGAAAAAGGAATAAGTCGTTTGACAGTGCTAAGAAACCTTGCAGATATAATAGCCGGAGCAAGATTTTGGTGCGGCGGAGATGCACGGGTGTTTTTTTAAAAAATACGAAATTTTTTAGCTAACAAATAGAAGGTGTTTTCGATGGATTCGTGGCTTGCACCTGCTGTTGTGGTTGCGATTATTTACCTGCTGTGTGGCGGCCGATGGACCTTTGTGCTCCTTGCGTCGGTTGCATATCTTTTGTCCTCGAAGCGGCACATAGAAGAGCCGGAGACCAAAGATGTTGCCGAATCAAGACCCTCAAAGACTCATGCCTGCAAATGCGGAGGGGGTGGATGTTGCCAATCTAAAAAACAGCCTTCGGCCGAGGAGCCACCGTCCGAGTATGAGATCGATTTCACTTACTCGTTCAAAGACACCGAGCCGGCGGTGGACCTGAAGCGTGCGCCAAAGATCATCCGTGCAAACAAGAGTGAGTCTAAACCCGTTTCTTCTCCGTTTCTAATTTTTTATTCGAGTCTGACAGGGTCTTCTAAGAGGGCCGCTGAAAAGGTGTGCGACGCGCTGCTCGCTGCTAGTAAACAGGCCCGGTTGCTGAATTTGGACGATGATGTTGACGATTTGGATTCTTTTTTCTTGAATGTCCCCACCGGACCCCCACCGAATTATATTTTAGTTCTTCCCTCTTACGATACAGACTCACCAATAGACTATTTCCTTGAGTTTTTGCAAGACACAGCCACGGATTTCCGGGTGGACAAGTTTCCACTGCGGAAGGTCGCCGGCTTCAGCGTTTTGGGAATCGGCGACTCAGAATCTTGGGCTTCCCACTTCTGCACCCAAGCCGTGGCTGCAGATAAGTGGCTTTCGAAACTCGGTGCTCGGAGAACTTTTCCTCTTGGAAAATTGTGCATTAAAAGAGACTTTGAGACCAAGTTGCAAACCTGGATCGATGGGCTGATTGATTCTATCGACCACCCTATCTTGGATGAGTCCAATAGTGACTCCTCGGACGATGAAACTCTTGTGGATGTTGAAGACTTGCTTCCAAAAACAGATACCAAAAAAATGGTGGCAGATGGCTCTCCAACATACAAGTCGCTCACCAAACAGGGCTACTCTGTCATTGGCTCCCATTCGGGAGTTAAGATTTGTCGTTGGACCAAGTCGGCTCTGCGTGGCCGTGGTTCTTGCTACAAGTTTGCCTTTTATGGTATCAAGTCTCATCTTTGCATGGAAACCACCCCATCTCTGTCGTGTTCGAACAAGTGTGTTTTCTGCTGGAGACATGGAACAAACCCTGTTGGAACCACTTGGAGATGGGAGGTTGACGAACCGGAAGTGATTGTGGAAGGAGCTCTACAGGCCCACTACAAGAAGATCAAGCAAATGAGAGGAGTTCCTGGAGTTTCTGCTGACAGATTTGCAGAAGCGTTCCAAGTCAGACATTGTGCCTTATCTTTGGTGGGGGAGCCAATTTTCTACCCCCACATCAACCGTTTCTTGAACCTTCTTCATGAAAAGTTAATCTCCTCCTTCTTGGTCTGCAATGCCCAGCACCCAGACCAGCTGGCCACTTTGAAAAAGGTTACTCAGTTGTACGTTTCTATTGATGCTCCTACGAAGGAGGAGCTTAAGGTTGTCGATAGACCACTGTACAGAGACTACTGGGAAAGACTGGAGAGATGTTTAGAAATTTTGAGGACGGTCCAGTCGCATCAAAGAACTGTTTATAGATTGACGCTCGTGAAGGGATTCAACATGAGCGACGCAACCGCATACGCTGATCTCGTTGCCAAGGGCGAGCCATGCTTGATTGAAGTGAAGGGAGCCACGTTTTGTGGTTCGAGTGCTGGGAACGGCAACCCGCTCACTATGCAAAATATTCCATTCTATGAAGAGTGTCAGAACTTTGTTCGCAAACTCACGGCAGAGCTCAAGTCAAGAGGGCTTGACTATGATCTTGCTGCCGAACATGCTCATTCATGTTGCATTTTGATTGCACACCGCAAATTCTTCATCAACGGCCAATGGCACACTCATATCGACTACCCGAAATTTTTCAAGTTGCTTGAGTCTGGCCAGTCATTTAATGCGTTGGACTACACTGCTCCTACCCCTGAGTGGGCGTACTGGGGTTCGTCTGAGGCTGGATTCAATCCAGAAGACACAAAGTTCAACCGCAAGCAGGAGAAGGAGAAACGTCAGCAGAATATGTAGTAATGCATTATAGCTCGTCATGAATAATTCCTCCCTTGAGAAGGTTTTCAATTTCTTGGTCGTAGGTGGTCCATTCGGGGATCTGGCGTCTAGCTCTGTCGAGTTTCGGCTCCTTGGTGAGCGGATTATTGCACAAATCTATGGTCTTTGCTTTCTTCAGACTCTCATCGTCGCACCATGTTTCGCACCACAACCATTCCTGTGGCAGCGAATGGATCGAAATCGTGTGTTGCAAGTTGTTTGGCAGATCCTGGTCCAAATTGCTGAGCGAGTTTGGATCCGCAGAGAGCGACTGGTAGTGCTGCCGCAAGCGGTCTCCAGCAGCAATCTCTCTGAATTTCTTCAGATCAACAACGTACAATGCACTGATATGGTATTTCAGCGTGTCGCCGAGCAATGTTTGCCAGTAACCCTGTTTCCAGAACCTGAAACCTTCCATTTCCTTACGAGAGTCGCACATAGGTGTGAAACCGTAGACCGACCCTTGCAAATCTATATCCACAAGCTCCTTCATGTCGGTTCTGACGATCTGGTCGGAATCGACAAAAATTACCTTGTCAAGAGTTTGTGGGAACAACACGTCCAGGAACAGGATCTTGTATCCCCAGATAGTTCTCTGTTTTTCTCTTTGACCACGTAACCATGTTGGCCATTTGTATGTGATGAACTCGTATTCGAACCCGTAATGCTTTGCCAATAGCGGAAGATGTTGCTTCAGCTTTGGGGACATGTAATTTTCGATCAACCAGAACTTGACGGTGTGCTTTGTGTGTGCCATCACCGAAGCGGTCATGATTCCAAGGAATCTTTCGTACAGGTGGCCGCTGGCAACGGTGAAAATGTTGATATCTGCATACTTTGGTTTGAAGAATGATTTGAGCGACTTGGATAAAGACGAAAATAGCGACGTGGAAACAGCTTTCTTCGTCATGATTGGATAAATCGTAGTGCCTGAGAGGTCAAAAATTGGGATTGGGTCCAGCTTGGCGTCACTTACCTTGGCTTTGAACTCGGTATCTATGCTCACGAGATCGTATTCAAGCTCTGGACTTTCCTGAGGTTGCAGAGTCCAAATTCCCGGATTGGCCTTCAGCTGGAAGTATCCCAAATTGGCCATCACATTGGTGTCCGTTCTGGTCTTCCCGTTCTGATCAACAAGTTCCAAAGCTAAACCAACAGGAGGAATGGACTGGGTGTCCAATCTGGCATGGCCTTGCACCAAAATAGACGTCAGCTCGTAAACACCGTGAACAGAGCCAGACAAATCGACTTTGATGTTATCCAAATCGGCATTTGCTTCTCTAATGGAAACCACCCAGGACGGCACAACGTCGACGTCTGCAGTGAACAACGTCTTCTCTGGAATGTTGTCAAACACCACCGAATAGTTTCTGACCTCGTTTCCTTCCGTATCAAAGACTACTTCCGATGGGTAAACTCCCTGGTATAATCTCTTGATGGTGTCCTCTGCGTCAGATGGTTTGTACCAAACACGGACCCGTACAAAGCTGAACTTTTCCAGCAAAGCACTAAGCCCAAGTAGCTGTTGAGCGTGTTCACTAGCTGGGTCCATCACCAAATCGACGTCAATATAGCCATCTCCAGATTCGAAAACAAACCCTGAAGACCCTATTGGATACCTTGGGAGCACAGGTGAGACAACAATGTTCCCCTCGTTCTCGTAAAAGGACGATGTAATCACCCAGGAGAGGTACTCGTAATCGTCTCGCGTTTCAATTGCAGAGAAACGGAGGTCCTGTTCTCTTTTCAACACAAGCTTGAGCTGGTCGGAGGTGATAATGCTGTGTTGGTCCAAGTCAAGCATGCGGCCGTTCAGAACAACATAAACGTCGTCCACGCTTTTTAATCCAAATGATTTCAACACCAGACTAGAAAGCTCCTGATCAATTGGCTGAACCGCAAATTGATTATCCAGAAAACTTGAAAGCTCTTCAACAGTGCTGAATCCATTCAGAGTAGCAGTATTGTTTTTACTAGTGACATCAATAATTCTTGTGCTGGTGCCACTCTTGAAAGCCTCCTTGACTTGCTCACGGAACTTGGAGCACGACAGCTGACCAATGATATTGAAAACAATGCCGTCACCGGGAGCCAGTTTCTGAAGCTCCCTAAATGTTCCCAAACTTGGAGCTGCGATGTATGCGGACTGTACGTCTGTAAATGATTCAGGAATAAGGAATGGATCCCGCTTTTTGATGGAATCTTTGCGCAAAAAGTCTTCAAACTTGATGTCCTCCGGGATTCTTCCCTGTCTGTGTTCTTTCTGCAAGAACTGCACATCGTTCAGAACTTGGTTGCTGACCAAATACTGCCATTTTTGATCAAACTCGTAGAAAACACCATTCACTATCAAGTACGGCTGTTCGTCAAGAGAGTACTGTTTCTTAAACTCGTCCAGAATTTCCAGCAGCTCCTCCTTGTGCGTTGGCTCAACCTGAATAACCTCCTCGAATTCTCTCTCGGGGCTATTAAGAATTTCATTCACTGTAAACAGGTACCGCAATGCCTCGATTGGGCCTTTGTCGTGGTTGATCTGGAGCAACTGTTCTGTGACAATCCGATCCTCCGGAGAGTTTATCAAAGGAACAATTCCAATGCGCTGCGAGAATAAGTTCCGCAGGATCGAATTGGACATGGTCAGAAGACAATAAAGTTGTAACGGATCTGTTGGGTTGATCACAAAGGCCGTGTCGTGGATATTCTCAGCAGCAGCAGGGATGTGACCACCATCGTAAACACTGTAGTGTTCACGAGCATCTCCATGGTATCTGTATGCAAAGTCTTTTGCTGGATTATTGAAGTAAATGATTGCCTCGCTGCCCAGCGTGTTGTACCGAGGAAGTCTTTGAACAGCATGAATGGAATGGTTGGAAAACTGATAGATGAGATTCTGTGCCTCCTGTTTTGAAACCCCAATAGACCCGAGACCATCAATAAGTTGTTTCTCCTTCTTGAGCTTCCTCAGAACATCGAAAACGCCCGGAAACTTATCACTAACCAGAGCACCGTCAATATAGATTCCCTCTGGGAATGATGTGGTGGTGAAGTCGCTGTCAGGCTCTTGCTGGAGAGCAATAGATGGGGCATACTTGGGGAGGTCCAAAACGAGTTTTCTTAGCAGCTCAATACCTCCATCCTTGTCCTGGACGTACTTGATCAGTTTTTTAGACAATCCCTCGAGATCTTCCTTGGTCATACGCGGGATATCTTCGAGATGAGGGTCCAGTAGTCCCGTATCAATAGCCAAAGGCTTTTGTTTATTTTCGATCGCCAGCTTAGCCTTCTGCTCAGGTGTGAATCCCCTGTCATCAATAACAATATAATCTGTCCGTTTCAAGGTCAAATCGATTGCGTATCCCGCAAGTGTCTCTTTTTCTTCAACCTCAGGCACAATGTATCTCCAGACAAAGGCGAGTTTGCCAGACTCTGCTTCACCGAGAAAATTCGCAAAGAACTGCCGGAAATCGTTGCTAGAGTAGTCTCCGTATAAAACAAACACGTTGCTAGAATGGCCGATTAGCCGATCAAATGCTAAGAGGTCTTTGGGGTCATCTTTGGCGGTCTTTAACGCAAAAACGTCGTCTGGGTGGTGATACGTATTTGATCCTTGGATTGAGCATGCTCTTCCACAATTTTCCGGTCTGGAAGTTTGCAGGTGTGCCTGGATTCTCGGCGAGTGTGTCCTTAACGCCAAATCAGTCTTCACAAAGAACAGATCATCTGACTCCACCAGCGAGGAAGCAAAATTGTAGTACTCTTCGTCGGTCAAAGACAGCTCGGTCAATTCAATTCCATCCTCATAAACTTCCACCCCAAGAAGCTTGAGTGTGAGAGGAAGGTATAACGATTCGTTGTATGCACTAAACGTCTCCAGGACGTTGAGTTTAAACGGTGTTTTGTTCCAATTGGCTTGCATTTTGAAGTCTACAATTTCTGCCAGTGATGGCAAAAGCAATCCTAATAGAGTGATTGCCACCTTGTGGACCAGCATCTTTAGAAATGATCAATGCTAATGGACTAACAAAATGCTAACCTGTCAAGCTCGAGGCGAACTGATTTCCATGATTTTTTTTCGCGAATTATCTGCGCATGTGGGAGCACAAGGAAAACAGGTGGGGGAACAACTTAAACGCCAGACTGCTTCTTGTGGCGGGGGCAAGGCTAGTAACTTTACGTTTCTAGCTGCTATCTAAACATTGATGATCCACTTTCAAAGCTGTGCAATAGAAAAAACGACACCCTCGCTACGCTGCAACCAATTGGGCCAAGTGTTTACTTGATATTCAACTAATTCAATCGCAAGTACCCTAGCACAACCTCTTGGCAGCATCACTGGAATGGTTCCAACTTTGAGCAAATATTCTTTCCCGATTCTTTGCTACTGTTCACTTTGCTACTAAAATCATTCAGATATTTTACGCTCCACTCGGAGCACCTAGTCAATTCCGGTCCCAGGTCCGAGAGAAGCCATGATTACCTCCAAAATTGCTGTTATCGTGGGTTCCCTTTGACCTTGACCAATTAACTCGAAGTATAAGATCTTTTACCTTTGGCTCTGTCAGATCTCCTGATAACAATTGTGGAGGCTCAAGAATCAAAACCCGATACAATTACGACTTACAAGTAGCCCAACGTGCCTGAGAGGGGATTATGTTGCTTGATAGCTACTAAAACGAGCATTCCGGACTGCTTGGATTAGTAAACTATTCTTATCATTTCCGAATCTGGTAATAGATATTTTTCAAGTCCCGTGCAAAAACACTTTGGTGATCCACAATTATCGTGTGCCACCATCACACAGTTTCCGCAATTATGCCAATATAAATACACTAAAGCTTCCGTCAAGATGGCAGCTAGTATTCGATCAGATCATTATGGGACTCCAAGTCAAAGAACTACCAAAGCAAACCCCCCTCGAAAGTCGTAAACCAAGAAGCGACTACTACTACATTTCAGAGGAAAGTTCGAAGCTTGCAAAGCATCCAGAATGGATTCCTACTTGGGACTTAAATCAGGAGAAGCGTTTTGAAAACTGGGAACCATTCCGTCACACCGACAGAGGCTATTTTGGCGATCCAACCTTTGACTCGCTGTTCGCTGATGCTGATGTCAAGACCAGAAAGCTCACACCAAGACTCGGAACTGAAATTACCGGTGTCCAGTTGAGCTCCCTTACTCCTAGACAAAAAGATGATCTTGCCTTGCTCGTTGAGCAAAGAGGTGTTGTTGTTTTCCGGGAGCAGGACTTCAAAAACCAATCTTTTGAGGATATCAAAAACTGGGGTAAATACTTCGGGCCGCTACATATCCACCCAACTTCAGGAATTCCTGCTGGACACCCTGAGCTCCACATCATTTTCAGAAGGGGAGGCAAGGAAAGCACAAAGCAGTTTTTCGCCAACAAGCTTAACTCTTCGACTTGGCACTCGGACATTACCTACGAGACACAGACTCCGGGAGTCACCTTGTTTGGTATGTTGCAAACCGATGTTGGTGGAGATACTCAATTCCTGGACACTATTGTGGCTTATGAGAGACTTTCGCCAACCTTCCAAAAGCTGATTGATGGCTTAAAGGTTGTCCACAGTTCTAGAGAACAAGCCTTGCATGCAAAGGAGAATGGTGGAATTGAAAGAAAGCCTGTCATTGATTCCATCCATCCTTTGGTCAGATATCACCCTGTTTTGAAGAAGAAGGCTTTATTTGTGAACAGAGGCTTCAGTAGAAGAATCTTGGGACTCAAAGAGGAAGAGAGTGAGGCTTTGTTGCAGTTTCTTTTCCACCACATTGAAACGTGCTTGGATGCTCACATTCGTGCCCAGTGGGACGACAAGACGGTCACTGTTTGGGATAACCGTCGTCTGTTGCATACTGCTACAATCGACTGGGATGATGATACTCTGAGACACGCCTTCCGTTTGACCACTCTGGCAGAGAGACCAATTGCTAGCGAGGAGGAGTTTAACGAATGGACTCCAGAAGCCGAAAAAGAGGAGCTAGACAAAAAGGAGGAGACCTTATCTCTGACTCCTGCCGAGTTCTACGAGAAGTACTACAAGAAGGACTAAGTACACTGTGTGTTTTTTATTTAGATTTATTCCGATTTCCGTTGACGGTCTCCACTGTATCCCTGTAATTACTCATCTATCTGCTACCATTTTTTTATTTTGATATCGCGAAGTTTGTTTGGCATGTGGAGGAAGTTTAGTCGAGCATTTTGCTCCAAAGTGGGGGGCGAGTCCGTACATATCAACGTTCCCAAATCTCCTTCTATCAAGCAGTTGCAGGAGCTTAATGGATCTCATTCTCGGTCCCAAGCGTTCCCAAATCCTCGGCAGTTGAAATCGCACCTTGACAAATTTATTATCGGTCAAGATCACTGCAAGAAAGTGTTATCTGTCTCGGTCTACAATCATTATATCCGCATCAGCGATGCACACGAGCACTCTCAGACGCTTCTAGGTGCGCCAGTTCTCTACCAACAAAAAGATCAGCCCATCACCCTGGAGAAATCCAACATACTATTGCTTGGCCCGTCCGGGTCGGGCAAAACGCTAGCTGCCAGAACCCTTGCCGAGGTACTCAATGTGCCTCTTGTAATTCAGGATTGCACGTCAATGACCCAAGCAGGGTATGTGGGGGAAGATGTGGAGAGTTGTGTTACGAAGCTTTTGGCAAAGGCAGGCTACGACGTGGGTCTTTGTCAGCGAGGAATCATTGTACTGGACGAAATCGACAAATTGGCAAAGCCGCAAGTATTTTCCGGTACGAAGGACATTGGTGGCGAGGGAGTACAGCAGGCCTTGTTGAAGCTCATAGAGGGCACGAATGTATCTGTCACTGCGAAAAAGGGCGGTAATCTGGCGGAATCTGGCATGGACGGGGCTGGCGAGTCATACACCGTGGACACTTCCACCATACTATTCATTGGAATGGGAGCATTCTCTGGATTGGACAAGATCGTCAAAACAAGACTGGGCCGGAAACGCGCAAAAGACGTGCTATCGCAGGTCGAGCCCGTTGATCTAGAGCAGTTTGGGCTCATTCCAGAGCTAATAGGAAGAGTTCCTGTAATTTCTGTTTTGAACCAATTGACTGTCCAAGATCTCGAGCGAATTCTGACAGAGCCGTACAACTCGATCGTACGTCAGTACGAGTACTCGTTTGCCAAAAGCGGTGTTCGTCTGGCTATCACCAAACCTGCTATTAAGAGGATTGCAGAGACCGCATTGAAGAACGGGACCGGCGCTCGTGGACTACGCGGCATGCTGGAGAAGGTGCTACTCACCGCAAACTACGAGTGTCCGGAAAGTGGCATTACCTTTGTGCTCGTAGATGAAGAGGTCATGGATATGGATGAATTTGCTCCCAAATATTTCTCGCGGGGGGATATATTTCGCTTTCTGGAGGCAGTGGGGAAAGAGGACCAAGACCTAAGATCGACTGTGGGGGGAGAATACGGGATACCAAATTTTAGTACCTGAAAAAAAATACTAGATTTATTTACCATGTCGGCAGAAGAAACCGCTCTGCGCACAAAGGAAGCGGTGAATCGTATTCTGGAGGCCAAGCTCGGCGGGGGTAAATCCAAGAAGGAGAGTTCTCCCACGTTTGTGCGATATACTCCAACATCTGCGTTCGATGAAGGCGAGTCAAAACAGAGAATAATCAAAATAACAGACAAAGAATTGGATCCTACGGTTCCAAATGAACTGCGAATTCGAAAGATTCCACAGGGAGCAGATGAAGAGCCTGTCCCCGTGATGCACGAGGAAACTACTCCGAAATTGACTAAAGAGGACCAGCGAAAGTGGTACATCCCACCGGCGGTGTCCAACTGGAAAAACACCAAGGGGTTCACCATCGACATCGATAAACGATTGGCAGCCGTCGGAGAGACTCAAGTTGGCGAAATGAGCGACAAGTTTGGCGATTTGAGCGACGCTTTGAAGGAAGCAAATGAGCAGGCTAAAAAGGAGCTCAAGCTGCGTGCAAAGCTTAAAAACCAGTTGGACCAGCAGAAATTGGTGGAAAACCAAGAGAAACTGCGTGCTGTTGCCCAAGAATCCCGAGCTGGTGGCAAACGAAGCAAGTGGGATGACGATGAGCCAAAAGAAGTGGCTCAACTTGCAAGCAGACGGGAGCAGGCCCGTGCTGAAAGACGTCGTCGTGCTGAGCAGGAGCTGCGCAGAAGCAAGATGGGTACAGAGACAAAGGTGAAAGTGCTTGCTTCGGAGGACGGAAGAGATATTAGCGAGCGGGTCGCTTTGGGTGTGGCTACAAGAGAACAGGAATCCAAAAACCCGCAAAACTTTTACGATTCCCGTTTGTATCTCAAAGGTGCTGCCTCGAATGTGCGTCGGAGCGACGATCAGCTCTATGACGCGCCGCTGTTCAATGCCCAAGACGCTCTGAACGACGTTTACAGAGCCAGAAGCGGGGCAGACTTCCAAGGAGAGCTGGACAGACCTTCTGTGGGCGCAGCCAAAGGCCGATCCGGAAACGAACCAATCCAGTTCGAAAAGGACAAAGACGACTCCAAGCCTGCTTCGAACGACGAGTACGGGCTCAAGAAGCGCAAGCTGGAGTAATTAATCTCTTACGTAATCCCAAAGGAGCAAATTTACCAGCAACATGTAAAAAAGTCTGTAGGTATGTGGTATCAGCTTGATCCGACTAATGCACATGTAGCGTATGTTTTAGTCGGGACGATTTCCCTGGTTTTTTCACTTTTGTCGTTTGTTCTGCGGCAGCAGTTCTACATTGGCGAGGCCATTTTCGGTACAATTTTCGGATGCATTATCGGTCCTCACGCATTGGATTGGTTTAACCCGTCCAAATGGACCAGCAACGTTGACGAGCTGACTTTCGAGCTCTCAAGATTGATTCTAGTGATCCAGCTATTTGCCACAGGCGCAGAGCTGCCACCGAGATATATGCTGGACCATGCAAGATCCCTGAATCTCGTTCTTTTTGGGGCCATGGTGTACGGATGGCTGATCTTATCGCTTATTGTCTGGGCTGTCTTCCACAGCATCGGGCTCAAGTTTAGCGACTCGTTGCTGGTTGGAGCCACATTCGTAGCTACGGACCCTGTGCTGGCTGCAGCGATAGTTGGCAAAAGCAAGTTTGCCCAGCGGATCCGTGCTGACGTTAGAAACCTTATCCAGGCTGAATCTGGAGCCAACGACGGTTTGGCGTTCCCCTTTGTCACGCTGTCGATCAATCTGATCATCAATCGGCCAGATAACGTTCATGCTGGCACGATTATTAAGGACTGGATTTTACTCGGCATTCTGTACCAGTGTGCTCTTGGCGTGGTCTTAGGTGTTACACTGGGCTGGGTAGGAAGAAAGTCGTATGTGATGGCCAGAGCCAACCAATGGATGGACAACGAGTCGTCGCTTGTGTTCTACGTTGCTTTATCGCTGATCATCACTGGCTTGGCTTCCGTTCTTGGCTGCGACGATCTGCTGGCCTCATTTGCTGCCGGTTGCACGTTCAGTTGGAAGGGCCAGCTGGATTTTGATCTGCAACCAACCACAGACGAGGACGCAGACTTTGAATCTCTTAAGTTCTCGAGCATTATGGACTTGTTGTTGAACACGGCGTATTTCGTCTACTTCGGATCCATCATCCCATGGCCGCAGTTTACTCCGTACGCTTGGAAGCTTGTGGTTTTAGGAATCGCGTTTTTGCTACTTGCACGGATCCCTGCGCTGCTTATGCTGCAGTATTTGGCCCCAGATATCAGAAACTGGAAAGATGCGCTGTTCATCGGCCATTTTGGGCCTCGAGGCGTGGGATCCATCTTCTGCTGTCTGCTTGCAAAACATCTGTTGGAGACTCGTTCGCACAACGTTGAAGAACACGAGACGTTGCTGAACGTTCTATGGCCCGTGACAACGTTTATTGTTGTGATTTCGGTTCTCGTTCACGGGTTCTCCATCTGCTGCTTCACTGTCTACAACAAAACCATCAAGGTCCACATCACTAGACAGCCTACTCCGATTACACTGGAAACCCAAACCATTCCTGAAGAGGGAACTTCCATTGCAAGGCGTCGAATGTCGAAGCTGAGGGTGACCCAACCGGCTGTCGATGACCCATCGTTCCCTAAACACGCTTACGTGAGCAGAAGCAAAGTTACGCTGATGAACCATAAAGGTGATGTTTTAAACGAGTTTGAGGTCAAGGACAGCTCCGTTGACTGCTCGTCGAAACTGGTTGCTTTCCGGGAGGGGAACCAGATTGTCATTGAAGATGGTGGACGGGAGATGAAGCGTTACGATTTAGAAGATTTGTCTTAAATTATATAAAGTTTTAGTCTGTTTCTAAATGTGTAGATCAGGTAAATTTCCATGCAGAAATTTCTGAAAAATTATGCGTGTGGTTATAGTCGGTGGGGGTATTGCAGGACTCAAGGCTGCTGTCGACTTACACGCCAAGGGGATAGAAGTTACCCTCTTGGAAGCTCGTGATCGTCTTGGTGGCCGTTTGCTGACTGACAGAACCGGACTTTGTGGGTACGATCTGGGAGCTTCCTGGGCTCACGATACTTTATCGAACGAGTTATTTGACGAGATGGTGGCTTCTGGAAAGTATGATCTATACTACGACGACGGAGAGCCCTACTACGTGGGGGAGGAACTGACACATGCCGATGTTGCTAGATGGAAACTCCCGCAGGTGGCACACGAGCTGTCAAAGTTTCTTGAACTTCGCCAGTTTAGTAGCCTGGACGTTGAAGACCTTAGTTTGCATGATGTGGTGCAGCTATATTTACGAAAACAGGGGAACCTACTTTCTGAGAAACAAAAAGAGTACGTTCCGCAGTTCATTCGTCAATTGGAGTTGTGGCATGGAATAGGGTGGCAGGAAATGAGCTCTAAATTTGCGTTGGTGGACAACGTGGGGAGAAACTGTTTGATTCGAAACGGTTATGATAAACTTGTGGATTTCATGGCTGACCGGATTCCAAGCTCCTGTGTCCATCTTAACACCGTGGTCTCGAAAGTCGATCGAACCCGGTCGATAAAAGTCACCACTGCGGATAACAAAAGTTATGAAGCGGACTACTTGATCTGCACGGTCCCACAAAGTATTTTACAACTCGAGCCTCCACAAACGGGAGCCATCGAATGGACACCTGCACTACCCAGAACCATAACCGATCCCCTCTCCAAAATGGGATACGGCAAACTAGGAAAAATTATACTGGAGTTTGAGACTCCATTCTGGGCTCATCTGGAAACGGACCGTTTTGTGAGCATATCCAGTCCAAATGTCGGGGATTCTTTGAACGTCTGGAGTTATCCCGTTCTAATACTCAACATGTACCATATCAACAAGGTGCCGTCGCTGCTCTGCTTTGTTCAGGGCCCTGTTACCGAATATTTGGAGGCACACACAGAAAAAGTCTGGGACTATTTCAAACCGCTCATGAAGAAGTTTACGGACTTTCCACCAACCCCCACCAACATCATCACTACCCAGTGGACAGCTGACCCGTTCGCACGAGGCTCCTACGCTGCCTGTCGTCCGGGAGACGACCCGACCGACGTGGTAATCAGTCTCGAAAATGGACTCGGGAACGTCCGGTTCGCTGGTGAACACACCATTCTAGACGGTGCAGGAGCCGTTCATGGCGCCTGGATGAGTGGGAAGCGGGAGGCGAATTATTTATTAGACTATGTATAAGTTAGGATAAAGACTCGTTTTGAAATCTGCCGTGTTTGAAGCAGTTTGTACAGTTACACGAGTCGTCTGGACAACAGCAGTCGAAATCAAGTTCCGAGATGTCCAAACCGTTTAGGAAATTAAGAGCGGCTTCTTGTAAACCAACGGTTTGGCCATTCACGCGGCCGTGTTTCTCACAATTATAGCACCCACAATCATCCGCGGCGCAGAAGCATTCCCCATCGTCGGTGGGGGTTCCGCTAAGAGAGTATTCTTCAACATTCACTTTCCCGTACGAAAGTGGGGCATAAGTCTCGGCCGTCTTGGTATTGTGTACCTGACAGAACTCGCAGTTGCACATGTCGGGATCACAAGAGCAGGAACCAGGAACCGTACACGAGTCAGTAACAAACATATCGTAGGTCATAGGAGGCTGTGGGTGTTCTATCTTTGCCCTCTTCGGTTTGCAAGAGCTCTTTCCATGTGTGCGATTGGTTATGAGATCAAGACCGGCTTGTTTATTGGGAATTTCTATCACGGGATCTAACAGCTTTAAAGATCGCTTAGCCACGTTGAACACCTGGCGTTTATTTGCCTTGAGAACAATCACCGACTTGTCCGAGACCTTGGTGAGCTGGCAGTGGCAGTTCTGGTCGCTGCAGTTATGTTCTTCGGCTGGCTCCAGTTCCTCTCCAACAATAGCTATTCTCTTGGAAGAGTCTGTAGCTGGACGGCCTCTGGACCTCACCAGCACCAACGGCCGTTTTATGTGCTGGCACTGCGAAGATCTGTGGCCTCGGATGCACTGCTCGCAGGCGTACTTGTCTCCATCTACCAAAATCATGAAGTTATACTAATTTTCATAACTAAATATTTATTTGCTCGTCTGGGGGTTCGGATATCAAGGCTGTGCGAAACTGATAATTTCTAGATTAATTACATGGCACCTAAAGTCTCCACTGCCCAGCGGCGGCTTCTTAGGGAGTTTCAGGAGCTGACACGTTCTCCCACCGACGGAATTGTTGCCGGACCTATTAGTGAGGATAATCTGTTCAAGTGGAGGTGTCTTTTAGAAGGTCCTCCAAGCACGATCTACGAGAATGGGGTTTTCGAGGCAGAGATGGATTTCCCCTCCGATTATCCACTGTCCCCACCAAAACTCAAGTTCAAGTCACAGATTCTCCACCCAAACATCTACAAAGACGGTACCGTGTGCATCAGCATTCTCCACCCTCCAGGTGACGACCCGATGCAGTACGAATCGGCGGACGAGAGATGGGGGCCCTTGCAAAGTGTCGAGAAGATCCTGCTGAGTGTGTGTTCGATGTTGGCCGAGCCTAACCCAAACTCGCCGGCAGATGTGGACGCTGCGAAGCTGTGGCGCGAGGACAGAGACCGCTTCAACCAGATTGTGCAGGCACAGGTTCTCAAGACGCTGGAGTAAGATTCGACGCGTCGATTATAAGTCCGACACTTTCGGCAAATGAAGTTATTTAAATTTGATATCAAGTTATGTCGACCCAACGGAAACTAGCACACCATGCGGAGGAGCGCATTGAGCGGTTGCGGTCGGTGATATTGAAGTCCATTTTTGTGGGAGGCATGTATGGAGCCCTGGTGTCGATTCCAACCGAGTTGATGCTGCGGTGGAGATCACCTTTCTACAGAGCTTTTGGACTGCGCATCAGAATCTTCTATCACACCATCTGGATTGCTGCTGGTGCTTCTTTTAGAACAGAGAGAGCCGTTATAGAGTTTGAGAACGTTGTTCGCCGCGAGGAGGAAATCCGCCGGCAGAATCTGCTCGAAGAGAGCGTTCTCAGCGGTAGCTATACCACGGAACAGGAGGGAGTTCACCGTTCTAAATAACAAGTACATAGCCCATATCACATGTAATTTATATCTGTCGGAAACTGCAGGTCTGCAAATAAACCTTCGTAGTCCTCAAAGATATTCGTGTTGAGGATCCAGTCTTTCCAGGTATCTTGCTGTACGTAGCCGGGGACTTGCTCGATAGTTCGTCTGAACCGCTGGAACAATGAGTCGCGCGTTTCGTTGGCAGGCCAGAAGGTGGTGTAGCGCGACACGGTTGTGATTTGGGGCGAGACCGAGAATTTCTTGAACGTCTCGCTGTATTCCGCCAGCTGTTGTGGGGTGAGCGAGTCCATGAGGTTCAGCGACTCTAGCAGCTGAGCGTCTTCAAGATAGAACATTGGTTCTCCGTTTCCTTCCAGGAACTTTAACACAAAGCTGTAATTTTCAAAAAGTCGGTAGCACAGATAGTCTTGGTCGCCCAAAATAGCAACGACCTTGATGCAATCACGCATGATGGAGATGACGCTGTTGAGTAGTTCTGAGGCCGTTGACTGTTTTGGAGTGATTTTCGAGCGCATGAACAGCAGCCGCAAGCCCCAGTAGATCAAAAATTGCAGCGCTTTATAGATACACGTCGCCACTGGGTGGATCAGCTGCATGATATGGCCGGAGAAGTCTGTTTTCATCAGATTGAGCGTCGAGAACGCGAGATCTAGGAGCTGGAAACATCCGGTGACGCTCCGTTGCAGCGTGGTGGAGTAATCGGACAGCATGCGGTGTTTTTCAAAATGAAGCAGCAGATAGCAGTCCAGCATGAACATCAGGGTGTTGAGCCGCATTCCGCTGATGGTGTCGGAGATAGTCGAGATCAAGGTGGCTGTTGGGTCGGCGAAAATCCTTTTCTGTATGAACAGCGGTCGCTGAGAGTCCAAGAACTTGAGTGCACTAAGAATGTCGAGAATTTTGGGCTTTTCGGTCACATTGTGTAGCTGCACCAGCACTTTCTGGAGCATTGGGTACAAAGCCTTCATCTTTTGGATGCGGTCCTCCACCAGCGGGTCGTTAATGTGCGTCTCTGCTCCATGGTCGCTGTTGGTCAACAGCAACACAGGAGCCTTTCCATAAGCGACAGAGTGTTCCATGTCCATTTGGAGACAACTCCACCACAGTCTCGTCCACAGCAGCCGGAACTCGATGTTGGAAGGAGAATAGATATGACTGACCTCCTTGCTGCGGATAGGGTACCGCAAGCCACGATTGATTCCCATTCCAAGTCCCAATTGGCAAATCATTCCATTCATGGTGTACCCGTCAGTTCCATCCCCACCGTCTCCATCTTCCTGGCACATAACTTGGTAGTTACGGAGTAAAATCAGCAACTGTAAAGTGCACACGTTGGACTTCCTCAAACTGTTGGATTCAAACAGAGCGTAGTTGACCAGATTGACCACATCAGCATTCACCGGTGGCTCCAGCAGCTGTTCCTCTTCTGTGTCAAGATATGCCCCCGCCTGCTGCTTCAGAAACAGGGACTGGTACGAAAACCGCATAGCAAGCAGAATGGTGGCAGTGACGAGATAGTCTGATTTTTGAGAGATGTCAAGTTCAATGCGACCATTCTTGACTGTGAGGATCTTGTTAATGTCGGCGTAGAAGTCTTGTTCAATCAAAACTGGGAAGAATGGGTGTATTTCACGTAAAAACCGACCAACGTGGCGCAGGACATGGTCCTTGGAAGGAAGCGCCGCCTCCATCTGGGCCTTGAGCGAGAGCTGGTTGTCCTTGATATTCTTGGTACCAAAGCGTCCCTTCTTGCGCAGTCGGACCTGTTTTTGGAGATCTTTGGACTGCTCCGTCTGGGAAGTCTCCAATATTTTGGCCTGGACTCCGTCGTGATATTTCCGCAGATTGTCGAACAAATAGCACGCGAACGGGTCGTCACGCCAGAGCTTGCTCCGCTGGAATGACCCTGAGATGGAGAGCCTGTTCTTCTTGGCTAGAAGCAGTGCGGAGTTCAGACTAGAGTCCGCCTGGACAAAGCTGATGGTGTCACGTGACTCAGGGAGGATCTTGAACAATTGAGTCTCGAGAGTGGCCAACTTGGTTCGGAGACTGGCGATCTCGTCGATTAGTTGCGGACCACTTGCGAGCGGAGACTCCATATGTTGTAGAACGGGCGATTGGGTTTCCAAGTCGACCGGACTAAAGTTGATCAGACCAATGTTCATACCCTGGGTCGTCTGACTAGCGCTGGAGGTATCGCTTGTAGTTGACCAGACGTCTGGACCGTCATATTCGCACGGGAGACTCGAGATTTTGCAGCGATTGCACACTGGCCGAACCCGATTGCATTTGATCTTCCTGCGGCGACAGCTCAGACACGAGTACGGAGTACGCCGTTTCTTTTTGGTTCGCATTGTCTCTATCGTACTCATCGCAGAGTGCTCGTATTATAGTTATGTCACCTATTCGATCAGTTCTCCCGATATGGAATTTACCGAAGACTAATACCGAACCGTTTTTTTAAATTTTCAAGCCCTTCTCTAGTCTAATGGTCTTACGTCAGCAGAGCGGGCTGTTGGCGGAATATAGCAAAATTGGGACGAGGCTGTGTATGGGTGAGAATTTTAATTTGCACGCAATTCCGGGGTTTTTAACCTGTCACCGGCAAGGACTCCTTTAGAAAACCATAGTAATCCTACAGCCCAAGCCTCGTTTGATGTCCTAGAGGCTATTTTCTATGCATATGGTTTTTGGTATATGTATCAACTTGTTGTATTTGATGAAGTGGCCTGTAGCTAACCCTTCGTCAGTTCTACCCCGGAGAAAATCATGTACATCTCTACACCCCGATGTGGAGAAACTGGGGAGATATTTCGCTTTCGGCTAGAAAAAACTAAAATCCCAACAAGTATTGTTTCCTTGTGGTGTAATCGCCAGTGTTCTTAGCGCCAAGAGGCTTTGTTGCTCGACCATCCGTTTGGCGGCAATCTAATTTCGATTCACCCATACATTAGTCCAGGCCAATATGACGTCCGTGGAACCCCGTTCCGAAGCGCAAAGTCCCCACGGTTCCAATTCGCTTAGCGGGTCTGATAATGCCACCAGTTCTGTGTCCCCACAAGCCTCTGTTTCACTCCGACACCAGGCTCCCCATGAGAGTTCATCCTCCTCGGCATCTTCCATGTCTACAGTCGTAAACGGGGTGGTGATGTCTGATTCCCAGCAAGAACAAGGACAAACCACCTCTTCAGAAACATCCACCTCCGCAGACGTTCCCCCACGAAAACGTTCCAAGGTTTCCAGAGCATGTGATGAGTGTCGACGAAAAAAGGTCCGTTGTAATGCCTTGCTAGATTCCTCAGGAACACAGGTCACCAAGATCTGCACCAACTGTGAGAAAACCGGTGATGTGTGTTTATTCACTCGTGTTCCCATGAAAAGAGGACCTACTAAGGGTTACACCAAAACTGAACAATCTATTCCCCCACACAGCACAAAAACTTCTCCGCATTTGCCCATCCCATCACCTGGTAGCTACCCCCAATTACAGGCATTGGCCCAAAATTCGTCTCCAAAACAGCCCCAGAGCCCGCTTCTTGCAACCTCTCAGGGACCCCCAAGTCCTCAAGTGATACTTCCGCCGCTCAACTCGCATATTCTTCCGCCGCTCCATACGAGGTCGTCTTCGTTCAATGCCCCTGGTCAAGTTGGTCAGCGCCAGCACCCAATGTTTTGGAAAGTTCCATACGAGATGCCTCAATTTGATGACCGCAGAGACTCGATCGATTCGAACTCTTCGTCCATCAGCGGAACGTTCCAGCTGGGACTCCGCGCCCCTGCAGCAGGAAATTCTCCCAAAGCGGCTCCTTCGTTTGGTTTGGAGAGCATAGCCACGTCAGATTCAGAAGACGAATTTCTCAATAACAATTCTGCCAGGCTCTCCAGATCTAGCTTTCAAGTCCCCCTCACAAGTTCGCGGCCTAAGGAAGGAACTGTTAGTCCCGTGCCGTCTCATCATAGTCTTCAAAGTCTCAATCAGAATTTTTCCCAACTGGCTATTCCTGCTCCTCACATGAAGCTTGGTCACTTGCTGAAATCCATTGAGTCAAATCTAGACATGTACTATTCAAAACTACACAACCAATTCCCGGTGCTCCTTGACAAAACTCAGATTGTTGAAAGCCTTGAGCGACTGCATGCTGAGGAGCATGCTATTGTGTTGGAACTTTTTAATGCCTCCATCCAGGTGCTGAATTCAGTGGTCACGAATTTTGATTTCAACGTAATCATCTCAAGTTTCCAGCAAATCTCCATGGTTTATGCTTCCAAGTCATTCATTAATAATCATCCACAGTCCAAGATCTTGTTTCTTATGACCTTGGTGCTTCTCAATTACGCAGTCGTGCTATCTGGTCATCATTATTCGATAGGGTTTTCCATCTCGTTTTCCATTATCCACGACTGGAAGGTTTACAAAGAGCCGGTTGGTTCCCCACTGTTCAGAGCGTTTATGCATCTGTTAATTTTAGACAACCTATTCTCATTATCATTTGGTACACCGAAAAGCACAAGTTTTGCGTCGGCGATAACGACTCCTAATATTCAATCGTTTGTGGCTACCTTGGATAAGTCAGAAAATGAGTCTTTAGAGTATACTCTAATAGGTCTCAACTTACTGCTTATTTCTCAGCCAAACTATTTTTCGAACACAATGGATAATTTCTCGCTGGACATTCTAGACGACAAGATTAAGTTCCTTGCAGTTTTGAGTACTGAGTCTGAACTTTGCGCGCTTTTCGAGTCGTTCACTTCCATCGAAAACTCGCGTTCAACGGAACCAGAAGATGTGGTATTCGAAGTTCAACTTGAGTTCTCCAAGCTCTGTAAACGGATGGTTTATCTGATTGACGAGCAATTGGACGATCTTGAACTGATGAAAGTGCAACCATTGCTCCCATTAATTATTGCTAAATGCTACAAGCTTCTGATCACTTTGAGAACGCTGATCACATCTTTAATCAGCTTCAATGCTTTGATTAGCAATGAAGATTTCAAGACGCGATTGCCAAAGCTTCTGAGCTCAATTGACACAAATATCGACAGAGCGTTGAATCTCCGGGTTCCAATTGGATTCATTAAAGTTCTCTCCGCAGATTTGAGGAAGAGGGCGCCCGTCCAGTTAATTCTCCCATCTTCGCCAGACAAGACATCTCTTCTTCAGACTTGGTGCGACCAGTCACGGGCCCTACTGACTACGGTGTTGACAAAAGATAATACTGAAGGCTGGTATTCATGAATATTTGCTATAAGTACATAATCACCATTTCTGGTTGTCGTTGGTCTGGACACCTTTTTCGTGCATTCCCACGGCATGTTTGTTTCCGCTCCAAGTTCCTGTTGTGTTCTCATCTCCCATCTTACTTCTGACTTCACGATTCATCTTATCTTCGAAATCGCCCGAGTCGTTGTCATTGGAATCGAAATTCCCTTGATTGTTTGAGTTGTCGAAGTTGTTAGAGCCCTGAGACTCTTCGTGGTTGTTACCTGAAAACTTGTCTGATAATTTGTCAATGAAGCCGGACATATTGGATGATAAGCTAAGTGGCTCTCTCAAGTCTTTATATACTTTTGTACCTGGATTGCTTTTTGGGGAAATAGCAACCAATAATAGACCATTAAAATATAATCGTGTCTCGCCACAGAAACTCGATTGCCTTTTTCAAAGTAGCTCTCCACACCTGATGCATGATAACAGCATGCTCATCCCATCTTTTGGTTTGCTATGCACGCACTCTTGAGCTGCCGCTCATCTTCCTCCACATTAGACACCTCACACCACTAGTAAATACATTTTTTTGGCGATCTGGAATTACACTACATGACTATTGCTAGATCTTTAAGACTGCGCGCGCCATTAGGCATCGTTTTTGACATGGATGGCACCCTTACACGGCCCCAGACGAAAATGTTTACTGATATGCGCCAAGCGTTAGATCTGGTTGGCAAAAAAGTGGACATTTTAGACCATCTGGCTACGTTGCCCGAGTCCGAGCGACTGGCTGCCGATAAGAAGCTTGCCGATATTGAAGAATACTACATGCTGAATACCGAGCCTACGGTCGGTGTGGTCGAGCTGTTCAAGTTTCTGTCGTCCAAAAACATCAAATACACTGTTTGCACGAGAAATCTCATCAAACCTGTTCAGCATTTGCTCGATACCCATCTTCCAGGTGTTACCTTCCACGAGCCGGTGGTGACACGCAGTTTTCAACCACCGAAACCTTCTCCGGAACCGCTGCTCCATATTTCCTCCCAGTGGGGGTTCCCCGCGAAGGAGATGGTAATGGTGGGGGACTCACGTGATGACATGTTAGCCGGACTAGCAGCAGGATTCACCACTGTTCTCATCCGGCACGAAGACAATGCCAAAGTTGAGACCGACGTTCCGGGGATTGACTACGTGATTCATGATTTTCACGAACTGATAGAACTTTTGTCTTAAATTATCTAAGTATGATGCTATTTGTCTGTGTAATATACTTGACACCTTTATAAGGCTTAACGTTTGATGATCCTCCACTCAGCACCTTGATGGAGTCCACTTTTATCATGCTTGGGACAGAGCCCTTGTTGGAGTACGAGACTGTGACATAGTCCAGTTTGGCGGCGGTTGGGTTCCCTGTCTTGCTTAAAAGCTGACCTCGGAATGTGCAATTAAGTCCTGTTGGTAATGACTTCTCCAGGACCCACTCATGAGAATCTTTGCGTGATTCAAGATCTCCATGAGTCACTCTGAGCGATCTGACGGAAAAACCATCGGGAACATGTAGCTGCAACCGCAAATCGTCAATGGCCTTAACGCTGTTGAGCATTTTAGTCTGCAGTCTTATCTCGAATTCGTTCTTTTCAAGGCCCTGTCCCCCAACAAGCTCCAAATCCACTAATCCCATGTAGTTCCATATGTTCACCGATGCGTCATTCTCTAGTAAGTTGATCTTGTAGTCTAGTAGTTTGAATTTTCCGTCTGGAGGAACAAATTCAATCACTCCTGGAGAACTTGTCCAAGTATCGATGTCGATACAACGATGGAATGATGGAATACCAATATCGTGCTTGTTCAGATTCAAAATCAATTGAATTGTGGGAATTCCGCTCAGAGAGCTGGTGAACTCGGCCTTTCCATCTATGGTGGCCATAATTGGAGTGTTTTTCTTGGTACTCAGACTGGAGTTGTAATAGGACGAAACTCCGTTCGTACGGAAATTTTGTTTAGTAGAGGGAACAATCCAGCTTATACGTTCTGTCAGATCCACCAGCATTTCGTTCTGTGTATGTTTGACATTAACTTTACGCCATGGAAACTCGTTGCCTGATTTCTCATATATGGAGGCAGTCCCTGGTGTTTTATTAGCACGGTTTGATCCCAGTGACGAAGCGGATGACGATGCATGCATCAAAGATGAACCTTGTGCAAGAGAGTTGATTGAGTTCGAAGCTGCACCTTGAATCTGCTTCGTCGTTGATAAGATCTTGTTGATTATGCTATTTGACGGAAGCAACTCGTGAAGCTGGTTCTTGTCTGTCAAATATGGAAACGAGCCGTCCACCATTTCTTGCAGGATCAAAATCAAATTGGCTGCGCTCGTTTCGACCTTTGCTCTTGTGAGAGATGCTCCTCCGAGAAATGATTTGGCCACCGAGCCAAACTCGTTCAAGAATTGCAAGTATTGGAGATTATTGACAGTACGAGAAAGCTTGACAACTTGCTTGTCGCCTTGTTGGATTTCCTGCTCGTCCTCATCGTCCTCATCATCCTCGTCATCCTCATCGTCGCTCACCACGTCGATGTATTCGGGGAAAGTCTGACCAACTATGAGGACAAAAACGCTATCCGTTTTTCTCCAGGCGACTCTCCAAGTGGAATCAATGTCCAAGACAGGGTCTAGTCCGTCGAAGAGTGACGTGTACGAGGCGACTTCTTCAATTGAGCATTGTTCTCGTTGAATGCTGGTCAATCGGTCTTTGATGTACTGGAAAGAAGGAGATGGAGAGCTTACGATGTGCTCGAAGATCGCGAGACTGCGTTAGATAGTGGACCAGATACTTACTTTCGTTCGTCAACAATGAATAAACAGTCAATAAGACCCATCTAATATTTAAATAAATAATTTATACTGTCGAGTCAGCCAATTAAAGGTGGGGGAGTGGGCGTCGAGTCAAGAGGTCTCCCCGGTGATAGGCGTCTAATAAATCGTTTCTACAACCCACACTTAAACTCCTCCACCGTTATCTACAGCTAGAAAGTTTATACATCCGCCTGAACGTTGCGCTATTGTTTTGCATCAGTGAATTACGTGTGAAAAAATTATATAAATACGTCTTGTTCCTCTCTCCTGCTTGAAAAAAATAGTGGGAAAAAAGGGTGTTTATATTAGTGAAATTTATTCGACCTACGCACCTCTTTCCTTTTAATTAATTATCATGTCCCGTCTGGAAAGACTAGTGGTACTTCTGGAAACAGGGTCCACTCAATTTATTCGAAATACAGCGGCCGAGCAGCTCAGCGATTTGGCTAAACAACATCCTGAAGAGACTCAAAATTTGCTGTCAAGAGTATATCCATTCTTGAAAAGCAAAAAATGGGAGACTCGTGTGGCTGCATCGCGTGCATTCGGAGGAATAGTTTCCCATGCCCCTGTCTGGGACCCCAATGCTGACGGTGAGGTCAAGGAAGAAGAAGAGTACCAAACCATCAAGAAGGAGGAAGAAAGGGATCTCCAAGAGATGGTGGAGACCACGGAGAATTGTTTCCTGTCCTTTGATGAGTGGAACTTGGCAGACATTCTTCAAAGTGGACGCGTTCTCTTGGCTACTTCAGGAGCAGAGTTTTTCAACAACAGTTCTGAACCTGCATCGAAAAAAATAAAGACTGAGTTCACCTCGAAACTAGGCATAGACGAAATCAGCGAAGATTCGACGCCGAAAGAACAAACTCCAGAATTTCCTAAAAAAGAAGAGCCAGAAGCAGTCGAACAGACGACTCCTTCAAAACCACAACAATCGGCTAGAATGAGAGCGATGGCTAAAAGGAAGGCAAAGTACGCGAAGTCCGGACCTGCAAAAAGCGCACCGGTGGATTTGTCACAAAGCAGTATCAGTCGAAGACTCGCCAAGGATGGTGCCATTGCAGACGAGTCTGATGAAAGCAATGGATCAGCTACTCCAAATGTCAATATCACTTCTCAATCTAACGGAACAAAACTAGTGGTGGAGCAAAAGGTGCCTGACATCTCTCCAATTCTTCAATTGCATTCTAAGGTGGCCCACTTAGTGTGGCAGTTTCAAGGAGTTTACGAGCTATTGATTAAAGACTTATTCAATGACACCTGGGAAATCAGACACGGTGCTGCTATGGGACTTCGTGAGCTCGTGAAGTATCAAGCTACTGGTGCGGGTCGTATCAAAGGACGTTCCAAAGAGGAAAATGATCACTTAAATAAACGCACGCTAGAGGATTTATGTGTGAGATTGATCACTTTGTTCGCTATGGATAGATTTGGAGACTATGTTTCCGATACCGTGATTGCTCCAGTGAGAGAAAACGCTGGTCAGACTTTAGCCGCGTTGCTATTACATCTTCCAGAAGAATTGGTTTTAAAGACATTCGGAGCACTAGTGCAACTCATCAAACAGGATATTTCTCCATCGGAGTACAAAATGACGTGTTGGGAAGCTAGGCATGGTGGCATGCTTGGTTTGCGATACTTTGTGAGTATCAGAACAGACTTGCTTTTCAGTCATATAGAGCTGTTGGACGCCACTATAGATATGGTGCTGTTTTGCCTCAATAACAGTGCCGATGATGATGTCCAGAGCGTTGCTGCATCGACATTGATTCCTATTGCCTCGGAGTTTGTCAAACTAAAACTTGATATGGTTTTTGAGATTGTCAATGTCATTTGGCGTGGACTTACTGATCTTAAGGATGATCTTTCTGCCTCGATCGGATCAGTGATGGATTTGTTGGCCAAACTTTGTTCTCATAAAGAAGTTTTGGATAAAATGAAAGAATACGCAGAGGACAATGATGATTTCAGTTTCAAGAATTTGATTCCCCGACTATTTCCTTTTCTGAGACACTCGATCACTAATGTGCGGAAATCTGTTTTGAAGACTTTGCTCGCTTTCCTTGAAATTAAAGATGATTCTGTTAAGAATTGGATTGACGGTAAGGCCTGCAGGCTGATTTTCCAGAACCTTTTGGTGGAGCAAAACGAAGATGTTTTAGAACTGTCCAAAACAGTGTATCGGACAATGATCAAACAGATCACCACTGGGAATATTGGATCTCTTGACGACATTTTCGCGGACCATATTGAACCAATTCTAATGCTTTTGATGACGCCAATAGGAGTTGCAAGATTCAATTATTCTATGAATCCTAATTACATTCTCCGTCCAAGTGGACAAACTTTGAGTGTCAACGACATTCCTTTAACGGGTTTCAATGTTGAAGAAATTAAACCAAAGTACAAGAAGAGAAAGATGTCCGAAGATCAACACTCTAACTTTTCCAAGCTCAAACAAGGCGATGCAGGCATCCCTGAAACCGAATATGACCATGCTGTGAACATTGACGCGCCAATGATCAACGGGGATTTAACTTTGGTTGGCTTTGAGGTCATTATCAGGACGAGACTCGCTGCTGCTGCTGCTCTCGGACGTACGCTTGCTTGTTACGATTCCGTCCAAAATCTGGAGTCGATATTCAATAAGCTTGAGCAGTTTTTCGGGGACGCTCATTCGACTCCACGCCTTTTCGCATGTGTTGTTTTAGAAGAGTATTGTCAGCAACGCCTCGAAAATGGTATAACGATAGACGAGTCGATCAAATCCAAATTCCTTCCAATTTTGAATCATGCATTGTTGGAGCCAGAAAAACTTCCGTCATTCAGAGAATTTGTTCCAACCTTGAGAGGTCTGAGAACTCAATGTCTACAACTATTCCAGATTTTCCGGGAACAAGGGAAAGTGTCATCCAGTAAGATTCCGACGCTGCCTGTTTTGGTCCAGGGTGACGAAGATGCTGGACCAGACGCTTTTGGAATTGAGCTTGCGGTCTCTACCATTAATGAAGTGTACAACAGGCTGCTGAAGTCTCTAACACCGGTCTACAAAATGGCTGCCTTACAATCGCTTGAAGATACGAAACACAGAATAAGCATGGCCATCAAGGATGCCACTGCTTCCAAAACCAATAGAATTACCGGGATACTCGCATCTTATTCGGCAGCTACTTTGAAACTTGCAGGTCTTCCAAAGAAACTTACACCGGTGATCAGATCTCTAATGGAGAGCATCAAAGCTGAGGAATCTTCTTTGTTGCAGCTCCGGGCTGCGTCTACGGTTTCGTCGCTGATAGTGGAACTCAATAAGGTGGGAAAAACCAACGCCTCGGATAAAATGGTCAAAAACCTATGTGGCTTCTTATGCGTTGACACTTCTGAGGTCCCAGAATTTGTTCCAAACAAAAGCTTCACTGACATAGTTCTTTCTTTAAGGAAGGATGATTCGACATCCGATCCTGCAGAACTTGCTGCGGCCGAGAGAGAAATCGTTCTTGCCAAGATCAAGCGACGTGGCGCCAAGACCACTCTCGAGTTTTTGATCGAAACCTACGGAAATGAGGTCTTTGAAAAGCTGGCAATTTTGAAGCATATTGTTTTCGATCCTATGTCTATCTTGTCCAAGACTGATGTTGAAGACATAGCTGGTCAAGAGGCTGTGGATTCACTAGAGATTTTGCGCGCACTATTCCAAAAGATGGACACCTCTTTGCAAATGTTGGTGATTGAAAAGCTACCTAATATTCTGGATGGTCTGAAATCGAAGTACTCTGTTTTCAGATACTCTGCAGCAAAGTGTTTTGCGACGATTTGTGCTGCCGTTCCTTCGAAAGCATTCCAATTCTTTGTCGAGAATGTCCTACCTTTATTGAACAACGCGCTTGACTTGAAAGACAGACAGGGTGCGATCGAATGTATTTACAGACTGTCGATCGTTATGGGTCCAGGAATCTTGCCATATGTCGTTTTCCTGCTCGTTCCTGTTCTGGGACGTATGAGTGATTCGAACCATGACGTGAGACTTTTGGCCACAACCACTTTCGCATCCATCATCAAGCTCATTCCGTTAGAAGCAGGAATTCCAGACCCTCCTGATATGCCCGAAGAACTTCTAGGAGGTAGAGACAGGGAAAGACAGTTTATCCAACAAATGATGGATCCAACTAAGATACAGCCATTCGAGCTTCCTGTCGCAATCAAGGCCACCTTGAGAAAATATCAGCAAGAAGGAGTCAACTGGTTGGCATTTTTAAATAAGTACCACCTGCATGGTATTCTTTGTGATGATATGGGTTTGGGTAAAACTCTCCAGACAATCTGCATTGTCTCAAGTGATCACCACATGCGTGCGGAAGAGCATGAGAAGTCACAGTCCATAGAATCTCGGAAGCTTGCAAGTTTGATTGTTTGTCCACCGTCCTTGACAGGACATTGGGAGCAAGAATTTGATCAGTACGCTCCGTTCTTGAAGGTGGTTGTTTACGCTGGCTCTCCATCATTCCGTGCTTCTATCCGTCCTCAACTGACCCAAGCTGACGTGGTTGTGACGTCTTATGATGTTGTGCGTAACGATGTTGACTTTGTTAGCTCGATTGATTACAACTACTGTGTCCTTGATGAAGGTCACATTATCAAGAACGCAAACACTAAGCTCACGCAATCTGTGAAACGGATTCATGCGGAACATCGTCTAATCTTGTCGGGTACGCCAATTCAAAATAATGTTCTTGAACTTTGGTCTCTGTTTGATTTCTTGATGCCCGGTTTCCTGGGTACCGAGAAAATGTTCCAAGAACGGTTCTCGAAACCAATTGCGCTTTCGCGTAGCAACAAAGGACCAAAAGAACAAGAGGCTGGTGCCTTAGCTCTCGAAGCTTTGCATAAACAGGTTCTTCCTTTCATGCTTCGTCGACTAAAAGAAGATGTTTTGTCGGATCTTCCGCCAAAGATCATTCAAGATTACTATTGCGAGTTGTCGAACTTGCAAAAGCAGTTGTACAAAGACTTTATCAAAAAACAGAAGACAAGCGTGGAAAAGGATCTGACTACATCTACAGATGATGGTCAAAGCAAACAGCATATTTTTCAAGCACTGCAGTACATGCGGAAGTTGTGCAACCATGCGGCGTTAGTGGTGACACCGAAACATCCCCAATACAGTGAAGTCATGAAATATCTCAAGAACTCGAACATGGACATCAGAGATATTGAGCACTCACCAAAGTTGATGTCGCTACGCAATCTGCTGCTAGAGTGTGGAATCGGCAACGATGGCGGTCAAAAGGGAATGATCTCCTCTGAGAATGTCATCTCCCAGCATCGAGCACTGATCTTCTGCCAGATGAAAGACATGCTGGATATGGTGGAGAACGATCTTTTGAAGAACCATATGCCGAGCGTCACCTACTTGCGGCTTGATGGGTCCACAGAGCCTCGAAAGCGTCAGGATGTTGTTCGGAAATTCAACAACGACCCGTCGATCGACGTTTTGTTGTTGACGACCAAAGTTGGAGGACTCGGACTAAATCTGACAGGAGCAGATACAGTGATTTTCGTCGAACACGACTGGAATCCTATGAACGATTTGCAGGCGATGGACCGTGCGCACCGTCTGGGACAGAAGAAGGTCGTGAACGTCTACCGATTAATTACCAAGGACACTCTTGAAGAGAAGATCATGGGACTTCAGAAGTTCAAGATGAATATCGCGTCGACTATCATCAACCAGCAGAATTCTGGTCTTGCTTCGATGGATACAGAGCAGCTACTGGATTTGTTTGATTCGGGACATGAAGTTACGAAAGAGCAAGAAAAGGAGAAAGGAGGAGCGGCTGTCAGCGGATCGAACAAGCTAGAGGAACTAGACGTTCCAAACGAGGCCGGACTCACCGGAAAAGCTGGCAGTGCAGTGAACGAGCTTGCCGAGCTGTGGGACGAGAAGCAGTACGAGGAGGAGTACAATCTTGATTCGTTCATCAAGACGTTGAAATAAATAGCTTGTTTCATGTAATTTACAAAATGTGCAAAATTACCAGAAATTCAGGCGGCTTACAGCAAGGGTTATTGTTTTTATTGTTCCTGACCTCTTGCATTATGTGATGAATAAAATCTCCGAGCGCCGCATTGAGTCCATGTTACCCGTGGCGACCCGCAGGTGAACAATAACGTAACAATAAAAATAAGCCAAGCCAAAGTAACACAGGCAGCACTTGACTAAAAGTGCCGCTGGCGGAGGAAACAAGTAGTTTTTAATAGCTAGGAGGAACAAGTTGAAAAAAAAAACAATTGCAAATATATTTTTTCTGACATGGACCAGCAACTAATTGCTCAACAAATGAACGGCAATCCTGTTGCGCTGGCATCTCAAGACGTTTCATCGTTCGATGCACGTTTTGCTCAAGAAAACGCAGAGACATGGATTGCCATCGGCACCTGTGCAGATACTATCGGAAACGTTGAAAAGGCGGTGGAAGCGTTTTCGACCGCCTTACGGTATACACCTAACAATCCGAAGGCCTTGACGCAGCTCGCCAATGTGTATAGAACACGCGATGCTTTCGCAGAAGCTGCAGATCTTTACCGGCGAGCTCTTTCGCTCGACCAGAACAATGGCGAAACCTGGGGCCTTCTTGGACACTGTTATCTTATGTTGGACGACCTTCAAAGCGCGTACACTGCATACCAGCAGGCGCTTCTCAATCTGCAAAATCTTAGTGTTCCGAAGTTGTGGCACGGGATCGGAATCCTATACGACAGGTACGGGTCACTGGAATACGCCGAGGAAGCGTTTGTCAGGGTTTTAGAAATGGACCCTCAGTTCGACAAGGCAAACGAGATCTACTTCCGTTTAGGTATCATATACAAGCTGCAGTGCAAATTGTCCAAAGCCTTGGAATGCTTCAACTACATTCTCTCTATGCCTCCTGCCCCTCTTACCCAGACGGACGTCTGGTTCCAAATCGGCTCAGTCTTAGAACAGAACAGGGACTACAATGGAGCAAAGGAAGCGTATGAGCGTGTTCTCCAGAGCAATCCAAATCACTCGAAAGTTCTTCAACAGTTGGGATGTTTGTACTCGCAGCAAGAAGCCCCATTCCATGACCTCGAGGTTGCGCAACAGCTTCTCAGACAGTCGATCGAGCTCAACAATACTGACGCTCACTCATGGTACTACCTTGGACGTGTTTACATGTCCAAGCAAGACTATCCGAACGCATACGAGGCGTTCCAACATGCCGTCAACATCGATTCCAGAAACCCAACGTTCTGGTGTTCTATCGGTGTTCTGTATTACAAGATCAGCCAGTACAAGGATGCGCTTGATGCGTACACGAGAGCTATTCGTTTGAATCCATACCTTTCTGAGGTTTGGTACGATCTGGGTACTTTATACGAGACATGCAACAACCAGATCGGTGATGCTCTTGATGCATATCACAGAGCAGCATCTTTGGACCCAAATAATCCACACATTCAGGAAAGACTCATCCAACTTACAAAGTACCAGAAGGAAGGCGGATCTTTACCGCCACCTCCTCAGAGTCACCATCAGTTGACAATGCCTACACAGCAACAGGTTCAACAGCAGCAGCAGCAACAGCAACAGCAACAGCAACGTCATAATGCAGGTCCGCCACCTGCACAGTTGCAAGTTTCCCAACAGTTGCCGGCCGTTTCTGATCCACCTGCAGTTTTGGGTGCGGATAAGACGACATCAGAGACTGATGTAAAGCTGAATGGAATTAAGCGAGAAGCAGAGCAGGAGACTGAGGAGACGAGCAAGAAGCAAAAATTGGAGTCAGAAGAGCCGACTGAGCCTTTGGGATCAGAGAACGCAGCAGAATTTGCTAAATCTGCTGAACCTTCAGATCCATCTGAATCTGTCGAACCGGCCGATTCTGCTTCTGCATCGGCAGAACCTTCTGGGCCTGTTGAGGTTGAAAAGAAGTCGGAGGAGCCAAGCATCGAGCTGAAGCCAATGGAGAAGGAGGAGGCCGATGAGCTAAAGAGTACGTCGGAGGAAGTCAAGGAGCAAGAAGTGCAGCGTGCTGTTTCGAGTGAGGCTCCTGTCCGTAAGATTGACGAGGACGATGACTACGACGACGAGGACGAAAAAGAAGACGAGACGAAGGAGGAAGAAAAGAACAACGACGCCACACCAGAAACCGCACCACCAAAGGCAGAAGTCCCACAAGAGGCTGCTGTTGCCGAGAGTAGTGCAGAAGTCAAGGCTGAGGAGAAGCCTGAGCAAACAAACGGCACCCAAACGGAGGCTAGTGAGCCTGCACCCGAGGAAAAGCCAGAGACTGTCGTTGATTCGGACGCTAAAAAGGCCGAAGATCAATCGGTTGGAACGAAAGAATAAACGATGGGTTGTGAATTAGTATTATTATATGTAGCGAATATGTCATTCTATGACCGAGTCCAAAAACTCTCTAATTTTGATTAAAGTTTGTGTCTTAACGTTGTCAGAGACCATCTGAAGCGCCTGTGGCTGTAGTTTGTCCACAAGCTCGACATATCGTAGGTCCTTGGTTTCTGGAGTGTTGGATATGGTTTCAGCAGCAAGTTGGGAAAATTGTTCGGACCAGCCAGAATTTGCGAGTTGGATTTTGAGGTAATTGTATATGTCTTGGTATTTCCCCGAGGCTATCAATTCCTGCTCGATCTTTGCCTTTATATCCTGGGATGACATTGATAAAATAAATATAAGAAAAATATTTATGGTGTGTGGTGTATGTTTAGGAAAATTGGTACCTCAATTTTAAGGAAGATGAGTAGCAACATTAATTTGCACAACGCCAAGGTGACTAAGGTCTGGCCCGTGGCCAATAACGAGGCAAGGTGGATCAAGCTCGACAAGCTTGCCTACGTCGGGCCCGATGGAAAGTCGCGCGAGTGGGAAATGGCCTCCCGTACAACTCGTCCTGCAGGCAGCAAAGTGGATGGAGTGGGGATCATCGCGATCATCGAGAAAGAATCTGGACCAGAAGTTGTTCTTCAAAAACAATTCCGGCCTCCAGTCGAGGGTATTTGTATTGAAATGCCCGCTGGATTGGTCGATCCAAACGAGACGTTGGAAGAATGTGCCATGAGAGAGCTTAAGGAGGAAACAGGATACATTGGGAAAGTTTTAACGTCTGGTCCAGTTGTTTACAACGATCCGGGCTTCTGCAACACGAACACAGTGATTGTCACTGCCAGCATTGACATGGCTGATCCAAGAAATCAAAACCCGGAGCCTCATTTAGAGGAGAGTGAGTTTATCGAGATATTTACGGTCCCGTTGGCTTCATTCTACGAAAGTCTGGAACAATTGGCCTCTGAAGGTTATAGGCTTGATGCGCGGTTGCAAATTATAGCCATGGGTATGAAGCTGGGGAAACGGTACAACTAGTGTATCCACTGAATTTAAATATCGAGAGATATTAAAGATATATATGTAAAGTGGGGGAAAAAGATATTCATTACCGATCAGTTGGTTAGATATTGGGGAAACTGTATTTCCCCCACTGTTCTGACACGTATACTTTATGCCAACGTCGCTGCGGAAGAATATATCTTCTACTGCTCCCCACTAAGCGCTAGGGGACACGATATGGTATCACGTGAATTGTTTTTCGTCAAAATTATTTCTAGCAACAATGGCCAGACCAAGAGTAAGTAGGGATCGGCTCCGAATACTGACATATTAGCTGATTTTGCTTGTGCGGCACGGCGAGTCACAGGGAAACAAGGACAAATCGGTCAACAGATATGTTGCGAACCATAAAGTTCCGCTGACTCCCAAAGGACACCTTCAAGCAGCAGAGGCAGGAGCCCAGTTGAGGGAGTTCATCACACCAGACGATACGATATGCTTCTACACTTCGCCTTATTTACGTGCCCGCCAAACCTTGGAGGAAATGGTGGAGGCCATTGAGGACATGGGTGTACAATACAAAACTTACGAAGAGCCCCGCATGAGAGAACAAGATTTCGGAAACTTTCAGGGTACCAGCGAAGAAATGGAAGAGATATGGATTGAGCGCGCCCAGTATGGTCATTTCTTCTACAGAATTCCCCACGGTGAGAGTGCAGCGGACGTTTATGATCGGTGCGCTTCTTTCAACGAAACCCTTTTCCGGCAGTTCAGCAAATCAAATTTCCCTTCTGTACTTGTGCTTGTGACACACGGGATATGGGCCCGTGTGTTTCTGGCCAAATGGTTCAGATGGAGCGTGGAGGAATTTGAAGACTTACAAAACGTTCCCAATTGTAAATGGATTGTGATGGAGAAGAACGATAGCACACAGCGATACAAGCTGAAGACCCATTTGAGCACATGGTCTGAACTGGAAAGGGGAAAGAGGGACGAAGAGATCAAACGAGACACAGGGGATGAGTTCACATTTAATAGCACGGTCCCGGTTACAGATAGCGAGGTCGACCAGGTTGCAAATGCAGAGATCCGCGCCAGAGACGAGCAGATGGCAAAGTCAGTCAAGATCAAAAAGATGTTTGACAAATTGAAGCTTGGAGAACAGGGCGCTGACGATGATCACGATGACAAAAGCTGCCAAAATCAGGTGTAGGGGAAATTTTATCTAGAGATTAAAATATCTAGGCTATTGAATTTTATAGCCGATGAACTTCGCTAATTAGCCCACAGTGGTATAAAACGTTGGCACCACCAACATTTCAAGCTGCATAGTCCTGTTTCCCGTGTTTCCTGGAGTTTTGACACCCATTTCGGAGCAACGCAAAACCTCAACCCGTGACACATCCTTACCCCGGCAAAAAACCTTGCATCGGAGCTTTCCTGTACGCTTCCAAAAGTCATCACACTATATAAAAAAAAGCTCCTCCCCCCGTGTTGGATAAAATTTAAACCCCCCACATATTATCAAAATGGTACGTTCAGGTTATTCATTACTCCAGGCAATCTCGGCGCACTTGAGACCCTCTGATTCTTTTATAAACACAGAAACTAACACTCTACCGCAGGCAAGACAATTTTTCGTTGGAGGAAACTTCAAAATGAACGGCTCTAAGGAGTCGATCCAAACCATTGTTAAGAACCTCAATTCCGCTTCTCTTCCTTCAAATGTGGAGGTTGTGATTGCTCCTCCAGCCCCATACCTTTTCTGGGCTTCTGAGCACAACAAGCAATCCACCGTTGAGATTTCTGCCCAAAACTGCTTTGACAAGGCCTCCGGTGCTTACACCGGTGAAATCTCCGCAGTCTCTTTGAAGGACTTGGGTATTCCATGGGTTATCTTGGGACACTCTGAGAGAAGAACCATTTTCAAGGAGACCGACGAATTGATCGCTTCGAAGACCAAGTTTGCTTTGGACTCCGGTTTGAAGGTGATCTTGTGTATTGGTGAGACCTTGGAGGAGAAGAAAGCTGGAAAGACTCTCGAGGTCTGCAAGAGACAGTTGAAGGCTGTGACCGATGTTGTCTCCGACTGGACCAACATCGTCATCGCTTACGAGCCTGTTTGGGCTATTGGTACCGGTCTTGCTGCCACCGCAGAAGACGCACAAGAAATCCACAAGGACATTAGAGAGTACTTGAGTACTGTTATCGGTTCCCAATCCGAGAGCGTCAGAATCTTGTACGGTGGCTCTGTGAGCGGTAAGAACGCCAAAGACTTCAAGGACAAGACCGACGTGGACGGGTTCCTTGTTGGAGGAGCTTCTTTGAAGCCAGAGTTCGTTGACATCATTAAATCCAGAGAGTAAATAGATACAATTACTTATCTTCGTCTTCTTCAAACAGTCCAAGTAAGTTCACTTCCACCATGAGGGATTTCGAGATCTGGATGGCTCTATCTTCGCATTTCTTGATCGACCCGCTTATGCTTGAGCATTTGATTATAACATCTTGGCCTCGAAGTTGGCTTATAAAAGTTAACGCTGCCACAACGTGACGTGCATTTTCTCTGTGTACTCGGATGATTCCTGTGCATGTGCGATTTGAAAAGTATTTGATGGATAAAGAGCCTGCTGTTGATAGTCCATAGTCACCAAAATTTGTTTGTAAACTCTTCCTGATTTCCTGCACTAGCAGTTTGGGGGTGATTTTTGGATCGCATGGTCTGTGCAAAGCCAAAATGGCATTCTTTCGATCCTCATAGAAAGTCTCTCCTGGCTCAGGGTCCAGTATTTCAAATAGTAGGTATCTTGACTTGAGACGGACCATAAAGAAAAAAAAGTTGCCGATTCGCGCGGCTCGACTGAAATATTATCAGGTTTTTTTTTTTGCACCCACCAACGGCAAACTTTCTACTAGTCTTTTGTTTCCGGCAAAGTGTATGAACATTTGCTGTCTACAGCGTCATACACGGAATTTTCAGGTTTTAGCACAAATTCGCAACATGTCGCAACAATGGACAGCTCCTAAAGTCAGAAATACGTTTCTGGACTACTTCAAGGATAGAGGACACACATTTGTTCCTTCGTCTTCTGTGATCCCTCATGACGATCCAACTCTTCTTTTTGCTAACGCTGGTATGAACCAGTACAAGCCTATTTTCTTGGGAACAGTCGATCCTTCGTCTCCTTTCGCTACTCTCAAGAGTGCTGTTAATTCTCAAAAATGTATCAGAGCAGGAGGAAAGCACAACGATTTGGAAGATGTGGGAAGAGACTCTTACCACCACACGTTCTTCGAGATGTTGGGAAACTGGTCTTTTGGTGATTACTTCAAGAAGGAAGCTATCGAGTATTCCTGGGAGCTTCTGACCAAAGTCTACGGTTTAGAACCAAGTAGACTATATGTCACTTATTTTGAAGGTGACTCAAAGGCCGGCCTCGAGCCAGATCTTGAAGCCAAACAGTACTGGAAAGATGTCGGTGTTGCTGACGACCATATTCTTCCAGGTAACGCCAAGGACAACTTCTGGGAGATGGGTGATCAAGGTCCATGTGGTCCATGTTCCGAGGTCCACTATGACCGTATCGGAGGCAGAAATGCTGCTTCCCTTGTGAATCAGGACGACCCTGACGTGTTAGAGATCTGGAACAACGTGTTCATCCAGTACAACAGAGAGGCCGACGGCTCGCTTAAGCCACTCCCAGCCAAGCACGTTGATACCGGTATGGGCTTTGAAAGACTTGTTTCTGTTTTGCAGAATGTGCGATCCAATTACGACACCGACGTCTTCCAGCCTTTGTTCTCAAAGATTCAGGAGATCACCGGTGTCAGACCATACTCTGGTAAGTTTGGAAAGGACGACATCGATGGTATCGATACTGCCTACAGAGTTCTCGCTGACCATGTGCGTACCTTGACTTTTGCTCTTGCTGATGGAGGTGTTCCAAACAACGAGGGAAGAGGTTATGTTTTAAGAAGAATCTTGAGAAGAGGTGCTAGATACGTGAGAAAGTACATGAACTACCCAATTGGAAAATTCTTCTCTCAGTTGTCTCCAACTCTTATCGAGCAAGTTAAGGATATTTTCCCAGAAATTGCTGCTGATACCGACACCATCTTCGAGATTCTTGACGAGGAGGAAGCTTCTTTCTCTCGTACTTTGGATCGCGGTGAGAAGCTTTTTGAGCAATACGCTCTCATTGCTTCAAAGACTCCAGAACAAACATTGGTCGGAAGAGACGTTTGGAGACTTTATGACACTTATGGATTCCCAGTGGATCTTACTAGATTGATGGCTGAGGAAGCCGGACTCAAAATCGATGAAGAAGGCTTTGAACAGGCAAGACTTGCTTCTTTGGAGGCTTCGAAGGGAACCGGAAGCAAATCCGGAAAGACCCTTTTGAAACTTGATGTTCACGTGCTGGGATCTTTGGACGCTAACAAGGATATTCCAACCACTGATGACATTTACAAATATGGCACTGAAGACATTAAGACCAAGATTGTTGGAATTTATGACGGCAAGGAGCTTCTCACAACCACCAAGGATACCCAGGAGGGTGAGCAGCTTGGTATCTTGCTGGAAAAGACGCCATTCTATGCTGAGCAGGGAGGCCAAGAGTACGACACCGGAAAGATCGTCATTGACGGAGTTGCTGAGTTTGAGGTTGAGAACGTCCAGAGCTACGCTGGTTACGTCCTGCACACTGGTCACATTGTGGAAGGTACTCTTTCCGTTGGAGACAACGTTATCGCTGGCTATGACGAGCTCAGAAGATGGCCTATTAGAAACAACCACACTGGTACTCACATTCTTAACCTTGCTCTCAGAGAGATTTTGGGTGACGGCGTTGACCAGAAGGGTTCTCTTGTTGCTGCTGAGAAGCTGCGTTTTGATTTCTCACACAAGGCCGCTGTTTCTCTTGATCAATTGAAAAAGGTTGAGGAAATCTGCAACAAGACCATCAAGGCTAGTTTGCCAGTGTACTCCAAACCAGTCACTTTAGACACCGCCAGATCTATTTACGGATTAAGAGCTGTTTTTGGTGAGACATATCCTGACCCGGTCAGGGTTGTTTCCATTGGTGTTCCTGTGGATACTCTTCTTGCTGAGCCAAATGAGAAGAAATGGTACGACTACTCGGTGGAGTTCTGTGGAGGAACTCACGTTGCTAAGACCTCTGATATCAAGGAGTTTGTGATTATCGAAGAAAGCGGAATTGCAAAGGGTATCAGAAGAATTGTTGCTGTTACAGGCACTGATGCCCATGAGGTTCAACGTGTTGCCAGAGAGTTCGACGAGCAGCTGACTCAAATCGAGAAGATGCCATTTGGCGAGTCCAAGGAGAAGAAGTTGAAGGAGACCAGCACCAAACTTGGTCAACTGTCAATCAGTGTGATCGAGAAGGCTCAGTTAAAGGAGAAGTTTGCCAAGATCGACAAGGCCGTGAAGGACGAGATCAAGACCAGACAGAAGGCAGACACCAAAAAGACTTTGGACACTGTCAAGGGATACTTCACAGAACACAAAGAGGCCCCATTTTTGGTGAAACACATTGACATTTCTGCCAACGCCAAGATCATCACCGAAACCATCAACCTGATCAAGAAGGAAAACAAGGACAAGTCTCTGTTCTTGATCACTGGGCAAAAGGCTGATCCTCGTGTCGCTCAAGGTGTCTACATCAGTGACGAGCATCTTGGCAAAGTTCAAGCCACCGAAGTTGCCAACCTTGCAGCCTCATTCATCGGAGGAAAGGCCGGTGGTAAGGGTAACGTTTGCCAAGGTATGGGTACCGAACCTGAACATATTGACGAGGCCATCTCTGCCGTTGAGAAGTTATTGGAGACTAAATTGATTATGTAAGAAAAACAAATTAATCATGTTTTTAGCATTCCTTGTTGTCCTATGGGCAGTGGCGTACGCCAGTGATTTGGGTGATGTGCCGTATGGAGTAGACAACCCACTCAACTTTGTGGAGGATAGCATATTTGAGCGGTTGGTGGAGAGATCCCTGGAAGATAGTGGGGTATACGGTGACAACTCGATTTCCTCGTCGATAGGGTTCAACAACTCACAGACATATGCTATCGCAATCGATTCTCACAGAGCGAGCGGAAATATGTCTCTAGAGGTCACCATAGACTCGCGGCCTCCAAGTTGGAACGGCAAAGGTGTGGGTTTGACCCTTTTCTACAACTTTGACGATGATCTGACAGATCTGGGAAAGAGCACAGAAATTGTGTTTAAAGGTTCCAACGGCATTATCTCCCTCTCAGACGAGCAGGTAGGCTCTCATACAATGATGTTTACACGAATTCAGTCGAGCGGGTGTTCCGACTGTCATGACGGTGAAGAATGGAAGTATTCCATGGAGATCACGTCAGGGACTATCTACTTCAATTATACGGGAACGGCTCTGGTTTCTTTAATAGACACGGATTCTGACAGCGCGTTATTCAGTTGTTCCTCCCTTTGGGCCAACCCGGGCTCGCAATTCAATTTATCGCTGTATTCCGACGAAGAGTATACGGATTTGGTGAGTTCTCGAGAGATTAACAACTCAACGGTCAGCGGGCCCCACAACCTTCTTTTGATGGAAGATCTCGAGCAATCGACCTCGTATTACGCTGTTTTGACGGAACTTTTGCAGGATAGTGGAGTGCTACTGACTCACCAAAGACTCAATTTCACCATTGAAGATATACCGGCTTGCAAGATCATCTACAACTTGGATTTTTGCACTAATGTGGCTTATGCCGTGCCGGCATCTGCTGCATTTGCTAATGGGAGCCAGAGCGTCTCCGAGTTGGCGTCATCGTATGACAATTACACTGCTGCCCAATACCAGAACTTTGAGTACGCTATGCAACAGATCCCATGCGACACAGAGTTGGACGCCCGATACTCTCCGATCAAGACTTGCGATGATTGTCGTACATCGTACCGGAATTGGCTGTGTGCAGTTTCAATTCCACGCTGCTCAACGCTGGATGCCCCACTGTACAAATCGTATAACAAGTCTGAGGGACGTAACGACTTCATCGCAAAAACAATACAGCCGCCGTTCAGCTACTACGAGGTGCTTCCTTGCGTTAATATCTGCCAGGCAATGGTGCGAGACTGTCCTGCAGAATTTGAATTCAAGTGTCCTATCTCTGAGTCATTTATTAAGCTCAGTTATAGCGACGACAAGTATTTGAGCGACGGCGAAGAATATGTCGCTTGCAACTCCTTGTCTTTGACTGCTACCAGCGGGGCATCACTGCTAAAAGTGCCTTGGATTCTATTACTGGGCGCTCTTATGGTGTGTCTATGAACAATCTACATTTAATTTTCGAGTTTTGCCCGCTTAGTATCCGGAACTTGCTCTGAAGACTTGGTCAAGGCATCAAACTCCTCTCTGACATTCACAGAGCCGCCTTTCTCAAACACTTTCATGAGAACAGTACCCCATACCTTTGCATCATTGTTCTCAAAATCTTCGATCTCGAAAACATTTTTCTTCAAATCCCATTCCGCTTGTTTGTGACGAACAAGCTTCACCATGTACGAGGACGAGCCGACCGCACGGCCAATGTCGCTGATCAGCGAGCGAATGTATGTTCCGGAGGACACTTTGGATGTGAAGTGGAGCAGAGGAGCCTTGAAATTTTCGGGCACCTCCTTGATCTCATGCACAGGTTCGGGCTCTGAGCTGAGACTTGAGTCTGCCTTGCACTTCTCCATGTACTCATTTGAGAACGTGACATGGTGATCGTTCAATGTGGGGTTTCCGCTCAACTTATCCACCAAAGCTGTTCCGTCCTCATCAATCTCACTTTTCAGGAATTCATACCCATGATCTGTCGACAGCGAGTCGTCTGCGACCTGGAGTTCGTACACCTGGACCTCTCTAGGCTCGATTTTGCGTGGAAGCGGTAGACCACGCCGAGCGTACTCGTACAGAGGCATACCTTCCATTTTCAGAGCACTGAAGATCGGAGGGGTTTGTTGCAGGTGGCCGACAAATCTTTGAGCTGTCTGGGCGAGCAATTCCTTTGTGATATGGTCTGTTCCGCTGATAGATAACAACTGGCCTTCAGAGTCTCCTGTTGTGGTTGATCCACCAAACAGAGCTTCGGCCTCATACACTTTCACAGACCCGTTTAGATAGTCTCCGAGTTTCTTCGTGCCTGCTCCGACTCCGACGATCAGAACACCCTGTGCGAGCGGGTCCAAAGTGCCGCCGTGTCCCATTTTCACCTTGAGCTGTCTGAGCCGTCTTTTGTAACCTTTGGGCTTGTTGCGTTCGAGATCGTTTCTAATCTCGTCTAGGGCCGGCTTGAAATTCTCCGACTCGTTGAATATCTTGTTCACACGGGTCAGGAAGTTTGCCGACGTGACACCAGACGGTTTATTTATAGCAAAGACTCCGTCCATTAGTCTACGGTACATAGATTTTCAGCTAGGAAAAAAATTATTTAATCGTATCAACTTTTTCCCTAGCTGTTCATTACGTCAACAATGTCTATTCAACTGCTTGTAGCGGATTTATCTGCGCTGGTGTCGGAGACCAAGCGGAAGAACGCAGATATCCGCCATGCTGCCGACAAGTCATTGGACATATTGAAGAATTCCCAGGGTAAGGACGAAAAGACGTTCTTGAGGTCGTTGTCCCAGAATGCGGACTTTATCAACCCCATCTTGCTGGCGTGCCAGTCCAAGAACGCCAAGTTGACGGGAATCGCTCTCCAGTGTCTTAGTCGTCTCATCATGACTCACAGCCTACCAGTTACCAAGATAGACCTCATCATTGACGCATTGCTTGAATCCACTCACTCCTCTATTGACATACAACTCAAGATCTTGCAATTGTTGCCGTCGTTCTTCCAGTCGTACTCGCTGTTCATTGCGGACGATTCGCTCTCGAAGCTCCTACTCGTGTGCTCCTCTTTGCAGAGTACGAACAGAATGGGGGCGGTCATCAACACCGCCCAAGCCACCTTTCTGCAGCTGGTAAATCTTGCTTTTGAGAAGGTCCACGACGAGGACAAGAGACCCGAAAACGAGCAGACGTTCCAGGTCCCTGTTGGATTACATGAGACAAAACAGATCGCTGCGTGCGCGTACGACGCTCAGCGGATCGTCAACGACCTGTGCACACTGATCGAACACCACAAACCTGCGTTCCTCAAGACTAACTACATCACAGAGGACTTTGGGTTCGAGCTGCTCGAAAGTATCGTCAAGAACAATAAGGGAATGTTTCTCAGCCACCAGGAACTGTCTCATCTGCTTCGCATCCGTGTGGCTCCTATTCTGCTGCGGTTCTTATCGTCCAGCAAGGACTTCACCGTAATGGTGCGTGTTTCGCGACTCATCTCGTTGCTGATCCACGAGCAGTTCCAGGAACTCAAGATCGAGTCTGAGGTCACCATGTCATTGCTCACACATACGCTGGCAAAGGAGTCCGCTTCTCCCGCATGGAAACGGATTCTTGCTCTTGAAATTTACAGATCGCTGTTCAAAGACTTCAACCTCGTGGCAGATATCTTTGCCGAGTACGACGACAACCGCACAGAGGAGCGGAAACATGTTTTGGACGAGTTCCTGAAAGAATGTCTACAGATCGTTACAGATGGTGGCAGTCTGCTAAACACAGGAGATCTGGTCCAGACCCCACTTGTTTCAACTCCAGAACCAGCTACACAGCCGGCCTCTAAGCAAAAGAAGCCATCAACAGTATCCCAATCTGCATCGACTCGTCAAGAAGACAAGACCCAGGGCCTATCGGTGTCGAAGTCGTCTATCAAATTTGCCTACATTGACTCCCTGGACAAGGCTGACCCACCTCAAGCCCCAGATACTTATGTGTTGTATCTGGTGTCGCAAACACTGATAAGTTTCTGTGAAGGAATCTGTAATTCGACTCTCGACTTGGCCAGAGACGGCGAAACCGTCTCTTTCCTTGACGAAACCACCTTCACCGACAAACAGAAGAAAGATAAGTACGAGCTGTTAAAGAACATGGTGCTGTTCAACTGGAAAAATTTACTGGAACTGCATAAGAACTTTGTCTATTCGTCGCTGGACACAGAGCTATTTAGCAAGACTCTCCGATCGCTGCAGAAACTGTGTCATGCATCAGGAATACTATCGCTTAAGGATATCAGAAACGAAATCCTCAACTTTTTCGCTATTTCTACGCTGAAGCTGACAGGCAAAGAGGGCCACCAGAACCGGTTTTTGTCGTTTGGAGAGTCCATAGTTGGAACAATCAGTTTGACAATAGGCAATGCTGTCTCCAATATGTCTCACCCAGCACCGCCCGAATCTGACCAGATCCAACTGTACACAAGAAACATCAACCCGCGCCAAATTATGTGTTTCAGAGTATTGATCAGTCTGGCAACGTCGCTCGGTGCCGTTTTGGAAGAAAATTGGGATATCATTTTTATCACTCTTCAATGGGTCAGCTATTATCTTGACGGACCGTCTGACTTGAAGGTGAAAGAGATACCTCCGCTTCCAAGCTCTTTGTCGGACACAGACTTGGGTTTTGTTGAGTCAACTTTGAAAAAGTTGACAGAGAGCATCAAGGCACAGTCCAAGGACGTGTTTAACGCAGCAGTAAAGTCTCTAATCAGACTCTCTGACACGGTGATCAAGACTTCTCTGACGGCAGAGGACAAACGAGGTCTGCGCCCGGTTTACGAAGGTAAGCTCGAGCCGTCCATCTTCAACAAGAGTTTCTTCATCAACAAACTCACAGACATCTGCGAGATCAGTCCAGTGCAGTTTTTGATCGAGTCTGACGAAAACTGGTCAACCGTGGTGGATTTTTGTACCAACACCGCCAAGGACAGAGACCTCGAAGATAATCTGCGACTGATGATCACAAGAAACTTCAACACCATCACCAAAAGCGCTGCAGTTACCGGATTCGATTCCAATGTGGAAGCTACGCAAAGCGAGACAGAAAAAAAGATTCTGAATGCTTTAAATAACTTCATCGAAACATTCGCCAAGCTACCAATTTCGAGCGAGATATTGATTACGAACTGCGAAGTTGAAGTTCAATTGCTAACCCTAAACACTTTGAAAGACATTGTGGATCAATATGGAACTTCCATCAAACACCATTGGGGTGTGATCACACAGATGCTGAACAGTCCGTTTGAGATAATCGGCAATGTCGACACGGAGATGCTGCAGGAGCGCCCTGTGACAGAGATTATCATTTCCGTTCTGCGCTCCACGTTTGAGACCTTAAAAGTCATTTTGGACACCGTCCTGCAGAGTATTGCAAAGGATCAAATCAAGGCCATTATCGACTGTCTTTACAACTTTGTGTCTCAGAGGTTTAACCTCAACATTTCGTTCAATTCCATCAGTTATTTCTGGCTCATCAGCGATTACCTCAAGGAAAAGATCGAATCTGGCGAGAAATCATCAGTGGAGACCGAGAAGCCGCTTGGATCATCTGAATGGCCAGAGAAGTTCGAGACCAACGAGTCTCTCTGGATATACATGATCTACCAGTTGTCGAGAACCACTGCAGACCCTAGAACCCAGGTCAGAAACGGGTCGATCCAAACCTTCTTCAACATCATTGACTCTTACGGGTCGCTGTCACCATCTTGGAAACTGATCTATGATATCACGCTAAGTCCTATTATTATGACGATTCCATCATCGGATAACTTGTCAGGCGAATGGGTCGAGAGCTTCACATTAATTGTCAACGGCCTAACTAAGCTATATTCCCAGTACCTCACAGACTTTACAGACAAGGCAACCATCGAGTTCTGGAGCGGCCTGTTAGAGTTCTTCACCAAGCTGACAAAGGTCGAGCCAACCTTCACCGAGCTGAACTTGCAGGTATTCAAAGCTTTTGAAAGTCTAGTTGTGAGTGTTGGTCCCAATCCTCCAAAGGAGCTTATCGAAACACTGTACTCTTTCTGGGCAGGATTCCAGATCTCGTACAATCTTTCGAACGACTCGTTATACCAGTCGTCGTTATGTGCATTCATTTCTGCATTTGACGCTCTTTTCAAAGTGCTAGCTCCAGTTCTGACACTACCCAAGTTCGAGCTCATCTTGACAATGCTCAACTCGTGTATTCGGTATCCGATCTTGATAGGTGCCAGCAGTGATACTAACAAATGTACAGAGCTTCAGAACCAGGTGATATCCAGTCTGTCCAGCTTGTCGTTTGACGATCCGAAATACGAGTCACTGTTGATCCAGCAACTCAATTTGATTGTGATACTGCCGTTTTCAACTAGAGATCTCATCCACAAGAAGCTGGGAGCTAGAGACGTGAAGATCCCAACTTTCATTGCTGCAAGCTATGAGGCTCTTCAGTTGCTCAAACAACATCTCTACTCGATCAAGGATCTCACCTTCTTCTTGAATGACAGATGTCTCATCAAAGTGTACAAGGCCCTGTTAGAGCCGTCCAAACTGAAAAGTCCTGTCTACCAATCCAACGGCCATTGTCTTTGGATGGAGAGTATGGACATTCTAGTGCACACGAGTGAGAATATCCATCTGTTGTTGTCAAATGAAAATAGCGTCAAGGACGACATAAAGCTCCAACTGAGTCCGCTGTTGCTAGAAACGTTCAAAACGTCGTTCGGATACTCCATGGAAGAGGTGGAAGGATATGAGGAATTTGATCTGGAGAAGTACGAGCAAATGAAAAACTGCCTTATTCCATTGTTCTCTACCGAGTCGATTGGATCCAGAGGAAACGTCGAGGAATTTATGGTCACTGTCTGGACTTCTTCGTTCTTGTATGTGCTGGACGACGTGGAAAACTCCATCTTGGAATCTTCAAAGTCGCCGTCTGAAGTGTCTGCCAAACTATGCGAGTACGATCTTGATCTTGTTTATGGATCGACGGCAGAACTCTCCAAGATGCCACGACTCAAGTTGGCCAAATCGTGTCTTGAGGATCTGATCAGCTTCTCGTTTCCATCAGAAAACAACACACTATTCGAAAAAGCTCTCCCGTACTTCATTTCTCGGTGCGCGTTTGCTTTGAGAAAGCTACTCAGCGATGAAAGACTGCTGTACAAGCAACCTCTGCCTAAAATACAGCAGATCGAAATCAACACTGTGCTCAATGGCTTGATGTCTATTACCGATGCTCTAGATAAAGTGCCAGACTCGGAGCCAATCTATTCCAAGCTAATGGTGCTATTCCCGCTTCTGGTGCAGGCAATAGCTGTCAAGACAGACACAAACCAACTGATGCAAAAATTGACCATCAAGTTGGGTAAAAAGCATTAAACTGAAGCCTTTCCCTTGATCAGGTTGAAGGTGCGGTGGTGTACGATGCGTTGGTTTGCGTTGTTTGTGTCGTTGCATCACGCGGACTGCCGCTCAGCTCCAACAAGGAACTATCCTGAAATCCGTTGTTTGGCGGGCTCAGAGCTGTGAAACTGTCCTGCAGATTCACAGCGTTATATATTGTCGGAATGGTATGTTTCGCTTGGAGCCCCAGTCTCACTCTTTCGAACTCACGCCATGTCATTTGTACAATCGATGATCCATCGAATTCACCACTTTTGTTATCGTGCGAGCCCTTGTCTCCTCCTTGAAGCTTTCTAGTATCCCCCCAGCTGAAATCATCAAACTTCCAAAATGCATACGCTGGGAGCACAAAGTTCCAAACAGGCAGCGACAGGAAATAGACAAACATCCATAAAACATATGTCAGGTCTGAAATCGTCACTATTATGAGAAGTCCTGGTAAACCGAATATGATCGCCATCAGAATCAGCGACATCACCGGCGTTGGCTTTGACACCATGGCTATCACAATAATGTACAGGGTAAATGTGATCGATGCCGGCAAAACCAGCGTTCCCACCAATTCAACCGCAATGATGAAGTTCATTGAGAAACAGAATGTTCCACACAAGTCTTTCACTAGAACCAGCTCCATTAAATTGTGCACTGTGGAATTGATCCATCTTCTTCTCTGGGACAAGAGCACGGCAAATTTATCAGGAACCACAGTCTTGCAAGCTGCCTTGGCAACAAACACTTGTTTCCGACGGGGGAATGTTCGAAGCATTAACGATGAGAGGTATCTATCTTCACCAAGCAACAGAAGGTTCTTCTTGTGCAAACTGTCGAGCACATTCTCCGAATACTTTTCCACAATGTCTGAATTGGCCAAGATTGGGACCCAGACGTTGAGGTCTTTGGGTGTTTTGATTCTGTACATGCAGAAGCAACCAGGAAGACACGTAACAGTACCGAAAACGGACTCAAAGGCCTTGGATTGGTGATGCGAAATGTAGTACTCAAACACTTGGATAGCTGTGACCCACGATTGTGCCTTATTCGATATTCGAGTTTCTCCACAAAGACCCATGACATCGGGGTTTCTGACCATTTCTGCATTCATGTGTGTCAGAGAGTCCGCATAAACCAAAGTGTCTGCGTCAACCATAAGAACAACTTCATAATACGATGCCATCAGTCCAGTGACTTGCCAAATGGCACGCATCATTTCAAATTCTAACTCAGTCATTCGATCATTGAAAGTCACTTTCTGCAAGAAGGACATCAAAATGATTTGCGAGTCTCTTTTACCTCTGTTTCCAGGCTTCGGATCATTAGATTCTGACGGTGTTCCGCACTTGACGACAAGCAAGACTGGAGTTTTCTGTTGCTTCTCTGGTGGAACAGTGGAGGAGCTATATTTGTAGAATCCGGAATAGACTTTTGCCATGTTATGCCGTTTTGATCCTTGTGCCACGGAAACGTAGGAATATGGCACAACGTCTTCTTTTGGGACAACGAAATCGGTCATTAGTTCGAGACAAATATCAGGTGTTGACTTCTTGTTACCTGCTCCGGTGATTATGCCATCACAGATCACCACAACGAGCTTATGAGAGTTCGGATAATCCGTGGTAGCAAGTGAGTCAAGAGTTGTTCTGATACCATCTTCGTCCTCCGAGTAACAAGTCACTAAACACATTGTGTGGACAAGCGGATAGCCGAATGGCTCCCAATTAACAGGAGGTTGAGGAACTGCGTCCGAACATATCAGATCAGATCCAAGCGTATGTATATCACAATCTTCAGCTGCCCCATGCGATGGACTAGCAATTTCAACTGACTCAGGGCTGAACTGATCTTGTAGTGATTGCTTCGATTGTACTCTGTTATTCCTCTTTTGCCTATTTTTCAAAAGGAAAGCCTCTGTTGTCATGGTGAGAAACTCTGGCTTGTAATCCGGAGGGAGCTCAGACTGCAAGTTCGTCTCAATAATTGCAGATTTGTTGTGAACCCATGGAAACATTAGACCGCTGGCCTTCAGGTTCCTGGTCAGCTGGTTAGTGGTTATTTTGCCACTATTGGACAGAGAAGTTGACTTAGGCTCGTTTTCCCAGACCTTGTCAGAGCTTTCCAGCTGGGAAAAATCTTTGATAATGGATGAGGAAACACCTTGTTTCCTGGCAATGAACCACTTGAAGTAGCATGCAACAATGAACTTGATGAAGACGATAGATAAGACAAACACCAAGGAAACATATAGAACTATGGTAGCAGCAATGCATCCAATTGTGTCCACATCAACAACACCCACCTTGATGATTTCAACAAGGCAGTTAGCGGCCTGACGTTCATGTGGCTCAGTGAGAAGTAAAGAAAGATCATGCCCTTTCATGGCTGGGTCATGTTGCAGTTTGTCAAACATTTCAGGATATTCCAGGTCATCTTTTTGGAGCCAGTTCAAAAGATCCATATCAAGCACATATCCATTGTAGACAACCAAGTTTCGAGTACCGTCAGTTATAGATTCCCAGGTGAAATAGACGTCACCCTGGATATCTAAACTGTAGAAAGTATTTCTTGCTTTGTCAGATGTGTGACATGCGTAACCGTTATAGTGCGATTGGGTGAAATTTGGAACAGAAGATCCGTCAAGATTTATCATCTTGCAAGGCATGTACCAAGCCAATTCATCATCTGTGTGCGGTATAGTACAGTTTGGACGCGGGTTAATCAATCCTTTGCAGTTTCCGTTGACGTTTTGAAAAAGGAAGCTCGCATCTTTTCCTCCCGCGTTGACGGGAGGATACAATATGTTTGTTCCTGCTTCAATTCCTGGAGCTGCAGGGTGTGATGAGTGATCTAGCAAGTATGCTCGTCCGTTGATCACCAGGTAACCAGTTGATATATCTGAGGGTTTCAATCTCATTCGGATCCCCGTGCAAGTAGTTCTTGTGAATCCAAATGTTAGAAATGCGATGATTACACCCGTGCACACAATGATCGAGATCAATGCCATTTTCTCTCTCCAGGCGTACTGCCTCTCTTTTGTTTTGAATCCAAATAAGGAAAGCAAAGGAGGTGGTGCCCATATTGTTATAGCGTAGCAATAAAGTCTCCAGAATGAGAACATTGGAGGGTCTGATTCCAGTCTTTTCACTGGGGGCAGAGCAGGACTAGTATGTTTTGACGGCTGCTGGGAAAACATTTCCAGCTCGACTGGTTCTGAGGGTGGATCTGCAATCTGGGAAAATGGTGGGATATATAGCAGGGGGGTTTTGGAGGTATTGGGTTGTGAATCTTGAGTGCTTCGCGGGCGCCTAAAGATCCGAGTTGACTGGGATCTGGGGAATTTGGGGCCTGGCTCAGAACGATTTCTCCGTAAGTGTCCAATGGCTCTATGGGAGCGAGATCTGGACAAGGAGATCTCTCGTGAGTATCTAAGCGAACGCTCTCTCCGAACGAGGGATCTTTTCCTCCCTATTCTTTGGGCTTCCGGATCGATTCGACTAAAGTCATGGCCCGCGATTGTGAACGATCGGGAGTGCCTTTGTTTTTCCATAGATTGAGCGGTAATCTTGAAAAGGGGAGAGAAAAATAGGAGAAGTATAGAAGGTGAGTGTGGCTAGTACAACAAAGTTATATATTGTGGCGAGGGAAATAATTTTGGGGCGAGTGAAGGAGTGGAACCATGGTCAGAAGAGATTGTGTTTTTAAACTTGGAAATGCCTTGAATAGGATCGCATACCGTACTAGCATGGTATAGCAATCGCAAAACGACCACAAATTAGCGCCAAGTCAACCTCCCCCACCGCTGAATGTTTCCATTCTATTTACCCAAATTTATAAATTACTTACTTTCGCGTCAGTAATTATCCCAAAAAGGCAGGATCGCGGCTTAAATGTTTCACTCCTACAAAATAATTCTTTTCTCATCATGTCGAGACGTAGTCCGAAGAAGAGAACCATTATTGACGATGAGAGCGACGAAGAGGTTGGGATGAGCTCTGCCGTGCACTCATCACCAGCTCCGGCCTCCTCGATCCAGTCGTCGCCGCGTAATATGCCTTCTTCCCCAGGTATCCCCTTTGAGGACGACGAAGAAGAGGAAGAACGCGAATATTTCAACGACGTCGATGATCTGGAGGAGCAACTTGAGGAACAGACCGGTGTTGATCTGATTGGCGAAGGGATGGAGCGCGATTATGCAGTGAACACCGAACAAGACAACTATGACGAGGCCGATCTGGACGACCAAGAGTACGACGAAATTTCCGCCGCAGACAGAAGACGCGTTGACCAGATGTTGAATCAACGTGACCAGCTTGTTAGAGGTGCCAATCTAGATCTGGACGATGCTATGGAAGGTGATGTCCAAAGAGACGAGTACGGTCTCCCAATTCAAAGACGTCGTAGAAGACACAGATACGACGAAGATCCGGAAGACTACCTGGACGACATGGATCCGTTAACCGAGGAATTGAGTTTAGAGTCCCTCGCAGAGGTCAAGGCACCATCCATCTTGGAGTGGATTGTGATGCCAAACGTGACTAGATCCATCGCCAGAGAACTCAAGTCGTTCTTATTGGAATACACCGACGAACAAGGCCGTTCTGTGTACGGTAGTCGGATTCGGACCCTTGGTCAGCTCAACAGCGAGAGTTTAGAAGTCTCGTACGTGCATCTGCTTCATTCCAAGGCGGTCCTTGCTTTGTTCTTGACCACATGTCCCGAGGAGATGCTAAAAATTTTTGACGTGGTCGCCATGGAAGCCACAGAGCTTCACTACCCAGACTATAGTCAGATCCACTCGGAAATTCACGTCAGGATTGGTGATTATCCTACAAGCAGCAACTTGAGAGAGCTCAGACAAGCCAGCTTGAACTCGCTTGTGCGTGTTAGCGGTGTGGTTACCAGAAGAACTGGTGTTTTCCCGCAATTAAAGTACGTCAAGTTCAACTGTCTCAAGTGTGACGCGGTTCTTGGTCCGTTTTTCCAGGACTCAAATCAGGAGGTGCGTGTAACGTTCTGTACTAACTGTCAGTCTCGTGGTCCTTTCAGAATGAACACCGAGAAGACACTCTACAGAAACTACCAAAGGATCACTCTTCAAGAGTCACCAGGATCTGTTCCTGCTGGAAGACTGCCCCGCCACAAGGAAGTGATCTTGCTCTGGGACTTGGTTGATGTTGCCAAGCCTGGAGAAGAGATTGAAGTCACCGGAATATACAAGAATTCTTACGATGGATCGCTGAATGCCAAGAACGGATTCCCCGTGTTCACCACAGTGATCGAGGCAAACGCAATCAAGCGCAGAGAAGGAGCCGCCAAGGGTGTGACCGACGGCTCGTTGATCGAGGGAGGCCTTTCTCCATTCCAGTGGACGGAAGAGGAAGAGAAGAAGATCCGCCAGTTGAGTAAAGACCGTCACATCATTGACAAGATCATCTCGTCCATTGCTCCCTCCATCTATGGCCACAAGGATATCAAGACAGCTGTGGCATGCTCGCTTTTCGGAGGTGTTCCTAAAGATGTTAACGGAAAACACTCCATTCGTGGAGATATCAACGTGTTACTGCTTGGTGATCCCGGTACTGCCAAATCGCAGATCCTCAAGTATGTGGAAAAGACTGCCCACAGAGCCGTTTTCGCTACTGGTCAGGGAGCTTCTGCCGTTGGTCTGACTGCTTCGGTGCGGAAAGACGTCATCACGAGAGAATGGACGCTGGAAGGAGGAGCTCTGGTGCTTGCCGACAAAGGTGTGTGTTTGATTGATGAGTTTGACAAGATGAACGATCAGGACAGAACGTCGATCCACGAGGCGATGGAACAGCAGTCGATTTCGATCTCCAAGGCCGGTATTGTGACCACTTTGCAGGCCCGGTGTTCGATCATTGCTGCTGCCAACCCGATTGGAGGTCGTTACAACTCGACATTGAACTTGCTGCACAACGTGAACCTGACAGAGCCGATTTTGTCGAGATTCGACATTCTGTGTGTGGTGCGAGACCTGTTCAATCCCGAGGCCGACGAGAGACTGGCCGGTTTCGTGATTGACTCGCACATGCGGTCGCATCCTGCGGGTGAGGTGTCTGCGAGCGAGAAAGAGCACGAGATTTCTCCGATCGAGCAGGACTTCCTGGTGAAGTACATCCACTACGCACGCACGAGAGTCCACCCGAAGCTTAACCAGATGGACATGGACAAGGTTTCGCGGGTGTACGCAGATTTGAGACGTGAGAGCAACACTACAGGCTCGTTCCCGATTACTGTGAGACATTTGGAGAGTATATTGAGAATTGCGGAGTCCTTTGCCAAGATGCGGTTGAGCGAGTACGTGTCAAGCTCTGACCTTGATCGGGCAATCAAGGTGACCATCGACAGTTTTGTTGGAGCTCAAAAAGTGAGTATTCGGAAACAGCTGCACCGCAGCTTTATGAAATATACCCTTCCTCAGCGAGCATGAATGTGTATAGATGCAACGAAAGAGATCATTCCTGGCTATTTTGAGTCACTTCCGACACCAGCTTGTCGAAATCTTTAGAGTCCTTGAACATTTGGCGTAGATGGTCAACCCCGACAGATCTGGCTGGATCGGGGCCGGCGACATGTGTAGCATTGGCCTCAGACTGCTCTGTGCCGCTCAATTCGCGCGACTCTGAATAAACAGGGCGAAGACGTGCCCCCACCCGATTATGTACACTCATTTTTTCGGTGTATCTTATAATGGGCCGAAATTTCGAAAAAGATGTTATTTTTTAATCTTCAATGGCCAAACAGACATACACTCCAGCACAAATCTTCCGTTTCATTCCCAACATAATAGGCTATCTCCGCGTGCTGACGCTGATCGCGTCGTTCTTCACGATGGAGAACCACCCAAAGTTCACTATGTGCGTTCTGTACTCAACATCGTGTCTCCTGGACGCCTTTGACGGCTACGCTGCCAGAAAATACGACCAAAGCACAACGTTCGGCGCGGTTTTGGACATGGTCACCGACAGATGCTCGACGTGCTCGTTGATTGTGTTTTTGACCCGGCTCTACCCCGATTGGTTCATCCTTTGGCAATTCCTGATCTCCCTCGACTTGGCCTCTCACTACCTTCACATGTATGCCACCATCACCAGCGGATCCAAGAGCCACAAGTCCATGAAGAAGGACACAAACATCCTGCTCAAGCTCTACTACGAAAACAGAATCGTGCTGTTCTTTGTGTGTGCCTTTAACGAGTTGTTTTACATGGCTTTGTACCTCGATCATTACAACTTTGCCGGTCTACCATTAATCGGCCTCTCGTTCCCTCGTCTCCTTATTTATGTGTCTACTCCTATCTGGTTCTTCAAGCAAATCACAAACGTCATCCAGATGCTTGAGGCTTGCAACACTCTTGCCGTTCAGGACGCCAAGACGTACAACGCGAAGAACGCTTAGGTTAACAAGACTTTGACTATTTTATTACCTCTATCGTTAATAGAATGATACATCTGACGTATTGACATCATACGCGCTCCGCGAGGCCGTGTCGTAGACAAACTTGCTCGACGGCTTCTGGAAGCGTGCTTGTGGCGAGGCAGGACCTTTGTCTCTCGAGAGAAGCTGGTTCCGGATCCGTTCCTGCGGCGTTTCGTGGATCACTGTGTTGGGGATCTTGGTCTGTGAGATGTTCATGTTGGCAAACGACCGCGAAATGTCCAACGCCAGCAGCGACGTGTCGGCCATTTCCTTGGCCGGGCTTCCCTGCACAGCCTTGAGAGAACCTTCCTTTGGAACAAGGTCTTCCTGCACATCTGTGCCGTTCACAAGCGGCAGTCCAAGCAGTTTCCGCTGGCGACTCGTCAAGGGCAGATCCAGGCATTTGTCCTGGGGCCGCAACAGCCGTATCGAGCTCACAACAATGTTCAGCACCAAAACTCCGTAGATCAGTTTGTTCAAGTAGCCCGCGTACTGAGCCACAACCGAGGGGAATAGCGAGGTTCCGTCTTTCAAACGAATCTTGACGTTGACCAGCACCACCACGGCAACAAGAAATCTGTACAATAGAATGATTAATGTGCTGATGATCACTTTGCGAACCTCGGTATCTTTGTTCACCATGCGTTGTAATGCGAGCTCCACGTACGGGCTCTGAAGCTCGGAGTCGTCCTGGGGATCCAGCTTGACCGGCTTCTCCTCCACCACTTTATTGGAGATTTCTTGGAGAGGAGTTTTCCGTCTGGGCTTAAAGATCGAACGCTGATAGATCTGACTATTTAGGGACGCGAACGAGTTGTCCTGGGTTTGTTCTGAGGATTCGGGTGCTTGTTCTTGGAACTTCTTGCGCAGAAGAGGCGACATTGGTCCTTTGGATGGGGTGTTGGGGCCAGCAAGTGGTGTCGAGGCTAATAGCGGTCTACCAGTCTGCGGAACCTTGAACGGCGAATATACTAACGGCTTAATGGGCGTGTTCACCGCGACGTTTGATCGACTGGGAGAAAGAGTGCGTGTGGACTTGCTGGGTGATGGGGAAGGTCGATTCAATGCAATGGGAGTGGACAGATTTGTCGCGTTTGGCGCCGAAAAGTCGATTCGCCGCCGCGTCTGCAAAAATGTATCCTCCTCGGGCGTGTGAAACGTCCCATTAATGGACGACGCCGATGGAGTAAGAAACGACATCACAAACAAACAATAAAACACCTTAAAAAAAAAATCAACTCAAAGCTTTATTACATAAGCATTGTACGAATCTAGTTTAATGGCCAGTATCCCGGGAACAAGTAGTGCATCTTCTCGAGCAATTGCTTGTTTCTTCCCTTCTCCTTGGTACTCACAGAGAACTTCATGGAGTGCTGGTAGTCAAGACCGACCTCTCCGGATTTGATCTTTGGCTCCAAGACGGTGACCAATTTTTCCGCAACCAGATGAGCATTGGCACTGTTGGCAGACAGATTACCCACAACCGTCTCAACAGTGACCGGTTCCTCAGACTCGTTCCAGGCATCATAGTCCGTGGACATACAGATCATCTGGTAGGCGATCTCGGCTTCTCTAGCAAGTTTAGATTCCGGGATGCAGGACATGTTAATCACAGATCCTCCCCACGACTTATACAGTCTAGACTCTGCTCTAGTAGAGAAGGCCGGTCCTTCCATACAAATCAGGGTCAAGTCAGATTTTTCGGTTTCTCTGGTGTGCAACTTAACGTTATCACCTTTGAGCACGTCTTGGCATGTGTCAGCGATGATTTTGTTGAGTTTTAGGTCAAAAGGCTCTCCAAACATAGCGTGAGCCACAAATCCATGCTCGAAAAAGGTAGAAGGTCTATTTCCCTTGGTTCTATCAATAACCTGGTTAGGAACAACAAAGTCACGGGGCTTAATATGTTGCTGGAGAGAACCCACGGCACTAAAAGCCACAATTGTATTGACACCGAGTTTCTTCAAGGCAGCAATGTTAGCTCTACTTGGAACATCTGTTGGTAACAAGTCATGGTGAATACCGTGTCTGGCTAAGAAGGCAATTGGGAATCCATCTGCGGTCTTGGAGATGGTGATTGGAGACGAAGGGAAGCCCCATGGAGTGGACACTGTGAGCTTGGCAACAGGGGTCAGACTCTCAAGATGGTACAATCCAGTACCACCAATGAAGGCTAATCTGACGGGCTCAGCAAATTCGGTGGGAAGAGACATGAAACAAAAGATTGGAAGAATGTGATAAATCTAATTTATTCGGACCTGTATTTTTCATCATGTGGGTAGGGATCTTAATAATCTATTAAGTGGAAGCGCCGATCGACGCGACGAGACTTGGATGTTTTTTTTGGCTGGCTACAAAATTCTGCCATACAGCACAACAACTTTTGATATCGCATAATGTCTGGGTCCGCATCATATCTCACGCTGACCGCGGCGTTGGTGGTTGGCGGCTATATGCTGTTCAATGGCTCAGGAGAAGTGTTTAATGTGGGAGAATATCTGGAAAACATATCGCCATACATGTGGGCCACTCTTGGAATAGGTTCCTGTATTGGTTTCTCGGTTGTTGGTGCGGCCTGGGGAATTTTTATCACGGGCTCCTCGATTCTCGGTGCCGGTGTTAAGGCCCCTCGAATCACCACCAAGAACCTGATCTCCATTATTTTCTGTGAGGTCGTTGCCATCTACGGTCTCATCATGGCCATTGTGTTCTCGTCGAAATTGACGGTTGTGGATTCGGTCTCCATTCTCTCGAAAGAGAACCTTTACACTGGTTACTCCCTGTTCTGGGCAGGTCTCACTGTGGGATTGAGCAATCTCATTTGTGGAGTTGCTGTCGGTGTCACTGGTTCCACCGCAGCCATTTCAGATGCTGCCGACTCCAGCTTGTTCGTTAAAATCCTGGTTATTGAGATTTTCGGATCCGTGCTGGGACTGTTTGGTCTCATTGTGGGACTACTGATGGCCGCAAAGGCGGCCGACTTTTCATAGTTGAAAAACAGATACGTTGAAATCTATCTAAAATCTATAGATGTTCCACTGTAGCTCCATTCTGGGCGGGCTGTAGCAGCTTCCAAACACATTCAACTTTCTCCTGCTTGAACCGTTCAATAATGGCCTCAGCAATCTGGTCAAAGTTCTCGGTCGCGAGACACAGTATCGTTGGCCCTGCTCCACTCAGACAGATACCAAGCAGTCCCTCGTGCGTTTGCGGGGTGAACCCAGAAAGGATCTCGGTCAAGCCAGGAATCAAACTCTTACGGTACGGTTGGTGTAGCTTGTCCTGCATCGAGTTGTAGATCAGCTGTGGATCGGGCTGTGCTGCTCCAACGGCGGTGGTGAGCACCGCCAATCTCTGGAGATTGAAAATGACGTCCTGCTTGGAGTACTCTGCCGGGAGCACGCGACGACTGTCGGAGGTGGCCACCTCGAATTGTGGGATGATAGCTATGCATTTGATTGCTGGGTTCCAGTTGTATTTCACGTGAGTGCCGATATTTAATGGAGCCTTGTCGGTGGTACCATGTGGCGCAAGCATGTCGGAAAGAGGCTGGTGAACCAAAGCAGTCTCCCTCGGGGTCAGTTCTCTGAGATAAGAACCAACAAATCCACCCATCATGGCAGCGGTTATATTGTCTGGATGGCGCTCAATCATCAGACAGTAATCTAGGCAACGTTGTTTGGAGAACCCAAGTTTTCCAACAGCGTTCGCTAGCAGCACACCAGCCACAACGGCAGCACCAGAAGAGCCTAATCCTCTACCCAGCGGGATAGGGTTAATGACATGGACTTGGGTAACTTTAGGGAACTCGGCCACTCCGTTGCAACGGAGAACAAACAATGCAGTTTTGGTAATGAGGTTTTTGCCAGATTCCAGTGGAACGTTTTCGCTTCCGTCACCTTCGTACGACAACAAACAGTTGGCAGAATCAGTTGTTGAAAGACTTGAGTCCACAGCCACTTCTAGAGTCAGGAAAAGGTCGAGACCTATTCCCAGCACGTCGAATCCTGGACCGATATTGGCCGAGGAGGCTGGAACACGAATGATAAACTTATCCATATTGAAGGAAAATTTTTCAACGTGCAAACGAAACACGAATGACGGGGGCAGGAAACGTGTAACGTTCAAGAGGGGGAACCGCTACTAGTTACGTGTATTTAGTGTATTTTATGTTGTAGATTGTAAGTTTCTGCGCTAAACAGAAAGTTTACGCGCCTAATCAACTAAAGCAACCAGATCAGAATCTCCAGAGACCCTTATCGCGTGCAAACTGGCAGACAAATTTTGTAAGAATTTGTTTATTTGTTTCTGCAAATATATAATAGACTCGCACTGGACCCCCCACTTTAGTCATTCCTTATCATATGTTCATTGTGTGCTCTTGATTTGCAATCATGGAAACTCGTAACGTATCAAAAGGATCAAAAGGATCTAGGAAATCCACGCAAGAGGAGTTATTAGCTGCATCTCATGCCGTGGAACAAGAACTCAACGCAGTGAAGGCGTTGAAGCGGCTATCGATAGGAAACAGCTTGAACTACGATCCAGACCTTCCCTTCAATGAAGCGGAAAAGCAGGATTTTGATATCATTGACATACACAACGACAAAGAAAATGAGACACCTTCGGCCGACGATGATCTGGACCAAGAGAACGTGATTTTGGACTCCAACAAGTTCATGTGGGTGCCTGCGACCGCGCACCCTCAGCTAGCCCCTGATAAGTTCAGAAAACACGTTCAGGCAACCGTGGACGAAATTACTTCAAAGCTCCAGCGCTCCTCTTCCTCGCGTTCATCATTGTCGTACGAATCCCGTGACCCTGGCTCCAACTCTGAGTGGTCAACGGAACCACAGATATCCGAGCATGGGCTTGGTAGGAAACCGTCTATTAAACAGCTCACCGCAGAGCTGGCTTCGTTGTCCCAAATGGCCGGTCTGGACGACACCGACGCGGTTACTTTGGCCCGGACATTGTCATCATCATCGCGGCGAATAAAGGAGAATCTGGACTTTGAGTCGTCATTAACCCGTGCGTCGTCCACCTCCAGCGCAGAATCCGATCTGAGCACGCCCGGTACACAATTAAAGAGATCAAAATGGACAAGATATAGAAAAGGGTCCAAATCGTCACGGTCCTCTCCGAACACATCTCCGAATCTTACGAGATCTGAACCGTCACCATTTTCCGCCACTAAAACAGAAACAACACCATTTTCCGCAAATTACAGGCCAGAGAGTCTTCCTCCCGCGGCTGGGAAGGTACCTAAGAGCTCGCTCCCCCCTGTTCCTGTGGAAAAGAATTCTCCTTTACCGCCTCTACCTACAGAAAAAAGCCCACCAGCACCTGCATCGCCTGTGAAATCGCCCCCTTCGACCCCAGACAATCACGAGGAGCGCAAGTCAGGCCGCAAGTCAAGCTGGACTTGGCTAGGTGGCAAGGACAAAGAACGGGATAAATATGAGTCCAAAACGGAGAAAGAACGTTCACCACCAAACCATACTCGGAATAGACACGGAACTGCCGTCGATGTCAGTCCGGTGGAAAGCCCACAGTCTATTCTACCCTCTCCGCCTCATGAACCTGAAAAGGAAAAAGAGAAAGAGAAGAAGAGTCTGAGTGGATTCTTCAAACTTAAAAAGGACAAAATCAAACCATTAGAGAAATCAACAATCACAGAACTTTCTTCGGACTCTGACAATGAAAGCATTACTGACAAACGACTAGTTAATTACAGGAAGAAGAAAGAAGGGGTCCAAACCGAGTCGGAACTTCCTGTCCAACAACCTCGACCTTCATTAGAAAGAAATGAAGCCTCGCCTGAAGATTCGCCTATTAACGCTGTTTCCGAGACGATCAAGCAAACTCTCATGTCCCAGAAACGGAATCAGAAACCGAACCAGCCTCTGAAGATGACAGACTCTGCTTTTGGGTTCCCTCTTCCTCCAATTTCTCCATCCACCCTCGTGATGTTGAATCACAGATACCCTATACATGTGGAGCGAGCAGTTTACCGTTTGAGTCACCTAAAGCTGTCCGATCCTAAACGTCCGCTGTACCAACAGGTTCTTTTGAGTAACTTCATGTATGCTTACTTGAACCTGGTGAATCACACGTTGTTCTTACAGCAGCAACAGGAAGAGATTCTCACTCAGCAACAGCAGGTCGACGAAGATCAATTTGGCGAGTCTGTCGATGAATATGCATTCAATGACGTTTACGGAAGCGGGTATAACGAAGAGCTGGTTTATGAACATTAAGTGGCATATTTATTAAGAAGCATGTGAATTACAAGTCATTACCCTGTAGCCAGTAGGAGAACTTGGTGTAGAAGTACCAAATTCCAAAGCATGACAGTGAATAGTATGTCGTTTTCCACCAAACGTGCCCATCAACAGCAAGCAATGGAAATCCCATAAAGTTGCACCAAGCGTGTGCTGCCACGCATGGCCAAATAGAGTTGGATCTCACAAAAATAAGGTTGGCTAAAATACCAAAAAATGTAGTATATGCAGTTCGGAATAAAGTTCCCAGTACTAAGGGAGCCATTGGTTGTGGGCGCTCAATCCTGGCGTCTAATGCGTGGGTGATGTGGGCGAGACCGAAAAACAGTGGGGTGAAATATATTATTTCTGAGTGGGGAGATGACAGCCATGGTCCATAGAGGCCCATGAGACACGATCTGTATGTCAATTCTTCAGTCAGCGGAGCTGCAACCAGATTGCGAAAAGTTTGCCAGAACTGAGTAGCTGACCAGTCTTCTTCGATCGAATCAATTCCCCATGATAAATATTCTGCAATTGATCCGTTGAAAAGTATGACAAAAAGTTTGAGAACAGTCCAGATATCCTTAAATGTGGATCTTCCTATACTCAATCCCATGTACCCCAATGCCTCCGAGTACGACGACGCCTGTTTTGTGACTGAAACCATCAATACTGGTGTCAGTAGCAGTGATACCATTGTAGAAATTGACACTCGTAGCAACCGCGATTTGATCACAACAACAGAATCACGGTTCCCTCTAATCGGCTTGATGTATAGAACCAGCACATACAACGATGTCACTGCGAAGGAGCACCAGAATGTCGATGTTTTTGGATCCATCTGCTGTTTCGATTTGGATATATTTATTTTTTGGTGGCAGGTGTAAGTAGTCACCTCTCACCAACTATAGACTTTCGTAAATACCATACAGAAACAATCACCATGAACCCAACGGCACTGGAACCAATCACAAATGGATTAATGATGTTCTCTGTGTCCGCTGGTTCAGGCTCCAGTCCTGCCGTGGCACTGCGTGGCTCTGCAGCAGAGTTCACCAAATGTACAAGAAGCTCAGTTAACGACGATGCCCAGCTCGAAGAGATATGCAAAGGCGCAGGTAAAAATAGCGCGCGTGTATATGTTTCTGGTTGAATGTCGCATCTCTGTTGTTGACGATCAAGATCCGCCTTGAGAGCAACGAAAACCATTGGAATACGATCCAGGTTAGGATAAGCTTGGCGGAGCTCAATTAGGTGTTGGAACGACTCGGGATCAGACGAGTCATAGGCAAGACAAAGCACATCACATGTATCCAGTTTGCGAGAGTTCTCCAAAATGGCTGGTTCAAGCTCTCCAAGTTCTTCGAGAATTAAGTAACATTGTTTTCCTCCAATCAACTCGACATTGTTAACTGCAACGTTTCGCTGGATTGTTGGAGAGTGAAAGTCGCTGTAGTGCCTTCCGAGGAATGATTCCATCAAAGATGTTTTGCCACAACCTGGTGCACCCAGAACGAAACAGTTGAAAACAGTTCTATCGGAGACACCTCCCCTATATAAACGGTTGTTGCGTTTCTTCATTTTCCTAGACTTGGTGATTCTCAAAGCGGTAGTCGTACTTGATACTTTCCCATTGGCAGATTTGTCTTCGTAGCCAAAATATCCCAGGTAGGCCAAGGTGACTTTATAATCGAGGAAGGTGGTCATGGACCACTGTGCCAGCCATCCCTGAAGAGTAACATAGTCCTGCTCGTTGCAAACCACAGTTCGAGGAAAGTTTGATTCCTGCCACGATCTCGGAACTCCCGGTGTGGGATAGAATAACTGGGTCAGTTCATCATCGTTCAATCCACCATCATTGTCCTTGTCAAACAACAGAAACAAGTCGACCAAGAATTTGTAGCCCTTTGGAGATAATTCGACACTCGATCCAACAGGAACGTCCAGCTTGGGATACAGTATCTTGTCGTCGATAGATAAAGAATCAGTGTAGTGGTAAGCTCTGAGGATGCCCCATATAGTTTCATGACGGCCGGACTCGGCATAGAGCTTATTTAAAGCTAGAAACCCTTCCTCGGATATTCCTGCATCAGTGGCAGTTCCAGGAAGGGCAGAGTTCAAAGTACTTTTCAATGAGGTTAGTTCGTGAATGTCCATTGACTTGTGGAAGCACTTCTGTTGCAGTTGCAAAAACTCTGAGTCGTTCAAAAGGCCATCCTGATCCTTGTCACAAAGGTAGAAAACTCTTGTTAGTGCGTTTATGGCGAGTGGTTTCAGGTTACTCTCTTTGTAATCGTACAATGGGGCGATTGGGTGCGTGACAGCTCTTTGACAGAGATAAAATGCCTGGTTGACGTTATAGTTATCCTTTGCACTGCATCGAACACATGCTTCTATTTCTTTGAACTCTTTTAACAAAGGTATGAACTGCTCATTGAGAACCGTCTCGCTCTCATCGGGTAATTGGTCAAGGTCGGATTTGTTGTTGCATAGCACAACAGGCAGATTCACCCCCATTGATCTGAACATCGGGATCCAGTACAGAGATATCCGTTCGTATGTGTAGTGGTCAGAAAATACAAGCCATATCACGTCCGACAGCCGGATCTGGTCCTGGACGCTACTCATATCGGACGATAAAGTATCTATCAAGACACTTGATTTGGGGGAGTATGGAGACCCTGAAAAATCTTTGGGTATATTAATCGGCGGGATAACATGCTGAATGTTTGGAACAAACGTCTCCTTGACAAGCGTAGTGATCAAGCTGCTTTTCCCCACTCCTTCGTCTCCACAAATGACTACTCGTATAGAGTCCATAATTTTATCCTCAAGTATAAATATTTACCTTTACTGACCCGAAACTGGGTGGCATAAATTTCGAAGGCAAAAAAAATAAGTTAACTAACAAATGGTAAGTAAGACTAGGCACGGTGAAACTGACTATTAGACATCCATTGGTACTGGTTACGACTTGTCAAACTCGATCTTCTCACCGGACGGTAGAAATTTCCAGGTGGAGTACGCCTCGAAGGCTGTTGAGAATGCCGGAACGTCGGTGGGGATCCGTTGCAAGGACGGTATTGTGCTGGCCACCGAAAAGATCATTACGTCAAAATTGTTGGCTCCAGGCAAGAACAAGCGTATCCAAACTATAGATAGACATGTGGGCGTTGTTTATTCGGGATTAATACCTGACGGTAGACACTTTGTGAACCGTGGTCGCGATGAAGCCAAATCATTCAAATCGTTGTACAAAGAGCCAATTGGTGTTCCAGGACTGATAGATCGTCTTGGATACTACGTCCAGGCTTACACCTGCTACAATTCTGTCAGACCGTTTGGTATCAATGCCATCATCGGTGGAGTTGATGACGATGGCGCACATCTGTACATGGTGGAACCAAGTGGAACATACTGGGGATACTACGGTACAGCCACAGGAAAGGGCAGACAGACTGCCAAGAGCGAGTTGGAAAAGCTAGATTTGCCTAATATTACAGCTAAGGACGCCGTCAAGGAGGCCGCAAGAATCATATACTTGGCACACGAAGACAACAAAGACAAGGACTTTGAGCTGGAGGTGACATGGGTTAGCAAAAGTGAAACTGGCGGCGTTCACGAGTTTGTGCCGCACGATCTATTACAAGAGGCCATCAAGTACGCCGAGGAAGAAGGCGAAGAGGGAGAAAGTTCCGACGACGAAATGCAGGATTAAATATTAGAAATGGCTCTATTGTCGTAATTTTCTATTTTCACGTTCCAGCTCTTGAAACCGCTTCTCTGACTGTTTCCTTTCAAAAGCGAGCGTTTCTTCAGCTTTTTTCCATCTTTTGGTAAGTTCTTCTATGCGTAGTCTTAGCGATTCGTCTCCGACAGGCTTTTCTATAGAGACCTGTTTGCTCAGCTCTCCATGGTCGGCCACAATGGTGCGCACTGCAGCCAGGTCGTATTCCAAAATGGTCTCCCGTAGTTTCATGGTGTCTGTGTCGTCCAGCCGGAGCTCGTCGCGGTTTGCAAGTTGCAAAATCTTTGCAGCTGCCTCCTTGATAGACTTTTTGTCCAAAATGTCGCTCAGGATTTGGATAAGGTGAGTTTGGAAGTTCACATCGCTTGTGAGGTAGTCGTTCCACTTCTGATTGGCAACGGACGCGTAATTTTTCTGTTTAGCAAGTTGCTGTGAGAGTTCGTCTATTTTGTAATTAAGCTTGATTTTTTCAGAGTTGATCTGTCGTTGTTTGATGAGCGACAATTCGAGATCTTTCTTGAGGGCAGAGAGCTCAGCTGAATCAACTGACTGGTCAGATTTCTCCACCTTGTTCTGCTGGAGTTCGTTAAACTTGGTCTCGAGCGTGTCTTTCTCCTGTCGTAGTTGCTCTATTTGCTGAGTAGCTAGTTGATGTGACTGTTCCAGTTCTTGGTAGGAAACGTCCTTGATGTTCAACTTTTCTTCAATTCCCCGGTAAGACTTCAGCTGTTCTTCAAGCTGCTTGATGACGGCCTTGTCTGAGGTCTCCGTCTCTATTTTCAATTGTTCTAACTGTTTCTCTAAATCTCTTGATTTCGCGAGCTCGCTTTCGACGGCCTTCAGTCTATTGAGTTCCAGCATCAATTGGCTGTTTTCCGTAAGCAATTTCTCGTTCTCTTGTTGCAACACAGCCTGTTCCGCTGAAGGGAGATCATCGTCCCGAGGAGACTTGGAATTTGACTCCAGCTGGCCAACAAGCCGTTCGGTTTCCAGTCCAATGGTGCGTAATTTCGCTCCCAGTCCACCCTGCTTGGCATTCCTGATCACGCTCGGGACAGCTTTGCCTTCCTCGAGAACGCCCAGTATATCGTCCGCGACTCTCTTCCACTCCTGGTGGTCGCGTTGCAACACGTCCAGCTGGCCCTGCAGTCCCTCGAAAGCAGATACCAGATCGTCCAGTTGTTTCTTCAAATGTTCCTGTTCGCGCTCAGACTCGTCCTGATTGAACTGCCGGTGCAAGAACTCCATCGCAGAGCTCTCCTCGCCGTATCTCTCCAACAGCAGTTCTTTTTGGAGTCGCAACTGTATTCTGCAATCAGTGAGCTCTTTCCGTAAAACATCAACCTCGTTGTATCCAGACGCCGACTTCGACCCACTGGACACTCTGGGATTGGTATCGAGTCCTCGCCAGGTGTTTTTGATGGTGAAATTGGGAATTGGAAGGATATTCAATGTTTTGTCGATATCGAGCTGCTCCTGCTGATCATCCTCGTCCGAAGACCCATTGGGTGATCCTGCGAGCTTCGCACGGAGTATCTCGACGCTCTGGAGTCGCGCTGCACGTCGCGACCGGCGAGCACTCGCATCTCTGGACCACGAACGCAACGGGCTGCCATTGGCTGTATACGGCGAGGTGGTCAGATCGTAGCTTCCATAGTCGGCCGTTGTGGGAACGCTCCGCGTCGGGGTGTCTGAAAACACTTCTTTCTCCGAATCATCGGACTCTCCATATTGAGTCTCCAAATTCATGTCGCGAACACGAAATTTAATAAGAAATATTTTATTGTGGGGCGCAAAATAAAAATATTTTACGAAGGGACAATAGCAGATTAGAGCCCGGCGCATTTTAATCTATCGAACGGCTGATTTATTCTGGAAGGTTCCCATTGAAGATATGCTTAGAGTTTCCTTTAGGGTCCAATCTGACCCTGAAGTCAAAGCGGGACCCGTTTGCAATGCTAATTAGGTGCGGGCTTAGTAATTATACTCTGATAGCTTCTCGCATCTGGCTTACTCATAGCTGCAGGTGAAAAGTTAGTCACATGTATATTTAGTTCGAATATAAATAGCAGACTAAAGGACGGGCTTTGATTATCATGGAAAACGATAACGAGAACGATTTCTACGAGGACGTGCTTCCGTCCTTTGAGATGCACAACTTCATGTTTAATCGGAGTATCTATGATACCGAGGATATCAGACAGTCCAGTCTGCCCCAGTATGATGAACTCCGATCCTGTCCTAATGCTCAAGCTGCAGCCACAACGGAGGAGCAGTTTTCGCCTCTTGAGAGGCCCGAACTTCTTGTGTTGAACAACTTGGAGTCATTGCAAACCATCAGTTTGCCGCTGAAGGTTTCCATCACAATGACCAAAAAATTCCCGGTGTTCGGTCAACCGTACGAGGAGGAATCGCCATTGCGGTGTTTCCAGCCAGGTGAGATGGTTATGGGCTGGGTCTCTGTCGAGAATACCAGTCAGGAACCAATTCCTTTCGAAATGTTCCTTGTTTCATTAGAAGGTAACATAACGGTTCCCATCTCTGGAGATCGCACCAGTGCCAAATTACACCAACGTACATTTTTGAGGACCTATGATATCAGCGCCTGTTATCATCATGGGAGTATCAATCCTACCCCTTTTGTGATAAGCAGATGCATGATGGTCGACCCTTTTGACCATGCCAATTTTGGGTTCCCGCCTGACCAGATGCTGCTACCAGGAGTGACACACAAAAAGTTCTTTGCCTTCAGGCTACCGAATCATGTGCTGGACACTGCGTGTGACCACGAACTTGTGGAACATCTTTATTGTCCACCCACTTACGGAGTGGATCCGGTGGCTCACGGTGGCAAAGCCCTGGAACTTAGGGTGAACGAAGCGCTTGGCTACGGCAGACTGGATGCAAAAGGGTCTCCGATAGTTACGAACGACTCCAACGACAGAGGTCAGTCTGTGTCGTACTCAATCAACCTTCGTATACTAGGAAGACCTCTGGACTCTTACAAGAAGTTCTATAAGCAGGACACGACTCATGACTACAAATTCATCGTGCTTAAGGACATGTCTCACCAGTTCCGGTTCACAAACCGGGAAATCCCCGAAGTTTACGATATCTCCAGCCTTCAATCTCAGGTAGAGAAGGTGGAGAGCGAGATTAACGATTTAATGGCCAAATTGGAAGAACGGGGCAGACTAATTGAGATCGGAGTTACTGATCCAAAAGAATTGGACAGAATCATTGCAGACAAATATGACGCGAAAAAGACCATCGAGCCCGCTATAAACCAGCCTCTTCCACCTCCATCGGCAGCTCACAAGGTGAAGCTTGGCAAACGGTTCCTAAAGTCGGATGCAGACTTCGAGGTGCTTATTGGCAGCGACCCAACCACCACCGTGTCTTCGTTCGGGCCTGAACCACTCGAACGGATAGCTCTTCTGCACTCAAAATCCAGCACAAGTTCCAAGGCCAGTGTTTCGTCGAGACAAGTGTCCCGCAATTCTTCGCTTTTCGATGCTACCAGTGACCCTACGCTACCAACAGAGGTCGATTCTGAGCTCCACAATTTGAGTATCAGCTTGAGAACAAGCGAGGGCTATCTCCCTCATAATGTGTCCGTCAAGTTGACTTTGAAAGTTATTAATATCCATTCCAGCTACGCAATCCCGCTGGTCTTTAATCAGAATGTTCCTGGCGACTTCTACTCGCCGCAGGCGTTCCTAAAAATGAACAGGAAATTTGAGCACTATTTACAGCAGCTACGCGACCTTGCTTCCAAGACCGATCAACGTGTTCCCAAGCGTCTTTACGAGAACCTTCTTTGTCTCAATGGACTTAGATACAGAGAAAAGAACTACGAGTTTTTCGAAAAACAGCAGATCCAGCTCGAATGGAACAAGACCGACTCTGGACATGAAGCCATTGCTCAGATCCCAGTCCTTTTCAGTAAGGACAAGGTGAGAACTTACAATTTGCTTCCAAGCTTCCAGAACTGCTATCTCGTGAGACAGTACATGATTGGAGTGAAAATCGGCAACAACGAAACAATTAATGTTCCAATCAGAGTGACATGAATTAATAACGTTATAAGTGATGTAAATGATTTTATTCTTGTTGGTTCTTTTTCACAGCAGTGTTCAAGAAATCGTCGCCGTACCATATATCGACCGAATTGTCAAATAGAATTTCGTGGTAGGACGACGAAGTGTTCATAAGATCGACTAGCAGTTGGTCCACCGGCTGGATTTGGCCGTTTGATTCGCTCAATGAGATCTCCAGGATCGCATCATCTATAGTTTTGAAAACCTCTGCACAGCGCTTGGCAAAATACCAGTTTTCGCCAAACCCGTTCAGAATCTCCACACATAAATGGATGTCTGTTTTGGATTCAACAAGGTCGATCGACCAATGGCATAAGCAGTAGAGAATTGTAGTACAAGTTGTCAAAAACCTGTACAAAGTGATCCAGTTCAATGGTAGCAGATTTGATGTGTAGAGTGTGTATGTGAAGGACAAGTTTTGAAGACAAGCTCTTCCTAGAACGTCCAGGTTGTTCAGGGCAGGCTTCGGGAACAGATATGAAGGACGGTACAACAGCATCAGCAGATGGTAATATCTCGCAGAAAACCATGCTGTTGACTCTAAGAACGAAATATTCCCCTTCTGTCGCGATGACGACGACAAAAGACGGGACTTGTTGTACCATTTCTCAATGTCCTGTCGAATCTCGTTAAGAATCTCATTTTTCTCCTCCTCAGAAGAACATTTCTCGGATGCACGCACGCAATGGACGCGGCTGAGTATGATTCCCTCGATTCTTCTCATCTCGATGATGTTGCGGGTGACTTTCAAACTATCTGGGCCTTCATCGTACATTGGCTCGGGCAACGGGACGTTGATGTCGTCGTCTTGGATCGCAACGGGGCGTCCAAAGCTGATCGAGATCAATCGATCCATATTGAACACAGCCCAGAAAAGACGATGTCTCATTTCGATCTGGGTCGAGCTCATTTTTCTAGCTTCCACGTCTCTAATTTTGCGATTCAATCCCAGGGAGACAGCAAGTCGTGTCAGCACCCCAACAATAGACCACGAATACAGGCCTTTGGGATCGAAAAAGGAGTATATTCCTAGCAACACCAAAGAACGCACGCTGGATACGTCTTGGAAAGAAACAGCGGAAGTTAGCAAACTCATGGATTTGGACGAAAACATTTTGGAATAACCCTTATTCTTTTCAATCACGCCAGCACGTTCCAGAGTGGTGCATCCGATGGCCATGATCATATTGACCTCGAAGTAAAAAGATGGTTCCATTTTGCCTCTTGTTTGGAAAAACGTTTCGAAGTCAAGCGCAAGCACCTTGTCCATGAACTCCTTTTCGTTCAAAATCGGATAAGTTCGGTTGTTGTGATCCAAATAGGCCTTTATAAATTGCAACGCTAATGGTTTATCGATTACCAAAAGCTCGAGTGGGGGTGTGGGGGTCTTGTTGCCCATGACGGTGTGAACCAGATTCGAGTGAATCATGTCGATGGAGGGGTCATGATCAAACTTACGTGATTCGGGCTCTATGGACTCAGACATTCCCCGGGAAGTAGAACTTCGGCCAACCAAAGTTTGCAATGGCACGGATTTTTGCGTTAGAGGGGGTAATACAGGGGTCTGAAATTGTTGTTGTTGTAATGTCGGTAGAAACTTTTGTGATGGTGCCGGCAAATACTGGGGGGCTGGTGTATAGGGTTGTTGTCCGGCATAGGCAACGGCCTCTTTTGGGGCTGTCCCATAGACACCGTTCAATCGCTGGAACAATGGCTGGTTGTCGGAGGGTCGGGATAAGATCGGGGGAAGACCGTCTCTTTGCGGGTTGGAGGAAGGAACGCTGGGTTGGATAAACCTGTCCAGCATGTGTTCAGAGCTTTGTCTTCGGTTCTTTCGTTCGACATAGGTACACGTTTCGTTGTTCTTGGCACAGTTTGCACATGCCGGATATTCTTTGGTACAACGTTTTTTTAGCCGACGACATCTGATACAGGCATACGGGTTTCGGTTTGGGTGTTTATCAATCTTGGTTTCAGTTGTAGAAGAGGGAATGTTCATTGAGACGACTGCCAATCAAAAAATTGCTCGTCGTTTTCCTGAAGGGTGTTTGTTTAGAAATCCTTAATTTTATTTCAACTTACTAAGTCCGCTCCACCGCTCGCCGCACGGAATTTTTCCATTTGACAGGCGGACATTTTTGGTGTGAGGGTGCGAGGAGTGGCTCAAATTATTCACTATAGATCAATTGTTTAGAATCTACTCACACATTAGATATTTACAACTGTCCGAAGGTCTTAAGACCGCAGTACCAGAAGTATCCGTAAGCGTCTTCCTCGACAGCTTTGAAAGTGATGGTGCAGCCTTTCTTGAAGTACAACACGTCACCTCTCTTTGGCAGCACCTTGGTACCTTCCTCGTCGGAGATCTCAACAGTGCCCTTGATATCAAGCACAATCTTCATTTCGTCGTACGTATAGGTGTAAACCAATGGTTCTCCAGAAACCTGCTTGAAGAAACCCGCCGTGATTTGGGACTCTGCTGGTGCAGACGATGACATCAGATCCTCGAGGTACGAGGTCGGTCCGACGGAAGCAGGAAGCTTGTCGTAACCATCAGCTTTAGCGATGTGCTTCATAGGCATTTTTGGTGAGGTATGATATCTAACTAGCGGCTAACCATTGGATTTAAATAGTGATCCTGTTATCAAGCTCAGTATTCCCTTATTTGGAAAATTATTCCGGCGATAAGTGATTTAGGCAACACAAAGAGCTCGATATCTCAATTGATGGGAGAAGAGATCAGAGTCAGGTATTGTGACCCTACGATCATGATTAAGGAGATACTGTGCTTTGTATGGTTGGTTTCCAACAATTATTACAGTTTTTCAGACTGAGTTGTGTTTCGTATTTTTTAACCCAATTAGGAGTATTTGATAGCGTCTGTATTTCAGTAATCGTATAAATAGTCACTTTGCACCCTACCTGAGAGTATCATGCCTCTTTTCCACAAGTCCCACACCGAGAACGGTTACTCCGTCAAGCCAACTGCCATTCCTGCTCCAGGAAACAACGCATTCTTGTCGGACACCTTCACCTCTGATGCCCCAACCGATAAGCAAATCTCTTGCGGTTTCTACAGACAGGAGGCTGGAGAGGCATTGGTTTACCCTTACGACTATGACGAGATGAAGATCAACGTCGAGGTCCACGGAAAGTTCACCATCAGCGATGAGACTGGAGCTTCCTACAACATCACCCCTGGTGACACCCTCTACTTCCCAAAGGGATGCACCATCACCTTCAAGGTTGAGGGTACTGACACTGTTCCTGAGTCCGAGGCTTACGCTTTGAACTTCTTTTGCGGTCTGAGACCAAATGGAGCTGCTTAATCGTTTTTTAAAGGCTGTGTAAAAAGAAAATCCTCTAAGAAAATATAAAGATTAATTTGTTCCTCCAGTTACTACTAGTAAAATGCCAATAATAGAGAGAGCGCCACCCAGAAGAGGGGTGTTGTCCCTTACGCAACTTGCACGGATCAAATGTGTGCAGAACGCGCATCTCATCAACGATATCGGCCTGGCCCCATACCATCTTGTCGAGCCGATCCTAAAGAAGAAAACGGCCAAGTCGCTCAAGCTGATCGAACAGCAGTCTCCGCAGATTGTTGCTTACTCGGACCCCCTGTGGCAGTCACTGATCAGACGGGATTTTGGGGAACGCCCTTGTGAGCTGGTGACTGTTAAAAACGGCCGCAAGACCAAAATCCCTGGCCGCGAGCTGTACGACAAATACGCTGCCGAGCGTGAGACCCAGCGTCGCACAGCGGCACAGAACCTCAAACAAATAACAAAAAACTTGACGATGGAGCGCAACAGAAACAAGGTCAAAAGTGTTGATCACGTGATCACCCCGAAAAGCGTGCGACGGTCTGTTGCGGTGCAGCAACAGCATCGACCCAAAAGCACGCTCTTACAGCGGGCCAGGCATCAGAATAAGCTGCGCGCGCAGTTTCTTGGCCAGCTGCCGAAAAAGAAGTGATCTCTTTGTATAGAGCGATAGAATGATAATGCATGTTTTATATTTCCAGTAGTGTACATTTTGGCCGTTAAACAGGGTTCTGTTTGCGTCTTTTGGTCTGTCTATAAGGCGTGGCATCTTGCTTGTTCTTTGACTCCAGCGAGTTGTCCAGCAAGTTGTCGTCTCCGCTGATGGCGACCACTTGTTTGTACGATTTGATCCTCAGACGTCCAGCCAGTAAAGCTTTCAAAGGCCAGTCCTTGAACACCTGTTGGCTGCGGTTGCTGTCGAGGCCAAACAAAACCAGCAAGTTTGCAATGTCTGTATAGTTGCGCAACGGCCTTGCGCTAGCTGCTCCACTCGAGCACACGAGTCCGCGCAGTCTTGATGCTCTGAACAGTTGCTTCATGTTGGCAATGGCCATAGCACGAGTGGTTGTATTAGTATCAACCAGGTCTGAGTACTTGATCTCGAAGTAAGTACCCTTTTCGGTGGCGGATCCGATGGTTTTGTGTTTCAAATAGCACGGCAGCTTGTTTGCCAAGTCTAGCGAAATTAGATCCACCTCCATGTTCACTATACAGGCTGTAAGGGCCTTTTCCGAGTGGGGCTCAATCGCGACGAGATCAAACGCGTTCTGGAACTTGGTCACCGTCTGCATCTGTGACGCGTCGTCCACAACCAAGGTCACACGAGTAAACAGCTTGAGCCGGCATTCAAACTCGCGGAACAGCGATACATCGATGGGGTTTATCTGTGCAGGGATCTTTTGGCTTTGTCGCACGCGGAAGTTGAGAGCAATGTGCGTGTATCCGAGCTCCTCCAACACGGCGAGTCTGTTCTTGAGCTCATTCAGCTGCGCGGGCGTCACAGGCGAGTCATAGCTGTCCTGGGGCCACAGAACGTTGATATCACAAATCATTAGCACACAAGCCGTGGAAATAATTTTTTTCCAATCTGCGCCGCCGGGGCCTGTCGTGGCTGGTGTGGCAAATTTGCCACTCAATTTACGTATAAATACAGAGCGTGTGCTGATCTTGCAGACATCAATGACAACCACTAAAGACGAGTCGTTGCTGGACATCGGGCGGCTCTGCTCGGTGTGCCAGCGGGTAGACTTTCTGCCGTTCACATGTCCGCACTGTTCTGTGTCGTTCTGCACCGACCACAGAACCAACTTCAACGAACACGAATGTAAAGCTCTAAAGCTCAAGAAACAAACTACAATTTCCACGCCAGTGCCATCCACCATCAAATCAAGCTCGCTGTTTCCCGACCTTGACAAGATCCGCAAACAAGCTGAGCTCGACAGAAAGCCAAAACAGACCCTAGCTACGTCATCGGACTCTGCTGCTTTGCAGAAACTCAAGTCGTTCATCTCGTTCCACAAATCCAAGTCGAAACCATTGTTCCGGCTGAAAAAGTCCACTCCCGCATCGCGAATGGTGGAGTTGGCAAAGATGAAAAATCTGGCTGTCGGAGATGTCAAGATCTCCGGATCGGAGCGTGTTCACATTTGGGTCCAGTACGTCCCTGACGAGTCCAAATTCGGAAACGCGGAGCTGACAGAACGTAAGGCATTGTTTGTCTCAAAATCGTGGCCCGTGGGGAGGTTGCTAGATTTCGCGTCGACAGCAATGAAGATCAAGAACGATAACAATAGAACCACAGAAAGCATCAAGAAACTCACCATCTTCCGACATCGGCGAGACGGAGAGTCTTCGGAAGAGGAGTATATTTACGTTCCCGCAAATGGCAGGGTTGTGAAAGAAATTTCCGATGGAGACATTGTATACATAGTGCGGGGGGCAGACGTCACTAAATAGATCTTTTGAAACCACGTGACCCCGCTTTGGCACTAAAAATTTTTCATATACCCTGTGTTTACTTTTTTCGAGAACATATTTCGGGGCGCCACATATGCAGCCGAAGCGCGTTTGACAAATTTCTCTGCAGGAAAGTGACTCGGTGGGGGTTTAGTGAGGTAATGAGTTAATTAAAATTAATAACTATATGCTTGTAAACTATGCTAATGGTAATCCTTATGCTTTGGTAGAGGGGAGCTCCAACAGAGCGTCCACGATTTTGTGGTATATGAAAAATCCTGTTTTTCCGTCATGACTTTTGAAATGAAAATGTGAAACTGTAAAATGCAAATTTTAGCGATGCAATTGACATGTTCAGTGGAACGAAAGCCACCTTCTGTAATTTTCTGAGGCAGGCGTGAGCAGATCACTCACGTTTTGGGCGGAGAATCTGTTTACCTGTGTTCTTGGTTCATAAACGTTGGTAGTAGCAGAAGGCTTTGTAGCATTCAGATCCAGTCTATTTGAGTCCAAATCATTGTGGAAAGACACGCTCGAGAGCATAGGAGATTCGTAGCTGAGGTCCTTGGCAGCCGGCGACTTAACAAGAGACGCCGTGTTTCTGGCCACCGGCACGTAGTTGTATTGCGGTGTGAGAATAGGAGATATAATGGTGGGTATCGAGTTAAAGTTTTGTGAAGGGGCAGACTGCACTGAGGAGCAGCTGGAAAGAGTAGGCGAGGCCGTCACCTGCTGATCTGCCACTTTACACTCTTCCGAACAGTAGACAGAGTTGTTAGCACAGATCTTCTCGCAAACTAAGCAATAATCGTTGAAGGCCGACATTATAAGTGAAAACTTTTGTTAACTTTTTCGAAACTCCACTTTATCGGACTATTTATACTTTAGAGCACGTTTTATATAAAAATTTATGCCCCTCCCTAGCCACGCAATATTTACTAAGGTGATTCATTGCTGTCACATTTTTTTCGGTAATAGTCATTATGGAGAAAAAAATTTTCTTCCAGCGCGGTCCAGAGCCACCACCATCAGCCACAATTAGACCGTAAAGCCCGCAAATCCCGTAAAAGCCTCGCGGTAGAAAAAACTTCACCACGCGGTTGGCCTGGAGGCCAGACTTGTTTCCCGGTCTAGAAAAATCTTAGCTACAGTGGTGGTTACATAAGCTCTATTTTTATATATGTTGGGTCTAGGTCTTTTTTGATCTGCGCTTGACACGAGTTGCAATTGAGCCTCCAACAGACTCGGCTTGTTGCACCTCCTTGAGGATCTTGTCGTATTGCGGCGAGTCGATCGCCAATTGCTGAGCGCTTTTTGTGATTGGCTTCTCTGGCTCTGTTTTTGCAATTAAAATGTTGGATAATACCTCAAGTAACAAAATAAAGAGCGAATTTAAGATCGCCAGACAATAGTTGGAGATTGTCAGCCCAATCCCCAGCCACGAGCCTTCTGTCTTGACCAGGAAGAAGAAGTTGAGTGAAAGTAAATCGCTCAATGAGATGATCAATGACGAAATGCTGAAAATGATCAGGTGTAGCCGCACGTTCATTAGCCCGAGTCCAACGCTCAACAGAACGTATGGGATGATCAATTTTAACATCAGTAGTGCGCCCATCGGGAAGGGGTCAAACACCGGTAGCAACCGGTACACAGAGTCCAGCGAAAAGGTGGAAATCGATGCAATGTTACCTGTGCCAAAGAATGCAATCTGTAGGAAGAAGAATCCGATGATTGCGACCCGGAGCAGCTGGGTCCATTTGGACGTGTGTGAGGTCATTTGTGCCTCGACCTCGATCCACTGGAAAACGAGCCCGGAGAAGAGCACGTAGAACAACGTCTCGAACGAGATCGTCAGAATGATGAATGTTGGCGAGAAGGTGAGGAAGATGATGAGGTAGCGCGTTTTGTAGTCAGACTCCTGGCCAAAGTGGTGCAAGGTTGGCAGTAAAAATAGTGACACCACTAAATTGGCCCACCCCAGGATCTGCGCATCTTTCGGTAATCCGTTCCTGTTTTGCAATGACACAACCGCTTTAGATGTGGAGTACAGCGACAATGCGACAAGGACAAGCTGCACAATCACCAATTTCTTCGTGTAGGAACTGAATTTTAGAGCTGCGAGTGAAATTGCTCCAACCAGAAGCACTAGCACTGCTCCAGCCGCAATCAGCTGCAGGTCTTCCGACTTAACCGGGTTTTGCGCCGGGAAAAGGGACAGCAAACAGCAGGTGAGTGCCCACGACAGTTTCTGTAGTTTGTTCACGTTACCCAAAACGAGCGGGTACAGTCCGAGAACCACAAACATCCCCACAAAAATTTCTCTATTGGTAAATCCGATCGTGATGCACTCAAAAAACCCAACAATTCCGGCAACCACCCCGATTATGAACCATCTGCTGTGTCCTTTGAAGAACTTGAGGATCCCGAAAAGCAGAGTGTACCGTTCCTCAACGATCTCGTGCCAGAAGAAGAGCGGGAAGGCCAGGTAGAAGTAGTAGTTGGCCGGAGAGTTTTGATAATACAGGATGTAGGACAACGAGGAGCCGATGGTTAGGAACACAACGTGGTTGATCGTCTTCCCGACAGCTCCGTCGTACTTGGTTGCAGACTCCTTTAAAACGTAGAGCCGGAAAAAAATCATCAATGAGTAGATGATCCATCCAACAAAGCCAGAGGTGACGATGCTTCTTAGCAAAAGCCAGTTGTACTTTTGCAGGTAGTTCAGACCTTGAAGCGAAGTTTTGATGAACTCCTCGATGAGAACCACAGCCGGCTGTTCGGCAGTGATGTTTCCGGCGGCAATTGAGTCGATCAGCTGTTCGATTTCTTTCTCGTACTCGGAATTCGATTTCTTTTCGAATCCGGCAAACGGCTTGAAATCAAACTGGCTCGATGAAACCTCGGACAGTTTCACCAGGTACTGTTCATGGATGCTCAGCGCATTGCGGTAGAGGCCCTTGATCTTGTCGATCTCTGGAACGTCCAGGAACCCAATAGGGAGCTCTCCGACCGAATTGGCCGGATAATTCACACCAATAAGAAACGACATCAACGAGGCAATGTCTGCCTGTTTCACATCGTGTCTCTTGACTGTGTCAAGGCCCCAGGTGCTCATTTCCTCGGCCTCTTCTTTCAAATAGCTATTTTCGGAGGCAGGAATTCGAATAGGCTTTTTGCAGCCTGCTCCCCAGCAAATGAGCGGGGTACGCGTGTTGTCAGGGTGTCCATCACCATGGGACCCGAAATCGCTCATTCCGTGGTCTGCAGTGAACACAAATGCGGTGTCTGAGTCTCCAAAGAATTTGTTCACTTTTGGCACCAGTTCCTTGATCTTCCGGTCGGTGTACTGGATATTGTCGTAGTATTCTTTCGAGTACGGTCTGTATCCGTGTCCGGAAGTGTCCGTTCCTAGAAGATGGAGGAAAAACACGTTTTTGTCCTGTCTGATCTGGGCATTTAGTTTGGCGTCTTTCGTAGAGTTTTGAAAAAGCTCGTCCAGATGGTCGAACACAAACCGGTCCAGCTCAATGGACGACGTGGTAAAATCCTCAAACTCGTGGCCGTACATCCAGGTATCAATTCTGTCTGGATCGGACGCTCCGTCCGCAAACATGGGGAGGATATCTGGAGACCCGAACGAGTAAGTGTGGGCAGATTGGTTGAAAACCGAGTCGAAATCGACCGGGTTCTCTTTCCAGCCCTTGGTGACGGCACTGACATCCTCGTAGAAGCCTGCGATCATGGCCACGTGCCCGGGCCGTGACTCGGTTGGCATTCTCGTGTGCGAGATCCCGTACGTGGCCTCGTTTTCCACGAGCGAGTGCAGATAAGGAGCCAAGAAATCTGTTTCCCCGGAGGAAGGATGGTAGATCTTCCCAAGAGTCTTATCTGCGCGCTGTCCGTCGCCCACTATGAGGAAGAGCCGTTTTGCGGGCGCGTTTTCCGTGCTAAGGTGGTGCTTCATGCCATGGACCAGGGGACTCACAAAGTAGATGTCAAAGATCGACCAGAGATACAGGAGGTGGAAGAGAACGCCCACCAGCAGCAGGATCTTTCTCTTGGAGCTGTTTTTGGTTAGCATGTTGATGGAAACCGCAATAACCTTTTTTCGTGTTGTTTATAACCGGGGACGATCGACTAGGAAAAATTTCAGACTAGGCGTTCAAAGTGGGCAATACAAGAAAAGTTGACCAAGTAAATTACCATGGTTTCTCAAGAATTTACCGACAAAGTACGTATGCGCAGGCAGTTGGCGAGCTAACGACAGGCTGCTTCGGTCCAGAATATGGCCAAGAGACCCAACGACGACGAGTTGTTGCAATTGTACGGACTGTACAAGCAAGCCACTGTGGGCGACAACACCACCGACAAGCCGGGTGTGTTTGATTTCAAGGGCAAGTACAAGTGGGAGGCTTGGAAGAATCTTGAGGGCACCTCGCAGGAGGACGCCGAGAAGAAGTACATTTCGTTGGTGGACGAATTGCTTGCTAAATACAACTAAGTAGTTTAATCCGAGTGTTGTTTAGGAGCCGGTGGGGCAGATATTCTCTTTGCGAAATCCACCATCATGACGGTGGGGATCACAAATGTGGGGAAGTAGAGCCCCAGTAGATTGAGTTTCTCGCCTGGCATGAGACCGTGCGACTCGCTCTCCACGTACACGTACAGCAGGCAGCACAGCGTGGTGAAGGCAGCATTGAACCCGTACAGCATCAGGTACGGGTGCAATTGGCGGGTGAACGTGTGATTTTTCAAATAGTGCACCACGGCAACCAGGAAAAATGGCAGCTGGAACACAAGCTCAAACACCACAAAGAACTGCAGCCACAGCGGCGTGGTCTTGGCCAGAAAGTCGTTATTCTGTGTGCAATGGAAGTTGTACAGCTGTCTCTGAACATCGAACTGCCACGCGTCAGGAAGCGCAAACGTCGAGTCTACAAGAACAGTGATGGGGATATGAACCAAAAAATATCCAAAATAAAATTCGTCCAGCATATTTAGATAGGAGCAGTGAAACCGTTGCTGGCAAACAAGTTCTGTCCAGTCATCCAGTGTCCGTCCTTTGCCAAAAAAACGATAATTGGAACAATGTCAGAAACTTCAGTCAGTCTGCCATACGAGCTCTGGGTCTTGAAAAATTCGACACGTTCCTTAGTCTCCTGGCCGTACAAGAATGGGGTGTCCATTGGGCCTGGCGACACACAGTTGAACGAGATCTTGCGGGTGGTCTCCTTGGAAAGAGTCTTGCACATCAGGTGGACACCGGCCTTGGCAGCCTGGTACAGGGAGTAACCTGGGGTGTATGCTGCCAAAAGCGAGGTGGTGAGCATGATCACGGATCCCTCGTCGGCGACCTTGTTGGCGGCCTCTCTGAGGAACAGGAAGGCAGACTTGGTGTTGACGTCGAACATGGTGTTGTACTCGTCCAAGGTGGTCTCGGCAAGAGGCTTTCTCAGAACCATACCAACGTTGTTAATGGCATAGTCGATTTTGCCGAGCTTGGAAATAGTGGAGTCGAAAATGTTCTTTGCATCCTTCTCAGAGGTCAGATCACCGTCAAGCACAAGTGTCTTGATCTTGTAGTCGGACTCGAGCTCAGAAGCGAACTTGGTGATGGCCTCCTTCTCCTTAGCAGAGTGGTAGTGCAGAGCAAGGTCGCTGCCGTTCTTGGCAAAGGCAATTGCGGTTTGCTTTCCCAAGTTCTTGTTTGCGCCGGTGATGAGTGTGGTTTTTCCTTTAAAAGACATGTTTAATTGATAGTTGGAAATTGGTGCCTGGGCACCCCTTAAATAATCTATGTGGAAGCAACCTGACAGCCGGAGTTAAATCCAGTTCCAGAGTGCAAGACTCAATTTAAGGATTTAACAGCCGACTGGAGTTTAGCTGGATTGGCGGCGTGCGAAACTCAAGTCCTGGATTTAAAGTTGGGTTGCAAAGCTTAAATGAATTTTAAACAGATACACACCTAGTTACCATACAGCGCCTCTTTTCTCTTTGCGACCGAGTCGGAGCCGTGTAGTTTGATTAACTCCGGTAGCTGATCTTTTTCGCGGAGCATTTTGTCGTGGTCCGAGGTCCAGAACCCGGCATAGTTGTTGAGAATCAGCTCGTCGTTCCGGATGTAGTTGAGGATCGCCTCCATAAACAGGTCCAGGCGTCCGCACGAGCAGTCGAACCAATAGTTGAGCCAGCCCATTGACAGGCCGACCTTCTCGTTCAGGACCTTGAACAGGTCGAACGACGTGGTGATCGTGGACCCGAACGTGGCAAAGATCTGTTCGATCTGCACACACGTCTCGTCCACGTTGATCAGCGACTTGTTCTTAAGCGGCTCGGGCTCCTCCTTCTTGAGCTCCTCGAACAAAAAATTGTTTTCACCCTCCAAAGGAGGTAGCGCGTCGAACTTGCTCAAGTCGTCGTCCAGAGCCTTGATCTCGTCCTCGTTTGCGTCCTCAAACAAGTTGGCCGACGCAGCTTCGTCTTCGGCACGCTTGTCTTTCTCGGACTTTGGCTCAGGACTGTCCTCCTTCTTAGCAGCGTTCTCCTCTGTCTCCTTTCTCTCCACAGACACTCTTGCCAGAGCCTCGATACGGTCCAGACTAGGCACCAAATCGTTCTTCTCGTCGAGCTTGATCCGCTTGGCTTCCTTGGCTTCCTTGGCTCTCGAACTCAGGTTCTTCATTGGCTGCGGAGAAACGTTCTTGGCCACGCACTCCTCGTAGTACTTAATGTACTCCTCCAGTCCGTACTTGGAAGCAAACTTCCTGTACCGGTCTCTCCAGGACATGGCGCTGTGTCTTGGGAACTTGCCAACCAGCTCGGTGAACACCGATTCTGGGATGCTGTTTCCGTCCAGCTTACGCTTCTTGGCGTATTGGTCCATATTTTCCTTAAAGTGCAGGATGTGTTTACACAGCTCATAGTCCTCCTCGGCCGTGTACTGCGACTTGAGCAGGTTAGGCAGGTCCTTCACCTTGATTGGTTCGTTGGTCTGCGGGTCCAGCACAAGCTTGTTAGTTTGCGGATCCACTTGATACACGTACTCGAGCTTGTCGGAGAGAATCTTGCGGAATCTGAACCGGATCGAGTTGCCTGTGTGGCCGCTAAGAAGCGGCAGCTGTGCGATTCTGGCGAAAAAGCTGTGCGTGGACCGCAAGTTTGGGTTTCTTCTGATAAGGTCCAAAATTGCCTCGTCTTCTGCCTTGGTGAACTTCATCGACCGCTTCTTCTGCGCGGAAGCCGGACTCATGGACAGACTCGTGACAGCGGCGTCGATCGTCGAGCCCACATCGTCTTCTGCCTTGGCCAGCCCAACTTTGGCCAGGTCGCCGATGTTGATGTCGAGGTTCTGTGGCAGCTGGGGCGGTCTGCGGATCTTGAACTCGTTCAAATCCGGCAAGACGCGGTCTCTCTGCGCGGCATACACAAAATCAAACGAATAAACAGGAACATTCACGCTCAGCCCCACATCCGACACGGATTGCGCGAGATATATGCCCTGGGTATTGTCTTCCCCCACCACAACTCCTCCGAGCTCCTCAATGATGTTCTGAATCTCTGAGGCGGCAGAGGACGTGCCCAAAATGATAAACTTCTGGCCCAAAAGAACCTGGCCCAAAGGCGAGTGCGAAAGAGTCGGGTCCACAAGCGAATCGGGAGCCTTGATAGAGGAGGTGGACTCGTCTGTCTTGTCCAACCCCTCAACCAAGTTGTTGATGAGGTGCTCGTCTTCCAACACCGTGTGGGGCGACTTGTCCCCCTGTTCGGCCTTGATGGCGGCCGAGGCCGTCGCAGACGCGGACTCTATTGAGGACTCTGCTCCGTGGGTAGCCATCCCCAAAATTTCCTAGCTGCTGGTGTTTTGATGTTTTCAGAAAAAATAAACAAATAAGTTGCAATAATTCAAGCTTCCCTACACCACCAAACGGAGATCGAAAACTGGAATAGTTTGCTCGCAACCTTTTAAACGCCCAATCTGCCTATAATTATCACAATCGGCTCCAATTCAACTGGCGTTGTCTTGAAACAAGTCGTTTTAAACGGTGAAAAGGTTTTTTTTTGCTGCCCTATTTTATTGGTGCAAAGATGGTCATTCGTCCCGGCACATGGGGCAGTGTTTTTTTCTTGCTTATGTAATCATCTGTGGTATATACGTTAACCGAACGGAGTATCTGTTGTGCGTGGCTCTTCTTTGTGAATCACCGGATCTTTCGACAGCAGTTGGCGCAGTTCTTTGCTGATAGCTAGCTGCGATGACTCCTGCAGCGCATTGGCGCCCGTGTTGGCGTTTCTGCGGTCCACAAGCTCCACCATCTGTCTGAACTTCAAAAATAGCAGTTCTGCGCGGATCAGCAGGTCGTCCAGCTCTAAATGGCCGCTCAGGTCGTTCATGAACTTGAGGATCTGGTCAAACTGGTTCAAAGTGTTGATGATGATTTTGGAGTTCTTCTCCAAAATGGCCAGAGCAAAGAATATCACAAACTGCGACGAGTAGTAGTTGGTCCATAGCACTTCCCAGAGCCGCATGGTGTCGGCGAACGACAGCTCGCGCTTGAACCAGACGAGCAGCATTCGGAAGAAGAAGAACAGACTGTTGGAGTCGCATTTTTCCAAGTGGACGTAAAGATCCGGAATCATGAACTGCACCAGCTCGTTCAGCGTGAGCATCTGTAGCTTCATTCCACTTAGGTCTTTCACAAAGTTTCGTTCCATGGGCTCCATGAAGTTCACAAATGCCCAAAATGTTAGAGATTGGTCTCTGATCGTGTAGTAGAGTGGAGAAAGTAGGTCGCTCATCCCTTGCACGTAACCAAGGTTATAGTTGAGCTCGTTGTAAGAGAAAAGAATGTCTCTCAGAATCAGAAGGTGTGGGTTACCAAACGTCTCGTCGTCCTCTTCGTCGCTCTCTGCGGATGTGGGCTTAAAAATATCAAGCTCGCGGTCGGTTCTTCGAATATCCTTGTGGATGCGCACTTTTTGGTCTTTCCAAAACTCGTCGTTTTGCTGACGTTCCATGTCGGTGCGCCAGTTCTGGTTGTACTCCTCGTAGTTGTTCTCCAAGGATTGAGCAAGCTGTTCGCGCTCTTGCGAGCTAGTATCCCATGAGAAAACTCCAAGCAAGAATAGCCATGCTTCCTTTCTGACAGGATCCTCCAAACCTCCGTGGAATACGCGATCCTTCACTTCCTCGACAGTCACTTGTAGACGACCGGTGGAGTCAAACAGATTGTCCCATTCAATCTTGGAGATCGGTTTCATCCGTGTGGCCTTTGACAGCTCGACTGGCGTTAGAGAGCCGAAGTTGTCGCCGAGCTCGCTGGAAATCAACTGGTGATAGTAATTGTTTCCGATGATCAGTTTGCGTGACTTCTCTGCCTCATGCTGCACTGCCAAAGCCCATCTGGCCAGATAAACATTTGCGCTATCGAATTCGTCGCCAATGAGCTTGACCTCGGGTTTCTGGAGCATTTTTTTGATTGGTTCCGGAAGACGGTTGTTTTCAGCCACATGGCCAATCTGTTTCTTCGCAAAAGTGGTGATGGTAGCCAAGCCGGTGAGCACCTTCCATTTAGCCTTGGTGACCAGCTGGTCCACCGACTGAGTGGCATTCTCGAGCGGATCTTTGGAGTCGACCACGTTGGGAATGAAGTTGAGACTGTCTTCTTTGGTCGGATTCACCAAAACCATGTTCTTCTCCAAGGGAGAGTACTCTAAAACGCAGTAATTGCGGAGACAGCTGATGAACCTGTCACCTCCCCAATAAAGGCCGCCGTTGAAGTTGTCTGCAAACGGAGAAAAACTCTCACTTTTAAGCTTTTGTTCTCGAATAGTGCCGGGGCACTCGTCGTCATGGAAGAATAAAGCAGGAACTTTCTCCAAAGTGTCTTTTGGATGCAACACCACCGATCCGTACCACAAGCTGGACGTCTTTGCGCGCACCTGGATGCTGAACAAGTTCGCAATGGTCAGACCGAATGCGTACGAACTTAGTGACGACATTTTGGGCCTAGTGATGAATTTTTTAACTTGAGGCAAGTTGCTACTTGAAAGGCCCTCTTTGGTAGAATTGCTGCCCTGAGTCCCTGATCCGTAGAAGTTGGTATTTTCTCCGTCCAGCCCATACAAGTCAAAATAATCGAGCGTCTCTTTGTCCTCCTTTTCCAAGTCAGATTCGGGTATGTAAGCCACCACCAGATCCAGATTAGGAGAACCCTGGTACGGTTTGATAATGGTCAAATAGCCCACGACGTTGTCTTTTTTGGAGCTGGTGACATGGATATAAACTTTAGACTTGGCAAACAACAGTTGACCCTTTCCAGGGGGGAAAGACCCCGAAATAGCACTCATTGAATGGATATCTAAAAAGATCTTGATTTGCCTTTTTAATTAACAAAAAAGAATAAGGCACAGCCTCAAAGTCAAATAAAAATATGTACCAACTTCTAGATTAATCACAGAAAAATGTATTGCAGATGATGAATAGAAGCATGAACATCAACAAGGGCTGGCTTGCCAACTTTTTGTTCAAACTCAGGGACCCAGAACGCGTCGTTTTGCTCGAAAAGACGAGCAAGATACCCAAAGTCGTCGGTCTCTGTTTCTTGAGACTCGATGAGACTGTTGATGGAGGTTCGCGATCTGGACACCATGCAATGGTACAACTGTAGGTACTCAAAGGTTGTTCTCGGGTTCGATGTGATGGTGAAAACCATTGGAGTGTACTCCAACTCCATCCGTCTCCGGACCTGGTACTTGAGTTGTCTTGCAACCGGCCATTTCCAGCACAAATTATCAAAGTGCTCCAGATTTGAAGTAATGTGGTCCACAGCAAGAGATTTCAGTCGGACATCCTTGTTGTTTGTATGGTCAAGAAATCCTAAACAGGCAATGTAGATGAGATTTGGCAGAATCTCAAAAGCGTAATGGAACTCGTTCAGCTCTATTAATTCTCCAACAATCTTGCTAATTAAAAATGAACTTTTTATGGTGATGGCCCAGGACGGGAAATATTCAACCGAAAGTTGACCCGTTTGGTGCATCCTCTTGATGTTGGCCTTGTGATTGATGATTAGGAACGTTTGAAGAATCAGATTCACCAATAACCCCAGTAAGTTCTTGGACGAAACAGTAGTTGCTCTGTACCGCAAACTCATTGGCATCCGGTTCAACCACTCGAACCATAATCTATCGGTGTCTAAAGCTGTATTAACCGTGACAGGTACTTTCCAGATGTTGTTGTGCACCGAACACATGTCCATCATTAGCAGGATGTAGTCGCACTGTGCTTCGTCGAGACCGTGATTGATCAGATCGTGTCTAGTAACAGGCGGAACGTCCCTGATGGTTGGCATGCTTACCTGGGCCAAATGTAACAAATGGTGTTGAATATAGGCGATCCACCAGATCACCCTGAGCTCTGACGAGCTGGAGGTGCTGAAGTCGTATCTTTCGGCTGTGAAGAGGGCCAATTGGGCCCAGTAAATAGAATCCTTGTCGGAGTAGTATGGTGCGTGACAGCTGAATATGATCAGCGATTGTGTTATAAAGACAGGGTCGGACTCTGTGTCGGAGTCGTACGCGGAGCGAGCTTTTTCGAACAGCTGGTTGGTGAGGATTTGCTGTTGTTTACGTTGTTCAATGTTCATTTTTTCGGCGTCCATATCTCTGGCCCCCGCAAACAAAATTGTTAACAGGAGTAGCAGAGAAGGCGGCGACTTGAGGTCGCTGTTCCTTTCCAGAAACGCTCTTTTGTTGACGATTGGCAGTCTATAGTTGAGTTTAAGGAAGAACCTTTCTATTAGTTGCCAACATATCTCGATTGGCGGGATCTGTTGGGACTTGATTTGAGCAATTGCTCCGAATCTGATATGTTCGTTGATTAGTGCTTTGGTGTCGATCAGCTGGAGATAGTCGTTCAGAAAAAGCTTGTTTGGCTGGCTTCTTTGTAAGACGTACCTTGGGATCTGCTCGCCGAGGACCTTGGCGAGCTTCAAAGTGACGTGATCTGTGGAGGCTGTGTATGGAGGCTCCGACATGGACGGATTTCTGGCGGGCAGATCGTCCATCATTGGCTGGCTGGACAAAGAACGTTTTTTCTTTGTATTGTAGAGCTTTTTGCGTTCAAACACTTGACATGTATTACCACTTGATTTACAGTTAGTACATGGAACAAACGATCCCATGCTGGCAAAGTCTGTCACCTCCGAAAGCTGTTCGTTCTTTGCGGAGATATCACACTTGACTTTGCGCCGATGACACGTTTGACAACTGAACTTGGCTCTTTTACGTTTTGCAGACTCCGCCGAGGCTAGAGATTCTGCCAAAGTGGACGTTGTGATCAAGGCGTTGGGCTGCAATTGCTGGCCCATCGTACCGGAGTACACGATGGGTAATTCTTCTTTTGGATCGTCAAGCCTAGAAGAAGGATTCATGAAGTACCATTTTCTAACAAGTTTGGAAAATCCCCTTTAGTAATATTATATTTAATCCTTCTCCCACTACCCATTACCGATGACTACATAAAAATGGAATGCATGACGAGCGAGATTTTGGAAAAAAAAATCGTTTCGATATGCAATAGTCGGGATTGCACCACCTTTGAGAAATGTATAGCGGTTAAGATGCCGGATTTTCAGATTCAGGGCACAATTGTGATTGTTTGGCGAATTTCATATCTGCCGGAGAAATTATTATCTTTAAGTTTCCAGCGTGTTTGTTGCACCTTCGCCCAAAGACGTTATTGGCGGAATTTTTCATAATTCCTTCCCTCACTAAAATTTCTCCTGCAGCAACTGCAGCTTTCTTGTTACTGTGAATGAAATAGCAAGATTTGAGCGATATCGCTGCTCCACTATAAATCGCCTGGCAATTCCCCTACTTCCAGTGTTTTCCCTTATAGCGTAAAGGTTATCGCGTTCGGCTACGAACCGGAAGGTTCCAGGTTCAAGTCCTGGTGAGGGAGTTTTTTTTTTCCTTGACTCAAATTATTATTAACATTGTATATTAAAACGGTTCACTCTAGCGACCGGGCCAGAAGACCCACAGCTTGCGCATCCAGTCCGTGCAGCGTGCTGTACACCGCCGTCTCGATGCGCTCAAACGCTTCCACAATCTCGTTCTGGCTGAAGCCGGCGTTCACGTTGATCATCAGCGTAGGAACAACAGGTAGCAGCTCATGCAACAAAACCCGTTTTGTGCGCGTGATCAGCACGCCCGACCCGATCAGCTTGTCGATGATCGTCTGCAATAGATAGCTCTCGGTATTGTAATCCCGAGAGAAGTAGCCGTCCTCGTGGCCGTTCTTGAAGGCCTTCTTCACCTCCGAGCCGGGACCACCGTAGCTTCCTGGGAACTGGAGCTGTTCGCGCAAAACAGGGTCGATTCTCAGATGGATCAGCGGAGAATAGTCGGCCGACCGAAGGATCACAAGGTTCTTGAGCTTGGATGACTTGGAAATCAAAGAATGCAGCAGCTTTGTGTTGTCCTGCAATGGTTTCACCCATTTGTTCACCTGGCCCGGTTTCTCTTCCTGTTGCAGCAGAGAAATCACAGCAGACGTAGCAGAGGCACTGTAAGGAGGCAAGGCAGCCGAAAACACGTAGGCGTTGGAAGAAAGAATCTGGTGGTACGCCATATCGTGGCAACCGACACAGAAACCTCCACTGGATCCAAACGCATTGGCCATCGATCCAACTGTCACCTCGATCTCGCTTCTTGGAATGCCGTAAACCTCAGGCAATCCTCTTCCGTTTGGTCCCAAAGTTCCGATCGACAAGCTCTCGTCCAAAAAGAGTCTGAACTTGTACTTGTTCTTGATCTCGACCAGTCTCTTGAGATCAGGCGAGTCGCCAAAATTCTCAGACAGTCCTTCGGTCATAATGAATCTTCTATTTGGAGGCCCTTCACTGAGCTCTTCCTGAAGACTTTCCAGGATCTCCTCCAAATGATCCAGATCGTTGTGGTTGTACCATTCGATGTGACATCTGGAAATTAGCGCAGCTTTCTGCAAAGCAACAGGGACTCCTCCATCAACAACGACAATATCACCTCTTTTTAAGAAACATGGTAGAACAGACGTTGGAGTACAGTAGTCCTGACCGTATAGAATGGTTTCCTCTGCACCTAGCCACTGGGCAAGGTTCTCGCAAAACCGCACGTGTACGTCCTGGGTTCCGTAGAAATTCATTGGACTGCACGCACCAACTCCGCAGTTGCGGATGGTCTGGATGGCCCGGTCGCGAACGGTTTTATTAAGAGCCATGTTGAGGTAGTCTTTGGAAGCCATGTTGAGCAAATTAGGAATGGTGGCACCTGTTTTGGGGTCCCTAATGGAAACGCGGTTTCCTGCAGCACCTTCCACAAAAGGAATGGCGTCCAACTGCCATCTTTCTTCTTTTCTAAGAGGAGGAGCAAATGGTTCCGGCTGCCAGTCGTCGATGAGTTCCTGAACCTCCCTTTCGGACAAATGCACTTTTTCCTTCTCGTCTTGAGAGTATTTGGATGCAAAAAAGTATCGGATGGCAACCAGGGCCAATAGGATCTCCAAAAGAGTCCGCCATGGGTCGTTCTTGTGAGAAGCCCGGATGTAGTTTAAGACAAACAATCCACCAGGAACCTTCTCAACGCCTTGAATAAACTGTTCCCAGAACTTGACAGAGTTCGAAACAAAGGATATCACAAATTCCGGCGCTCCATCCGTATTTTGTATCAATGTGGTGGTGACAACAGACATGGTGTAAAATATGCGATACTACCTATTGCCTGCAAGAAGGTGTTCGCAAAATGATATCTCGGTAATTGATCTTTTTCCCTTGTCAATCGGCTTAAAAATGGCGTCAAACTACCGTCCAAAACACTAAATACCGGTTCCAAGCGTCCAGCCAACTAAAATCTTTGTGATTTCGATTGTTTTTTAGTTTAAGAATCAGTACACAAAAATTGGCCGTTTTCGTGAACCGAAAAACTGCGCCTCGAGATGTGGCTAGACGCTTGTTTTTATTACATGGCTGTGCCCCGCCAAAGCTATTATACACCACAGCTACTCCTCGAGTCCTTCCAAGTCTTCCAGCAGCTCCTTCTCGAAATCGTCGTCGCTGCTGCTGTCCGACTCGTCTGGCTGATCGGTCTTCTGTTTTTTCTCAATTCCAGACGTCTCGGCCTCGTCCTCCTCCCGATCTCTCTTTAGCACACTCTCGTCCCCCTCGTTGCCGTCATCGTCCTCCTCGTCGTAGTCAGAACCCAGAAACTCCTTCATCTCCTCGTCGATCTCGTCCCAGTCCAGGTTCTCGCCCTCCAGCTTGTCGCCGTTCATATTGTGGCTCTTGAGATACGCGTTCACCTCGCTCTCTGATAAAAGTCCATCAACCTCCATGATGAACTTGTCCTCGGGAACTTTCTCCCACAGAGCTATGCAGCTGAACAGCCAGTCCGGATTCACAACCTTCACGTTCGGATCGATCGATTTCGCAAGACGAACTTTGAACGTTCCGGGATTCTTGCAAATGACGTGCGTCACAGACTTGCCGTAGTTTGCAACAAACGACGCACCAAACGACTTTGCCCAAATCACGATGTCGGCCGTCTCCAGCGGCGTTCCTAGCGGCAAAACTCCGCTCAGCAAAAACACAAACCCGTCAAAAACCAGCTGCTTCATTGACGTCATTATATCCTTCACGTCGGGCAGGTTCTTGCTCGACTTTTCAACCTCGAAGAAAAACTCGTTGTGAATACGCACCAGCGCTTGGCCAAGCGTCTCCAGCTCGTTGTCATCGTCGGACAGCAGGTTGTGTTCTTCTTTTGTTGGTGAGTGCTCCTTCACGTCGTCCTCCTCAATGATCTTGTCAAGATTCTCCTGTAGCTTTGCTAACGGTCTGTCTTGCAACTGTTGCTCCAATACGGTGGTTCTTTCTGTTTCCTGTGCAGCTAGCAGCTCAGTGTTATCCTCACCATCACCGAGCTCCATCATGCGATCCACAGGCGAATACCCAGCATCTGGCAGCGGGATGTTGATTTTCTCGTCGGTCTGCTTTGGTTGGTCTTCGCTTTTCACAGATTCAGCTGGACTATCGGGACTGTCTGGACTTGCCGGACTCTCTGAACTTTCAGGGCTCTCTGAACCTTCCTCATCCTCCGTGCTAATGGCATTCTCGTCGTCTGGTGCACCGGCCTCCTTGAGAGCTTTCAAACTGTTGATCTGGTCCTCCAGCTTGTTCACCGACCGTCTGCGCTTGGACGGTCCCAGAAGCGTGCTTTGGCGAGGCAGGAAACTCGAATTGATGTCTCCAATGCCAACAAAGAAGTCGTATGGAATCACCTTGATCAAATTAGGCGACCAATTCCAAACATCTCCTCTATCGTCAATCACAACAACCATCGATGTGTCAACAGGAAACAGCCGCTGCAGAGACTTCTGCGTCAAGGACCCGCTTTCGTCTCGCGAGAGTATTCGGTCGCCAAAGTAAATTCCATCAGGATCTATGATTTTGGCGATATTTTTGGCATAGGAACGCGTGGCCATCGTGTAAATGTGCAATTCGTACAATTTGGCAACTTTGTCCAAAAACTCCTGCAATCCGGGTCTCAACTTCACATAGTACCATCTCAGATGCGGAGGAGGTTTTGGACCAGTATAGTTGGGAGGCACAATGGCTTCTTCTTCCAAAGAGAAAGACTTGACGTCTTTGATGGATTCGTAGTTTGGATTGTTAGGGTCGGACATCCACTCTCCAACAGTTGGGTCCACAGTAGCATGAATCACTGTTTGATCCAAATCCACCACCAACGACAGTTTCTCTTCTTTCAGTAATCGCTGTGTCGAACTCTTCTCAATGTTCTCTGCCTCCCTTGTAGAAACCTTTAAATTTGTGGTTCCATGCGACATCGAAATTGGAGCTCTATCTTTGTCATTGAAACCAGAGTAATCGATCTCTTCAATGTTCTTGCCGCAAAGAGCACAAAGACCGCCGTATTGGATCGAATGGCTGCATGGTTCGATGATCTCAACAATCTTGGAAGAGGCGTCTTTCAACTTATCTCCAACTTTAACATTTATTTCAGACACAGTTCCTTCCAGAGGACACTCAAAAGACCCAACGTACTCCACCTTGATCAATTTGCGCTCGGACTCGTCGTTTTTCGAGTCGTCTTCCTCACTTAACGGCACGGGCTCAAAGTCGAAGTATTTGTAGTAAACAATTGATGTGTGTGGCTTGATCTCCTCGCCCTCGCTAACTCCCACCTTCACCACGGTCAGTGGATACGGCAGGTTGTTGGGAAGATATATAGGTGTAGTCTCAGCCATAATGAATAATAAACGAGTACAACAAGAAGTTTCCCAGTCGCGATTTTAATATTTATTTTATTTAATTAAATTACAACGGTTTTTTTTTGCTCTATTCAAAAAGGTCCATGTCGATATCGTCGTCTCCTGCGTCGGCGGCAGTGACCTCGTCGAAAACGGCCTCGAACTCGTCCAACGAGTCGTCGGCGGGATCCTGAGTCGTTTTTGGTAGTGGCAGTTGCTCTGGCTCTGGTTGGCTTGTAGTTTCCGAAACAGCAACCGGTAGAGCTTTCTCTGTCTCCTCTAGCACCTCGTCAAACTCGAAATCGTCCATGTCAAAGTCGTCCTCGTGCACCTCGCCCGTAAACTCCGGAATCTTGATCTCCTCGTGGTTCGTTTCGACCCGTTTCTTGTCCTCCTCGATCTGTTTGGCGCGTCTCTTCTGCTGGCTACGCAGACCGCTTATCACCTGTTCGTAGGTTTCATCGTACAAGTTTCCGAGGACTTGGTGGAAACCTGAAGGATAGCTGCTCGACTGCGTGTAGAATCCCAATGTGCGCCCCAAAACAGCTTCCTGCGACTCCACACGCTTCTTGTATAGCTTTTCTTTCTCCGAACGACGCTTTTCCAAAGTAGCCAGCCGCTTTTTGGCAAACTCGGCAATGTTGAACTTGCCCTCGCGTGAGTCTGGAACGTCGTCGTACACGGGCTCCTTCTGCTCGCTCTCGGAGCTCACGTCGGTCTCGACTTCCGGCTCGCTGTCGCCTTTCTCCACCGGAACAACATTCTCCTTCAAATCTAAAATATGGTGCAATGCCTTCTCTCCAAGCCGGGCCTCCTGCACCAACTGTTCCCTCATCTTGATAGGGTTGTCGATAATGGCTGTGTATTTAGGAGTAGCGCGATAGGTGTGGTCCGGAGGTAATGGAGGCATCCAGCTGGGGATGTAGCTTTTTTCTCCCACGGTGGGAGGAACCACCTGAGATATCACCGCGGACGTGTCATTGAAAAACACAAATGCCGGGTCTTGTTCGGTGAGAATGTCGTCCTCTGCGGGTCTATCGAGAATCTCGCACAATTTGGCCGCTTTCTTTTCGATCTTCTGGACTTTTGTTTTGTCTATGTTTTTCGCAACCTGGAGGGCGTCATAGACGTCGTTGAAATCAATCACCCCAAGACTCTCCAGCACCTTCAAGTCGCCCTTGGACGGCTGTCGTCTTCGCTGGATCTCCGTCACTTTGTGGAGTTGCGAGTATATTTGGTCGATATGGGTGACTGCAAGCAACGTGAGCTGGTTCAAAGCCGACCTTGTCACATGCTCTATTCCCAAATACGAGAGAAACAGGCCAATGCACGACTCTAAGAGCGTATCCATCGGGTCCAGCTCGATTTTCACTCTTTCTATGGGGATGTCCTTAGCCAAGTCCATTCTGGTCACCGACGGTTTCTGAATCTCCGCCAACAGCGCAGAAACAAGCAGCTTATCATCGGGCTCGCTTGTTTGCGGGCTTTGAGACCGACTTGCCTGCCGACTCTCGGAACTTGCCGTCTGTATTTCTTCGGCCATAAACAAGTAATAATTTAATTTTTTAAACCTTTTTCCCATGTCTGTCAATCTTTTGGTGGACCGATCGGCCAACTCATTGGCTCCGCTCAATGACGTTGGCCTGGAAATCCTGTCGCGGTTGGAAACAGAAGAGTCCAAATCCCCAAACTCGCTTCTTATCCAGGAACTGTTCAGTGAAACATATACATTGCTGAAACCCTTACAAGACAAGAACAGGTCTGCTAGGTCAAACAAACAGATTCTTGCCAAATTGACCAAGATCCTCAGCTACTTCAAAGACGGCGTGATTGAGCCGCAAAATGACAATTTGGTTCATCTGCAATACCTCATTTCTGTCTACGCAACCATGTCCCTAGTGGTGGTGAGCAGCCAGATATTGCTCAACAACACGCTCAAAGTGGCTGAAGACATCGACTACTACGATTCGGTGTCCAACACGGGTTTGAATGTTTGCTTTTATGCGGTCCAGACATTGCCACTGACACTTTCAAAGGCGTTTCATACGTTGTTGGAAGAGACTGTGCAGAAAAACGTCGACTCTGTCAGTACAGCAGGCACGGTCCCCGATTGGGTGCCTGAGAAACTGGCTCCTTTGTACGCCACGTTGCACAAATGGGCCCGATTTGCGTTTGAATCGACGTCAAACAATTTGCAACAGCTGCTGCTCTCGCCAACCACGATTCTGGTGGCCAAACACCGCAGAATCAATGGAAGAGTCGGCCAGTTCGGCAGATTTGTGTCCACCGTGCTGGGACTGCCGCTCACATACGCGAGAATGGAATTGAAGCAGAAACAGGACGTTTTGGAACAGACCAAGCTTGACAACGTGCAGAAACTAGGGTTTTTGCTCAAAGAGACCCCATTCAGTTCTCTGACCCAGGACTCTAATCATATCACAGAGTTCATCCCGAAACTAGCCAACTTATACTCCGTTTCGGCAAAAGACTTGTCCGATACGTCACTGGACGCCTCGTTGAAGTCGCTTGCTCTGCTGTGTGACACTATTCCGTCGTTTAAAACCGAGCTCGAGGCAAAACGAGCAGCTAACCAGGAGCCTCGCAACCTAGTCAAGTACTGGCTCCCGATCGTGACTGCTGTTCTGTACGGCCCAAATCTGGTGTACGACTTGGTTTCGAACAGAGAAGCCATCTTACAGTGGTTCAGATTGAATTTGGTGGAAACAACTCTGGGATTCTGGAACAACTGGATCGTCGAGCCGTTCAACAACATCCTCAAGACAATCAGACACGACGACAACTCCCGCATTGCCATTATGTCCCAGAAATCGCTATCGTCTGACTTGGAGTCGCTCGAAAGAATGGTTCTGGACTATTCTCTAGATAACTACTCCTATGTTGCAGACAAACACACGGGGCTTCCTTCCGACTATGCACAAACAATCAAACAAGAGGTCCAACAAGGAAACCTGGAGATCGTCATGAAGGGCTACGAGAACGACTTGAAGGCCCCACTGAAGTCGCTGATTGCCGGAGACATGATCCGCAACCTGTTGATCCAGATCCAGAAAATGAAGGTGGACGGCGCACTGGCCATGTCGGGCATCGACAAAATCATCAGGTCGCAAGAACTGGTTTTCGGTTTTGTTGCTGCGTCGCCAAGCTGTCTCATCGTCTGGTATTTGGTCAAGGTGTTCAATTCTTATCTCAAGACTGGCTATTTCATCAAGTTCACGAAAAATAAGAAAATTGCGCTGCGCAAGTCACTGAACGGCCTCGAACGACTAGTCGACCTCGAACTCACCTCCTCGGGCTCCTCAACGTACCTCAACGAAGGTCTGTTGCTGCTGGAGTTGGTCAACCTTCGCAAACTTGGCTTGCAGGTGCTCCCACCCCATGCCCAACAGGACTGGATTAGAGACCTGGACGATCTTTCGAACCAGGACTACGACTATCACTTCAAACTCATGACCATCACGAGAATATGGAACAATTACCGAACATTCATAGAATAATCATTTAGCGTTATTTATAATATGGAGTCAACAATGTGGTTACCAATTGTAGCACCGGCACCAAAAATGGTGGAATCACCTAATCTTTTACCAAACTCCTTGGCCTTCTCGGTCTTGTGGTGTTCCTTTGGTTGTTCTTGTTGTGGCTGCTGTTGAGCGGCTTGTTCTTGCTTCTTTTCTGTTTCTTTGTCGCCCATTTTCGTTCTAGTTGACAACAGGGAGGTGGCTGTCTGGGGTTTATATACTATTCGGATTACCTAAGCAGAGCAATCTTGCTAGGTTGCTTTAAAATTACACGGTTGCAGATTACATCATATGGACAATTACCCGTTGCACATGGCCTGTTTCACATGTAGATAAGGTTACTGCCCGAGGAAAGGGGCGAAGAGTGGCGCGAAATTCTCCCGTTGCTGATATCGCTGAGGTATTGCACGCTGGAGGAGGAGTTTTCGATCTGGTCGTTAGTGTAGACGTGGGTGCGGCTTGTAGTTGGTGCGGCCGACGGCGAGCTGGAGACGAAAGCCAGACTTGGCGGCAGCAGGCCCACTTTATGTGGGGATCCGTTTATAAACGAGCCCGTAGAAACTGCCGATCTGGCGAGCCGCAGCGGGCTGTCCAGGATTCGGCTGATGGACTCTGCTCGCACGCTCAGCGGCACGCTGTCGATATTGCTGAGTTCGGTCAGCGAGTCTAGATCGTCAGAAAGCGAGGACCGGCCCGGGGTTTCAGGACGCGGATCTGGGGTTCTTGGCAAAAACCCAAACAGCTTGAAATGGTTGTTTCTAAGAGATTTGGGGTCCTGCGTGGTGGCCGAGAGGATGTCGCTCGTCACCTCGTACACCTCGGAGCCTATTCGGATCTGGTTCAGGCTCTTTTCGTGGGCGATCGCCTCGAAGCTTGTGATTCCTTGCTCTTGCGCTCGATCTCCTTCAAACGGGCTCTGGCTTCCCTTGACTGGGGTTGAGGGCTGGCTAACGCTGGTTGGACTCGCGGACTGGCTGGGATAGGTCTGTTTGCTCGATAGGGGCGTGCGATTCCTCCCTGACGTTTTTACGGGGCTGGGGCTGCCCGAGCTGCTCGAGGTTTCTGTCAACGACAGGCCTCTTTGGTTTCCGTTCAGCGAGCGTCTGGTGAACACGTCGCCCAGCCGTCTTTGCGTGCTGTTGTTCGAGCCCGAAGTGCTCTTTGTTGACCTGAGCGAGCTTGCTTCCTGCTCGGCGATTCCGTCGTTGATCACGCCGCTCTCGCTGAGCAGCTTGTCGAACTGCGGGCCGCCAAACTCGCTGTCCGAGTCGCCTGACCCGCTTCTGTACATCCCGGTGACTCCCTTGTTGAGGTTGTGTGCATCTTTGGCAATTCCTTTAAACACCACGCCGAACACCCGCGACAAAACTCTGGACAGAATAGCCACCACAATCACAACCAGTCCCACAGACAATGGTGTTTTGTGCTCCTCGACAAAAGGAGCCACCTTCACCTCGTAATAATCAACAAGGTCGTCCAACAACGGCGACCATGCTTTACTGAGATGTGTCACGTGAACGACAGCGTATTGGTAGAAGAGCTTGGACTTGGACTGTAACAGAGCCAGCAGGTGCTCTATGGTCTTCTTGAAGTGGAACCATGCAATTGCCGAGTGAGTCTTTGCGTGGGCGTAGTATGGGGCCGAAAACTTGATCGTGGAGCGGTAGAAGTCTGTAGAAGTGCCAACCACGTAGCTGTAATATGGCGCGCAAACGTCTAAAGCGTGGTGGTAGTACGGAGCGTACGGCCGGACCCAAGGAACAAGTGGCCGGGAAAGAAGGTACGCGAACCGGCTGGCCACCTCGGCATACAGAGCCAGTTTCTCGGCAACAGCGTGTACAACCTGGTGGTACAATGGCACAGCAAATTTGAGGAAAGCTTGGTAATATTCCTTCAGCTGGATAAGATACAATTTGGACTTTTCGTAGTACTCGACGAAAACAGACGGAGCAGGCGGCTGCTTAGAAGCGCCAGATCCTGGAGGTTAGAGCCAGAGAGTGCCAAATACTTACCGAAAACAGACGGAATTTCAGGCAGCGTGATGATGTCCATGTTTTTCATCAGAACCAGAGAAAGCAGCGCAATCACCGCATAATAAACAGGAATGACCGGAATCATAATTCAAGTGCGTAGGGTCGAGGAAGGAACGGTTGCTGTGGAGACTGAATTGGTCTAGATGTCTTGCTGGGACGGTTGTTTATTTTGTTGCTTTAGGAAAACATATATATTTTCGACGCGACGCCAGACGCCGACCGCGGTTCAAATCGTCCCCACCTTTTTTCTTCTCTGGTATGGATTCGAGCATAGTTCTTGCGGCGTCGAACTTATTGTGTTTGGCAGCATCCGTGCTGGTTGTGACGGTGGGCCGGATCCCGCAGCTCGCTTTTTTGCTTCAGTACGGGAAAACATTGCGCCAAGAGCCTCGGCCAAAGAGCCTTGACCTTTACGTTCCCAAACGGTGGTTTCTGCATTTTTATATCCTCTCCGCCATACTGAGCGGCGGGTGTTTGTTGTGGGTGGGGGTTTATTACCCATACAGATTGGTCCATCTGGTGTGCATCCTGAACTTGATCCAGGGCACAAAACGCGCATACGAGTGCTGCTTCGTGTCCAAGTTCTCGCCAACGGCCAAGGTCCACATCACCCACTATATTGCCGGAATTCTTGTATATTTCTGGGTGGACGTTTTGCCGGTGCTCAATTTTCTGCAACCAAACACCAAACTGTCCCAGATCCCCAATGGAACCTCATATCTCGTCGCAACCATACTGCTGGCATTCTCGTACGACCAGTACTGTAACCACAAACACCTCGCAAGCCTGAAAAAATACACCATGCCGACTAAGGGTCTGTTCGAATACATCACCTGTGCACACTACTTCGACGAGGTGGCCATCTACGTGTGCCACGCCGTGCTCCAGCAAACAACCTCGTCGTACCTTGTTCTTCTCTGGACAATTGTCAGTCTCTCAGCGTCTGCTACCGAGTCATACAAATACTACGGGAAGCCAAACAAGGCTATCATCGTTCCGTTCATATACTAATTAATTCCATTCCTTTATACAAAGACTTGCGTTAGTGCCGCCAAATCCAAAGCTGTTGGTCAGCGCGTACTCCACGTGCTTTTCCTGGGCCTCGTTTCGAACATAGTCGAAAATGTACCGACCAGAGCTCTCAGGGTTGCCCAGCTCGTTGCAATTGAGCGTTGGTGGCAGCAGTTTGTTCTGCACAGCCAGGATCGTGTAGATGGCCTCGACCGACCCCGCTGCACCCAGAAGGTGGCCTGTGGCGCCCTTGGTGGAGGAGACGTGCAAGTTAGGGTTGGTGTGCTCAAACAGCGACACCAGGGCGTTGTTTTCTGCATCGTCTCCAACCACGGTGGAGGTGGCGTGTGCATTCACGTAGTCGATCTGGGAAGTCTCGATGCCGGCGAACTTGATCGCCTGGGCCATGGCCCGCCGTGCACCCACCCCTTGTTCTGTGGGGGAAGTGATGTGGTAGCCATCCCCACTTAGACCGTAGCCTGCTATTTCCGCGTAGATGGGGGCACCTCTGGCCTGGGCGTGCTCCAGCTCCTCCAGAACAACCACTCCACCGCCTTCGCCAAGCACAAACCCGTCCCGACCAGCATCAAACGGTCTGGACGCCTTCTGCGGCTCGTCGTTGTACTTGGTTGAGAGTGAGCGTGCGCGTGCAAATCCACCAAGAGCTAATGGGTGGACCACCCCCTCTGCGGCGCCGGCCACCATCACGTCCGCATAGTCGTCCTTGATGAACCGTGCGGCATCGCCAATCGCGTGCAGTCCAGTTGCGCACGCCGTGGCGGCGGCGTGGTTGGGCCCGAGAAACTGGTGTTTGATGGAAATATGACCTGCTGCCATGTTTGTGAGCAATTTCGGCACAAACAGCGGCTGCACTTTTCTGTAGCCCTTTTCGTGGTGGCCAACCGAGTTATCGTACAGGTCCTCGATAGAGCCAATGCCCGAGCCCACACAAACGCCCGAACGGTGTCTGTCCTCGTCGGAGGTGGGGGTCCATCCCGAGTCGGCAATGGCCTCTTTTGCTGCCACCATGGCATACTGAATAAATGTGGACATACGGCGGACCTCGTGTGGCTCGAAATGTTCCTGTGCCGTGTACGCTGCGTCTTTCAGGGCCCCACGCGGCACATGACCCACCACCTTGGCAGGTATGTCTTCAAAGACTTTTGCGTTCTCGAGCTGGGTGGTGGACACGAGTCCCGACTCAGCAGCCACCAGTCTTGTCCAGTTGGTGCGCACCCCCACCCCGAGCGGGGTGATCAGGCCCAGGCCCGTGACAACGACTCTCCGAGCACTCATCTGTCTGTAAAAAGAGCGCGCACAGCCTGGAAAAAAAATATTTCTGAAAAATTGCAAAAAAATTTGAGTTACACTTATCATGGCTGGATCGCAGCTGAAACAACTCAAGGCGTCGCTCAAGTCGGCAGGACTTGTTGGCCAGACGAACACAAAGCAGAAGGGTAAAAGACATTCGAAGAAGACGCCGAACGAGTCACGGAAGGACGACAAGCAGAAGGTGCTGAGCAGAATCAGAGAAGAGTTCAACCCGTTTGACGTGAAGGTGACGCGGAACAAGCGCGAGGATATGCTGGAGAAGAAGAAGGTTGTTGGAAGGCCGGGAATCTCGAAGCAGGTTGGCGAGGAGAACCGTCGGGCTGCATTCGAGGCCAAGCGAGCACGCAAGAACAAGGCCGGAGGACTGGTGGATCGCCGGTTTGGAGAGAACAACAGCGCGTTGACGGCAGAGGAGAAGATGCTTGAGCGGTTTGTGAAAGAGCGGCAAGCTCAGTCGTCGCGGTCGTCGATGTACAACTTGGAGGACGACGACGATAATGCGCTTACTCATTATGGGCAGTCGTTGATGTTTGACCAGGACGGCAACGAGGACGAAGACGAAGGAGACTTTTTCAGCCAGAAGGAGCAGGCAGAGACCACAGGGCCTATTGAGGAGGAGCCTTTGGGCCGCAAGAAGACCAAACAGGAGGTGATGCAGGAGATTATAGCCAAATCGAAGCACTACAAGAGAGAGCGGCAGAAATTGGCCGAAGAGACACAGTACGCTGTCCAGGAGCTGGATGAGGACTTTGAGAATGTTATGGGCACGCTGAACACGGTTCCACAGCCAAAGGGACGGCCTGCTTCCAAGACAGAGGCCGAGAAGCAGTACGACATGAAAGTGAAGACAATTGCATTGGACAGACGTGCCGCCCCCGCAGACCGTACTAAGACAGAGGAGGAGATCGAGAAGGAGCGCAAGGAGAAACAGGACAAGATGGAGGCCGATAGACTGCGTCGTATGGAGGGCGAGAGCGACGACGAGCACGGCGGAGCAGACGACCTGGACGACGTGTGGGAAGGCGCCAGCGACCTGGAAGAGGACGTGGAGGCGGGATCTGAGGTGGAGGTGTCGTCTGAGGACGAGCACGCCGCAGTGAAGCCGAGCGTGATCCGGATCGGCGACAAGGTGGTCACCGTGACGTCGACGGTGAAAAGCAAGTGTCCGGCAACTCTGGACGAGCTGCTGACGGCTGTGGCGGAGCTGGAAACCAGCGAGGTCTCGCCGTTCATTGTGGGCGTGTTCAAGAAGTACCAGCCTAAGCTTGCGTCGGGGAACAAGGAGAAGATCGGAGTTTTCAGCTGTGTTCTTGTGCAGTACATGTTGCATCTTGGCGACAACTACGACCCTCGCAACGCCCAGCTGCTAGACTTCCTGGCCCGTTTGATTAAGAACATGTGCGAAAAGTACCCCGAAGAGCTGTGCCAGGAATTCAGGGGCCAGTTGCAGGAGATACAGCAGATTTTGCAGAAACGCGACTTTGGCACCTTGCCGCGCCAACGCGACCTGTTGCTGTTCACGCTGATCGGCGCCACGTTCTCGACGTCCGACCTGTACCACCTGGTGGTGACGCCGGCCTCGTTGCTGATCGGAGAAATGCTGGAGGTGCTGCAGATTAACACCAAGCCACACCACCTGTTTGCCGGAATCTACCTCACCGACCTGCTGCTCCAGTACCAGCGGCTATCCAAGCGACTGGTGCCAGAGGCAGTCAATTTCCTCGAGCGCGCGCTGCTGGCCCTGGCTCCTGAGCCGCAGAAGATCGACTCCGCTGCTCTGTGCGTGCTACCAAAACCCACAAAGTTCACCCTGGCAACCGCTTCGCAGCTGCCTGCCGCCGCCGAGCCGCTCGCTCTTGCGGACTGGAAGAAAGCCACTCAAGCTCAGCGCGAGAACCTGCTGCTCAAGGCCGTCCAGACCGTGGACCAGGCCACGGGTCTGCTGAAGGAGAGCGGGGCCTCTGTCGAGCTGCTCAAGCCGTTCGAGACCATCATGAAGCATCTGGTCAAGTACTACGCCTCTTCCACCGTGCCAACGGTGCTGGCCAAGCTACAGAACCTGGTCAAGATCGCCAGAGTTGACAGACAGCCGCTCAAGCTGCAGGCCCACCGCGCAATGGCCATCCCATCGTACCTGCCAAAGTTCGAGGAAAACTTCAACCCTGATAAAAAATCGTACGACCCAGACCAGACACGCCAGGAGATCAGCAAGCTGCGTCACCAGGTCAAGCAGGAACGCAAACAGTCGCTTCGTGAGATCAGAAAGGACTCGCAGTTCGAGGCCAGAGAACAGCTCAAGCTTAAACGCAAAGACTACCAGGAGTACCACTCCAAGATGGCCAGCATCATCAACTCTATCCAGACACAAGAAGGCCAGGCCAAGAACGAATACGAGAGAGAGAAGAAGAGAAGAAAGAACTAAGTACTGTAATTTATTTCACGCCCTCCTTATGTTTGTAGATCTGGTTGATGAGTCCCAGGACGCCGGCTTCGTCGTCATCGTCATCGGAATGGTCCTCGTCTGGCCGGTGAACAACATCTTCAGGATAACCCTGCTGGAACGAGCCTCCCAAAAGAGTGCTGTTGTTGAGGTTCTGGAGATAGGTTTTCGTGTCTGTGGACAATCCAGCGGTGGTGTCCTCCATTAGGTCGTTGTTCTGTCGTTTGCCGTACATCGACTCGGCCAGCCCCGTGGACCTGAATTGAGGCGGATACCGCACAGACGTGGCCCCCGTAGTACGGTCCATGGTGGAGTTGTTCATCACCGCGGATCGCAAAAGACTCTTGTTCATCGGCCGCTTTCCTCTCGCAGCCATCGGGTTCCGCGAAGTGTGTCGCACAGGCTCGTTCCCGTAACTCTCCAAGAAGTGCAAATACGACTTGACCATCTTATCGTCGCTTGCGTTGTAAAAGTCGTTGTTCAGGTCCTCGTTAGCGCCAGCAGCAGTGTGGTCCCGCACAGGCTTATCCTTGTTGTCGAAACTGAACATGGCAAAAGTGCACACATACCCCAGGCCGTCCACATGGACACTGAATTCCCTGAAAAAGTCAATCACCTTTTCCGAAACCTCGGGCATCCGACAGTAAAGAATGTACGGCAGCATGATCAGACTGGTGATCTCCTTGAACACCAGCACCAGTCTGAGATTAAATAGGTTGCAAAACTCGTTTTTCACCTCCTCTGTGTGGAAACGGCCGTTCCAGGACTTTGGCAGGTAATGAGTGAACTGGGCCACGTATCTCAACGATGCCTCTGGGTCAAACACAGTGTCGTTCTCAGAAACACTGCCTTTGCAAATGGTAAAGATAGCTCCCAATGTGGAAATGTAGAACAACACTGTCCTTCCTTCAGACAACTCAAAGTTGAGGAAGTTCTCGTGACCAAGAACAGTGAGAATCACCAAGATGGTCACCAGCGATCCCGTGACAAATGCAATAAAATTCAAAACAACGTTGGTGGCCTCTTTGGGGAACTGGTTGATGTACTGTGTAGCTCCCTCTCTGCTCATCTTGAGACGTTTGGTAAATAAATGTGGCAACTCGTTGAACTCACGTAGTTTCCAGCGGGCATATGGCGAATACTGGCGAGAGCCCATGAGAGACGGGTTGGTTTTGATGTCGTAGAAGAACTTGAGGAAAAAGTAGAGCAGGAAGTAGATCACCAGGAATGGAGTGAGGAAGATGCTGAGGATTCCTGCCAAACGGAACCTTTTGCGCAGTTCCGTGGATAATGCCAGTCGTTTGTGCTCGCTAAGAACGGCTTGTTTGAGCTGGCCGTTGGAATTGAACACAAAATCGAAAATGCACAGCTTGAGGTTCCATTCCAAGGTCTTGGTGAGGAAGTGGTGGTTGATAAACGGGATCGTGAGGGCCGGGGTGAGGATGTTTCTGTTGAAAATGGCTATCATGTAGTTTTCCTTGCGCATGAGGCGGTTTGCAATGTCGTGAGCGCTGAGTCGTTTTTTCGATTTGAGGTCGTCTCCGTTTTTCAGGTTTTGGTTGCCGGAGATCAATGCGTTTGTGTTTTGATCTCTGAGGATCATGATCTTCTTGACGATCGTGGACCAGCTGATGGTTTGCAGCTCTTCGTCCGAAACGCCGAGCAGCAGGTTGTAAAAGTTCTTGATTTCGCGTAAGTCCTTGAAATGGTGGTAGTACGACTTGATCCGGAACAGCAGGATCACAAACAGCACGAAATAGAACAGTTTCTGGCTAAAAGAGATCTTTGAGTAGCACTGGGCCACCGCCACGTCCGCGTATCTTGTGGCATTCCCGTTCATCAGCTTGTTGTAGTCGACACAGTTGCCCATGAAACTCGTGATCCAGACCACAAACACAATCACCAGCAGGTCGCTGATCCGCGAAAGAACAATGCACCGGTACCCGTTGCCGACGTAATATGTGTAGACGTCTTCTAGAAACGTGTCGAGGTTGGAAACGTTCGACCACAGCCACAGTGCGCGTTCCATGGGACTTAAAAGCCCCAGCCGGCCGCGCAGCTGGCGTTGCTCGTTGATGTTGCGTACCATCTCCGGCTCGCTGTCGACGCTGGCCTCGCGGCGTGACATCAGCGGCGGCGGCGGCAGTCGGCTGGACGTGGTGTTGGGCAATTGGAACGAGATGCCCTTGGGAATCGATTTGGGGATCGTATCGATGGTTTTGCTAGCCAGGCCTTTCGCGACCTCGCCCCATTGGCTCAGATTCGGCGTGGCACTGCGCTCGTGCGGTGACAAAGACTTGCGGTCTGTCGTGCCCGTCTTGGACGGCTCATGCGGCCGCCGACGCTCCATCATCAAACTCTCAGGAACAGTGTCAAAGTCGTCCTGGTGGAACTCGGACTCCACCTGCTGGTAAAGTTCGCGCTTCTGGTCGTACAACAGATCGTCGTTCGATTCGGATTCCGTGTCGGAGGACGACTCGTTTTCAGAGTGCACGTTCAGCGCCTGCGAAACCCTCTGCGGGCTCTCCACCTCCTGCTCCTCCAAAGTATCCTGCAATTGGTTGATGCTGAACTCGATGTCGTTGTTATCGTCGTTAAGTAGCGGATTAGAGGCAGACCCAAACACCCGCGACAGAAAGGTGTGCTTGTTAAGGTCGCCCATGTTGAGACGGATTATGCAAACAAATAAGCTCTGTCAGATGTTATCTTTTGCCTTTAGTGTGCGACGTTTTACGTAAGCAGGGGATATTTCCAAAGTTATAGATGCGAAAAAAAAGTTCAGTTGGAGGAAGTTATGTCTATTTCTTTATTGCGCGAGAGCATCAAGAACAACCAGCCGATCAGTTTCCCCGACGGCCAGGACATTTCGACGGCCAGTGTGCTTTTGCTGGGCGGCAAGGAGGTGTCTTTGAACGAACAGACCGGGTTTGTGAGCGGCGACAAGGTGGACCATGTTCTTCGCACCATTTACCAGTGTTGGTTGCACCGAGAGTCCAACACGACCGAGTACATTGCTGACTGTGAGTCGCGCAACATTCCTGTGGTGAGTTTCCTGGAAAGAACGGACCTGATTTCGTATTTGAACGGGTCCTCAGAAACGTGTGTTTATCTGCAAGGCAGCAGCGAGTCGACCACAGTGGGGGAAAAACGCCCCGCCTCGGTGGAGGAGTCTGAAGCTCCTTCCAAGAAGAAGAAAGAGGTGGACCCGTTCCTTCGCGAGGTCCTGAGTAACGAGCGCAATTTGATCGACCACAACAGGGCTCTGCAGGGCACGAAGCCTGTGGACTTTTCGAGCGTGGCGAAGGAGTGCGAATACAAGATCATCCGTGCTGCCAAGCAGAGCAGCAAGAGCAAGACGAAGCAGGGCGAGAAGGAGACCACCGGCACCAGCAAGAATAAGGAGCCGATCATCATCTTATCTCCGTCCGCCTCGGCGATTCTTAACATGGGCAATGTGAAGGAGTTTTTGCAGGAAGGCCGGTTCAATGGCAGCTCCGAGCACTCGCTTGCGGCCAGCAACATGTTGCAGATTGTGCGGAACTCGAAACGGTTCGATAAACGGATGAAGTATTTGGTGGTGAACAACGTGGAGAAGTTCTTTACGAAGCCAGAGTACTGGGACCGGGTGGTTGCTGTTTTCACGACCGGACAGGAATGGCAGTTCAAGAACTACAAGTACAGCCAGCCAGGAGTGCTGTTCCAAAGAGTGAAGGGATTCTACTTATACTACAACGGAGATAACATTCCAGATAAAATCCAGCAATGGAATGTGCAGGCGATTGGAATTGAGCGGACACAACGATTCAAAGACCGTCAAACAAGCGAGTTCTTGTGGGAGAGTCTTGAACGGTTCATGGCCGGAAAAGGATATAGATGAAAAGAGTAATAATACTTAGCAAGGTCGTCATTTAAGATACATTGATACACACCTATTTGGCCTGGCCTTGATTAATGGTATCGAGCCAAGTTTCGGTACAAGGGGGAAAATCATTGGTTGGGCGCAATTGGTACTTTTAGACCTGAGACAACGTTGGCACACCGGTTCTAGCTGGTCTGGAGGAGCCGGTTCCCAAGAAACCGTTCTTCAAGATGGAAAGAGAGGAGATGACCAAGGAGAAGAGGAACACAAAGAAGGAGAAGTAGAGGAAGGCGACCGAAGCCTGGGCCTTTCTGCATCTGTCAGTGGAACCTTGGGTCACAGTGTTGCCATCCAAGTAGGATTGGTTGTGGCAAGAGTGAGTTCTGATGGCAACGGCAAGAGCGGTTGCACCAGCAAAAGTGAAGACAAAGTTGAGGAAATCCCAGATGGCAAGGAACAAAGGAGAAGCCAAGAAGGACACAAAGAATGCCAACACTCCGTAGAAAGTGGAGGTCAAAAGTCCGAAAGCAGCAGCGAAAACGGCAAAGTTGACCTGTGGATTGTTGTGGTTGGATGTGGCAGCCAGGGAGCCGGTCAATCCGAGAACGATCACGAGGAACACGAAGTTCAAGCCTCTGAGAGAGATATCACCGTATGAGAGAGCCATTGTACTGATAGCAATGAAAAATTCTATAAATTTTTCTGAATTAAAAGTTACGGACCGAAATACCTAGCTGTATTATATATAGTGCCACAAACACAAACAAACAGGAAGCGAAAAAGGGAAATCTCTGTCCAAACAGGAAAAAATCGCAATTATTTCCAACCCTGGTTAGGTTGCCCCGATGTTTTTTATTTTCCGAAAGCAGGCATTCTGAGGTCCCACTGAAATGCGGGCCGGCACTATTTGTCATGGAGTCTGTTATTTCACCCATATTGATTAAATAGCATGCAGCGAAGATTAACTAGGCACCCTTAGAGATATGATTGCTATCACGCGGTGGGCCTTTCGGATATGCGTTGTGGAATGACTGGCTTAGCCATTGACCTTGTCACACTCTAGATTCCTTCCGTTATTTGCCGTAGCTTTCGTTTTTCATCCCCTTACCCCCATCAATCCACACCAGATGAAACTGCCCCGGCTCATCGAGATAAATTGTATGTCCCGACAAGAGAGGTTTCCCAAAACGGAAAGACGACTTGCCTAAAAAGTGGGTGCCAACGAAAACACCACACCCTTGCCCAAGAAGAGCAAAAGGGAAACACTTTCAGTATGGCCTTAATAGGCATTCTAGAAACCTGGATTCGCTACGAAAATTTCATCGTCCCGTGCGGTGCTAAAATCGTGTTTCTTCGCTGATGGGTCCCTGTTTAAATTTCTGTTCCAGGATAATGAGTAAATAAACGGCCCACTCCTGACACCGTATTTTTATTTTTCCCTGAATGATCAAACGGTCTTTGGTGGTGTTGAACGCAGAGTCCGGTGCCATGAAGCGGCGGCTCGAGCAGCTCGCGGAGGACGCGCGTCCGATTGCTGGCGATGACCGTGCCGGTACTGTGCCCGACGCTTTGCCCGTTGACTTGCCCGGTTTGAGGGCAAAACTCGATCGGATCCAAGATCAGAACTTTGAGCACCAGTACCAAAGAGAGATCGGGCTCACGAAACTGCCCACATATGCGGGCAAACAGGAGCGCGAGATCGCAGCTGCACCGGTATGGACGGGCAAGGAGTCAGTTTACGACGCCTCCTTGCGAATGCTCAACGACAAGTACAAGACGGTATCCAAGCAAAACACAAAACAACGATTGCACAGGGCGCGGGAGGGCGCAATCGACTACCAATTGGACAAGGTGTCGGAGAAAAAACAGAAAAAAGATGCCGAGGACGATGGATTTAGCGAACTGTACAGAGAACGGTTGCTAGGGCCGGCCGTTTTTGTGAGTGACACATTTGCGGCTGTGGACAATTCGGTGCGGTCGTTGGCCGACCAACGAATTATGGAGGCTCAAAGACGGGGCGATTTCAAAAACCTCCCGCGCGGGAAGGCTTTGGAATCGGAGTACAGAAACACCAATGCCTATTTGGACCGAACCGAGTACCACTTGAACAACATTCTCAAGAGACAGGAGGCGATTCCTCCGTGGATCGAGAAACAGGGCAGTGTTGATGTGCAGATCAGGCAGTTTCGGAGCCAGCTCGATTCCGATTGGACCTCGAAGGCTGTGCATATAGTTTGCGATAGGTATCCAATGGGATCGGATTCGGACAAGATACAACTCATGGAGCGTTATGCACAAGCAGAGAAGGACGGCGGAACATCGCATTCCAAGCTCCGGAGCCGCGAATGGGAGCAGCACCACGGAGAGTATCTGAAGACCAAACTGCGCGTGTTGAACGACAGCATCAGAGGCTACAATCTACAAGCACCGTTGGCATCACAGAAGTTGTACCTGATCCAAGAAAAAGAGCTGGAAAAATGCTACCAACGATGTGCGGATAAATTAGTCGGGTCATTGAAAAGACACCTTTTAGGGTCTTCACAGGCTCCTGTGGCGCGTGCAAGCAAAAAGGAACCGAATCAGAGGCTACCGAAATATGGCGAGGTGAAACAACGTGACATTAAGCAAACATACCAGGTGCCGTCAGAAAGTCTTGGACGGCAATTAATAAACATGTTCCGTTGGGGCTCCAAGGACGAATGAAAGGTACCGGAGCTGGCAATGACGTGGACAGGGGGTGCACAGCTGGTTATTTTTTCCCAAAACAACCGTGCCCCTCCTTGATTGATGGAAAAAGAGTGACGATGCACACGCCCAAAGTGGGGTGTCCCGCGAGAATTTGGAAATAGGCTCCAAAGTTAACCACCCCACATTTTGCAGAAGAAAAAATTTATAAAATCCGGGGTTGTTTGGTTGCTGGCCAATAAAAACGCCCGGCCAGCACGGAGTCTTGTACAGCGGTTGTGAGAGGGCCATCCAAAGAGGGGTACACAAACGGTATAAATAGACAAGACCACCACTGTTACCATCACTCAATCAGTATCACATACCAAATCAAACCAAAATGAAAGTTGTTCTAGTTCTCTACGACGCAGGAAAGCACGCCCAAGACGAATCCAGACTTTATGGATGTACCGAAAATGCCCTTGGAATCAAGGACTGGCTCGAGAAGCAAGGCCATGAGTTGGTCGTCACTTCCGACAAGGAGGGCCCTAACTCCACTTTGGAGAAGAACATCCCTGATGCAGACATCATCATCTCCACTCCGTTCCATCCAGCCTACATCACCAAGGAGAGAATCCAAAAGGCTAAGAACCTCAAGTTGCTGGTTGTTGCTGGTGTTGGATCCGACCACATCGACTTGGACTACATCAACCAGTCCGGAAGAGACATTTCCGTTCTCGAGGTGACTGGATCGAACGTTGTTTCTGTTGCCGAGCACGTTGTGATGACCATCTTGGTGCTGGTGAGAAACTTTGTTCCTGCCCACGAGCAAATCATCTCTGGCGGCTGGGACGTCGCCGAGGTTGCCAAGGACTCCTTTGACGTCGAAGGTAAGGTTGTTGCCACCATTGGTGCTGGAAGAATTGGCTACAGAGTCCTGGAAAGACTCCTTCCTTTCAACCCTAAGGAGCTGCTGTACTACGACTACCAGTCGCTGCCTAAGGAAGCCGAAGAAAAGGTTGGTGCCAGAAGAGTCGAGGACTTGAAGGAGCTTGTTGCGCAGGCCGACATTGTCACGGTCAACTGTCCATTGCACGCTGGATCCAAGGGCCTGATCAACGCAGACTTGCTCAAGCACTTCAAGAAGGGCGCCTGGCTGGTCAACACCGCCAGAGGTGCCATCTGTGTTGCTGAGGACGTTGCAGCCGCAGTCAAGTCTGGCCAGCTCAGAGGCTACGGTGGAGACGTCTGGTTCCCTCAACCAGCTCCAAAGGACCACCCATGGAGATCCATGGCCAACAAGTACGGTGCTGGTAACGCCATGACTCCTCACTACTCCGGATCCGTTATCGATGCCCAGGTCAGATATGCCCAGGGTACCAAGAACATCCTGGAGTCTTTCTTCACCAAGAAGTTCGACTACAGACCTCAGGACATCATCTTGCTGAACGGTAAGTACAAGACCAAGTCTTACGGAGCCGACAAATAGATCTGGAGTTGTACAACTTTGTTCTAAGTATGAGATTAGAAATGAATGAATTAGGAAATATCTTTATGGCTAGCTCCATTCTCTAGTGCGCGTTCGCTAAATTTTGTGCAGGAGTCGCGTGCTAAATTTATTTGCCCAGCCAGAAGACAACTGCCGAGCCAGCAGAGCTTTGTTGTGGTGCATGGGCCCTTTGATGAGCCCCGTACGCGTCCAGCTGTCTATTTTTGTGGCTGCTCCTGTGCGCGCCAGTTTCAGCAGTAGAGGGGTCTTGATGTTAACAGGAGACAGCACCGCCCAAGAAGGAGTGCGGCGCTGCGGCTCGAAAACGCGGATGGGTCGACTGCTGGAAGGAGGTGCCTTTGCAAGGAGCGGTTGACAGTGTCAGATATATAAAGCGCTTGAGATCCTTTGACATGTCTCTAATGATCGACGACCAGGCACTTGACATCTTCCTTAAGTCTCCTGTCACTCAGGACATGATCCACCACTTGGTCACGGTGACTTTGCAGGTCCTACCATGCGAGTCGGCCAAGACCATCACACAGAAGCTGCCTTCTCCACCAGACTCTCCGCCGGTTCTGAAGACGAAGCCGCTGCCTTCGCTCATGACATTCATCACCAAACTCGTTCGCCATACCAACGTTTACACGGGAACACTGATGTCGACCATTGTGTTCCTCAACAGACTCAAGTCCAAGCTTCCAAAGGACGCTCAGGGTCTGCCGTGCACACGCCACCGCATTTTCCTCGCGTGTCTGATCATCTCGTCCAAACACCACAACGACTCGTCTCCAAAGAACAAGCACTGGAGCAAGTACACCGAGGGTTTGTTCCGCAAGGAGGACGTGAACCTGATGGAACGGCAGCTACTGATGTTACTGGACTGGGACTTAAGAATCAGCAAGGAAGAGCTCCTGCGGGTCTGGAAGCGCTTCCTTGACCCGCTTCGGGCAGAGCTACGCAAACAGGAGCGGACCAGAAAGAGAAGCGTTTCTCCGTCTCCTGTTCGCGTGCTGACGCCGCCACACTCGCTCAGCAGCTCGCGCTCCTCCTCGGTCTCGTCGCTGGATACCCTCCATTCGAGAGCATCGTCTGTTTCGAGCACTTCGAGCCAGATCTTGGACGATGTTTCTCTTGGAAAGATGATCGATACCGTTGCTCAGCGCGAGGAGCAGGAGCTCAACAATTTAATGAGACAGTACTGTTCTGTCTCTTCGCATCGCATTGAACCAATTGGAATTAGATAGGACAAATAAACTACACATAGGATTCGGATACAAATTGTAGCTGCCTTGGCCGGTGTTGGTGAAAAATCTGCACAGCCAAAGTTGCAGTTATTTATTTTCTGAACAACGTAATCCACGCGCGATGGAGGACGCCCCGAGTACCGGCCCTGCCGAGGCCGTGCCGCCTGAGGAGACTGTGACGAAGAAGAAACTGACGTTGCAAGAGCGATTGGCGTTGGCGGCGTCGAAAAACGGCCGCAAAGACGAGCCCAAAGAGCCCAAGGAGAACAAGGACCCTAAGGAGAACAAGGACACTGGATCGGACTCCAAGATCGCCAAGGACGAGTGGTCGTTGCCGGCGGACTGGAAGACTCTGTCGCAGGAAGAGCTTGTCAAGCTCCTGGACAGGGCTGCGGAATCGTTCAATGATCTGAAAAGGACAAATCAGCAATTGGTACGTAAAGTTGACGATTTGCGTCGCGAGCGGCCCCCCAAGCGCTCGATCACCCCTGTTGGCGGCGACGACCTTCTGAAGCGCAAGCTCGAGGAGAAGGAGCTCCAAATCAAGGAATTGTTGGAGGAAGGGTCCAAGCTGTCGATGAAGGAGGTGAATCTGACCCAGACGATCAAGAAGATGAAACAGAAGGAATTGGACCTGGAGGAGGACCTGGCCCGGGCAGAGAAGGAGACTGGCCAGTTGCAGACGCGAATAGCAGATTTGGAGTCCGAGATCGGCCAGTTCAAGCAGAACGAGCGCAGTGTCAAGGAGGACAAGCTCGGCTTTGAGACGTTACAGAACAAGTACGAGAAACTGGTGAAGGAGAACGAGGCGGTGACGAACGAGTTGAAGGAGATCAAACTAAGGAAGCTCGACGTTCAGCTCCTAAGTACACAGAAACAGCTGGAAGCGGAAACCAAAAAGTCCACCAAGTTGCAAGAAAGACTCGACAAAATCACAGAGGAGTACAACCTGTACAAAGAGGAGGCGCGTAGCCAGGTTGCGCAGCTCAGCTACAAAGTGGAGCGGGAGCGTACCAGGTACAACGAGCTGACCAAGGAGAACGCGGCCGAGATTAAGCGGCTAGAAAACAAAATGGAGGCGTTCAGGCTTATGAGCGAGTCCGTGGAAAGCAAGTCGGACCTCAACAGCACGTCTGGTGGGTCGACTGTTTCTGTTGACCTGATCCAGTCTCAGTACACACATGCACAGGAGAATTGGAAGCTCATTGAGAGCAGCTACTTGAAGAAGATTGCCGGTTTGGAGAACGACGTGGAGCTGTTGAAGCAGAAAGATATTTCCAACGCAAAGAAGATCAAGACAATGCAAAATGACCTGAAAAACAGGGTTGCCGAGGTTGGCGAGATGCTCGAGACCGAGAACGCGCTGCGTGCGGAGATCGAAGCCATCAAGAGCAAGCTGGAGACCGCATACGGAGACCTGGACACGGCCCGTCAAAACTACGAAGCCCTGAAAAAAGACCACGAGTTGGAGAAAAGCAACCTGGAAAAGAAGGTGCATTCTCTCGAAGAGGACAAGACCCGACTGGCCAACATCAACAAGCTGCGGGTGGACCCTCAGGCGCCGATCCAACCGCCTACCGCCTCTCAAAGCAACTTCTACCTGAACGACCTGAACTCGTCCTCGAGTCTGAACCATTACCGCACCCAACGGTCTGTTTCTGTGGCTTCTATTGACAACATTGCATTGGGCGAGTCGTCGTCCACGCCCAGACCGGCTCCGTTCCCGTACGGGGCTTCGCGTGTGCCGTCACAAGGGTCGTTGTTCTTCAGTCCGGGCCAGTCTCACTCCCAGAGCAACCTGATGCTGGACACAATCGACGACTCGCTGGCGACCGAGGACGACGAGTTCCCTGCTCCTTCACCTATCTCTGCGTCACGGACACGGAGCAGCACCGCCGTCAACCACATGAACTCGATGGACGACCTGGAAACGCCGCACTCGTCCACGATCGGCGGCGGAGGCAGCTCTGCCGCAAACGGCGGCTCCAACATCCAGCTCATGGGCAAGCTGTCGTCGCGTATCCGTCGTCTGGAGCTCGAGATTCTGGGTCTAAAGGACGAGCTGGCCGAAACCAACACACAGAAACAGGAAGCCGCCGAGGAGATTGTTCGGTTGTTGCGCGATAACGAACAAACCACCGAGTACAAGCAGAAACTGGCCAAGTTGGAACAGGAACACCAGTTGCAGTCGTCCAACTACGAGGCAACTCTGCAGTTGCTGGGCCAGAAGTCCGAAAGATGTAACGAGCTCCAGGCCGACGTGGAGGACCTGAAGGAGATGATGAGAGCCCAGGTCCAGCAGATGGTGGAACTCCAGGAAAAACTGGCTGCTACCTAATTTAAATTTGATCAAAAAGTATCTATTATATATTACCCTGCTCGACAGCATGCTTGGTATGGTCGTCGATGTCGTCGGACTCCCATGGGTATGCGATCCACTGGTCTGGAACGTCTTTTCCAGAAATGTACTCTCCGCCGCCCATCTTGTGCTCGTCGATCTCTGCTCTTTTCTCCTTGAGCTTGTTGTGCAGAACAAAGATGGAGAACTTGGTCTTTTCGTTGGTGCGGCCCAGCTTCTCGGCAATCTCTTGCACGTCCTTGTACAGCTCCGACACGGCGTAGTGAAGAGTGGTTCTGGTATCGTCCACCTCGTCCACAATCAAAATGTTCTTTCCAATGAGTGAGTCAAAGTGCTGAGAAAGAGCACCGAAATCCAGCCACTGGGTTCTGATCACCTCTTTTCCGATCTTGTCGCCGTTACCTGTTCCAAGGTCCTCGTACAACGAAAGTCCGATGGCCTGGATCGGAATGTTCTTTTCGCCAGAACTTCTCAAGAACGTTCTGATGATTCTGGCCGGAATAAAGCCACCACCACCAATAGCGATGATCACGTCCGGCTTGCCAACGTCCTTCAAGAACTTCTCTGCGCCAGCCTTACACAGCTTGTGCACGTTGTTGTAGCTGATGTATAACTTCTCAACCATCGTACGAGTCGGGTAAAACAGGTTGGTCCTACCAAAAGAAAGAAAAAAAAATTCACAGATATTTCTCATCCAACTATCTCTACTGCTACACCTCGCACCTCACTACTGGTGTCTATTAAATTAGGGCGGTACTTAGTCCTCGTCTTCGTCGTCGCTCTTGTCGTCTTCGGCCTCCTCTTCGAACTCGTAATCGTCGTTCTCTCCGTCCAGGAACACAGAGCTTTCTGCAAAACTCACGTCGTTCTGTGCACCTGTGTCTTTCTTGCTCATAATATCGTTACGCAGCTTCAGTTGCGACTGCAGCAATGCCAGACGACCTTGGAGCGCCAGCAGGTTGGGCAGAATACGCGAATTTTCGTTCAGCATCGCCTGCAACAGCTTCAGAAGCGCCACAGACTCGGGATCCTTCGAGATCAGTCCTCCTTTGGATATCAGCAGCCATTTGAGCCAGTTGCCCAATCCCTGTGACTTCTGGCCATCGTCAGAAAGCACCAATGCCAGGCTGCGGAACAAATCAAGCGACTCTTGGTCCTTGAGCAGAAACATGGTCGATTTCGCGCTCTCTTGGTTCTGTGACAAAATGGTAGCAAGCAGCTCCACATCGGCCAGATTCTCAACTATTAATGCGTGCACCTCCGACACCTCGTCTCTGTGGTATTCTGTGTCTTCCTCTTCCTCAGTCGGGTTCTCCTCATCGTCCATCTCCACGTCGGACTCGGACTCGTTTTCCTCGCCCACGTCGATGGTGATTTCGCCGTCCTGGGCCAGGTTTTCCACCTCGAACTCGGTGAAATTGGCTTCGTAGCCGTCGAACCATGAGCCAATGAAATGGCTGTCCTTGGCCACAAGGTTGACGAACTTGACTCCCGTGTTGGTCTTGAGTTGCAAGTTCGAGCCGACCTGTTTTCTGGCCTTTTTGCCAAACACGTCGGCAAATATCTCGATAGTTCCGTCCTCAGTAACAACAGCAAGCGACAGAGGCTCCAATAAAGTGATGGAAACGGCAGCAGAAAGACACTTCAGCGTCAACAGCACCTTGGAGCTTGCAACCGAAACGATCTGGACGAGCGAGTCCTCTGCTCTCGACACAGCAAGCAAGTCCGTGTTGCTTTTGCACTGCACAACGTTGGTGATCGAGGCCTGGTGTGATTTGGGAGCAGGGATCTTCACGTCCTGCTGGGACTCTTGTATCTTGTAAGGATCGATAATGTACAATGCTGAGGATGCAATGGCCAGGTTCGACTCGAGGAACTGGAGATACTGACACTGTTTATCTGTGGCCCAGGGTCTGGAGTCCACTATGCGGTTTTCAAACAGGCCAAATTTGCGTAGCGTCATGTTCTTTTTATCGTATCCCCAGACGTCCACTCCTGGGCCGTCTGTAAAGTCACTGAGGGCAAACCCGGTGGAGATCTTGTTGATAACCTCTTTAGCCAGCGGCGAGTACACCAGAATCTCGTTATTAGAAAGCAAAACACCCAAATAACCGGTATTTTCGTTGCGAAGCCATTTCACCCGCTCGATCTCTGTATCTGAATCGAACTCGATGCTCGACTTGAACTCCTCGCTTTCAAACGACACAATCTTGATCTCAGTTCTCGCCGTGCTGGCTAGAACACAGGCCAAGAACCGTCCCTGAGGGTCGGCCACACTCTCCACAAGTCTCATCGAGCTAGTTTATTAAATTTATTTTAGAGACTGAAAAATTTTTATAGACGAAAAGCGTCGATTTGCGTCGATCGTAATAAATAGCGAAGCAACCATTCACGGCTGCGGAGACTCGTTCAGCTCCTGGGCCAGTGGACCCACGCCGATCTTGGCCAATCCCAGCTCGGCACTCGTGTGAAGCAGATTGAATCTCTTGGACGCCGGCACGTTGTTTGAGATCTCCAGGTTGCGCAACCGTATGCTCAACTCAACTTCTTTTCTGTTCTTTTCATCAATCTCGCCTTGCAAATGCGTGATATACTCAACAGCTTTGCTTAGGATCTGGCCCTTGTTTGGTTTGCCGTCTTTAGTGCCCGAAGCCTTGTCCTTACTTGTTTGGAACAGCTCCTCAGGAATAGCATCGTAGAGCTCGTATATCTTCTCGTTCATGTTGTCCTTGCGTTTCTTGTCGACAGACTGCGGCAGAGGACTGGTTATGGTGGACCGTCTGGAAGAAACCGACTCCATTCGAGGAGTGTTTCTTAATTCCGGTAAGTCGTCCTGTTCTTCAGGATGTGAGGCGTTTCCTAGGCTTTTCGATAACGACGCCCGCACGTTTTCTTCTGGCACCATCGAGAGCGACTCTGGTTCATCTGGCGGCAAATCGAGGAAATCCATTTTCGTTTTAGTCAACCGTGGGTGAAAAAGGTGTTGCAGCTAATTTATTATTTTTTCTAGCTTTTTCTTGCACTTGTTTTGTTCTCCGCCATGCCAATTGACTATTCCAAGTGGGACAAGATCGAATTGTCGGATGACTCCGACGTTGAGGTCCATCCAAACGTCGACAAGAAGTCTTTTATCAAATGGAAACAGAGAGATATCCATGAGAAGCGGATCCAGAGAGACAACCAAATCAAGGGCCTCAAGATCCAGAAGGAAATGTACACGCGACTGAATGCGCGCGTGGACAAGATGATTAGCACATTGGGAAACGCTCTGGCGAACGAATCCAAGAGAAACGAGTTTCTCAACGCCAATTTCGACCCAAAGGAGAAGTGTGCTTTGGAGGACAACCCAGACAGTATCCCATACAACGAGATGGTTGAGGACCTGTTTGTCCAGATTTCCGACGATCTGAAAAAGGAGAACAAGGACAGCAGCGATCCAAAACTAGTTTTGGCTAAAGTTCTGGAACACCGTGCCAAGATCGAGACGGTCCTGAAACAGATTGATCCAAAACTGGAAGAACTCAACAAGGAGAAGCATTTGCACATTTCCAGCGACGACATTCACGACGGCTGGAACAGCTCGTTCATCAACAAAAAGGAAACCCCCTCGTCTGCATCCTCGGCTGCCACGACGGCTCCTAAGTCGGCCTCCACCAGCGCAGCCACCACCATTGAAACCATCAACACCCCGGCCGCGTCGAAACTGCTCCAGACGCCTTCCAAACCGTTGGACGAGCTCGACGAGCTGGAACTGCTTCCAGAAACAGAACAGTTTGCACAAATACCATCCACCGACCTGCTCAAGAGCATCAAGTACCTGGAAGACCATCTATACATTGTCTGCGAGCAGCAGAAAGACGCGCTGATGATGAAGACGTTCGACCACCAGCTGGACGGCGACTCGAACACGGCCAAACAGGTGGTCCATCAGGCATTGATACTGCAATACCTGGACGACCTGTTCAAGGCGGCAGGCGGACCAAGGGCTACGATTCAGCAGAAACAACAGGCTGTCGGCATGTTTGTGGGGAAATTGCTAGACAAGTCGTCGCCGGCCTCTCGTGCATTTGAGGCGGACTGGGACAAAACGTATAAACATATTGTTGGCAGATGCGAAATCATCAAGCAGGAGCACGATGACGGTGCTGGTCAGGAGGGTGTTGAGCAGATCCAGCTGAGGTCGATGGACCCAAACTCGGAGCTCGTGATCAACCTGCCGGCCAAAGACGCGCCAGAGTACGAGTACTTCGAGCAGATCCCCGAGACGATGCAAAAAGCGCTCGAAACGAAGAGTCTGGACAAGATCAACGACGTTTTTGCCACAATGTCTGTGTCGGAGGCCGAAGGGGTTCTGGAACTATTTGACAAGTGCGGAGTGATTCAGATCCAAGCCTTGTTGGAGAACGAGGACGAGTTCAACCATCTGAAGGAGGAATATGAGGAGCTGGGGGAGGACGAAGAAGACCAAGCACCGGAGCCGGAAGCTACCGCGACTGCAGACATTGTCGACTAAACGGCATGCTTACTTCAAATCTGGCATTCTGAGCACCTCGTGCTCTTTGTTTTCGCTAAGTTCTTGCAATTGCTTCAGGATCTTGGACTGTTTCCATTTGTCGGGCAATGGAGTGACCTCGTAATTTTTAGTTGCCCAGTAATATATATCCCAATCTGGCTCGTCCAAAAGCTTGTCGTATTCGTGGAGCTCATCCGGAGTCATCTTATCGAGATACTTGTCTGCGAATCTGCTCAAAAGTAAGTCGGATTCCAGAATTCCTCTTTTTCTGGACTGGTAAAGCAGTCTTCTTCTTTTATTCTCCACCGGCTCTCCGTCTCTGTTTATTGGCTCGACTTTGATTTTCAGCTCACCGTTCTCCTCGTGGACGCTGTGGTGACTGGCACCGGCCTCAACGTTCTTCAAGAGCGGTCTTACAATCGAAAATGCTCTGATTGGTCTAAATTGCGTGGAGAGTCTCAACATGGTACTAAGAAAAATGGATCAAGAAAAATAATTTTGAAAAAATTAAATTATGACTGAAGAAAAGAAGAGAAAGCTCGACACAAACGGCACAGCCCGCCGTTTTGCCGAGGTCAAGCGAGTCACCAATGAGACAAAGATCCAGATCGTGTTGAGTCTGGACGGAGGCCCCATCGCGCTGAAGGAGTCGATCTTGGACAAGGACTACGAACATGCTTCGCAGGCGACCTCGGCCCAGGTCATCTCTGTGAACACGGGGATTGGATTTTTGGACCACATGATCCACGCCCTGGCCAAGCACTCGGGTTGGTCGCTGATAGTGGAGTGCAAGGGTGATCTGCACATCGACGACCACCATTCGGCCGAGGACGTGGCTATCGCCTTGGGAGAGACTTTCAAGCAGGCTCTGGGATCAGTCAAGGGCGTGAAACGGTTCGGCCACGGCTACGCGCCCCTGGACGAGGCCCTCAGTCGTGCGGTTGTGGACCTCTCGAACAGACCGTACGCGGTGATCGAGCTCGGACTGAAAAGAGAAAAGATCGGAGACCTCAGCTGCGAGATGATTCCACACGTTCTAGAGAGTTTTGCAACCAGTGCACACATCACGCTGCACGTGGACTGTTTGCGCGGGTTCAACGACCACCACCGCAGTGAGAGTGCGTTCAAGGCGCTCGCCATCGCTATCAGAGAGGCCATCTCGTACACAGGCAGAAACGACGTGCCCAGCACCAAGGGTGTGCTCATGTAAAATGGTGGTGCGAGGTGTAGTTAGATAAAGCAAGAAAAAAAAATCAAGAGGGTGTGTAGCTACTGGATTGGGTATTTGTGCGCGCACGATTGCTTGAACATAGACTAAAGAAATCTAAAGCGGGAAATATCCAGACGGATGTCGACTAACGACGAGCTTTACAAAGAAGGAGGAGCTTTGGGCGTTTATTCGTATTACTATCAATCTAAAAAAGACAGCTTTAGCAGAATAAGACTCACGTCTCCAATTAGAAAACACAGCATGGCGAATGGTGGAGAACACGCTCCTCCGTCACGATTACACACTCCGCTTTCGTTCCAGAGTGGCCGGCGTCTAGACGTCATGAGTCCGCGGCCGATTGGCGACGAGCTGTTTGGTACTCACAAGGAGCTGGTATTGGACGATGTACAGCCCCGGCAAGCGATAAAGCCCTCGACTGTGGATCTGTGGGTCAAGGTGATGTCTCTTTTGGCTGGTAAAGACAAGGTTGGCAAATGCATTCAGTACGGTTTGCGGATTCTCATATTGTACTCGATTCGCACCAGAAAGACACAGTTATTCAACAACCTCAAGCTCACGCAGCTTGATTTCAACGAAAAGACGTCCAGCGTGCTTGCGCAGCTGGTCAAGCGGCCCGATTTGCTTGTGATACTGTTTCTGGGTCAGTTAGAGTCGAAATCGGTCGGACTCACCAAAGTTCTCTCGATCTACAGACAGATGCTACGTGCGGGGACTGTTCCTATGAAGGTTATCAAGCTGTTTAGCCGAGTGTTTGACACGCTGAGTCTGCTACAGTCGCGCGAGAAGGCATCTGTGAAGCTGATCAAGGTCAAGGAGGACTGGTTTAACTACAAGAGTCTGGGCGAGGTGATGGCGTTGTACTATGCCTGGTTCGACGAGACGCTATTGGCGTTCAAGGTGGGGATCTTGGACGAGAAAAAGATGCCTGCTTACCGCAAGTTTGCGGGTAAACACGAGGCCATTGCGTGGTACTGCACGATCGTTCTTGGACTACGCACCCAGTTCGAGAAACTGTCGCAATTGAGCAATAAAGAGAACTCGCTAAAGATCAACTACCAGGTGAAGCAGCGAGCCAAACGACTGGTTTCCACGATCAAACCAGAACAATCCCCTATCTCGTTTGTTGGGTCGCCGGATCTTTCAGAGAGCATGCAGCTTGCTCAGTATTCGAACGAACTCAAAGCCATTTCTGAGGAAAAGTACATGGTACAACTGGAGGTGCTCAAACTGCTCTGCGACCTGGCATACGACTCGGTGGTGGTGTTCAAATTGAAAATTGACGAGCCGTTCCACCTGATGTTCGGGTTCGGCGCCGCTTTCATCTCGTTGTCCAAGATTTGGAGAACAGAAAAGCGCAAAATGGTGCAAGCACTCAACCAGTCGTGAAAAACCTGTGCCCCCACTTTAAGCATTTAAAATAATTTTTTGTGCTGCCCCTTTTTTTTCATCGCGTCGCGTATGAGAGGAAGAACAGAGCGTAGACCATTAGGCGCTAAAGATGCCAACACGCATGGAGTTTCGAGGTCGACGTCGCCGTACAAGGACTCCAGTTCCAAGTCGAGATCTGGATCGTTTTCGCCGGTCCGGATAGAGCGGCCAAAGTCCACCAAGCTCGACAGTAACGAGTCCTTGGGAATGGGGCTGGGCAAGCTTTCTCCGTCCAAGAGATCTTCTTTGGGCACTGTTTCCCCCACCAAGAAGTTAAAGCCCTCCAAGGGGTTCCAAATCTACGAAGATCGCACAAACTACAGAGACACTTTGGAGGGCCTTGAGGCTATGGCAGTGACCAACATACAAAACAAGGAGAACGAGCCGTTTGTTTCTTCTAGTCCAGGCAAGGAGAACCTCAGTCCTGCACGACGGTCTGCAAAGCGCGCGGCCCTTTCTGATTTGAGGATAGACGAATATCCTGGATACATTCAGGTAGCCGAGCCGAGAACGAACGGGGTTTTGGCCCCAAAACACCAGCTAAAGCAGAGTTTTATGTTCAGACCGTCTAGCTCTACCAAAAGAGCGGCAATCCCGTCGTTCATCACGCCCCCAAAGAAGAACCGCATACAATACAAGTACATCGGGTCTCTGAATAGCCAACAGCCCGACCCTGAAGTTAGATCGCGCACAGATTTGGACACGGGAGTTGTGCGCAAGCTGACATTCGACATTCAAAGTGATTCCATAGCGAGCTACGAAACCCGCAAAAAATAATAATTAAATACTTTTATAGTAACATGTCTTGTTGATGAATGATTCGTCTCTTTTGGGCACCGAAAACCAGGACGGGTCGGAGCTGAAGATCCAGCTCATTTCCTACGACTCGTACCAGACTGCTCCCACCTCTCTGGACAAGCAACGATTCACACTGAACAGTCAGCCGTACAGTGGCAAGAATGTGTCTTTCACTCAGGTGCCGGTTATCAGGGTTTATGGGAAGCTTACAACAGGACATACGTGTCTGTTACATCTTCACAACGTGTTTCCGTACATTTATGTGCACTACCAGGGCCCCATGACGGGCGAAAAGGACATACAAACTTATTTATTGAGCTGGAAAGATCAGATAGATTCGCAGCTGCGGCAGTCGTTCCGATGGGCCAACCGGAAACGACGCAAAATGAAAGAGGATCAGCCGTCAGATAGGGAATCTGACCAGGAAGAAGACTCGGAAGAGGAAGAAGATATCGATATAGGCCCCACAAAAACGTTTGTTTCCGATCTCTCCATAGTGAAGGGTAATTCTCTTTATGGGTACCATTACGGGTTTTCTCCGTTCATCAAGATCAGTTTACTGAGTCCACGGTACACCAAACGACTCGCGCGCCTGCTCACAGAGGCTAAGCTGTTTGATCGGTTCATCCAGCCGTTCGAATCCCATGTTCCGTATATGCTACAGTTTCTGACCGACTACAACTGTTTTGGGTGCAACTGGATCTACCTCGAGAAACTGTTTTGGAGATCGCCCGTGGTGTTCACAGGCGGTGATGTCGATGCGTACCAGGAGTACTTCCAAACAGATTTCACGGTGTTGAATCAGGCCAAGATTACACCGGAGCTCAAGACAGAGCTGTCCAAACATGTGCACCGCGAAATGTTCAGTTTGAACGTGCTCACCTCCGAACAGTATCCACGCATGGGCCGTTCATTCTGCGAGCTTGACTCTTCTGCCTGTTGGCTCAAAAACAGACTCACATGCAAAGAGCGCGACACGCATTCCTCGCTCGAGTTCAATTTGCAACCTGATCACGAGGACACTTATATTTATTCGATCAAAAGTCTTCTGAGCGACCTTGCGTACCAGCGAAGCCAGAAGGGTATGCCGGCGAAGCCCAAATTCACTCTGTTCGACGGAGAGCAACGCAGCTTTGAGGAGACTACCTGGACAGAGCAGCAGGAACTAGACGAGCTGCTCAAGTACTGTACCAATGAGTCCGAGAAGGAGTGGCACAGATTGCATCCTCGTCATGCTCTCACAGAAACGAACGTTGTTCCGAAGAACGAGTGGCTCTTCAAGTACGACACCGCGTTCCGCAACATCGACCGGTTCCACGTCCCCAGTGTTCCAGAGAGCCATCTTGTGCGGCTGACCGAGCGGCAGATTTTACACGAGTCTCAGATTTGCGACTGGCTCCTAGAGGAAGGCCTGGATCAGGTCACACGCAGCATTGAGGATACCTCCAATATAGCAATTGGCCAGACCACAGACTCCAGCTCGGACGAGACCGAGCACGAGGACGACTTCCTGGGAAGCATCCCGCATTTGGAAGAGAAGCTGGGGACCCAAGAATCGTCCACGCCGACTGCTTCAATGGAGTCCAGCGAAAAGCTATTTAATGAGCCGGTCAGCTCGGCGTCTGCTGACCTGGACGCGCGGATTTTCGGTCAAACACAGCAGGTCCGTCGCCACAGCACCAATATCTCGGAATCTGTTGTTCTTGAGTCTGACTCGCAGTCCACTAACCCTGCTATCAGGCTGGAAGCCTCGGAGAACCTATTTGAGGTGACTCTGCGTCCACCAAAGTTTGCTTCTCCGGAAGACATGATGAACAGTTTCGAGGACCATTCTTTGATGAAAATCGATTACCCCGACCCGCACTACACCTCACGGACCAACTACTCTGCTGCCCCCACTTTTTTCTCCGGGAAGAAGTTCCAGGTGAAATGTCTTGATCTACAAGGTTTGCAACCGTACAGCACAGTCGACGAGCTGAACTCAAACACCGCCCTGGTGGAAGGCCCGGGCATCAAAAGCATATGGAGCTTCCAGCTTCCTGCTCCAAAGTTTAAATCCGTTGCTGCGTGGTGCAAATCACACCCCAAGAGAAAGAAGACCCGGTCCCAGGTGTACCGGTCTCAGGTGGACCTGGCTACACAGAACCTGAAAGGATACAAGTTCCCGTCATTCCAGTCGCCAATCTCGCGCAAGGCTGACCGGTTCAACAAGCTGATTGTTTTGAGCATGGAGATCCACATCAACACGCGTGGAAACCTGTTCCCGGACCCGGAGGAGGACGCAATTAGTGCTGTTTTCTGGTCCTTTGACGACCAGAACTATCCGTTCGACTTGGGCATCCAGGGCTCGGGAATCCTCGTTCTAAGCTCTCACGATCTGTCCAGGAAGCAGATCAGATACCCATTGCAGACGTTCCAGGATGAAAAGGAGATGGTTGCAGAGCTTATTTCGCTTGTGGAGTTTGTCGACCCAGACATTTTGTGCGGCTACGAAACACACTCCTCTTCGTGGGGGTATCTTCTTGAACGGTTCAACAAGGTGCACAAAATGGATCTGGGCGTCAGACTTTCGAGAGTGGCCACCAAACACCACAACAAGCGGTACGACCGCTGGGGATACACACACGCGTCGTCTATCCAGATCACCGGCCGTCATATGCTAAATTTATGGCGGCCGCTACGCAAAGAACTGAGCATCAACAGATACTCTCTGGAGAACGTTGTTTGGCACACGTTGCACATCAAAATTCCTCATTACGACCACAAGACACTTACTCGGTGGTTTATTTCTGGCACTCCAGGAAACCTCAACAATTTCATGGAGTACTACATGTCGCGGTTGCACTGGGAGATGAAGCTAATTGACAAGCTGGAGATTGTCGAACGAACCGTGGAAGAGTCCAAGTTTCTGGGGATCGATTACTACTCGGTGTTCTACCGCGGTTCGCAGTTCAAGGTGGAGAGCTTACTGATTCGACTGGCCAAAGCTGAAAACTTCATGGTCATCTCGCCGTCCAAGAAACAGGTGTTCAAACAGTCCCCGTTGCAGGTGATTTCGTTGATTTTGGAACCAGAAAGCTCTTTCTACAAGAGTCCGATGCTCGTGCTGGACTTCCAGTCGCTGTACCCGTCGCTGGTGATCGCACACAACCTGTGCTACTCAACACTGCTCGGCAAGCTCAACGGCTACGATCCAAAAAAAAACCAAACACTCGGCATCACTTCCTGGAAACTGCCGCCAGGACTGCTGAAACTGTTTGAGAAGCACATCACCATCACTCCCAACGGACTAATGTTTCTGAAACCCAGTGTCAGAAAGTCTGTGCTTGCGAAAATGCTCTCAGAGATCTTGGAAGCACGTATTCTCGTCAAGGACACCATGAGCCGGCTTAAACAGGACTCAGAGCTCTACAACCTGTACAACAACAGACAGCTTGCCCTGAAACTGATCGCTAACGTCACCTATGGGTACACGTCCGCAACATACTCTGGACGGATGCCGAACTCGGCCATTGCCGACGCCATAGTTTCGTGCGGTCGAGAAACGTTGTCCAAAGCTATCCGTGAAATTGAGCAAAATACACAGTGGGGTGCAAAAGTGGTTTACGGAGACACAGACTCGTTGTTTGTGTATCTCCCGGGAAAGACGAAAAAGGACGCTTTCCGACTTGGGAAAGAAATCTCGCAGTATATTACATCCATCAATCCTGCACCGGTCAAGCTCAAGTTCGAAAAAGTGTACTTCCCGTGCGTGCTTCTGAGCAAGAAGCGGTACGCCGGGTACTCTTACGAGCACGAGGACCAGACCACGCCAAAATTCGACGCGAAGGGAATTGAAACCGTTCGCAGAGACGGTGTTCCTGCACAGCAGAAAATTGTGGAAAAGTCTCTGCGGGTGCTGTTCGAGTCCAAAGACCTCAACAGAGTCAAACAGTACGTCAACTTGCAGTTTCTGAAAATCATGAAGAATAAGGTCAACATCCAGGATTTCCTTTTTGGTAGAGAGGTCCGGCTAGGCACTTACAAAAGTGCAGCCTCTATTCCTCCTGGTGCTCGTATTTCCATGGAGAAAGCCGCTAGAGACGCCCGAGCAGAGCCACAGTATAGAGAGCGCGTGTTCTATCTGGTAGTCAAGGGCAGCAGAGACCAGCTTCTGCGAGACAGGTGCATGTCCCCCGAGGATTTTCTGGCACGCGGAAACCTGGAGCTGGACGCAATTTATTATATCACCAAAGTTCTCATTCCACCTCTCCAGCGGATCTTCAACTTGTGCGGAGTGGATATCAACTCATGGTTTGACGAGCTCCCTCGCCAAACATTCAACTTCAATCTGGACCAGCTCAATTTCAAGACTCCCATAGTTAACAGTTCAAGATGTATCAACTGCGAGTCCATCATCAAAACTGCGTTCGCCAAAGCACCAAAATTGTGTCCTAATTGCAGCGAAAACGAGCTTGCAACTATCGCCAACATGCGTTCTTCCTTGCGCTTGAAGGAAAATCAAATGAACGATATTCTTGTCACATGCAGCCAGTGCACTAAACGCGCCATGAAAAACAACCATTCTCCTTTGACAACCGCCATGGCGTGTGCTAATGAAGACTGTGCCATATATTATGATCGGGTAAAGGCTGTCAAACAGGCTAACGAGCTGAATGACAGGTATGCATCGTATCTTAGTTGGTGATCAGCACACAGAGTACGTTTTTTCTTCCTGTATGCGAGTGTCAATTTGGGCAATCGAGGTTTCCGAGTGCGCAGAAAGTTCCTCGTACTTGCTAAAAGTAGCGAGCTCTTTCTCAACACAGAACGCCCTGCGCATCATCATGAGATCGTTCATCTTTTTGAATCCTGTAATAGATGTTTCCAAATATTCGAGAATCTTGTTGAAGTCGTCTTTCTTCTTCGTTCCATCGGTGTACGTTGCTATTGTAGTCTTGATCATCAAAACTCTTGCCAGTAGATAGTAGCCGTAAGAAGACATCCATAGACTTCCCACTTGCAAAGCCAGTGGCATCAGCTTGACGAGAATATCCTCAGCGTCGCCAGCAGAGCCAGTTGGGTCGATTTTGAGAATCAGTTCGCATAGAACTATGAATCCCTTCACGGTCAGTGTGATAAGAGATGATTTGCGTGCCATAGACAAGGAATCAAGCAGTATGGACATTGCTCTTTCCGGGGAGCTCGACGATTCGGCAAGAACCAAAGCGTAGAATATGCGGAACTCGATGTACCAGTAATGATTATATGCGTGTTCGTCAATTCCTGTGCGTGCTATGCAGTCTGTTGCAATCGTGACTGCCGTATCGTGGTTGCCAACTTTGTGCTCGTATTGAGCTTTGCGAAGCTGCAATTCGTAGTAAACATCCTGGTCGTTGATATCGTCCACCTGGCTTTGCAATCGGTCGAGCAAAACAGAGACTGGTTTGTATCTGCATTTTTTCAGCCACAGATCAGTCTGGAGAAGCAAGTACCGGGACTGCCATATTTTCATCAGCGAAATGTCATTCACCACGGTCTTCTCGTAAGCTTTGATCATCTCGAGGGCAGCGTCTACTTCGCCATTCTCGAATTCAAGCACTGCACGACGCATTCCTATTGCCAAATCGTCAAATATACTCAGGTTTGGCCCACAGGCATCTAGTGCAACCTTTGTGTACACTTTTGTGAGAGCTGGAACTCCGACCCTGTTCCACGTAGCAGCTGTAAGCTGACAATTCCGCACGAAGGTTGATCTAATATTGGCTCCAATTTCAAAATTAAGCAGAATGTACGACGCTCTGGTGATGTTTTCCAAGATCTTGTGCAACGGTCCGCCATCCAACGTGTATTGCAAAGCATGGTACTGGAATGTCATTGATTGTAAAATCCAATTGCGGTTTTCTTTAGTTTTGATCTTTAGGAACTGAAGAATTTGGTCTCTTGTGGTGTTGTTCTCCATCTTTGAATACAAATGAGGCCTATCTTTCAAAAAGTTGAAGAGCCAGGCAAGCAAATAATTGAGACAGTCTAGATCCTTGTTTTCTCGAGCAACCAAGATAGCTTCGTCGATTGCTCTTAATGCCTCCTCGTCAGAATTGAACGATGCATGTAAAGTTGCCAGTGAAAGCAAAGCGTAATGATAGAACAATTGTTGTTTGTTGGACATCATGTAATCGAAATATCTGTGCAATGCGTTGAACGACCCCTCATAATCGCTTTGTTTCCAACATTCTAGGTATTCAATGTAGTATGCAGAAGGGATCAAGCCTCGCTGTGATCCGGAAAGTAATTTGAGAATAAGTTTGATAGACTGTGGAGGCGGTGGAGAGTATCTTTGCATTATCTGGACCTGTTGTTCGAGCATTTGTGCAAGGTCTATCTGGGAAATAACCTGCGGTCTAAACGACTCAGGCATGTGGTCCAACAACCCGCTATTCTTGAGTACCTGGTTCTGCCATGGTGTTTCTGGAGTGCTTTTTGATCTCAATGCCGATTCGCCACCCAGTTCATGCCACAACGTTCTCGTTTCTTCTCTGTATTTCAAAAAAGTGTTCCACAGCTCGACCGTTTCGTCAAAAACGAGAACTTCAAATGCAATGGCTATGTTATAGACGAATCTGCCCAGGAAACTTGTTGACGTGAGCATCTTGGCAGGATGGACTCTTTTGTCGGATTTCTTGTGTCCCGGTTGGTAATCTATCAGCAATTTGTTGACACTCGCTATGAAATCATGAAACATGTCCAAAGAAGTAATATTCCAAAGAACCTCCAATAGATACCTGTGTATGATTTTAACGTCAGATTTGGCTTCCTTCAGATCCTTCGAGCTTGTTTCCGTGTAAAACGACGTGATTGAGGTATCGATCAGACTCAAAATCTCTTTGAGCGAGGGAAAATACAACTTGATGAGCTCTGTTTGGTCCTCCAGCGGATCGTTGTGTTCTATCAACCTCACCAAAGTAGACAGTAATGGGGGAATAGTGGACGGCGGCAGTTTCTGGTAGCAGTATCCCATGATCATCGCCAGTATTGGAATCTTGGATGTGGCCAAGATCGGCGTTAATACCAGTCCTTCTTCCGAATTGTCCATATCAATAGATCGAATATAAACAAGAAGCGTATTTTGATCTGGGGGTTAAAAAAAAACAGTGGGGGCCTGTGTAAAGGTTTGTTTACTTGTAGCTATACAATTAATATCAACGAATATATACTTATCTAAGTTGCATAAACGCATCAAGAAGAACAGACGACGGTCCGGTGTCGTTCTTATTCTTTTCAAAGACGTTCCAAAACCGCAAGGTCTCGTCGCCGGCACCGGTCACAATGGTCTGTCCGTCCGGCGACATGGCTAGATAGAGCACTCTGTACGTGTGGCCCGTGAGCGAGGCGATCTGCTGCATAGTGTTGTACTTCCAGATGACAATTTGGTTTCTGGAGTATCCATGTGTAGAAACCAGCTCGTTGGAGTTCTTAGACCACGCCAAGTTACAAACCTGGGACCCGGTGTCAACGTCATTAATCTTCAAGCCAGTGATGGTATTCCAGATCTTGATCCGGCGGTCTGCTGTTCCTCCTCCCGAGGCCAGTATTCCTCGCTGGTGAGGAGACCATGCAATGGCCTTTACAGCGGCCTGGTGCTCTGAGAACTTGAAAAGCGGCTCGTCGTTCATTCCTTCCCAGACATAGAGCTTGTTATCGTTGCCTCCAGAGGCCAGCTTGTTCTCCTCAATATTCCATTTGAGTCCACACACCTCCTGTTTGTGTTTTTCAAGACGCTTAATGTAGTGCGATGGGTCTCGAACGTCTCTGTGTAAAATTGTTCTATCTCTTGAACCAGACGTCAAAATGTGCTGGTTCCATGCTAATGAAGATGCACGCGACGAATGACCCGTCATTGTCCGTGTACATCTGCTCATTGTTGCGTCCCAAATTTCCACCAATCCAGAACTGGTACCAATTGCCAAGTGAGTTCCTGCCCCTATCCACGACAAACTGGTGATGGTGTCGTTGGCTCCCAAGTCACACAGTCTGTTGACCGAACCGCTCGACGCGTCCCACAGATACACACAGGATCCAAGACCAACTCCCAAAACGTCCTGCGACCCCCAGTCGACCAAGTTCAAGTAGAAATCATCTGCAAGTTCTGGTGCATCAAGCACGCGGTACGGCACTTTTGAGATGGACCGAGGTTTTTTCTGCGGTGAAAGCAGCAGTTTCTGGCTATCTGCACGAACAGGGCTCAGAGAATACAGCTCGTTCTGTACATTAAGCGAGGAAGACGCTGGACGTGACTTGGAAGGCGATTGGTATGTGAAGAGGTTCCCCGACTGGCGAGGGGTGCGCTGGACTGCTTCGTCGATATTGATCTGCGATCCAGAGTAGCTGGCATGATTAGATCCCGGAGGAGTGATTTGGTTGCGCGAGGAGTCCGAAGTTGTGGCTGTTTGCGGAGCGCTTGCAGTTGTTGCCTTCTTGGAGGAGAAACCTGCAGGCAAGTTATCGCCGAACAGCTCCGATTTTAGCACGGCGTCAAACGTCCTGTTGGCTTCATCTTCGCGCAGATAGTCGATTTCGTTTTCTATGATGGATCCTGATCCTCTGTTTGAATATTCTGTCGCAGAGAAAGACTGGACGGTTTCTGTGTTCAAGCTGAACGCAGCCTGTAGATCGACGCCTGTTCGGTTCGGGATATATCTGTCGCTGTACACTGTTTTCTTCTTGGCTCGCCGTGGAGTAATAGGTGACGAGAGCAGTGGGTTTGACACGCCTGATTCATCGTTTCTTGGTGTGGAGGGAGTAAGTGGGGGATAGTTGTTGAGCGAGTTTCTATCGTTCAATCTGTTTCCCGACATTTGGTGCAAGTCAGTAAACGCCAGATCAGACAGCTGTGATGGGTCTAAAGGTGTCTGATGGTACGAAAACGCGTTGACTTGAAAGGTTTGCGAATTAACCTAAATAGTAGGAACCGTATTAGTTTATATTTTTTCAAAAAAAATTCTGTCACTGTTTGCAAGTGTAAGATAAGTGTACAGATCAGATGGCTTAACGATGGAGAGACATCGACAGATAGTGAGTGCTACAATTACGATTTTTCACTAACGATAAGGCTGAGAATAGATCCAAGGCTTTGGAGAAGATCAGACTGCGACAGCAGGCTCTGCGAGGGCAAACTGGGGCAGTTCCGCAGAAACAGCTGACTACAGAGCAACGAGAGCTCATAGAACGCAATAGACAGAAAGCTTTGGAACGGCGACGGTTGCGTGAACAAGGTGATGGTCCACCACCTGCTGTGCCCACACAGGACGTTCGGCTACCGAAAGAAGCACCTGTAAACCAAGGGCAACCGCAATCTGGTGCCACCACGGAGTTTAGAAAGGTGCCCGACAGAATCAGGCCGTCTGTGAAAAAGAATGACTACATCGAGTACGACTTCAGCACCATGGAGGATACTTTTGGTGGATTTTTGTCGGAAGCAGACCGGAAAGAGGCAAGTGAGAACGACAAGTCGCTGGAGCAATGGCAAGAAGAGCAGAAAAACCGACCTTTGGTGGAACCTGCTCCGCCGTTAGACCAGGCAAATGCTCCGAAATGTTTCGAATGCGGGTCTATTGATCTGAACAGGAACCTATACCAGGTTTTTGGGTGTCGAGTTTGCCGAAGTTGTGAGCAAAAGTACCCCGAGAAGTACTCTTTGCTCACAAAGACTGAATGCAAGGAGGACTATTTTCTGACAGAGCCGGAGCTTGCAGACGAGGGTCTGTTCAAGCGTATTGTTAAGGAGAACCCGCGTAGTGGGACGTACTCGAAGATGCAGCTATTTCTCCGGTTCCAAATCGAGGAATTCGCCTTTAAAAAATGGGGATCGGCAGAAAATTTGGACAAAGAGTGGTTAAGACGAGAAGAGTTACGCGTTAAGCGACGCGACAAGAAGTTCAATCAACGTCTGAGGGACATGCGAAAGAAAATGCGTGCAGAGGAATTCACTCGGAAAATCAGAGGCGAGCGTGGGGAACGTCATGAACATGATTGGAGCAAAGGAGTGCCGAGTGGAGAGCCTGGCATGGTGAAAAGACGGTGCAAGGACTGCGGTTTGGAAATAGAAGAGATAGTTATGTAGGAGATCGTAAATAGTATTAAACAGTGTATTTATAGCTTTAGGAATGTAGTGTTTTTGATTTCGTGAACGGCATTAAATGGCTCATTATTTGGTTAGATAAAAAAACAATCAGGTCAATCCCGGGGACTCGTACAGGATCATTTCACAGCCCCCGATACAGTGGCATCGGTAGAAGTGAGCTATCTCCTGTCGTAAAAACTGGTCGAACGAGTTGTAAGCGCTAGCCAGGCGCATAATGTTGATGAACGTCGCCGTGATGATCGATCGCGAGGGCAACCTCATTATGACGGATTTGTTCTAAAACAAAAAAAAATTAAAAACTCCAAAACTTTATTGTCCCTGATAGAGAAACGACAGACTAAAAATAGCCCCATTCACGTAAAATTCACGCACGTGGCTAAAGTTAGACCAAGACTTTTAAACAATTAGTGTGGGAAAAACGATGTGATTACATACCTGTTTTGGAAGCTAATTTTGAATGACGACGTTATGCGTCTGAGTGGGCTCGTGCGCTCAATTTATTTACACTGCACACGAGGGCACAAGTACTTAATAGCCCAAAATTCCGCCAACTTTCTGATTTGGAATTTATGCGTTGCTCTGTGTCTGTGGCTCTTTGGAGCACTCTGCTGTGCCTGAGCCCTTTGGCCGGTGCTCTGAATATTTTGATTTTGAACTCGTCTCCATACGGATCGCCTATCTCGACTGCTTTCCACCAGTTCCTTGAAACTAATCACCGGGTCATTTCTGTTTCTCCTTTGCACTTGATGGACTCTTCCGACAACGAGATTGAAGTGGACTCGACTCCAATTTCTGAAGAGGATCTCAAGGACTCTCTGGATGAACAAGAATTTGATTTGCGCAGTCTGCTCGCGTTGAACGTGGGCGACAGTTTCTATGGCTCTCAAAAACAGGACAGATGGTACGTCAAGTCGTCTGTTTTGGGTTCTGCTCTTTTCGCATTCGATCACTTGCTCCCTTCTCATTATACCGACCTCTCGTCGATCGACTTCGTTGTTATCGCTTCTTCCGGCGAGCAAATTGACGGGTTGCACCGCCAAATGACAAACAATAATTTTGGTCTCATGAAGCTTGCTCAGATGCGCAATATTCCTGTTCTCAACGTGAACAGCAAAGAAGAAACCGACATGGTGGTGGCCGGTAGCATCAATGAAGACCTGGATCTGTCCAACGAGCTACTTGTCGCTTATCTGCAAAGAATCGATGAGTTTATTCTGCAGCTCGTCAACACCTCCAAGTACAATGAGCACAACTTCCACACCTCACGGTCTCTTGACAAGTCCGTGAAGTTCAAGCAATACGCCGACAAGGAGCTGGCCAACCACAACCCAAGACTGTTGCCCAACGGTGTGGGTTTAAACATCAACTTGCGCGCTGAGGCTTCCTGTTTGGATACCAATAAAGAGTTCAACTTCCTGCAGACACGGACTGTTGGAGGCTACAACATGGTTCCTTCGTTGAACTACGACGCCGAGAAGGGAACCGTGAAAGTGGATATGCTCTACAGCATCGACAAAGAACTGCCTCGTTCGAAAAACAAATACCTTAGTGAAATGAGCGTTGATGATGGCGATTGCTTCATTACTGTTACTCCGATCAACTGGCTTGGTGGTGACTTTGAGCAATTCGAGTTCCTAGAGACCCCATTCCACCAACTTAATGGTAACGAAGGTGACGAAAGACCAAAGCTTGTTCACCAGGCTGCTTAAGCGAGTATGTAAGCACTTGCGCAAGTGCTCCTAATAGACTAAAAAAATGAACATTCGTATGTGGCTTATGATTTGAAAGTTGTATTTTGTGGCTAAGAATTATTAACGGCAAGGAGGCAAGGAAAAATTTATTTTCCCTGCATTTAAAGACAACAACAGCAACAAATAAGACATCCAATTTCTTGCACTGAAATTCAAAACCATCATCGGATGACGCTTATAAACCAATTTGAGCACCCTGCTCATATTCTGCCCAAGGACCAGCATCGCATCAGCAAGCCAAAGAAACTGGGGAAACGTCGGTATGGGGACGATGGTTCTGACGAAGACCGAGCACGTCAGATGCCTAGACCGGTGGCAAAAATCACAAGAAACAAGAAAATAAGACAACCCGAGGTTGCCGGCCAAAAGCTTTCTGTTTCCCGCATCATAGAAACCTTGGACCAAGAATCCTTGCAGAACCTAATTTCCAACCTTGTTTCCGAACACCCAGAAATTGCATCAACTTTATTGATGATATCCCCTCAAGTTACCATAGACGACTCATTACAAGTTTTAGAACAGAAGCTCGATAGAATCCTGGAAAACATGCCCTACAGAGTGGACGCCTCCTCAGATTACTCTTTCTTAAGAGTCAAGTCTCTGGTGGAGGACTTTTTCCAGTCTTTATCTGACTACATTCTCAATTATCTGCCCCCTGTGGAGTCAGACCTGTCTATTCCGTTGACCTTTTTGATGAAATTCCTAACAAAATGTTTCCCCAGACTGCCCAAGTTCCAGGCCGTTGAGTTCCGGTATTACCACGGCCTGACGATCGATAAGTTGAACACCATTCTGGACGACATTCTCACGCAGTTCTTAAGCGAGAAGAAACACAACATACTTCTTGTCATTAATAACAATTGGCTCGACGATTTCCGGAAAATCAGCGAGCTCAACGATAATCATTTCTCCAGCATCTACGAGCATTTGAAACAGGAAATTGACCACTACCATAACCCAGAGGTGGACGCCTCTGGTTCTGCGGCCGCCGCTAACTCTAACCGTTTGATGGGGTTGGCCAATCTCCTGAATTTTTCCAGCGACAACAGCCCGTTGCATGGCAACACTGTGGGGAATGTTTTTGATACGATCTGATTGGTAATGTTCATGCATTACTTTCGCTTATTTTCGAATATATAAGGCTATTTACAAATGAATGCCCATTTTGCCGAGCTCTTCCACAGGGATGGATTCTAAGAACTTTCTCACCTTGTTTTTAACAATGTTTTTCTTGGTTGCCGGGTCAAGCTGTAGTTGCTCGACAATCTTCTTGAATGCCTCGCTTTCTTGATCTGCCAGTAACTTGTTCACCTTCTCCGTCAATTTGATGTCCAGTCTCATCTTCTCGAGCTTGCCTGCAAGATACGACAGATCCGACAAGAACAGCTCTCTGTCCTCGAAGTCTTTGTCCCAGTTGGTGATACCGTATTTCTCCTTCAAACTGGCTATTTTTTCGCGCTCTTCGTTCGTCAACTCTTCCACCGGCTTTCTGAGCATCTTCACCTCGCTCAAGTCGTTGTACAATGTCGAGTCGTTGGAGTCGTATAGTTTTCTTCTGTTGAGTAAATCTGTTCTTCTAGCAGCCTCTTCCTCGGCCACGCTCTTTTTTGCTTCTTCTTGGTACACCTGGAACTCCTGACCTTTATTTCTCTTGATTTCTGCAACAGAAAAGAACTTTCGAGCACTCAAAGGCCGCGTGGCTTCGATTCTCACAAAGTCACCTTCTTTGCAAATGTTGGCCTCGTCGTGCACCAAAAAATCCTTCTTCTTCAGATACTCCTTATACAGCTGCTTGTTGTACACCTTCTGCATCACTCTCACCTTCACCGTCTTGTTCATCTTCCCTTGCGAGATGACAAATCCCACAAAGTTCTGTCTCGCCATGGTCAACGTTGGATAATGTTAAAAAAATTTGTCTATATTATTTGTGTCGTGCAAAGGCTGCAAAAAACTAAACTAGGGATTTATCTATATCATGCCAAGGAGACCTCCGTCTGTTACTGACGACCGGTCTTCGGGCCTTTTTCCACAGCTGCGTACTCCAGAAATACTGGACGGCGAATCCCTGGCACAGTCCTCGTCCTCCGATTCGGACCTCGACAGCTCCATCATCAATAAACTGGCCTCTCTGGACCGTCTTCCCAAAGATAACCTGCCCAGATTCTACTATACCGATCTCTACGACACCTACGCACAACCACAAAAAAGCTTTGAAGAGTCCGATTTTCAAGCTTACGACCGCAAAATACACCTAGAGGAGAAAATTAGAGCAAGACTCCGTGATACCACCAGACGGCAACTGCCCTCGACGCACAACTCGGACTTCACCAACATCCCCATAGTCAACGTGAAAGACACAGGCAGTTTTACCACCGTGCCCATCGACGACTGCGTCGATATCGAAGACCAGGCCATCGAACTCCAAGAGGTCGATAAAGGACGCTCAACGCTTAGCTACGCCGATTTCTACGACCAGGCAGAAATGATCGTCAGCAACGAGGACGAGCTCGACTACAGCTTCTGTCGAATCGACAGTCCACCGCAGAAAAAGTCCGCCAAACGCAAATCGTTCTTCCAGTACTTCAAGATCAATACCCATTATCGTATCCAGCGAAAACTGCATGTTCGGCACCTCCACCAGATCGCTCTTGGAGGAACTCTGGGTGTCGGATTGCTGCTTTCTTCCGGAAAAGCGTTCTCGATCGCCGGGCCGCTGGGCTGTCTTTTGGGATTCACGTTCGCAGGCCTTATTGTTCTGGCCACCATGTTGTCCTTCTGCGAAATGGTCACTCTAATTCCTCTGTGTGGAGGTGTTTCCGGCGTGGCCAGCAGATTCGTCGACGACGCGCTGGGTTTCGCTCTTGGAGTCGCATATTGGGTTAGCTACTGTATCGGGTTCCCAACAGAGATCACCGCCGCTTCGATCATGCTCAGTTTCTACCCGTCTCTTGACATACCGGGCCCCAATACTGCCGGCTGGATCACGCTTTTTCTGGTCGTTGCCCTCGCTGTCAACCTGTGTGATATTCGTGTCTACGGTGAGGTCGAGTACTACTCAACACTCATCAAGGTGCTCATTCTCGTGGCGTTGCTGATTTACAACTGTGTTCTCAACGCTGGTGGCTCCGCCCCTCACCACGAAAAAATAGGGTTCCGGTACTGGCAGCACTCCAAGTCCGATTTTGCAAACCACGTCATCTACGGGCCGTTCAGACCAACTTTCGACGTTGCAGATACAGGTACGGGCGCCCTCGGTGGAATTCCAGGAGCCAAGGGCCGATTCTGCCAGATTTTGGTGGCTTCCATGGTGGCAGCATATGCGTACGTTGGAACAGAGATTGTGATTATTGCAGGCGGGGAGTCGCGTAATCCACGTGTGGCCATCCCCAGCGCAACCAAGAACATTTACTGGAGAATCCTCGTGTTCTACATCGTCGCCGTCTTCATCATTGGTCTCAACATCTACAGTGGAGATCCAAGACTGTTACGCTACTTCACCTCGGAAAGCCACATGAGCGAAGAGCAAAGACTCACCAGTGACGGCCTCGAACAGGCCATCATTCTCATGAACGGAGGCGGCAACTGCAAGACCACGCTGCTTAACTGGGCCGGGTTCGCGAACGGCAACCAGTCCCCATTTGTGATTGCCCTGCAGAGTGCTGGTTTGTGCAGCTTTGCGGCTGCAGTGAACGGCTTTTTGATCTACTTCGCGCTAACCGCGGCATCGTCCCAGCTATACGCGTCCTCACGAACACTCTACTACCTTTCAATCCAAGGCAAGGCCCCCAAAGTGTTTTCCATCTGTTCCAAGAGCGGTGTTCCGTACATGAGTGTGTTGTTCACAGGACTGTTTTCCGCGTTGGCGTACCTTTCTGTCAACAACAACACTGCGCTTGTTTTCGAACGGCTTCTCAGTGTCTGTGCATCAACAGGCCTGATTGTCTGGAGCGGTATGTGCTTGTCCTTCATCCGGTTCTATCATGCATTGAAACTGCGACCAGATATTATAAGCAGAGACGACGAGAACTACCCCTATAAATCGCCATTCCAGCCGTATCTGGCCTACTTCGGCATGGTTAGCTCGTTCTGCCTGGTGCTGGTCACCGGGTTTGTGGTTTTCATCCGGGGACAGTGGTCGGCCGCGTACTTCGTGTCGTGCTACGGCTCCTTCTTCCTGTGCATCTTCTGTTACACAACCTACAAGATTTTCAGAAGAACAAAGATCCACCGAGTCGACCAGCTGGACCTGGACTCCGGCCGACGCGAGATCGACCGCATCATCTGGGAAGACGAAAAACACTACACCAGCAACTTCAAGGAGATCATCAAGAAAGGTCTTAATTTACTGTTGTAAATAGTATAATGTACAGATTATCGATTTTGGAGCCGTTCAAGCAGCTGTTTTTTGCGCAACTCTAGCACCGCCGTCTCGAACTCTTTTTCAGAAGGAAGCGGTGCAAAATGTAAAGCGCCAGAAGGTTCTCGTTTCTGCCGCAATTCGAGGCTTCTCTGGGCCTCGAAATCAAGCAGCGCAGATTGGCCAGATCTGGGCGTATCGGACGGCACTTTCAAGTCTAGTGGCGGCTCTGTGTACCCGTAGTACTCAGGCCCGAGATCTGTCTCGTTGAGCTGGGTGAATTGCTGTGTATTCAGAACCTGGCCTGAACTGCCCGATTCCTTTTTCCTGATTCTGTGTGCTTCTGGCAAATCTCTTGCCCGACCAAAGTACTTGTAGGTATTTGCCACCACTCCCAGATGGTCTGGCCCACCAAGTTTCTTGATCTGCGCGTCCCAGCCACGTCGCTCGCGCAACAGCCGGTTAATGTCGTCGTTGAGTCCTCGAAGCTGACTATCCTCCACTTCTGGGTCGTTGATTCGCTCAACTTTGCGCGATATCTCCTCCAGACACTGACTGCGCCACTTCTCTGCCTCCTCCAAGACTGTCACGCTCTCAAACGTCCGCGGTCGTCTCTGCTGTCTCTTCACCATTATATATTTTTTGCTTTACATAATCCCAATATTTTTTTTTATCTTGGATCTAATTAAAGGACAAGTGGTGGAAAAAAGAAAGAAGCTCTTTTTATCTGCTCCTTAACAAAAAAACACAGGCACGTCAACATTCACCACGCCATGTCTGCGTTTTTCTCCTATCGTTACAACAAATTTTTGATTGTCGGTGCAGTGTTGACTGTTCTGTACATCGTGGTGTTCCTGGCTCCTTCCCAACCAAAGGAGGACTCTTTCACCAATCTTTCCACAGAGTCGCATCAGGTCAACACTGCGGGTGCCGTCCTGGACTCAGACGACACCACAGAACCTCTGTACCCGGAATCGAAGCCGGTCGTCGCCCCTGCTAAACCTCTGGAACAGACTGCTGATAGTTCCTTTGCAGAGGACAAGCCTGAAAAGGCTAGTAAGCCAGACACTGGGGCTGCTTCTGCTGTTGCCAAACCAAAAGCTGCTCCAAGCAAGGCTGCTGCTCCATTGCACGACTCCAAAGAAGAGGCCAAGGCTGCCAAGGGCAGCTCCAAGTCGTCCTCGTGTACTGCCGATGAGGAGTACGTGATTATGATCGACGCAGGATCTACTGGATCTAGAATCCACGTTTACTCGTTCGACACATGTGTGTCGCCTCCTAAACTGCTCAAGGAAGAGTTCAAGATGCTGAACCCAGGTCTCTCCTCTTTCGACACCGACGCCGTGGGCGCTGCCGCCTCATTGGACGAACTGCTTGATCTGGCCGTTGCTACCGTGCCAAAGGCTAAACAGGGCTGCACGCCTGTTGCATTGAAGGCCACTGCCGGTCTGAGACTGCTCGGAGAAGAGAAATCCCGGGCTATCCTTGCGGAGGTTAGAAGCCATCTTGAAAACGACTACCCATTCCCAGTCGTGGAAGGAGACGGTATCTCCATCATGGACGGAAGTGACGAAGGTGTTTACGCGTGGATCACTACCAACTACCTTTTGGGTAACATTGGAGCCAAGGAAAAGAGACCTACTGCTGCCGTGTTCGACTTGGGTGGAGGATCTACTCAGATCGTGTTTGAGCCTTTGGACGGCCAGAGCATGATCGAAGGTGAGCACAAGTACGAAGTCAGCTTTGGCGGTTCCGACTTCACCCTATACCAATACTCCCATCTCGGTTTCGGACTCATGCAAGGAAGAAGAAAGGTGAACTCTCTGGTTGTTGAGGCTGCTCTGAAGGACTCCAAATATAACCTGACTCCTGCTTCGGGTTCGGATGCCACTGCCGACGTTTCTATCCCACATCCATGTCTGCCACCAGGAACTACTGCTGAGGACGTCAAGGTCGAGCTTGCCGACAAGACCACCTACGTGGTGAACTTCGTTTCCATGGCCAAGAACGAGAATGACGATATGGCCAAGACTGCCTCTGTTCAATGTAGATCTCTGGCCGAGACTATTTTGAACAAGGAGTTGGAGTGTGAGTCCAAGTCATGTTCGTTCAACGGTATCTACCAGCCATCATTGAGACACCAGTTCTCCCAGAGCTCTGATATGTTCATCTTCTCGTACTTCTACGACAGATTAAAGCCAATTGGAATGCCACTTTCTTTCACGCTGGACGAGATGAAAGACTTGACCAAACTTGTGTGTTCTGGCTCTTCTGCATGGAACCAATACCTGACCCAGCCTGAGTCCATCAAAGAGCTGACTGACGAGCCATTGTGGTGTTTGGATCTGTCCTTCATGACAGCTCTGCTTCACACCGGTTACGACATTCCTCTTGACAGAGAGCTCAGAACCGCAAAGAAGATCAGCGACAACGAGTTGGGTTGGTGTCTGGGTGCCTCCTTACCTCTCTTGGACAAGAATTCCGGCTGGACTTGCAAAGTCACCAAAGATTAGTTTCTACAGACAAATAAATAATTAAATTTGATGTGCTTTAAAAATTACAGATTAGTCCCCAGTTGCTTTGTTAAAAGAAAAAATCTCGGATATAATTTGTATCTCCTTGATTTTCTTTTATAATGGGTGGCGCCAATTCCTCAAACAATCTTGACTCCCCCACATCGCTCTATGGACTGGAGGGGGTCAATCCGATGGAACACACCGGCTCGCTCGAGGCAAAACAGCCGATTCTGCACGACAGTTTGTACTGCAATGATAACCCCAGACAAACATTTACTGTGTCCTCCCATCGCGAGAAACACTATCATCAGGATCCAAATGCTCAGGAGCCCCAAAGAGCCCCAACACCGGCAGATTTGCTAAGAACCTTGTCAAATAGCAACCTCAAAACCGTCAAGTCCCATGCTCAGCTCGCAAAGACTGCTCACGGGGTTCGCATACTGGCGAAAAACCTGAACCGAGCCACAATTCATCTCCAATTGCGGTCAGTCATGCTCATTACCAAGGCCAGAGACAATTCGCTGGTCTACCTTACAAAAGAAGTTGCCGAATGGCTCCTTACAATAAATGACGAGACTCAAGTTTACGTCGACTACCACCTCGAAAAATCGAAAAGATTCGATCCGCAAGGCCTTATCCACGACAATCCGTCTGCAGAAGGAAGACTCAAGTTCTGGACAAAGAAACTAATCAGAGAAAACCCCGATACTTTCGACCTTGTGATCACTCTGGGAGGAGACGGAACAGTTTTGTACGCATCGACTTTGTTCCAAAGAGTGGTTCCTCCGGTGATGTCGTTCTCGCTCGGCTCACTGGGTTTCCTCACAACGTTCCCCTTCGAAAACTTCCGAAGTATTCTGGCTACAGTCATCAAAACGGGTGTCCACACAAATCTCCGAATGCGGTTCACTTGTCGGGTGCATACAGCCGAGGGTGATCTTGTTTGCGAACAACAAGTTTTGAACGAATTGACAGTCGACAGAGGTCCTTCTCCGTGGGTTTCGATGCTGGAACTATACGGAGACGGCTCGTTGTTGACAGTTGCTCAAGCAGACGGACTTATTATTGCTACCCCAACAGGATCGACTGCCTATTCTCTTAGTGCTGGTGGCTCCCTAGTGCATCCGGGAGTCAGTGCCATCAGTGTGACTCCCATATGTCCTCACACGCTTTCTTTCAGGCCGATATTGTTGCCAGATACAATGGCTTTGAAAGTCAAAGTCCCATTGCGGTCTAGATCCACTGCATGGGCCTCTTTTGACGGTAGATCCCGAGTCGAGCTTTTGAAAGGTTACTACGTGACGGTGTGCGCATCTCCGTTTCCATTCCCAACCGTGAGATCGTCCAAGACAGAATATATCGACAGTGTCAGTAGAGTTCTGAACTGGAACAATAGAGAGGAGCAACGGTCGTTCATCCATTTATTGAGTGATAAAAACAAGAAATCATACACCACATACCACAGACGACACGGTTCATCACCCGGGAGCGACCTTGAAGACGAGGACAATCTGGATCACAATCTCTCGCATCCATCCGATGTCGAGGATGAAGATGACGAGGAGCAGTCAGTGGAAACGGAACCGAAACGATCCAAAGCCAAGTTCACATTGAGCGAGGACCAGCTTGACGACACGTTAGGGAAACACACGCATGGCGAGCCTTCGAAACTTAAAAATGTGATTGCTTCAAGAGACGTTAGCGACACATCTGACGACGAAAGAGAGTCCCTACAAGAGCAGCAAGATATACAAGACGAGCTTGCTGGCAACTTTGAGATAGATTACAACGACGACGAAGACGAGGAGGAAAATGCTGCATCCAGAGAAGATGGAGCTTCGAGCAGCCAAACTCCATCGACAGACAAACGATCTTTACGAAACTACTACGACCAAAATTTAAGTGAATCGACGCTAGAATTAGACGACGGAGAAGAAGCTCAAAACAACCATTTTGTTCCGAAGGAATCGGAGGAGGTTACAACCCCAATGAGACATTCTCCGGACATTTCGAACCCCACCTTGGAAAAACTTGTGCATCCACAAGCGTTGAGCAAGGATATAGCGAGGAAGCTCAAGCGGTTGAATGTGTAAGGATGTGTTAATTTTTTTTCTAGTTTTCTAATTTTTTCTTCTTGGTCACCTAATACTTGAGAAATCAAGAAATCAAAATTAATAATAAAGCCGTTGCGGAGAATGTCAGATTTCAAACATTAATTAAAGAGTGCCATTTGATTTAAGCATTTAACAAAACTATTGTGTTTTCATCTACATCAGCATTTGGATTCCTGTTAGATTGTACATTACTCACTAACAGGCTGTGTTATTGTTGCCATTGATACCTGATCTTCTGATAAGCGTCTGTAAATATTGGTTGGCTTGTTAGAGGCAAACTTGCTGAATTGTTAATAGGAGGACCCACAACAGCTCTTTCGCCAAGTTTCACAACCACGAAAGACGATCAAAAGTTGGCATTTGTTCCATTCAATCGGATTGGCTCTAATTGAACCGTTTCACCAAGATCTAACCAGGTTTGAATACTTTGCCTTTCACATTCCTCTAGTGCACGCGTTAAAAATATGAATGGACTCAATCCTGGAGTTCGCGATGGATACGAGCAAGAGATCTCGTCTAGCGAGTCCTCAGATTACCTGACTGATAACGAAAAACAACCAATTGACCAACAAGTGTCTGTCTCTGGGACCGCCGCTTCGAAACATCACGACGCATCTACACAATCTCGCAACTTCACACAGTATCTTGATGAACCCCCAAAGGGATACAGTATCGACTCGGAGGGATACCACACGTGGGAGATTCCGGACCTGTCCGAATTGAAGGAGGACAAGTATTCTGGTCCTCGTTTCAAAGTCGGAGACGATTTCGAGTTCAACCTCTTGGTGATGCCTCCAACAAGAAAAAACGCTTCCGCATACTCGGTCTACCTAGAAGCACATCCACTGAAAGCGCCAGAGGATGGTAATTGGCACTGCTGTGTTCAGTTCGCCATCGATGCGTGGCTTCCTTCCGATCCGACAGTGCACAAGTCCAATAGCTCGTTTTACCGTTTCAACCCAAGAATTACCGATTGGGGATTCGTGGGGCTTTTGAATTCAAGACTAGCGTCTGACATCAAGATCCTCAAGTCCAATTCCGTCAACATCACCGCATACGTCAGAGTGATTGACGATCACACCGGAGTTCTATGGCACGATTTCTTGGAATACGATTCGAAAAAGGAAACGGGATATGTTGGAATCACCAATCAAGGTGCAACTTGTTACCTCAACTCCCTCCTCCAGTCATACTACTTCACCAAGATCTTTAGAAAGAAAGTGTATCAGATTCCTACTCAGGACGAGATCAGTTTCGGTTACAACTCTTTTCAACAATATCTGGAACAACCGAAGAGTGTCTCCTTATCTTTGCAAAGGATATTCTACAGTCTCCAAACATCAAACAAGCCGGTTGATACTTTGGAACTCACACACTCCTTTGGATGGAATACCGCTGACGCTTTCACCCAGCACGATGTGCAGGAACTCAACCGTATCCTTATGGATAGATTGGAGTCGAAAATGAAAAATACAGAGATTGAAGGGTGTCTTAACGACATTTTTGTGGGTAAAATGAAGAGTTTTATCCGTTGCATCAACGTGGATTACGAAAGTAGTCGTACCGAAGATTTTTGGGATATTCAATTGAACGTGAAGAACATGAAAAACATCAAGGAGTCCTTTGACAATTACGTCGAGCTTGAATTGTTGAATGGTGACAACAAATATGACGCTTCTGGATTTGGTTTACAGGATGCAGAAAAAGGTGTCGTGTTTGAGGCTTTCCCGTCTGTTCTTCATTTGCAACTGAAAAGGTTTGAGTACGATTTTGAGTACGATCAACTTGTGAAGGTCAACGACAGATACGAATATTTTGACTCCCTGGATTTGAAGCCTTATTTGGACAAAGACACAGAAGCGTACAACGAGAATTGGGAGTACGAGCTGCAAGGTGTTTTGGTCCACCAGGGAGATGTCTCTGTTGGCCACTACTATGCTATGATCAAGCCAACAACAAAGGACGAGTGGTTCAGATTCGAGGACGACAGAGTCTGGAGGGTGACTCCGCATGAAGTCTTTGAAGGTAATTTTGGAGCAGACACCCTTACTGTTGACCCAAGAAAGTTGACAAGAGAACAACAGCAAGAATACCAACTCAAGAGACACACTTCAGCGTACATGTTGGTGTATATCCGCAAGAACAAGATTCAAGAGGTTCTTGGAGAGGTCACCGATGCAGATGTGCCAGCTCATATATCCAAGCAGATCAAGTTTGAACAGGACGAGTATGAGAGATTACGCAAAGAGCAAGAAGAAATGCATTTGTATGCCAACTTCAAAGTGTACACAAACAAGGGATTCTTGAAGTACGAGGGCTTTGATTTAGGACCAAACGAAGAGGACAGACTTAACTACTCCGCCGACTTGTTTGATCCTGAATCATCGTCTCTCAAATTCCGGGTGCTGAAGTCTGAGCCGTTTTCGAAAGTTTATGAGTTGTTGGCCGAGAAACTTGGATACACGCCAGACCAGGCGAGCCAATTCAGACTCTGGACGATTCTGAGCCGTCACAACTTTGCATACCGTCCTTACGTGCCGATTCCTCGCCACTTTGACGACGCAAGAAACACAGAGATCACAGTGGGTCAAATAGTGAAGCACACGGAGTCGCTTACGTCCAAACGCAAGAAGACAAACCAGAGCTCCCAGCTGATTTTATACCTTGAAGAAGCAGCCAAGGAGTTGAAGTATCTGTCCAACGGATTCTTTGAGCTCAAGTCCAAACACAAAGTTCCTTCCGACTTGGACAGTTTGGAGCCATTTGAGGACAGATTCAAAAAGATTGTCGAGATTGTCACTTCAGAGTACAGCGTTCCTAAGTTCGAGTCTGTTTCTGATGCATCTGATAAAGTCATGCTGTTTGTGAAGTACTTTGACCAAAAAAACCAATCTGTCAGAGGAATCACCCATGTGATTGCGCCCGCTGAGAACCAGATTGAGTACCTCACTGAACTGCTGAACAACTTTATGGGATTCGACATGAACACCTCTTTGAGATTCTATGAAGAGTTCGGCCCAAACCAGGTCCAATGGTTGAACCCGTCAAAGAGTTTCTACAAGTCTGAATTAGGAAACGGGGATATTATCTGTTTCACCAAAGCTGAGAGCGAGCTTCACCCTGATCCAGACGTTGAGTTGAAAACAGTGGAGGATATCTACGATTTCATGGCTAACAGATGTCATTTCAGAATCTCACCTCTGGTGAAAGCCGACGAGGATGAGGAGGAATACGTCAAGATCGCAGACGAGGAGGACGCAGGTGATTCCAAGAAGTCTTTGTCGTCTAAATCGTCCAACAAAGAATTCGAGATTTGGTTTTCCACAATGTCCAACTATAAAGCATTGGCAGAAAAGATTGGAGCCCAGATCAACGTTGATCCCGACTATTTGAGACTGTTCATTCTCGGACACTCGAATCAACGGATTCCTCTGAGAAGAGAAACCGTGTTCAGACGTCTGATCGACAAGATTCCGAAGTCGCAAACGCTGGATCTGCAGTACGAAGTGCTGAACGTGACTCTTGCCGAGTTCGAGGAAATGAAACTGTGCCGTGTGTCTTGGGTGGGTCAAGGAATCTGCCGTGAACAGAAACACGAGTTTTTCCTTCCTAAATCAAGCACGATCGATAATCTGATCGACCGGTTGCAAACGAAAGTCAACATAAAGCCGGACGAAAGAAACGACCTCATATGTTGGGCACCAGACCGTCACGTGAGACTGAGTGTCTATCCGCTAGACACCACCATTGATGCCTTTGACCAGCTGGTGATTGGAAACTTTCCGAAGTACAAGGAGATTTTGGACCACGGGTCAAGAACTTCGAAATTGGTGACAGGATTTCAATTTTTCGGGCGGATCACCAGTGCTCATGGTCTACCGTTTGTGTTTGACTTGGTGAAGGGTGAGCCGTTATCTCAGACCAAGGTGAGACTACACAAGCTGCTTGGATTGAGTGACAAGGAGTTCAATAGTGTTCGAGTTGGAATCACAGACCTAAAAGACGTCGAGTACCTTGACTCCGAGGACACAGACTCAATTGAGCTTTTCGATGTTCTCAATTCGCCAGATATCCAGATTTGTGTTGACCATCCTGACCGCACAGTGAGAAAAGGCGCTGTTTTTGAGCCGTCGATCTTTATAAGGGAGTAAGAATGAATTATTTTGCGCTTGAGTTTAGTTCCCGGTACCGTGATCTTTTTCGTATTCGATTTTGCGTAGCTGCGTACTGCTGAGTTTGTCTTTGTAGTTATCTTGTTGATCTCCGCCCAAAATAGACATTTCGTGGATCGTGAGCAACGGGAAGCCCTTTTCGCTTCTGACGCTATTGATGAACTGGCCACCTTTTGCGCTTTCCGAGCTTAGAACCAAGGCATCAATATCTTTGATGGAGGCAGTTGGGCCACACACGTCGTTGATCTGGAAAAACTCCACGCTGATTGCTGGATCGACCAGCTTGATAAACGATTTGGTCTTCTCCACCCGCTGCTCGTACGACTCGAGGTATTCTGCGTACTTTTTGTTTTTGAGCAACTCGGGCCCCGTGACACCCACAATGAGTTTTGTCTTGGTCAGAAACACTGCCGCGGTGAGCAGAATCTTGTGCCCGCTGTGAAGATGGTCAAATGTCCCCCCCACAGCACAGACTTCGTACTGATGGTACGTAGCGTCCTGGGTGACAGAAATGGAAGGTTTGGTAAAGGCAGGGAGATCCACTTCTTCCAGGTCCTGTGGCAGCACTATGATCTTCGGATAGTCAAGACTATCATGGACTTCGTCGAAAGTGACAAGTTTGGCGTCTTTCAGGCCAGGGTCTCTGTAGAGCACATTCACCTGGATCTGTGGGTTAAAGAAGTAAGCTAGCTCGTAGATTTTGGTAGTCAAAAGGTTCAATTGCTCCAGTTTTGCCGGTCTGGGCTCAATTATCACATAGAGCGACGTCTTGGAATGGCTAAGCGCTATAAAAAGCAGCTTGTCAATATTAGATTCGCCCTTTATCAGAACAAGAGTATTCATAATAAATTGTTAGCAAAAAAAAGTTCAATCTTTAACAAATGACCTCTGCTAAGGAGGTTTTGGATTCCTCAAAATATATCCCGCCTGCCAAGCTCAAACAGCTTTTGGCAGACGCAGAAATTGAACAGCATTCTGAGGTGTTTCAGAAACTCGAATGGGACAAGCTGAACAAACAGATAATTGGAGAAATTAACAAGGTCAATGAGGAAAATGTCAAGGAGGTGGTGGTGGACCTATTCCGGTTGAATCTGGTGAGAGGGAAAGGACTCTTGGTGAGAGCTGTCATGAAATCGCAGAAAGCGTCGCAATCGTACACGCCGGTGTTTGCAGCATTGATTTGTGTGCTGAACTCCAAGATCCCAGAGATCGGAGATTTATTGGTGACCCGGTTGATTTTGCAGTTCCGAAAGGCGTTCAAGAACAACGACCGTGCCGTCAGCAAGGCGTCGGTGGTATTTTTGGCCCAGTTGGTGAATTTCCAGGTTTGTCACGAGATTGTTGCGTTACAGCTTTTGTTTCTGTTGCTGGAACATCCCACAGACGAGACAGTGGAGATTGCGTGTGCGTTGCTGGAAAACTGCGGGGCGTTTTTATACGAGTCTGCATCTGTGGCGTGCAACGCCGTCTTTGACAGACTGAGGACCGTTCTGAGCGAGGATATGGTTTCTGGACGAATACAGCTACTTATCCAGAACGCTTTCAAAAGCAGGAGAAACACACACACCTCCGGTCTCAGCATTCCTGAGGCCCTGGATCTGGTTGAGGACCAGGACAAAGTGACACATACAAAGAACCTGGACGACAAGCTGCGAGCGCAGGAGGCATTGAACGAGTTCCAGTTCGACGCAGAGTACGAGAAGCACGAAGGGGAGTACTCCGAGCTCCGCAAGGACATTCTGGGCGAAGACAGCGAGGAAGAGAGTGAAGAGGAAAGCGAGGATGAGGAAGCCGAAGGTGATGACCTCGTCAAGGAACAGATCAAGGACCTCACAGAGACAGAGCTCACGAACTTCCAGAAAACAGTGTATTTGACGGCCATGTCCAGTATCAACCACGAAGAAGCCCTACACAAGCTCCTGAAGCTGCCGCCGATCGACCCGGAGCGCAAGGAGACTATGCTTGTGGATATGATTGTAAAGTGTTGTGCACAGGAGAAGACTTACTCGAAATACTACGGACTTATTGGAGAGAAACTGATTTCTGTCAACCGTCGCTGGGCCAAAGCTTTTGATACGGTTTTTGAGCAAAACTACACCAACTGCCACACTTTCGAGCTTTCTTTGATCCGCAACATTGGGTCGTTCTGGGGCCATATGTTTGCCTCAGATAAGATGGGCTGGGAGATCTTGAGTCTGATCCAGCTGACTGAGGAAGATACCACGAGCGCAGGACGTATCTTTCTCAAGTTCCTGTTTGTCAAGATGCAAGAGGAGTTGGGAGTGAGCAAACTTCGATTGCGGCTGGCCGAGGAGTACATCCAGCCGTACATCAACGGCATTTTCCCAACAGAGGACGCCGATCGACTGCGGTTCTCGATCAATTTTTTCACAGCCATTGGTTTGGGAGCACTCACAGAGGAAATGAGAGAGACACTCAACGGCCTCCCAGAAGAGGAGGAGGAAGAGGAGGAGGAAAGAAAGAGGAGCGCCTCGCCGCCGCAGGAACGAAACCAGCGCGCCCGATTCAAATAGACATCTTTATAATTACTCGAATATATCTATTGCTATTCGACAGTCAGCTTTGCTGTTTTCTCAGCCAGGCCATCGACCTTGGTGTCGAAAGGATGGGATCCAACGGGAACGGTGATCGGGCCGTTGCCGCGGAGATCGATTTCGCTCAAACCAACCACCCCACCAAACTCCTCGAATCTAGCAATGTAATGGGCCTGTTTCTTCTTGGCCATCTCGACCAGGGCTGGGAAGTACACTTCGTGGTCGTACTCGAAGTCCACCAGGCCGTCGAACTCCTTGTCGAGCTGCTCGGCAGGACAGAAGTCGGCGAAGTCCGCGTCAAACACGAGTTTCTCCTTGGTCAACGGATCGATGAACGGATAGATTAGTCTGAGGAACGTTCTGCCCAGGAACGGGATATTAGTCAGAAGAGCCTTACCCAGTCTTTCTGGGTAGTGTGTCTGGAGGATGTGAAGCACCTGCTTGCCCACGGTCAGTGGCGGGACCTTGGAAGTTTCTGCTTGTGCTGCGATCTCTGGGTGGTTTTTAAAGTCGATTAGCAGAGCCAGCGAGTCCTGGCCCGAAGGCATGAAGTCAATCACGCGTTCAAGGAAAAACACCAGATGCTGGACCTGTCTGAACGAGGTTTTCGTGTTCTGACGGCCCGGCTTCAAGTACAAACACGGTCTGCACTGGTTATCAAATCCCAAAATCACTTCCTTACCGGTCTCTGACTCCGGAGACACCAATTCGGAAGTGACGATGTTCTCAGACTCATCCGTCATGCTCTCAATACCAAACTCTTTTCTCCATCCCAAGGTGCCCTCGATTCTCTTGATTGCCGATTCGACGTGCCATTTGGAGGCCCGGAGATATCTCAAGAAGCACTCTCGTGTGAGCCAAGCCTTTTGGTCTTTGGACAGCGCAACAAGCGCACCCTTGTGGTGGTGCTCCGTGGAGGGCACTTTCAGATCCGGATCTTGGAAGTGCTTCAAAACGGTGTTGTATTTCTCAAGTTCCTCTTCCGAAAGCTTTGTTTCCTCAGGGGGCTTTAGGTAAGAAGGAGGCTCTTCAAACGGCACCGACACTTTGATCAAGTCGCGCTTCGGCTTGGCTTCCGGCTCAGGGTCCGTCTTCTTCTTTCCAAACCCAAACATGTTGTTTCCGATCTCAACTAGAGCGCCTCACAGATCTTGGGAGATATTTTTTTCTATAGAGAACAGATTGTCTATTTAGTTTTTCGTACTTCAACAACTTTTCGGGCCGAATTGCAGGGCAAGTCGCGTTAAATATTAAAGTTTTTGAATTTCTTGAACAGCTTGTCGCGCTTCCGAGAGTGTTCTGCCGACGAGGTGGTTGTTCCGGTCTTCTGCGAGCTGGACGCTTGCGACGACACACGACTTTGCGCTGATCCCGGAGTAGAAGCTGGCGCCGGCGGCTTGGTAGCAGACGGAGCTGCAGATCTCTCGTATAGATGGCTAGGAACCTTTTTTTTAGCAAACTTCTCGTCCAGCGGGAAATTGAAGTTCTTGCGGTCGTCATTGATCAGGCGCAGGTCTCCAATCAAGTCCCACGTCGAGTATAGCTCGTCCGTTCCGATAAATATGTTCTTGTTCAGTTTGGGCTCCAACGACGTTATAGTACTTAGCTCTGAATGGGTCAGTCCTCCAGCAACAAACAGCATGATCCGGTCCTTGTTTGCGTCCTGCTGCTTCGAGCTCTTCCATTTAGGCATGTTTCTGACTGGAGCAGTGTACTGGGCTTGATCCGACTCGTCGTCGTCAATAGGCGCACCTTTCACGTACGGGAAGTCCTTTGGCGCATCTTCGCGGCTACCTTTCGAATAAACCTCTTTGTACACCTCCGGTAGCTTTCCGTAAGCGAGCCGCGTGACAACATTGGTCAGACTTGGCACGTATCTCTCTGTCAGCTCCTGGGTGTTTCTCACATCGAAATAAGAGGTGATCTTGAACGGTTTCTCATGGAGATTTGGTTTCAACAGCCAGAATCCAAGGTACTGGAAGTTCTTGAACAGTGTAACAATCGACTCGGTCTTGCTTTTATCTGGAAGACCGAAAAAACACAGCTTCCTTAAATCCTCCTCAATAATCCCTCCACGATAGTATGCGTACACTATCAGAAGTCTAATTTTGTTTCCGAGATCGATCTTCTGGTTAGCAAGCAGCTCCAAAAGCTCTTCCGTCAACGGCTCATACTGCTCTTTGGTTCCGTTGACGTTGGAAGCGCACTTGTTTTCGAAAACAATCAGGTCTAAGATACACTCTTCACGGAACAGCTTGTCTATCTTGTTGATCAGCTCAAAATGGCCCGTTGTCAACTGTCTAGCAAACAAGTAATCTCCTTGGTTCAGAGCGGCATGCGATAAGTCAGAGGCATATTTCAGATTGGAGTACTTGGCCTCGGTGGCCTTGAGCTCGTTGATTTCCTCGATAATGGTCTTGGTGTACTCTTCAATAGGCAAATCCTCAAGCTTGGTATAAACCGGATCCTCATCATCGAACACAAGATGCTTTTTCTCCAAGCCGTCTCCCGTCTGGATCTTGTAGTCATAAACATAAGTGTACTCGCCTCTAGCTTTTCTGATTTCAGTATCCATCAAATCGAATATCTGAGACCGGTAAAACTTGTAGTGGCAGAACGGAGCGAACAAGTCCATCACTCTGTCGGTGATGAAGAAGACGGTCTTGAAGCTGGTCGGAGACAGCTCAGGGTGTTTGCGATAGTATTCGTCGAGACTTTCTTGGAATAGCAAGGCTATTTTCCGCGACACTGGCGAGTTGTAGTATCGGACAATTGGGTACTCGTTGCACAAAATACACACACTCATCATTGATTCCACTGTCTTGTCCACCTGGTACTCGTTCAAGTCGGGTCCAAAATGCTGCGGGTTGTACAAAGCAGGAATCGAGTAATGGCTATTGGTGACATAGACCCTGTTTTCCAAGGGGTTCAAACTGAGGAAGTCGATTGTTTCGATCTTCTCGTTGCAAGATTTCATCAAGTTGGAGTTCTGTTTCAATCTCTGGTACGTTGGTTTAGTAAGACCCGGTAAAAAACACAACACCACCGATTGGTAACGTCTGCCTGCTGAGAAGTCTGCCAAAAGGCAGTCTATCGAATACGGAATCAACGGGTCTAAAATGTAAATGGCCTGGTCTCTATTTAATGACCGTTTTTCATCGTCGATGCGATAAAAGGTATACACATGGTTCAGTACCTCGTCTTTGAGTAATCGTTCCACAATTGGGTGTGTTGTTGTGTCGGCTATGAGATGTCGAAACGTGGACTGGTAGGTTTTCAATTTGGCAATTAAAGCTGAATGTTAGCTATTTCTAGTACGAGCACTCTTGCAAACTTACCCGCTTTCTGTAATTCCAGAAGTGACATGGTGCAAAGACTTAGCAGAGATCAAAACATCGATCACTCGTTTAATGTCAAATTATTTATAATTATTTATTTATTCTACTTCGCGCGAAATTTCATCACCTAAAAGAACTGCGTGTAGCATTTGGAAAGTTCGTGGACAGGCATTTCTGCTTTGAGCTCATTTAGCTCGCTCTTGATCTGCAACGCCAGCTGCGGTGTCAGCTGGTTACAGGTGGCTTGGTCTGGTTTTCTGTCGTAATCGTACTCGTCATACGTCTCGAATAGCAAGATCTTGGACGAGAACCGGACCCGTGGGACTTCCACCATTGGAGACCCCATTGGAGTGGCGTTCAAGTCGCGTGTGTCGATACTAGACTTGGAACCAAAGAAACTCAATCTTATCGAGCCTTGTGACTTGGTTCTGTTTCTTCTCGAAAATGAAGATCCAGTCTCTGTCTTTTTGTTTAGCTTGCCAATCAGCGACATTCTCCGAGACTTGCGTATTCTTTCTGGGGCCGGAGGCTCTTGTGAAACCGGGCTCGCCTGCGATGCCTCGGCAATGTAATCCTCAAAGTCCTTTTCTGGCTCGTCCTCATAAGAATAGCTGCTGTATCTTCTGGTAGCTGGGAACTGTTTTGCAACCGGGGTGAAAGCCGGTCCTTTCAGTCCCATTGACTGTCTCTCGCTTCCAGGGCTTCCAAAAGATGCAGATCCCGTGCTCTCCATCGAGAATCTTTGAGGGTTGTAGTTGAAGCTAGTAGAAGAGTGTGTTTGGTTCAGATCATCCACCGAGTGTCCTGTGGAATTGTACTCTTCCCAGTCGCTGGCAGCCTCCCAATTGGCAGACTGTGGAGAATCCATGTATGGCTCGGTAGGAACCAATTCTGGACTTGGCTCTTCTTCTTCGTACCGTGGCTGCGAGCCAAACGTGATAGGAGGTTCCAGTCCATCCTTGCCGGCTTCAGTCTCGAAATGGAAGTCGGTGTCTATTTCTGTGTCGTCACCAAATTGGATCATGTTGTACAGATCATCCAGCTCTTCTTGTTCCATACCGAATTCCTGTATTGGTTCATTGGTCTGCTTCAGAACGCCATGACGTCTGACGCTCTTTGGTGAAGAAATCGACGAGATTGGCGATCTCACCACAACCATCCCGTCAGCAGTCACAATTGGCTCGTCTGATCTCTCACTGTTGATCATCTCCACGATAGATCTGTTGAAAGAATCCGAGTGGACGATCGAGGTTGGTCCAGATTTAGGAGATCTCAAGGATCTCATAGACCGTGACCGTTCGAGCGTTACAATACTCTCAATCTCATCAGCACCCAAACTTTTAGGGAAGATAGACTCACCGGCAAGAAGTCTCGTGAAACTGTCGTCTCTCTTCATATGCGAGAAGTTGCCGCTTCTTTCTGGAGCCAATGTTGGCTTTTCTGGGCTTTGGAAGCTGAAATTCACCGGAGATGGAGTGTCAAGACGGTAAAGATCTGACTCTGCCTGAATCTCAGCAGACTCCACATCATCTGACGGATGGAAAGTGGATGCACGTCTTTCCTCGGGAGATATGAACTTTGGAGACTCCAAGAACATTGGGTTACTGTTGACGAATTCCGTTTGCGATTCAAGAGGAGTCGACAACACCACTCCAAGATCAGAGGGAGATTCCTTACCGGAGAATCCATAGGTATCCAGGAGAGATTTGCGGTCCTCTGAAGGCTGTGAGCCGGCACGGGTCACAGGCTCAGGCTGGTTCTCCTTGTCGCTAGAGGATATCCTTCTTTCCGGCTCTTGAGCTGGAGACTCGATCACATTGAGAGACTTGCTACGTCCGAAGAAACTCTTTCTCTTTGACTTCTCCTGCTCTGGAGCAAGACTCTTTCTCTTCCAGCTCGTAAGAAGACTTCTTCTGCGGTCCTTAGGATCGTCCTGTAGTTTCGATTCGCGCGGTTCCTCAAAGAAACTGAAACTTTTTGGTCTGGCATGGCCATTGCGCGTGTGAGGTTCAAACTGCTTTTCATGGGTAGCCAGAGATGGAGAAGACTGCATGCTCTTTTTGTTTTTAAACAGCCCCTTGAACGACAACCGTTTGTTTTTTGGAACAGGGGGTAGCTCTTTTTCCTGAGCTTTTGGCAGCGACTTTGGATTCTCGGCCTCTGGTTCGACTGTTTGTTGTTGCGATTCGGCTGGAACACTCTGCGGTTCTTGCTGTTGTTGAGGAACAAATACAGGTTCTGGCCCCGGCTCTGCAGTTTGCTCGCGCTCGTCGTCTGAGTTTGCTTCCAAATGAGAAAGCCTCTTTGGTGTATCGATGGACGATCTGTAATTATCCTGGACAGTTCCTGGTGTAGAAAACACATCTTGTATGGTCACGGGAGTGGAGAAAGCATCGTGCGTGACGACCGGAGAGTCGTCCACAAGCCTCATGGAGTATCTCTGTTCAACACGACGAGGAGATCTGTTGCGAGGCACGTAGGACTCCTGTTCGTCGTATCCCATCTCATAGATAGCAGACGATTCGTGGCTCTGCTGGCTGAAAGAGCCAGACTGGGGAATTGCTGGATTGTTGTCAAACACCCTGAACGTTTCCACAGGCTCGTTGAACACCATTGACGGAGAAAACAGGTTCGGCGTCATGAGGGTCGGGGTCTCGTCGGCCGCTTTGTCCTTGATGGTGCTGGAGAGCGAGATAAGATCTGTGGCTTCGGGAGCGGTTGTGGAAGTATGAGCTGTGAAAAAAGATGCAAAGGATTGATTAACAGGCATGTGATACACGGTATCCTGTGTGTATTCTGCTTGGTCTTGTGGTTCTGCCTCTTCCTGGATGGCTGTGAAGGAGCTGTTGGCTTTGTGCTGCGTTTTGGCGTTTAAGATATCGTCAAGAGCTTGTAAACTAGGACTGTTTGCCAGTCCGATGGTTCTTGTTGGCTCCTCGGCGGGGAGCTCTTCAGACTGGCTGGTCGCTGGTTCTGGGTTCAGAACAATTGTCTTCATGGAAGGTGACACCACTAAAGACCGTCTCACGTGAGTAGCGTGTTTGGTGTTATTTAGACCGCTGTGGTTCATGCTTGGTCCCGAATAAAAGCCAACATTGGTCATCTCGCCAGCCAGCTTGAACCCAGGCTCGCTAGAGTATTCGCGTATCGACGAGGACGTGCTTGTTTGGAAAGAGGACGATCGATCCATATTTTTAAAATCGTCGTCGTCCTGCACAGTACTCATTGAGTATGAGTCCTGAGTGTAAGGAGGAGAGTGAGTGTGCTGAATCTTGGCTTTCAAACCGGCAGTCTCAGACATAAAATTCCCGGCAGCTGAAGCCATTGCAATCAATCACCTGGTTACTGACAAGCAAAATATGTACTGCTAGTTTTTTAATACAGGGGTGATTCGAGCCCAACGCGTTAATAACGCGTACGCGGAAAAAAGAACTCTTTCCCAACTGATCTAAATTAAAAAAAAATGGTGTTGCGTCTATCGACGCCAAAGGCCTGCGTCTATAATTTGATCCTCCAAAAGTTCCCTTTTTATTTTCAGCTAGTCTCCCTTGTTGTTTGAACATGGACTCGTCGCCAGACTCGTCTGATCCCGAAATCGCGTATGAGCGCGTCTTTCGGCAAGATATCGAGCAAAGGATAGGATTTCCCAAGCACGTGACAAATATGAACTCGGAAGACGAGTACACCACAGATGAAGAAAGGGGAACCTCTAAAAGGAACCAGGAAAACCGCAACGATTCCATTCAAAACCTCGAAAACATGCTTCCCGCTTTGAACTTCCTCCCCAGACTCTCCAAACAAGAGAAACCCAACATATACCAGGACGACTCGTTTGAGCGTTCGCGTACCCCTGCTACAAATATTAGAGCACTAAGAGATAAGACAAACATATTGCAAAAAGAAGAGAACCCGTTTATGGATAATAGGCGTAAACCAGTTTCTGAATCCAAAAAGTCAATTGTCCGAGAAATGGTGGACTACTTTGACGACAGATCGCATCAGGAAATTGAATTTGCTGATAATCAAAAAGACAAGCTACCAAATTCTGCTCCAGGTGTATTCATAGACAACGCTCGCCAATATTCGCTACCATACATCCTCAATCCTGTTCATGACTTTTATGGGCCTCCACAGTCGGATCTTAGCAATACCAATGCGGTCTGCTCACCTACAAAATTTGGTTCTGACCAAGACGTTTACAGTGGGTTTGAAATATCCACCGAAAGGTGTCCCCCGCAACTAGTCACCTCTGTTCCTTCGCATTTCAGCAGAAGGGAAGTTGCTTCAATTTCCGACGTAGCGTCCGTGAACAGCAGTCTTATAGAAGAGAGACCGGTCAAGTCTCCATTTTCTGCTCCGGTGTCTGCTGACTTGCTACGTCCATGGCAGATGACGCATTCCGAGTACAATAACGATTATTGCGCACTGTTGATAGAGAAAGACCAACTAGAGTGTCAACATCGCAGTTTGCTGCTTGAGCATAGGCGTGTGGTTTCCGAGAAAGATCAGCTGGCTAAGATCGTGGAGCTGGTGAATAACGAGCGAGAGTTGGAGCTCGACCGGTACAGAGAGTCGAGGACATTTTACTCTTCTCTTGTTCAGAAACATGATAGCGAGTTTGAGGTCCTTGCCGACTACATCAAAGAAGTGTTTGAAGATACGACGGGGTTAGCTATAGAAGACTACAAGGCTACTTCTATCAAGAATAATAATTCGTTCCATGCGCAGTGCACAATGATGTTGAACACATTGCAAGTGGCAATGAAAACGAAAGAGCGAATGACGGCCAAGAAACACGCCTCTGACATCCAGATGCTCAGAAGACGGATGGAGCAGATGGGAGCAGGAATAACCGAGCTCAAACTCCAGCACAAAAGTGCAAATAAATTGTTGGAAAGAACGTACAGTTCCTTGCTAGAAATACTGGGTGGAAACATTTATGTTTCCCAGTTGCAAAAGCCACTCACTTCCGAAGAGGTGCTGAATAAGATTCAGTCCGGAAACTTGAAAGATGCGAAATGGATCCACAACGGCGTTTTTGAAGCTTTGCGACAGAAACTCACATAATAACACAGTCCGAGTTGGGGTCGTTGTTGGACGAGGAGGAGCTTGCCTTATGGGAGATTCTTTTTGGCACATTTAAATATGAGTGTTTGCTTGATTTCCTTGTTTTAATAAAAGGTTTCATGAGGTCAGGAGATTCTTTTGTTTTGGTACTTGACTTGGACTCGATCGACTCTGATCTTGATGGAGATCTCATAGTTTCAGGTGGTCTTTCCACTGGTTTTTCAATCTCTGGTTGTGAATACTGGATAATAGGGTCAATTCCACCCTGGATGATCGAGTTGGCAAGGAAAGAGTACAGCTTGATCCATGCTTCTTCTGTCTTTATCGAAAATCCGTGCGCGAGGTCGTTGGCAAAGCGGTCTCTGAATGTTTTCAGAAGCACTTCTCCCATGATCTGGAAGTATTCTGGCTCGATCCCGAGGATTCGGGAGTGCAATTTTCCAAGACTTCCCAAGGATTCATTCATTCTTGACAGGTCTTCCAGCGTGGACATGGCGACATTGATCACGCCGGCGAAAGCAGAGGCCTGGTGGCGAATGGAGGGAATCAGTTTCTCGATCTGCGGGTCTCTGGCTATCAAGTTCTCGTACAACTGGATGCAGAAGAGCGACGACGCAAAGGACGATGTGGGCATCATGGATCCGATGCTAATTGTACGCGATGGCTTGGAAACATGGCCGCGGATGGATTTCTGGGGAGAAGACGTTGGAGTCCCATGGGAGATGGTTGCGACTGGGGACGCTGATGATGACGAAATGACTCTGGACCATGACGATCGCAGCAGATCGATTTCTTCAGACGATAACGTGAGTGCGATCTTCATGCGGGGCTGGTTGACCACAACACTGTCGTTCAGCCAGTCGGCCTCTTGGACGGACGTACTTCTGGACACCGAGGTAACGATGGATGTGGACGTTGACGATCTGGAAAGAGACAGATCGGAGTTTCTGCTTGGCATCGTCGACATGTCGGCCGAGCCCAAACGTATTTTCGCGGGCTCTCTTAGCCCACCTCCTCTTCGAACAGACATGCGGTCAGATTTTATGAATTTTAGTTTTTTTCGAGATTGGAAATTCCCGTACAGTCGTTGGTGACAAACAGGACGCTTTGTAGTTGAGCAACAAATTTACGGAACCAGTTGAAGGGTCAATCGAATGGTTTTCTGTGATGGTTGTATATGCTCACTACACATGACAACGGTGATCGGACTCGCCCTATCGAGCAATTTCACCGCCAAGATTTGCACGATCAGATTTCCTATATGGGGCATACTCGGCGATCTGGAACAAGCGGAGGAAAACTCATCCCATGTTCGCCCAGGCTCCACCACAAAAACATATCCGCTGGTAGTGCTGGTAGACCGGGTTCACTATGAACGTGGGCGACGTGAAATAGACCTCGTTGTCGTTGATTGAAGAGATGGCTCCACATCTGATACACTTGCGCATCATGAGCGTGTGAGGAGTCGAGTTCGTCGACCCATTGGCAGCAGCCCTACTGCCAGGAACGCTGCCCTGTTGGCTTATTTGGGTGGCAATGAACTCGGACGGTCTCACCAATTGTCTTCGAAGCATGTCCAGAATCAACCCGTCTTGGGAATTCATCTGGATCAGCTTTTTGTTGTATGTGTTGGAGAACTTGTGGTCTGTCACAGAAAGCAGGGTGGATGATAACGGCTTCTTGACAGTTCCTTCCGGTAGAGGCTCCTGCGAACCTAGCTTGAGCCAGCTCACGTCGTAGAAGTACAGCTCCACCACGTCAACGTTGTTGTTATTCAGCAAAATCCGGTCGTAAACGTCGCAAAGTTTGCGCAACGGCTCCACAAAAGTCTTCGAAACGTGGCCCTGACAGATGAGCTGCTGCTCTACCGCCAACGATGTTGCTGGATCGGAACGGCTGTTTCTGAGAGGAGCGTCGGCCTCAAGAAGAAATCTCTCAAAATTCTGCAACGAGACAGGGGAATTATTGATCAGAGATCCCAGGCGGTGGTAGGCCTCGATGGTGGGGTGTGCAACGATCTGTTTCGAGACCGACATCTGCCCGTTTGCAGAGCCGGAGATAGACCACTGCGAGTCCGCGAACAGCTGGTTTTCCACTGTCTTGAACTCGCCCATTGGGTTGTCTGGGGTGGCCTGGGAAGCCAAAACAGGATCGTTCTTCTCGATGATCTTCTGCACAAAAGAGAACAGTCTTCTCACGTTGGAAATAGCAAAGATTAGGAAAGAGCGAGGCACTTTTCCCAGAATTAATGGCACAGCAACAGAACGGTTCAGAAATAGTTCAATCTCTTTTGGATTGTTTTCCTTGAAGACTCTATGCAGCTCGATGATCTCTTGGTTAATGCCAACGATGTAATCGATACACCATCTGATAATTCCAAGAACGGCCATGAGACTTTCTTCACGAGCTCGGGCGTTTGCCAATGTGTCCGAGACATTGAAACCTTTCTTGGCAAATCGTTGCATGTTCGAATAGATGGTGTGAATAGTGTACATGACCGAGGAGGTCACAAACTTAAGATTCACCAAAGCCCAAGCAATCTTCCCACTCTTGTTGCGCTCCCAGTCGGCCTCAGTCCCCAAGGAGAGCTGTAGAGTGAGGATGCGTTGCAAAGGCTGGTTCTGCAACATTTTATCTGTCTGGTCGCTAGCAACATCAATGGTCAAGTTGATTGCACGCTGACACTCCTGCAAGATCGATATCTGGAGTCTGTAAGAGTACTCGTTGCCTCTGAGACTTCTAGACCGTTCCAACTCGCGCCGAATGGTTGCAACCAGGTCGTCAGTTGAGTACCCAAGGTAACAGGCGTTGGTGTGACACGATGCAACTGCTGCAGAGGTAGCAAGCAATAGACCCTTTTTATTAGGCGGTCCCTCCGACTCGGCGATGTTAGTCTCCGCAGACCGAATGTGCAACGTGTTTTCGTGGTATGGCAAAGCCACGTAGCAGCAGATATTTGGCGAAATGCAACTATACTGGGGCTGGAACCCAATTGGTGGGAACTCAAACCCTGCGTCTGAAAGACACGAAACTGTCGTTGGAAGCACAAGGTTGGACTCCATAAAATTGTCCTTCAATTCCTGTGGATTGTAAATATTGTCAGCCAGCTTGAAGTCAGTTCTGTGGATCAGCTTAATTATGCCATTTGCAAACGTCACACCAATAACGAGATCCAGGTTCAATAGCTCGATAGAGACGATTGCCTCGTCAAATGTCATCTTTTGCCTGTATAAAGGTTTGTAGGTTTTCTTTGCCTCGATAATGTTGTCCTGTGATGAAGCGATTTTATTAAACATCGGATGCAATGTCTCTGCTGAGTCCACCTTCCGGAGTTGGTACCTGTACAATGAGGACGATTGTTTGACTGATCCGAGACTAATGTCGTTCTCAAATGATAACAGGAGCTCAAACTCTGTCGACTGGTTGTAATCGGGAGATATAAGCTGGAGCCCTGTGAAGACTGCAAGCTTGGTATCCAAAACGTCCAAATTCATCTCCAACACTTTCTTCAGTTCGAGCTTTGGAGGTTTCCTGTTCTCATCCGGCACACGGTATGTTGGAGTCTTGGCCAAAACCTTGGCAGCTTCCACAAGGAAACCCCAGTCGATGGTTATTTCGAACAGTTTAAGCTTGCGCGAGCTGTTTGCCGCAATGAGCACTGCTCCGTCCCTGTCGAAACCAATGGACGCCGAGTCGAGTAGCTCGTCGCGGCCCGTGATCTTGGTGATTGTTTTCTTGTACTCGATTCCGTGGTCTTCTTGGTACCACAGCGTGACTTCGCCGTTCTTCCGCACTGCGATACAGGCCTGTTTGGTGGGCAGCGGATGCATAGCTCCATAAGGCTTATATTGATGGGCGTTGTAGGTGTAGTAGTTTCCCTGTGAGTCCTGAGCAGCGGCGCCCATTTTCGAGGCACAACCACTTACCACTGGGCTGTCCTGTGTAGCCTGTGTTTTCACCGCTGGAGTATTGACTATCACTGGTTTATCTATATTGAGCCACTTGACGGAGATAATTTGATTGGCTTCTCTTTTGGCGGTGGTTGACAGGTCGACAGACGGTCTGACCGAGCTGTCTGTGTACAGCAGCTCGAAAGTGTTGAACGAAGTACGCGAGTATTGGGCGGACTGGATGCCCGTCTGGTTTTGGGGAGGCGATTGGCTGGTTGGAGGAGTTGCTGCGGTATGGTGGGGACCCCCGTTGGCTGTTGGCTGCGACACCTTCTTGATCCCCGTTACACAGATCGACACATGGCCCATTGAGTCCGCAATAAATAGGTCCCAGCCGGTATTGCTGAATAGGACGTTTGTCAACCTGGAGAGCGGATACGCCGAGGACAACGAGTCATGATCGTGGTCGACCTGGTATTTCTTTGTAGAAACAAGTCTGTCGTATGTTCCGATCTGAAATCCGGTCGGCGGGGCCAATTGCCACGTCTGTCCGTCAACGCACTCCAGATAGGTCATTAGTAAATTGTGACGTCCAACTTGGGAAGCACAGTAAGCCAGATGGCCCTGTCTGGACCACGTGATTTGGTTGCTCGCACAAGTTTGGCGCCCTCTGCGCACAAGCACGTCACTGATCTTGGGATTCTCCATGCTAATGAACGGAACCTCTTCAATCCAGATACAATAATACCGGAGTGGTTTTCTGAAAAAACTCCCCCTACCCCTATGTCTGCTTAGGTCAGCGGAAAGTTTTATTACAACAGACAAGTTTTCGAAACTTTAAATCCACAGTGACGCGAATGAGCCTTGATTTGGCCACCATGTGCGGATGGCTCTATGCCATCGCGTGGAGTATATCGTTCTACCCGACGATAATGCTCAACTTGAAGATTAAGAGCGCAGACTCTATTTCTTTTGACTTTGCCGTGTTGAATCTGCTTGGCTACTCGTGCTACACGGCGTCAATCTACCTCCAGATCTACAATCCCGAGGTTCGCAGGCAATTTGCAAAAACTTTTGATGGCAACCTTCCGCTTCTCTCGGGGATCGATCTCGCGTACTCGGCTCACGGTCTGCTGCTGACGTTTGTTCTTTTATCACAGATCATCCTGGGGAACAAATGGTGGGGCTTCAAGAACTCCAGAACGGTGTTCAAGTTCAGCAGACTCGTGAGAACATTCTACATCGCCTTTATGGGCTTCCTTCTGTTTAATATCTACTACATGAGCAGACCATTCCAGCTACTCACGTTTACATTACATTTGTCATATTGCAAGATCCTCGTGAGTTGCACGAAATACATCCCGCAAGTGATCCATAATTCCAATCGCAAGTCGATGTTTGGCATTTCCAAGCTGCAAATCCTGCTTGATCTGTTAGGGTGTCTGTGCTCTGTTTCGGAGCTGCTCTTGCGGAACACAACAACGTTGACCAAACTGGTGGACGCGAACAGAAGCAAACTCGGGATCATTCTGGTGACCATGGTGTTTGACCTGGTGTTCCTGATCCAGTTTCGTCTTTACGAGTCTCCTCGCAAACAAACTGTTGCCAAGTCGGAGAAGGTGCCTGTTTAAGAATCGACCTTGCAAAATCGACGCGTCGCCCAATTTTCCCCCGGATGACAGAAATCAGAAATTCCAATTTTTATTTGCACAAATGATCATGTTTGCCTCCCGCAGTATTCGACCTCGCCAATTTCTCCCCACGCAGCTTAGACGGCTATTTATCCAAACACAGTTAACGCCAAATGAAAACGCACTCAAGTTTGTGCCCTCAGAGTTCAAGTTCCTGCCCTCCTCCACCACCCCCACGCTAGAGGTGAGTAATGTGAAGGACGCTCTTAACAAGTCAGAGCTGGCATTTAAGCTGTTCAGTGCAAACGACAAGTCTATAGAGTCGATTCTGTTTGGATACAACTTCATCACCGTGGTGAAGGGCGAGCAACACAATTGGTCTTTACTCAAACCCGAAATATTTTCGATACTGACAGAGCACCTCAACTCTGGCCAGGCGGTTATTAATCAGGACTACATGGAGATTCTCCGTCAACAAACGGAGGAGGCTGACGAAGCTGACGAATACGAAGACGAAGACGAGGTGATCGCACTCATAACAGAGCTGCTAACTACAAGAATACAGCCAGCCATCCAGGAAGATGGAGGAGATATCAAGTTTGTCAAGTTTGACGAAGACACAGGAACAGTTCATTTGAAACTTATTGGAGCATGCAAAAGCTGCTCGTCGAGTGAAATCACTCTCAAAAACGGTATAGAAGAGATGCTCAAGTTTTACATTGACGAAGTCAAACATGTTCAACAGATCGCAGACGAGGAAGACCAACCGGAGTCCATAATCAATGACTACCGGCCAATAAAGAAAGAGCAGTCGTCCAGTTTATGAGCATTTCAACGAGTATTTATTAAGGAATAAAAACCTACGTTACACATTCCCCAGATTTTCTCTGTTCAATCATGTACATGATCTATTTTTGCTCCATATATTCCTGCTCCTCGCTCAGGTTCTCCGTCGCGTAAGGAGGAGTTTGCACCTGGTACGGGTAGAAATAGTATGGATTGTAGGAAACGTACGGAACCGACATGGTCCGACTATTTGGCTGCGGACGTCCTGGGCTGCCTATTGGTGAATATTGCACTGGTGATTGAGCAGGAGCCGTCACAGGAACAAATCCGCCGTTCGGCATGCTCGACGGGAAACTGAAACTTCGCTTGGTGAAGTTCTGATTCAGATAGTTGTAGAAATTGCCCAAGTGGTTCTGATTATGGTGGTGGAGTCTTCCTTTTTCGTACTTGTTCTCTTTGCGCTGAGCAAACGAGACTTCAAGCACATGAGACTCGTCCACACGGTAACCGTTCATTGCCACCAACGCCTTGGACGCGTCCAACGGTTTGTTGAAACAAACAAACCCGAATCCTCTAGAACGTCCTTCGCGAGCGTGGTTTTCCGTTTCGTCGTCTTCGTCAATCACCGCCGAATCAGCAGGTGGGTAAGTCATAATCTTGGCGGACATGATCTGCCCGAATTGGGTGAAGAGGTCATAAAGGTCCTGATCCTTGAAATCCAAAGGAAGATGCGTTATATACAAGTTGGAATCCTGGAACTGTGGACCGGCTATAGGGAGGCCTGTAGCGGTCGAAATCAAGTTGGAATCAGGTGACACAATAAATGAGGGATACATGCTGTTTGAAGGCTCTGGCTGGGCTGGAACGTACGGAGATTGGTACGGATAGTAGGATCCGTTGTAATTGACCACTTGGTGCTGCATGCGGTCTTTCCTTCGCTCGGCTTTGCCTAGTTGCAAGTTGAACCCTGGAGAAATCTCAAAGCCGTCTAACTCTTCTTGGGCTTTCATGGCATCTTCGTGAGTTTTGAAGTTAATGAATGCATATCCTTTGTTCAGATTGTCGCTGCTTTGGGGTAGAAAAACCGATTCGATGTCTCCATACTTTCCGAAAACCTCAGTCAACCTTTCCTTCGGCAAATCATCGGGGAAATTCTTCACGTACAGATTAGTGTACTTGAGCTTTTTCATCTCGAGCTCCTTGAGTCTATCCCTTTTGGAGATGTGGTGATTAACAAACAAGTGGTTTCCTTCGATATCCGAGCCATTAAGGCTATCGATGGCTTTTTGGGCCTCGACCCTATCAGCGAAATTTATGAATCCGTAACCTTTGGACACTCCGTAGTCGTCCTTGATGATCTTGCATGAGACTGGATTGCCGACCGTGCTGAATATCCTGAGAAGGTCGTCGGAGGTTGTGGTCGGGAGCAGGCCTCTGACGTACAGATTTCCGGGTAATTGCAGATTAAGCTCTGACTCGTTCGGAACCGGCTCATACTCCAAGCCTCGTTGCTTAAGAAATTGCTGGAACTTGTGCGAAGTATCTGGATCCTCGAACCTCACGAAGGCTGTCTTGGGTGATTCGCAATTGCCCTTCAAAAGCTCGTACCTAATATCGTGATCAGCTTGCGCCTCTTTGAAGGCAGCTAGAACAGTGTCTAACAGCGTCAGATCTTCATACAACTTAAAGGTGTATATTGAATTGACTGATTCCGTCAGCTCCGGCGACGTCATTTTAGTGAGTCAATGCTGTTTAAATGATGATGGCCTGTTATAATAATTTAAAGAAGATACAGTATGACACAAAGAAAAAGTTTCTGCCCTTAATTTCTCGTAAAAGTAATCTATCGTTCAAGATGATGAGGGAAATTGGTTGGTGATGGTGAAGGTATGTAGGGTATTTATTAAGAGTAAAGCAATATTATCTTAGACAAATCTCTAGAAAAAGAAGGATAAATCTAGCTAGCTTGAGTCGTGTATAAAAATTCTGGGCTTGGCACTACTCCCTATATTAGCTGCCCAGTTTTTTTAAAGGTGGATCTAGGCCCAACAAATTACGTAGGACGAATGTCAAACAGGGATCCCCGGGTACGGAGACCTTGGAATTTAATTTACCGGATCAACAAAGAGTTGTCAAACATTTGATTTGTGTTTTGAGGCACCAAAATGCATTTGGTCCGGTTTAATGTTTAAAGCCGAAACTAGCATCCAATTATTTTGCATTTATTTCCACGGAAGCTTGTGTAGGCGTAATCCGCTCTGTTACGATATCGGAAATATGCTGGCGTCACACTACTTTTCTCCGATAATATACACATATCCAAGCAAGAAAAAAACTAGTAACCGGAAATCACACTGCTAAGTATACAATAAGGAACAGAAGCTGGGACTGGCCCCTGATTATTTCTTCGCCTTAGATTTCTTAGCCGCAGCGGCTTTTTTCGGCGCAGCTTTAGGTTTGGTCACTTTTGACACTGGCTTTTTTGCTGGCTTCTTAGCTGCTGGCTTGACAGTCTTGGTAGCGGCGGCTTTCTTCGCAGGAGCTTTTGCTTTAGTAGGCTTTGCCTTGGCGGTCTTGGAAGCGGGTTTTGGAGCGGGTTTTTTGACAGCTGGTTTTTTAGCAACAGCTTTCTTTGGAGCCACCTTTTTCGCAACAGTTTTCTTGGTAGCTGGTTTGGTGACCTTCTTAGTAGCTGCGGGCTTTGCTGCTGGCTTTGCAACCTTCTTGGTAGCCGGCTTGGTAGTCTTAGCAGCCTTGACCACCTTCTTAGCTGCTGGCTTCTTGGCTGGCTTTTTGCCAGCCTCTTTGGTCAACTTGATTGGTCCTGCTGGTCCTTTTGGTTGAGCAAAGTAGCCAGAAGTGACTCCCTTCTTAATTGCGAGGTTGAAAGCGGTGTCAAAACTTGGAGACGATCCAGCAGAGTAGTTAGCCTGGATGTACTTCTTGATAGCTTGACGACTAAATGGTTAGAAATTCTCGTTGTGGTTACCTACCTGGATCCACTTCTCTCTTTGAGAGTGGTGATAGCCTTAATAATCAGCTCTATTCACGTTAGTCTTTGGCCATTGAACATGTCTACATACCTTTGTAAGTCAGCTTGGAATCTGACGGTTTAGCAGCTTTGGTAACCATTTCGATAAAGAGGATATAAATGATAAAAAAGTAAACAGCTTGATGCCCTATTTGTTTATATTTTGGTGGCTAACATCTAGGTGTGAGGCGTGTCGATAAAAAAACTATTTGACCGCGTTTGCATCTTATCGATGTCAAATTGTGCGTCGATCGGCGTAAGCTGGGTTTTTTTTCTTGTCAGTCTCCCTTGTTTATTTACCAGTCAGCCCAAATGGATATAAGCGTGATCTCCAGTCACCAGCTGCCCTTTGCCATTGGCTCCAGCAAGAATTTTGGCTGGTGTCCCACCATGGATCTGATCTCGTTCCAACTGAGCGAAAACGCCCTTTGGATCTACAGATTGGGTAACCAGCGGGTGTGGAACATAGAACTTGACGAAGACCAGGAAATTGAATGTCTTTGTTGGCGACCTGACGGGAAAGTGTTTGCGGTGATATCCACACAGGGCCATGTCAATCTGTTCGATTCCAGCAGCGGAAAGCTCATGCTCAAGTTCAAAATTGGATCATCTATTGAAACTTGCAGTTGGTACAATCGCCTCAGCACATTTGATACCTCAAATCAGTTTGAAAAACTGTTCGACATGAACCTCACAAACTCGCTCCCCAAACTTACGTCCTCCCATAGCTCCAAAAAACTTGTCAACGACGACCAATTGATCAAATGTGAGGACTCGTCGCTAGATTTTCTCATCATTGGCTCGGAAAACGGGCTCATCTCCATAGTGTTGTACGGAATCTTTATCATTGAGAATTTCCAGCTGCCGCAGCTGGCGAACTCGTACTCCACTTTCCTTGATATCCACTCATCCAAGAATCTTGGCTCGCATTACATTCTGGTGGAAAAACATGATGGTTTGTTCATTATCAAGTTGGCTACCACGTTTGTGGAAACATATGGTACGCTTCTCCCGCGCGTGTGCCTTGCATGCTCGAAACTTGTTGGGCTGTTGACTTACATCAAAGAACTCATTGACGACCTCGAAAACGAAAGCAAGCCTTTCGCTGACTACACAACAAGAATATTGGCATTATTGAAAAGCGAGATCGAAACAAAGTCAAACTCTGAAGGCGCAGATGTTGATCCTGTTTACGACTTGTACGACTTGTTACTAACAGGAGTTATGTCCGAAGCCACCAAGGCTTGGATCAGCGATTACCTAGGAGATCGTGGTCTTAAGAGATGGATCAAGTTGGGGAAACAATATTTTGAAAACTCCAGGAAAAACCTCTTTTACAACTTGATCCCTGCTTTGGAACACACGCTTGTCTATTTGACGGATCTTAATGGACTTGCAAACTGGAAAGAAAATGAGAGAACATTGGGGCTGCAAAGCCAACTCCTTGTTGAAGCCATTGATTTGGCGTCCGACCTGCTACAAGCGCTATACCGAACCATGCTAAGGCTGAACGACGAACAACAGAATTTTGACAGTTTTGTTCAATGGCTGAATTCGATCTTGGTCGAGGTGACATCGGGTGATAAGAGCTCAGATATCATCAAAACTAAAGAAGTTATTGAGTTTCTGACCAAAGGTCTTAAAACCACGGGCGAAAACAACCACGAACTGTACGACAACCTGAAAGATGTGTGTGAGCGCTTCTTTGATGCCATTAAAAGTAACATGAAGCTGAAGATGGAGTCGTCTCTTGTTGTGAAGATTGGGGAGGTTGGGTCGACGCATTCATCGTTGAAAATTCTTGGAGAAGAAGAGTTTGGACTTGTCGTGCTGCAACGCGACAACTGCGGAGAGCTTATCAAGTTTGATTGCGAAACGTTGGACCATTCCAAACAGATTTTTGATTTCCAAGAGCTGGTTACTGGCAAAATCACAAACATTGTTGGAAAGCTCTTGAACGACACAGAGTTGATATTTTTGGTTGAGCACAAGAGCCAAGAAACACACAGCAGTGTAATTTTGGTCAACATTGCTGATACGTCCATGGGAACCGTTCTCGGGTCGAGTATAGTTAAAAGGGTGGACTATAAAGAGGGTTTCATTCCAAAATACTTTGCAGTGAATCCGCTGCGCAGGATTGGCTGTTTGATGGACTCGAGCCGAAAAAACTACGTGATAGTGGAGATCTAATGTACATATCATTTAGCATAGTATTTGAACAGCTCTTGCGGAGCGGGTATGCCGACGCTCCTTGTTCGGGATAGCTTGAAGCTACCATCATCATTAATGGCATAGGAGTCTCTTAAGAATCTTTCGTATGCAGGTCTGAGGGCGTGGTTGTCCATGGAAGGCGAGCGGATCACGTTATCCAGATGGTCCATATCTCCCTTGGCGATAGGAGGATATTCCTGAATAAATCGACGAAGCTGAAGCAGTTTTTTCAAGACAAGATTTTGCCTAACGTTGGGGTTTCGGGGCAGCCCAACAGAGTTTGGCGGGAATCGCACGTTCAACTGCGGAAGGGACCAGTCATGGTCTATATAGCGTCTGAAGCTCGATCTCAGGCGGTCAAATCGTGCGTAGTAGGGAGAGTTGAAGGCAGTCCTTGGTTTTTGAACGGGATTGGATTTTGGCTTTTTACCTTTCAAGATATCCAGAATGCTGTGGTTAGATGGACTCGACTCGGTGTCGCTTTGTGCCATGGTTTTGTCATATTTCTCAACCAGACCTTTTACGTTCTTGAAATTGTTGATCTCGTGATTGTGGACCAAGATACCTTCGTACTTGGCCTTGAACTGTTCCTTTTGATCACGGGTGACCACCTTGGTGCTAAGAAACTCTGCAAGCCAGTCGGGGACCCGTTTGTGTGGCGGCACTGTTCTGCAGTAGGCTATTTGAAATAGCTGAATTCCCGCTTTGAACTGGCTCCTGGACGAGTCCACCAGTAACTGGTAAAATTCATGACCCTCTTTCAGGCTCTTTTTCGGGGATTTCGACGATTTCTCGAACTTCTTGTTGATATACTGTCGCAGCCGTTTGTCTGTTATGCTGTCCAATTGCAACGTGCGCAGTCTGCGGCCCAGTCGCCGGTGGAAGTCCAACACAACTCGTTTCTTACTGAGCTCCATACAATTTTTTTTGTATAACAAATATTTTTGTCGCGACTAAATTTATTTATTTACACTTGCTATGTCGTCTATACCTCTCACGAAAGCAAACCAAAACAAGGAGAACGCGCTCCGTCCGAAATCGCAGGATGTGCACAACGAAAAGACACTGGCGCGGCACACGTCCAAGACCGTGTTGAGAACGAAATCGTCGAACTCCATTGTGAAACCACAGGACTTCGGCAATTACAACAAGATCAGAAAGACGTCTACTTTGGGCGATGTGGACCTGTTTGAGCCCCAGGAAAACGTCAAGACGGGTGCTCGCAAGTTTAAGGTCCAGCGTGATTCGCCATTGTCGAACACAAAACATAAATTGCCTCTCAAACACGAACCTGAACTTGATGACGAAATCGAGATCGTGCCTGCCAAAGAGGACGAACTGCCATATATCCCAGATAACTTGGAACCGCTTCCCGAAGACCTTCTTGAAGACACACTGAAGGGCAAGACCAGATCGAAGAACGCTAAGTCTCTGAACGACCCGCTGGAGCTGGATCTATCCTATTTGCAAGACATGGAGCAACAGGACGCTGAAACTACAGAAAAGCCTTTGGAACTGGTGCTTGAGTTCCCTGAAGAAGGACAGGAAACAGAATCGAAGAAACTCGACCACATTCTCCAGGACATGGAGCTGCATTCCCACTACAAGCCAAAGAGACTCTAAGAGCGCTTGGACTCTTTTTTGCATCATATACAAGATCGCTATTTTCAACCAAACCAGCTGAACCACCCTTTCCGCTGTTCCGGTTCCTCCACTCCGATTTTGGTGACATCTGTGTCGTTGAAGTAGGAGTTGAACGATTTGGGCAGCTCGTCTTTCGATTGTATTTTAAATTCCACGTTCGTAATAATATCTCCGTTCTCTTCGCCATTCTGGTGGTTGCCGTATGATATGTCTAGAACAGACTTAAGTTTGGTGAGATCGTTTTTCTCCAAAAACCAGTTGTCTTTCGGGAACTCGATGTCCACCCCGATGTACAGGTCGCCGTTCCTGTTGGAGCTCCCCTCCAGTGGCATTCCCTCGTTGGGCACCACTATTGAGTCGCCAGGCCGCAAAACTTTTCCGGCCGGCACCGAGATCGACACCCACCGGTTGTCCAATGTTTTCACCAGTCGACGGCCCTCAAATCCACACAGCGCGTCCACAAGTGCAACCTTGACCTTGGTGTAAAGACTCGACCCGTGTCTTTCGAAAATGGGGTGTTTCTTGGTGGTGTACTTAAGTATCACGTCACCTGGCTTCAGATCCGGCTCTTCGTCCGCCTCGCCTGCCAGCGTCACCGTTCCGGAAGCAGGAGCACCCCGAGGCACCACAAACTCCAGAACCTTGGTCTCCTCGACCACACACTTGCCTTTACACTTTCTGCAGCTATCTTTATCTCGGAACATTGTGCGTTTTCCTTTGCATCGCCAGCACGGAACAGCTTGCTGTGTCACCAGCCCCGGTGCAAGCTGGCGTATCTTCATCACGTATCCTTCACCATGACAGGTGGAACATTGAACAGGAACGGCAGACTTGCGTGCTCCACTGCCCTTGCAGTGTTTGCAGATCTTATTTCTCTTGGACGTAGATTTGATCACTTTGCCATTGTACAGGTCCTCCAGAGTGAGCTCGACCTCCAAAACAGCGTTGTCTGTCTTGGTTTTCCGCGGTCTGCCGCTCGAACCACCCATGCCATTGAAAAAACTGGCAAAATCTTGTGGGTTGAACTCAAAGTCTGCTTCCCCAAACGCAGCGTTGGCAAAACCAGAATCATACTGCTCATACCCGTTCGCAGTCCCATCAGTAGTACCATAGAGGTCGTAAGCATTGCGCTTCTCCTCGTCTATCAATACTTCGTAAGCACCACTTATTTCCTTGAACTTGATCTCAGCCGTCTCCCGCTCGTCCTCGGCAACCTTGTCGGGATGGAACTGAAGCGCTAGCTTCCTATACGCGCGACGAATCTCACCAGAAGACGCTGAAGAGTCAACTCCCAATACATCGTAAAGAGACATGGTAACTCTACAAAACACTTCTCATAAAAAACTTTCTCCGTTTATTTCTAAAAAAATTCAATCTGTTTAAAGACAAGTACGCTCACTTAACGGAGGAATCCCTTTCTGGTCTTGGTTGGGGCGCTGTGAGTTGGCTCGTGAAGAGGCTTGGCCAGCTCCAACTCCTTCTTCTTCTCCTCCAAAAGCTTGATCTGCTTCAAAAGCTTGTCCCGCATCTCCTTGTGTTTGGCAAACAGATCAGCCTCGGTCTCTTGCAACTTCTTTTCCTCCTTGCTAACCTTGGATTGGAAAATCGATCTCAGCTGGGCCTCCATGTTAGCAAGCTTGGCCTCGTGCAGCTGCTTCTCCTCCTCCTGCTTCAAAACAGGGTCAAACTCGCGGAAAACAGAGTCGTCCTGCTCAATGCCAAGCTTCTTCAATTTGGCAGTTCTGTAGTTCTCGTACAATTTGTTGGCTGTAATCTCCTTCAACTCCTCCATGAAGTTTCTGATCAGGAGCTGTCTAAGCTTGATGAAGTCACAGTGGTCCTCGTTGTCGATCTCAATAATTCCCCATGGATAAGATCTGCCTCTCACTATTCTTCCGTCTGGGGTCTGGATCTGGTTGGTAGACCCAACAACAGCGAACGGTGCCTTGGCCATGATTTGTCTGGATGCAGCTCTGGTCTCCTCATCGTCGTGGTCGTATTCTGGAGGGTTGAACAACTTGATTCCTTGGTTATTTATGTCGTCCAAAATTCTTTGCTTGAACTCTTGGATCTCCTTCTCGGTGAGAGTGTCGGATTTGGCAATCACTGGAATAAGGTTTACCTTTTCGTGAATTTGCTTCATGAAAGTGATGTCCAAAGGCTTCAACGAGTGTCCGGTAGGCTCAATAAAGTACAAGCATGCGTGGACTCTGTTGTCGACAATGGTGGACCGGTTGATCTTGGTCTCAGCCTCCAAGTACTTGTCGAATCTGGAGTTGACCTCGTCGACAATAGGTTTCCAGGTATCAGTATTGTTGATACCCTCGCCGAATCCTGGACAGTCAATAACGGTCAAGCTCAGCTTGACGTTGTTTTCCTCGATATCGGCGCTGACAGTCTCGACGGAAACCTTAACTGGTTCTTCTGGATCAGGGAAAGATGCTTTCGAGAAAGAGTCCACTGGGTACAAATCCTTGTTGAAAAGAGTGTTTATCAAAGTAGACTTACCCAAACTTCTCTCACCAACAACCAGCAGGTTCAAGCTGAAGCCTCTTCTGATCGATTTTCTGTGCCATTGTTTTGGCAAGTTAGCGAATCCAACGTATCCGTTCAACTTGCGGCGGATGACTTTGACTTCACTCTTTGGCACTGTGGATTCGGTGGTTGGCTTTTCGACCTGTTCGGTCTCTTGAGGCGAAACGACGGTCTCTTCTGGTTCTAAAACAGTTAGTCGACAATTTTGTTGTGCCAGCTGGCGCGTACCGCCCATTAAGGGGAAGCAAAAGGCGCCGTCTGTTGCGGACAAAACCCCAACAATGCTGGTCTCGTTGAATCACTTACTTTCGATAGTCATCACAGGTTCAGTTTGATTGAATTAGTAAGTCTCTAATGTCCTAAAAGCTGAACTTGTAAAAAGCCTTTATATAAAAGTAGAAAAAAGATATTCGTATTTGTTTTCCAAAAATCATCGCTACACAGGAAAGACGCGTAGTTGGAAAAAAAGCTGGACTACAAAAAAGGTCACATTTTTTAGGTTAATGTCTGCTGATTCAACGTATTCCGAAGACTTGAAGAAGCTGCTGCAGAAGGGAGCAGAGGCCTTTGCCGAGAAACGGTACGAGAAGTCGGTAGAGTATTATTCTGAGGCTTGCGAGAAGTCCAATCTTCTTACTGGCAAGGATGATCCCGATCTCTTGTTTTTGTACGCCAAGTCGCTGTTTGAGAACGCAGTCTCCAACTCGGGAGTTTTGGGAGGACAGATCAACAAGGAGGAGAAGCCGGAGGAAGCTGAGGACCCAAGCGGAATGTTCCAGTTCAACGAGCAATTAGCTGAAAACGAGGAGGAAGAAGAGGAGCAAGAGGAAGAGCAAGAGGAAGAAGAACAAGAAGACGATGAGAAAGAGCAAGAGGAGGACGAGGGCGAGGAGCAAACGGATTTTGAGGTCACTTGGGAGATTTTGGATCTTACAAGAACTTTGTACGAGGAGAAGCTCGAACAGTTGGACAGTGGGGATTACGCGACTCCGCTGCTGGCCTCCGACAAGCAGGACGCTGAAGAAACGAGCTCGCCATACGTGGTAATCAAGAAGAAGCTCAGTGACGTTTACGATCTTTTGGGAGAGATTTCATTGGAAACGGAGAACTTTAGCCAGGCCGTTCAAGATTTGACTACATTGACCAAACTGAGAGCTGAGCTTTACCCGCTTGGCTCGAGACTTATATCTGAGGCTTACTACAAACTTTCGCTTGCCTCAGAGTTCAACACTGGCGAGGCAGGATCGAGCGCGTTGGCTGTTAAGGCTATGGAAAAGGCTCTTGAGTCTCTACGCGAGAACTACAAGACCGATCAGGACAGGGATGAGTCTCTTTTACAGGAGATGGAGCAGAGACTGGAAGATTTGAAGAAGGGAGACGCTGCTATCCAGGAAGAGAAGAAGAAGATCATGATGGGTATTCTTGGAGAGAGCGACGCCACAGAGACAGTCTCAAAGACAGTTCCAAAAGCTGCTCCTGTCAACGACCTGACTGGAATGGTGAAAAAGCGCAAACAGCCGGGTTCCAAAGTGGTTAACAAGAAAGTGAAGACCAGTAAATAAAGTTACCAGGTATGAAAATTAATTAGTGACGATTTTAAATTTGCACTTGAAAGGAAGACCAATTGTGCTAAACATGATTGAAAATGTATAGATTGTCCAACACTCATCTAGTGTGGCTTGATTTGAACTCCCACAATGCTCAGGTCTCGGTACCGCCCTTTCGACCTTCTAATTCGAGAAGATATACTTCTGGACCGTACATGGAAGCAAAATTGCCTGGCTAGCTCAATCGGTAGAGCGTGTGACTCTTAATCACAAGGCTGCGGGTTCGAGCCCCGCGTTGGGCTGAATTTTTTTTTTTGCTCTTCAATTTTAGAATTTATCTGACAGCTAAGTTACTTATTAAGTGCTCCGAGCAAATCTGCATTGACAACGATTTGCACAGCAGAAGATTGTGCAGCGAACTCAATTGATTTTCATCATCGTTTTTGAAAATCTGTGAACAAACGGTGGTCTAATTCTTTTGTATTCTTTCACGTTAAATCTCTGGAGCCCGGAAATGTCATCTCTTACAAAGCTCATTGCGATTTACATAGCCGGTGGCCTCACACTTTGGCCATTGCTTCTGTTTGTGTGGTCTCTTGGAGGACGATTCGTTTCTTCGATCAGTTCCGGCAATTCTTTCCAGTGGCTCTTTCACCTGGTTGTCACTTATGTGATTGGAGGTTTGACATTTATTCCGCTGTTGCTAGTCATCGGCTGGAACCTTCTGCCCAAGGTGACAGCTGATAGTGAACAGGAGTCGCAGTTAAGTCAATTGAGACGCGAGCAAGAAAGCAGGGCCAATGGCGAGCCCGAAGGGTACCGGGACCTGAAGGCCGGTGAAATTCTTGAAAAGGAGACATCAAACTTGAAAACGTTCTATCAAGGATGGCTAACGGTGACAAAAGAGTACTACCAGTTTCCGCAAATCGACTCGAACGACTTCCAGCCACAAACTTCGTCCGGCAACTCTTTGAGCAATGAACAGGTCAGCAACCAGCCCGGACAGAGAAACAGTTTCCTCAAGATGGTGAAAGGCAACAAGGCGGCCCAGTCTGTGCAGGAGGAACCAAAACAGGACACCTTGTCTCTGGACGCTAAGAAATTGAAAGCCATCAGGAAGAAGAACAGGTACTTTGCAGTGCTCAAACATGGTAACCTGTTTCTCTACGACGACGACGAGAAAATGAACGCACAACACGTTATTGTGCTATCAAACCGCGTGGTCGGTATTTGGCCCAGAAGCTTGAAGGATGGCCAGCTGTTCACGAAAAAGGCCGCCATTTGCATCTTTAAGAACGACACATCTCAAAATCCAGAAGGGAGCCTGAAATCCGCCGAGGCAGAGAATATCCTGGACGTTCTTCAAGGGAACTCGCCTTCGGAGGTCGCTCCAAAGGACACATTTTTCCTGTACGCGGACAGAAACATCCAAAAGGAAGATTGGTATTTCAACCTGCTCAAAGCCACCACTAAGGACGTCATGAAGACCAGATCTCCAAAAGACTTCCTCGAACCCTCGTTCATGGCACGAACTTTACACTTCCTTACAGCCGACATGATCGATCTCACACAGGCGATCAACTCGTCGGAAGGTCAACTCACTACTCAATGGCTTAATGCACTGGTTGGGAGAATTTTCCTCAGCTATTACAGAACAGACGAATTTAAGGAGTTGATCAAACGAAAGATCGACGAGCGTCTCAAGAAAATACGAACTCCAGACTTCCTGGACGACCTGCAGATCAAGAAGGTGGACGTGGGCCACTCTGCTCCTCTTTTAACGTATCCAAAGCTCAAGAGTCTCACTCCAGAAGGAGATCTCAGTGTCGAATGCCATGTACTTTATCGCGGTGGACTGGCTTTGGAGGTCGCAACCAAAGTGTTTGTCAATCTGGGAGCCAGGTTCAAGCAAAGAGAGTTTGACATCAACCTCAAGATCGTGATGAAAAGACTCGAGGGTGACCTTGTGCTGAGACTCAAACCTCCTCCATCCAACAGAGTCTGGTACGGGTTTTCCAAGATGCCCGACTTTGACATGACCATCGAGCCGGTGGTCAGTTCTCGTACACTCAACTACAACCTCATCACCAACATCATCAAGAACAGATTCAAAGAGGCATTAGGCAAGACGCTTGTTCTTCCATTTATGGATGACCTGGTCTTCTACAGAACCGAAAAAGAGCTGTTCAAAGGTGGAATCTGGGACAAGTCTGCTCGTCCTATTCCGTTCCCAGCGTCTCCTAAACCACAGGCGTCTCCTCCACCGTTGCCGGACAGAGAGACAGAAATTGACATCTCTGATGAAGGATCTCTTGGGGAGCATGTCAACAATTCTCTGGACGAGTCTTTGCGCGAGAGCGTCAAGGACAGTGTGCGAGAATCCATCAAGGATGAGAATCTGCTGGAGCCACGTCATTCGGGCACATTTGACTCTGTCCACGACAGTAGTTCTGTGCTGACCAATGAGTCTCTGGGCTCATCAGCTTCTGGAGCAAACGTGGCCAAGTACAAGGAGAAAGCGTCCACGCTATCCAAAAAGTTCTTGTCGATCAACAAGCCTGAGTCGCTCACCGATAGCGTTTCTGATACGTTTGAGACGGACGACGAAGCCAAGTCCATTTCTAGCTCTTACGCTAAGCTGAAGGGATTCTATGCCACAACAAAACAGAAGTTTGCCGAAAAGCCTCAACAGGGAAGCCTCAAGGAGATCAACTATTCTCCACCAGAGATGATCTCGAGTCGGAGATCTGTGAAGAAGACAGCCACCACAAATGTTAGCGAAACAGTGGCTCACAGAAGACAGTCTTCGTCAGAGATGTTTGCCAAGGCAGAAAGAAGCCCAGAGCAACTAGTGGACTCATTTAGCTACGAGGAAACACAAGCCGCTCCATCATCTCCGTCTATGTTCATCAATGAGAAGTATAGAAGCGGGTCTTTCAGCAAACCCCAGCCATCTCCTCATCTCACAGAGACTTTCCCGGCACAGGCACTATTTGAGACAGAGAAGCCGGCAAGGCAGAGTTTCGGCCCAGAGATTGTCGAACACCCACCAGAGGTGGAAGACGTTCCAGAACCACCTCTCCCAGCTCCTGCGCCCAACAGAGAGGTGCCAGAAATTCCTCAAAGCAAACTACCTCCTCCTCTTCCAAAACGTTAATATTATACATAGTACCGTACATCATTTCAGCTTCAACTTTATTTTTGGCAGAGCTGGCGACGCCGAGCTCTGTTTTTTCTCCTTTGGTGGCTCAGTGACAGCTTCAGAGGCTACCACCGGGGCGCTCTCGGCTCTGCGCTCTTCCACCGATGGTGCTGGAGGCTCGGTGACCGCAGCGGTTTCAACCGAGTCTTCGGCTGGAACCTCGGCTGGGATCTCAACGGGTCCATCGATCTTGGTTTCTGGAGGCTTTTCACCATTTGCGGTTGCTGGCAGAGAAGTATCCTCGGGAGCAGGCGTAGGCAGTTCAACCACAGCAGCCACAGCAGCAGTTTCTGGAACACTATCATGGACACCGTTTCCGGCCGGAGGAACTTCTTCCACAACTTCAGGCTTCACTGGGCCCATGAGGTTACGTAGCTTGTCTCCAACCTTGAGTTTCACGATAAACGTGTTTGGATTTCCAAAGTTCTCGTCGCTAGAGACAATAACTTTCTTCTCAAACATCTTGAACTTGACATAGCGTAGCGGTAACTCTTCGTCCTGATGGATAATGTCGTAGGCAACGCGTTTACGCGTAGTCGAGTTGAGCTTTCTATACTTGAACTTGACCTCAAATTTCTCCTTTGGAGCTTTCGCAGGTTTCAATGCTGGCTCTGAAATCGACGACCGTTTCAATTTCAACGTTGACCGAGAGCTCGAATTGTCCGTCACCTTCAACTTGATTGTTGGGATTTGAAGCTTGAATCTTCCCTGTCTCTTGAACACCACCTTAAAAGTCTCGGACTGTGGCTCAATACTAACATCAGTGATCTTGGCAACGAGCTTTCTCTCATTCGGCAGCTTGGTAGTGACCTTGTAAGAGTCAATGGCTGGGAAAATCACTTCTGTGATATCAAACAGGTTCCTTTTCACGCTCACAGACAACAAACACGAGTGTAGAGCTTCCCAGAGCTCTTTGCGTAGTCCCGATCCAATTCCCAGATCCCGTCTCAACACTTCAAGCGCACCTTTCATCGTCAGTCGAGAGAGCTGGTCTCTTCTTGCACTCATGTCGCCGCCGGCTCCATTCTCGTCCACAATCACAAGCCCGCCATTTTGGTCGTCTGGGTTGTTCTTTCTAGCATTGAAGAACTCGTCGTCTTCCAGATTCGAAATGACACCATCCACAGCCGCAGAGCCTACAGCCTTCATCAGAACAAGAGCCATATGGTACTTGAGATAGTGTGACGTATCAAGTTTCAAAGTGGTGAAGAACAGCGATAAAATGTGCGAGTTCTTTAGTCCTCCAAGAAGTAAAAGTCCTTCAAACGCTTTCAACCGGATATTCACGTCATAATTGGGTCTTGTATAAGGAATGAGGTCAATGTATGACAACTCAACCAGCCCCAAAGACGCGAGTCTCACCTTTTCGTGGATCATGGTGGTGGTAACAATATGCTCGTAAGATGGTGACCATTGGTCCATTTTGGCACATCTGTTAATTTCCACCATGGCTCCAATCAGGAACTTCTCTGTAGGATCCGAAATATTTCTCTGATCCATCTCCACATGAGACTCGTTGTGATTCGGAATCCACTTGCCGGAACTGACCATGAGATTGGTGAGACAATTAATAAACTCAGCAATATAGAACGAGTCGTCCAAGTAGTTGTTGTTATTGTCGTTGAATTTCAAAATGTTGAGCATGATTTCCTTCAGCTCAATTGGACTGTCTCCATTCTTATTTGTAACCATGGACAATCCCGAAACGATGGCTTTCATCACGAAATAGTTGCTGAACTCAGAAAAGTCATTTGGTAAAGGCAAATACTCCGTTGGCTCCAACTCCGGATACCCATGGGTGATTTTGTTGTTGTAGCAGAAGAAGTACTTGTAGGCCTTCAACAAAAACCGCATACCCAAATGGTCGTTGTCCTCTTTGGAGAATTTAGCAAGTCCCAGTGCAGCTTCTGCTCGGACACCATAAAAATATCTGCTATCGAGGATTGTTCTCATCAACACAGTCGCAAAATAGAGTGAAGGTCTCAACGACTCGGAGAAGAATTTGACACTTTCCAGCTGGGCTTCCACGTCTCGATCTTGACGAAGTTGCGACTCAAACATATTCTCGTTCAAATTGATGTGAACCTTGCAAATCCATTCAAAGTCTGCGTCCACACGCAGCCATTCAAACGCATCTCCCAAGATCTCATAATCGTTTTCTTCCACTTTCTGTTTCTCAGTAAATCCCCAATCTTCCAGATCTTTGGGTTTCATGAAAACGTCACCCAATTTCTTCACGGTCGGCTCATCATCATCACCACGCAACTTGTCTTTCTCTCTTTCCTTTCTCAGCTTGTCCCGTTCTCTCTTTTCACGTTCACGCTCTTTTCTTTCGGCTTCTTCCTGATCCTCTTCCTTTCTTCTCTTGGATCTTCTGTACTTGGTGTTGTACTGGATGTCCAACTTTGTCACTGCGTCTTTGATGTCGACAATGTGCTCATATGGAGTTCCGTCAGCTTCGTGGATACGAATAGTAATTGGTCCTGTGAAGACACCAGGAACAGTCATGGCCTCTTCCTCTGAAAGATACTTGTTTGCGTCATCAACAAAATTGTCCCGCTGGTACTGCTTACGAAGTCTCTCTGTAGCACTTGATTTCAGCTGTAGCTCGTCGTCGGCATCCAGCTTGTTGTCCCTTTGAATTTGTCGGATACTCATCTCGATGAACATCCTCTTTTTATTGAATCTTTGTGTCACCAAAAAGACAGGAACTCCACAGCTATGAACCCAGTTTTGGAAGAAAGACTCGAGCTTGTGATGTGCAACCTTTTCACAAACGTGGTGAAAATGGGCAGTCGAGAGACAATTGCCGTTCACAAGATCGCTGGACATCGCCTGCAAGAAAATCTTTGGGATCACCCGTGATAATCCAAAGGACTTGTCAGTTTTTGTCATTCGTCTGTCCAACACGAACATGATGAGAGGAGCCTTCAACTTGATGAATTTCATGTCCTGGTCAATACTGACCGGGAACCGGAACAGTTGGTTGGCAAGGGGCCGCTGTCCAACATCAACCTCACACAAAATGTCGGTTCTCAGCTTGACCTCGTATCTGTATTTGTTGACACCAAAAAGCTTTTTCAAGAATTGACCAGCCATAAAGTAGGATATACCAATAACGAGCCAAAAATCATTGAACGACTTTGGTAGCACGTTGACTCCAGAATATTGTTCCGAAAGAGCAACGGCCAATTTCTCGGTGACAGGAAACACAGGCTCAATCAGTTTCGGACCATATAAGAGTTTCGATGAGACAACAGTCATTCCAGCAAATCCACAAGTGTCGCACACCATATCATCTATAAACACCATGGTGTAGCTCGGGAACGGGAACGATCCGAATTCTTTCGAATAGAAATCAAACATTTTGTACATGGCCACTGTAGTATTCAAAACTTCTTCTTTGCGCCCAGGAAGATAGTACAGCATTGTTGGGACTTTGCTTGAGTTTGACTCCGCCGAGAAATTCACAGGGTTGTTAATATCATTTTCTGCGGAGTTTGCAAGAGCAGTCGAAGGAACCAACTCGTCAGTTCCTGGTTTAACATCCAATATCGAGCATTGCTCAAAGGCACCAACCGCGAAACCAAGATGGTGAGGTGACACTGGATTATAGAACTGGAAATTCACTATTTTCTTGCCCACGTCCAATGGAGATGCCAGCTCTTTGGAGCTGATCAAATCAGGAACAGCAACAACTATAGGAGTTTCACTGCGCTGTTCTTGCCCGGTGGATGCGTTTCCTTGGTCGTCCTCTTCCTCTTCCTCTTCCTCAACGTCAAACCGTTTTAAAGCCTTTGCTGCAGCTTCAGATCCAACTAGTTTGGTTTCGCCAATATCGCCAACTGTCTTGGGAACAATTATATTAATATCCCAGGCTGGCTTTTCGTAGAAATTGTCGATACAGGGAACCCATGAGCTTGCACTGCAGCCAAGGTTATCATTGGACGTATAACAATACCACTGGTCTTTTGGTATTGTAGTTCCGTTACCTCCATGGAACAGGAGTCCATTTTTGGAATTGCGCACCACGTAATTAATCTTCACGTTAAGTGGACTGTACACTTTATCGGAATTCATCAAGGCATTTGTATTGACTGGCGTGTGAGTTTTCACCGAATTCACATTTGGCGAGAAGTTTTGTTTGGAGGGGTCTTGTAGCTTGAGTTTTATGGAGTCTGGAACGTAGACGATCAATTCTGACGTATTTTCAGGATACGACGATGCAGAGTCGTCTTGGTTATTTTGATCAGAAAATAACGGATAGAACTTGGATCTGTACAGATGATGTTGGGAAACACCAATTGTTTCCGACTGCGTGTCGAACGTCGGATCGTATTTATAATTTTGCAAAACTGGGTTGTCGGTGTCGTTTAGATACTCATCGTTTTGAAAATAGTCTTGGTAGAAATAGCTAGCATTTTTCCCGTTGACCGTGATGGACTGGATCTGAATTCCACGACAGTCCAGTTTCACCTGTCGCACGCCTGAATTGAGCGGAAGAACCGTCAATTCTGTTTCACCATGCACCGTTTGTTCGGCCAAGTCAACATCGAGAGTCACCTTCTGATACCCTATTTTGAAGGGCTGTGAAGGAACGTCGTCGACGTCGTACTTGTGGTGTTTTCTTGGAGTCGCATGAGTCCTTGGAGTAAACCGGGAGTTCACCGAGGGATGGTCAAGCGACATGGTTTATAATACAAATAAATGATTTATTTCTAAACTCGAGCCAAAACTTCAAGCCTGGGTGGTGCAAAGGTTTATAGGAGTAAAGAAAGTTGGAGTAGCACTTTTTTCCTCAAACCAGGGCAACAAAACCTTATTTACAAATTCTGATCAGAGTTGAATCGTAAAGGGTGGGCGCACTGACTTCATCCGATCATATATCAGCTAGCAATTGGTGTACATTATATGTGGAAATATTAATATCATAAGTTCTGACACCATTTCCTTGCCTCGATAATCATGGAAGACCCAGTCAACGGAAGTGGCCACGAGCTACTTTTGAGATTGATCGACTCTCCGGAGTTTGATCTATACCTTTGCATCAATTACCTTCAAAAATATGCTGATAACATCGGAATCCACTACTACCTCTGTCAACGCGCTTCAAAGTATCCAATTTCAGAGCTGAGATTCTTTATCCCCCAGTTTCTCCAGCTGTTGATCACTGTTGAAACGGAGTCGGTCGCGTTGGAAGAGATGTTACGGGACTTGTGCACCCGCGATGTGCACTGCAGTCTGATCACATTTTGGCATTTACAAGCATTACTCCAGGAGCTCAGCAAAACTCCGGAGAGCATTGGATTTCAGACATGCAAGCGCATGCTCAATGATTTGCAGTTTCAGCTGTTCAACTTCTCCAACAATCATCAGACCGTCACATCTTCAACCACGTCTACTTCCGGTGTGGTTACCAAACACGAGGTGCACAAACTCTTTAGAGAGAACGTGGCACCTTCGATCATTCTAGCGTCATCTCTTATTTCCGGAGTTACTGTTCCTCAGAGCACAAAGTGCGTCGAGCCTATTGTGCGTATTCAAGGAAAACAGCTAAAGTCGTTGGTCTTCGAGGTGGTCAAGGACATCAAAAAGAGCTTGAACGAAAATTTGACCAAGAAGAATACCATCAATAATGCCTTTATGGGCAAATCAAAAGAAGAAGTTGATGATATCAGACTTGGCAGGGTTGGAAGTCGCTCGAAGCGTAGTCTTCCGTCGTCAGCATCCGGCGAAACACATAGAGAGGAGCTTAATTTTGAGATGATTGACTCCTATGCCGACATCAACATGCCAAGTCTGAGCAGACCGTCCATCAAACCCAAAAAGTCGTCTCTGGCTTTGCTGAAAGCCAAGAGTGACATTTATGATCAGCCAGTGTTGAATTCGAACGAACGGCTTCATGACCACGCAGTTTCCTCAATGCCTAATCTTCATGTCACGTCTTCAAATAATTCGCTCAACGAGTTTCCTTATTCCTCAGACGGATCCTACGCTTCGTCGATCAGAAACTCGTTTGACTACAGAGATAGCAGCGAAATTGAAAGTATATATGGGGAGGATACTATATCCCCAAACCAAACCCCTACATCCAGATCTTCACAGAAAACACCTCTTTCGGAATCACAGAAAGTCAAGCTCCTCAAGTCCAACTACTTCAAATATGAAACTCAGTTTGTCATTGCACTTCAAAACATATCTATCAGGTTAGCTAAGGTTCCTAAAGAAGCCCGCTTGTCGACGCTGAAAGCTGAGTTGGCCACTTTGAATAAAGATTTGCCTTGCGAAGTGGATATCCCTGGTCTTTTACCTAAGAACAAGAAAGGAAAACTCCACAAAGTGTGCAAAATTGCAGTTAATGAGGCTGCAGTGCTCAACTCAGCAGAGAGGGTTCCTTATTTATTGCTGATCGAATACTTGTCGGATGAGATCGACTTTGATCCCGAAACTCCAGACAACAAGAAGGTTTTGCACAAGCTCAAAGACGACAAGGGAGTCAACGATACGTTCAAACTTAGTGACAAAAAATACCGATTTGATCTTGCTTATCCCAACACACCTTCATCGTCATCGTCTATCAACTCTGCAGGCCGCAAGCAAAGTAGTATTCCAAAGGAAGCCTACTTGGACACACTTGCTGCCGAGGAATCTGATCTGGCCGACATTTCAGTTGTCAAGATGAGCAACAAGATAGAGAAGCACTCAAAGAAACCTCCTGGAATGGGAAGATCAAAGAGCTCAAACCCTAGATTGGAGCCTGACTCACCATCAACCGAGGTTATAGAGCAAAAGCTTAAAAGTTTAGAACTCACTTTCAAGTATCAATATGAAGCAGGAATGGACAGCGAGAGCGAGCTTGCAAACCAAATGAGGATCGCAGCTGTGATGCTTACTCAGCTAGAATCACCAACATCCACGATGCCGACTGTTCAAGCCAACGAAATCAAGGCAAGAATTATAGACTCAATGAAGGAAATGCAACATGGTTTCGGAGTGGAAGGGTTGAAGGAATTCCCCGGTGAGGCAGGTGAACGTAAGCTATCCAACGATCTGAAGGTTGCAGGTATCAGCTATTTGGGCGAGGACTGGAACACAAAGAAGGCCAGAATCAGAGCCGAATCCAAGTACGGGCATTTGGAAAACTGGGATTTGTTTTCGGTGATTGCCAAAACCGGAGATGACCTGACTCAAGAAGCGTTTGCATGCCAGCTTATTCAGGCAATGGCCAAGATTTGGTACCAAGAAAACGTGAAGGTGTGGGTGAAGAGGATGAGGATCTTGGTTACCTCATCGACGACCGGATTGGTTGAGACCATTACGAATGCTCTTTCGATCCATTCCATCAAAAAATCTTTGACCCAGTACTTGTCTTTGAAGAACGAGAATCCTCGTGGCGAGATCGCCACTCTCAAAGATCACTTCCTTCGCATGTTTGGAGATGAGTCAAGTCCCCGTTACAAGCTTGCGCAGGAGAATTTCTGCATGTCTCTTGCTGCCTACTCTGTGATCTGTTATCTGCTCCAGATCAAGGATCGTCATAATGGTAACATTATGCTTGATTCAGAAGGCCATATAGTCCACATCGACTTTGGATTTCTTCTTTCGAACTCTCCTGGTTCTGTCAGGTTTGAAGCTGCTCCTTTCAAGTTGACGATGGAGTATGTTGATCTTCTGGGAGGCGAGGACTCGGTTTATTTCCAAAAGTTTAGAAGTTTGATGAAAGATGCATTCAGGTCGCTTAGAAAACACGCCAATTCTCTCGTGAATATGGTGGAACTGATGCAAAAGGACTCACAACTACCATGTTTCAAAGCAGGAGCAAATACCAGCGTCCAAATGAAGCAGCGGTTCCAACTGCATCTCAGCGATGAGGAGCTCGACCTGTTCATCGACAACGTTCTCATCAACAAGAGTTTGGGAAGCATCTACACCAGACTTTACGACCAATATCAGCTTTTGACACAGGGAATCTATATATAGAAGTTGATAGCATATGTATAATAGCAATAGCAAAGAATTAGTAGCAAACAGTGCATTCATATATTTGATAGTGATACATTAGAGTTTCATAAAATGAAACATGCCGTTTGGATTATGAATCCTGGTTGTTCCTGTCCGCACACGAACTTGGAACTCTTCTCTTTCCAAAGATGAGCGGCTTTCTCCGTTTTGTCCAAGCCCATTGAAAAGACTTACTTTTGTTGGTTGATCGATATTCGTGCAAGAGTTGTTGAGACTTCTGGAAGTTGTCGACTCTGAAGGGAGCACCAAATAAATAAACGACTCAAGCGACCATTCGTACCAGACACGGTCTTTTGTGGTGTCTCTTTTAACAAAGACACTGAGTTCTTGATCATCCGTCAATTGCAATGGTTGTTCAATGGGCATGAAGTATGGTAGCCAGGAAACTAAATTATGAGGAGTTGGCCCCGAGCCGGTGGGGCAATTAGAGATCACAATGCCGTTGTATAGCTCGGCATGGAAGAAACCCAAAAGTCCGTGAATAGTTCCCTTCCGGTGACATTTGAGAGTTGTATGCGCTTGCCTTTTGGTGTTTTTGTTAGGTAAAGGATGCTGGAAAGTCCATAGCTTGGAATACTTGGATGAAAGTATGTCATACTGATCGCATAGAGGAACATAGCACTTATGGAATCGATCGGAGTCTGTTCCCTCCAGAAGCTTTGTATAAATGGATGGCGAGATCGCAGGGGCAGCAAAGGAGGAGTATTCTTTTGGAATAAAGATGCAATTGGAAATGTCACAGTAAGACTCAACAGCATAAAGGCATTCTGGAGACAGCTCGTTGCAACCAAAACTTCCTAGCAGCTCGCTGACCACCAGATTGAACCCGGACTGAGATGCAGTTTTTGGTTGCCAGGTTCTGATATCTGCATTAATGATGTCGACCTTGTTGTTCCAGAAGTCTTGGTTACGCTGAGAGAGATACACCATCACTGTAGGGTTCTTTTCCACTGCGGTGATTTGCACCTTGTGCAAATCAAGATTAAGGAATTTGATGGCTGCAAACAATCTTTCGATCAAAGGACCTCTTCCGGGCCCGACTATTAGGATCTTCAAGCATTCAGTGTCGGGGTCCACGGTAGAGCGAGATTCTTTCTCGACAAGAGTGAGAGCTGAGGTGTTGAACGCGGTGGCACCAAAGTTTGGTAAACTTTTAACATGTTGGAACCGAGGGATGTTGATCAGGTCCATCAGGGCGGAAATCATGGCCCGTTCGTAACACTCATACTTTGCCGTGTCTTGTTCGAAGACTTTGTATGTAGCGTTGTCTAAATTCGAAGACAATGGTTGCAACGGCGATTGGAGAGACTTTATAGAGCGCAGCTCCGAGGGGTCTAATTTTGCAGCCGCAAGGTTGGAAATTGTGAAGTCTTCGATTGGCAGCAGTTGAATGTTTGCAGAGCTCGACTTGATCAGATATCTGAGATACTCTAAAAATGCAGGATCTCCTAAATAAATTTTAGAGTTATCCACGGTGATGTATGCGTGGCTAAGACTATCATCCAGGGACGATCTTCTCAAGTTCGTGATCAGATCGCTTTCCTTGTCGACACCATGAAGAAGCAGAATTGGGCAATCAAGAACTTTTTTCTGTAGAATCTTCCAAATGATGAGTTGATTGAACTTGTTTAGCACAGGATAGTTCTTGGAGTTAGGAATAAACCGGGAGTTCGAGATCAAATAAAACCGGATCGGCTCCAACATCCATCTGTTGACCACATGCTCTGGGATATTCTGTTTGGGTGAACCCAGAGACACTGTAAGGTTGCGATGGTAGTTGCACTGAATTCTGATGGTGTTCCACATGTCCCAAGTGGACAAGGGGTCTATGATGGGAATCAGTTCTCCAGTAGTCGGATTCACCTGAGGGTCTTCGCAGATTGGAAGGGAGATCGATATCTCAATGTCCGAGAATGTATGGAAAATTGAATTTAAACTGTTTGTGAACAAGGCGAGGTGATTCAAATTTTTGGGCGGGGCAAGCAAAAGTTTCTTGACTCCGAGGAACTGAGCGTAAGCAATCTCATTGGAGATGACCTGGAATGAGAATTCGTTGATCAATGGGTCTGTAGCGCCAAGTTCTATCCAAGGAGAAAGAAGTCCGATGGTATTTAGAGTATGTGGGCCAGTAGAAATATTGACCTCATTTGATCTGGGGAAAGGAACAGCGAGTTCTCCTGGAACGGCCTCGGCATAACCATTGTCGAGTGCTGAAATGCTGTCCTTGAATGACTGGAAATACGTTTTACAATTCTCTCTGTACCTGGCATTAGTGATAGCCAGTAGCACATAGCTATAGCCGTTCTTGGCAAGGGCTTGCACTAATAAACGGTCACTTTTCACAAGAGCCGCGGTCACAGGCAACGGCTTGATTCCGATTTTGGCAGTCGTGGTGAGGTCCATGTGAAGTCGAATCTTAGAGGTTTGCCATCAACCAACAAGCAAAAAAGTAAATTTAGACAAGCAAAGATCGTTTCATAATATTATGCATAATAATGTATCCAAAAAGAGGGTGGAATTTCAGCAGGGATTTTTAGATTTTCGCGTCGTACTTTGGGAAAAAAAAGGAGGCACGGCCGGTCGACGCGCCGGCTCGCGGAGAGTTTGAGAAAAGAGTCCAGAAAAATAATCAACAAATCATCACCTTGAAGTACTTTTACTTTTTGTTGAATGTCGTTTTCACAGCCAAGACCAAGGGAGCTGACTCCCCAGGAAAAGGAAAGGATATTTGCCTTCAGAGAGAAGTACTATTATTCTCCGCGTTATTCCGATGACCATTTCGAGTATCGTCATGTTGCCTTACCAAGAGAGCTTCTGAAACTCATTCCTAGCGACTACTTTGCAGAGAACGGCACTTTTAAAATCCTTACAGAAGACGAATGGCGTGGCCAATTGGGCATCACTCAGAGTTTGGGCTGGGCCCATTACGATTGTCATGCTCCAGAACCACATATTCTCTTATTCAGAAGAGCAAAGAATTAGCTCTTTTTCTCGCCTAATTTGCATCGATACCGCGGTCGCTGACTAGCCAAAATGATACCACTCATGTACTTAATAGAGCTATGACCTATACATCAACCTGTAATTCTTTCGTACTAGCTAACGCGTTACGAATTTTTTTTCTTCAAACTAAAGAGGGATCCATGATATGTCTGATCAAACTCGTCAACTGTCTACCGTGCTAGACACGTTACTTCGTCAGCAGTCGGAGGGTGAGACGCAGGACTCCAATTCGCTCAACGCACTTCTTAGCAGCGTTTTGCCGGCGTATTCAAAGAGATCATTGACCCAAGAGGAACAGGACGTTGTTCTGAAAATATTCCAGGCAGTCCATCTATTGACTTCCAGAAGCCCCCCACTACTGTTCGATAACAATAGGTACAAATCCGTGATCCGGAGTTACAAGAACTTCTACGATGCTCGTTATCACGGATCATTATTGGCAACCATGGCGAGCAAATCCTTGAAGCAGATAATCAGCGACCAATTCAGAGGCAGGTTAGCATCGAGCATCCAACTTACCGCTTTGAGAACGGAGCTCGTAGATATATTGGTTGAGAATCTTGATTATGTTCTCGAAAGTATTACAAATTCAACTTCTTCAAAACCAATTGATCTGGATTCGATAAGCACTACCAACGACTACAAATTCTCAAAACTCAGCATCTCGACCCGAATACTTGAACTTCTTCTGGACCCATCGCTGGAAGATGCTTTACTTTTGCATTCTCAAAATCCATTGAGCATAGACACATTTATAGGCAGGCTTTGGTTCTGCATGGAGAATGTGGTTGTTAATCTCAAGTTTAACAACGAATCTCTAGGAGAAACTTCAGATATCCTATCGCAGACATCTGTTGATATGATTGTCAACAAGTTCGATATCTTGTATGCCGTGTTGCTCAACTCATCAGTCAAATTCGTTTGCAACGATCATTTCCATCAGCATACTAGACTAGATACAGTCCTTTCTAAATGCAAGGAATTGCTGGGATGGCCCTTACTTGCTAAATTTTCGGTTCTTCAGACCACATTGGCAGAATCGTTGATGAAGTTGTTCATTCTTTGCAAAGAACAAGACAACCTTTGCTACTTATGGAACAAGCTAGGCATTAGTTCAGACAAGCTTGCCGAAGAAAACTTGCCCACAACTTTGAGTCCCGACTTGTCCATAGTGTTTCATCTTTTCCTGGTTCTCAATTACAAGCTACAAGATACCCACAAGAACCAAGAAGCACCTCTTCTGTCCAAAAACCACGTCAAATCACTGGAAATAGCATTCCGCTATTTCTCTACGGAAAAGCTCGACAATATTCGAAACGATCTTCTTCTTTGCGCTTTGGAAGACGAAATGGAACCCGATGTTGACGTGTTACTTCCTTTGACGAACTCAAAAGCCATGGTCAGTTTGCTGGACCCTACCGATCGAATCTCAAAAGCTAAGAGCGTCTTGCATATCACTCATAATTCTGGTCCTCAAGTAGTCGACCTTACATCAAGTCTCTACTCCCAAAACTCGGTTTCAGACACGAATATACGCTCCTGGATAGAGCAACTGAGACAATTGATTAGAACCGGCGAATTCGATAAACTGAACAACACTTCTATCGGTAAGATCCTCATTGTGAACGCGATCGGAAATTATGCCTGTTTGGTAGCAGGCGATTTTGATTACAAGGCTCAAGTTTGTCGTAAATGCACCTATTCATCTTCGGAGTCTGTATACATACCAGACGTGGTCGACCCCAAACGTCCTGCTATCAGTTCGCGCCCCGAGATGAAACTGGCGTTTGAGATATTGATGGATTACTACATTTCTGATCCCGCATCTTTGAATAACGAGCAACTGATCGTTTCCATTTTAATATCGCTCCACCGGATTTTGTGCTCTTACAGATCGCCTCCATTGAGGAAAGTTGCAAAGCTATGGGAATTCCTCGAATCCTGTTTCATAAGTGTTGTCAGAGAAATACGTCTTTTGACAGTCAAGATATTTCCTCTTTTGCTGTTTGTGGTTGAAGACGAACAGTATGATTCTGATTTCGATATCATTCTCAGATACTTGAGTATGACTAAAGTGTCAAAGAAGACAGCTTATTTATTTGAAGGAATCATCATGTCTTGGGGTGAGTTGATCATGATCAGTCGATTGGAAGGCAAACTATACATCATGTTAAATCATCTGATTCAGTACCTGGGAGATAACGACCAGTTCAGATCCAATCTTTCATTTCACGAGCTAAGAATTGTTGCTTCCACAAAGAAGATGACGGCTTGGAAACTTGTTGAGCCTTTCATTCCACTTATAAGTTACGAGCTAATCCAGAAGCGAAACTCACATCCGAATATGCTGAGGATATTCTGCGATTGCATCAAAATGGACACGGACGTGTTCTTGAACAGAGTCATGGAATTCACGGTTCCGTTGTTCATCCAATCTTTCACGGAAGACCATATCGGTTTCATTGCATCTCAAGTTGGAAAAACAAGAACTCAATTGGTCACCGGATATATTGAGAAGATACTTGCTATTCTGCTTACCGCAGACGAGACAATCGATGCGACAAAGATCATGAAGATAGTCACTGTTTCAAATCCAAAATACAAAGGTGTAAATCTGAAAACTCTGATCAGTGAATCTCGAGTGATGGACCTGGTTTGGGAAATCTTGTGCTTGTATAATTCAGATCACATGAAGGAAAAGATTCGGAAAGCAATAATTTATAGTTGCATGGCCCGACATATCGGAAGCTTTCCTGTGCGAGATGAAGACGAGATTCTCAACAGAGAGATGGATTTGATGATTCTTGGAATTGCCCAGTCCTTCTCAGCTACAATCTATGACCATCGTGGTAGCCGACCTTATCTGGTTAAAATACAGGCTATTAGGGCTATCAGGTGTATCACGGAGATCTCTACCAGTTTCCAAACGTGCTTATCGCAGATTATGACCTGTTTGCAGATCGCGTTGGAATCTCCAGAACTCCAAATGGAAAGTTTAGAGTGCCTTCATGTTTTAGTGTCCAATCTTGGTTATTCTCCTCTTTCCATCATCGTTGATCTTCTGATCTCATACTTGATCCAAAAATATCGCTCGTTCAGCAAGAAGTCAAAAGAGATCGCAAAGAACATACTGGTGACTATCTTTGAGAAAGATCCAAAGATCATGAAGGACCACCCATCCTACGTTTACTCATTGTCTTTGATCAGCGATTTCGACAACATTACAAACAGATACGATATCAAAAATCACAATATTCTTGTTGAGTTTGACAGAAGATTCCACGCAGACAACAAGTGGGTGGTGCTTCAAGTTCTTGACGATTTCAAGTCGTTCTTGGATTCTCATCAATTGGAAATTCACAAGACTTATTTGAATGATAGTCGCCTGCTACCATTATTTTCGTCACTTTTAGCTCAAATAATGTCCGTTTCAAACAAGTTTTCCGTGACAAATACCGAAATTCCTCGCAAGTGTGCCGAGGTTCTTGCGTGCTTAGGAGCGTTGGATCTGACAAAAGTTGGATATTACTTTCATAGAGGTCACAAGAGGATAATTTTGGTCTCGAATTTGGTGAACAGCAAAGAGACTGCCGATTTTTCTGTTTACTTTTTGAACAACATACTCGTGAAAGCCTTCGTTGCCTCTACTGATCCACAGAAACAACTGTTTTTAGCATACTCCATGCAGGAGTACTTGAAAATACTGGATTTCACTCCTGAGAATATTAACGACAGAGAATCCTCGGAAAGTCTAATTTGGGCAAAGCTAACAAACTTATCCCAAACAGTGTTGAGGCCACTTTTAGTTTCGCGTTACATGAAGAACACCTACGGATACACCGCTCTGACTTATCCATGCTACAAGAATACCAAAAAACACTCTTTCTGGATACGAGAATTCACGGAGGACTTGCTCCATCGATCTGAGGATGTGCGAAAGTTACCAAAAACTGCTAAGGCTATTTTCGCAACATGTTCTATTGTGATCAAGGACCAGGATTTGTCAATTGCAGAGTTTTTGCTTCCATACGTCACTTTAATGATGATCGCTTATGGTGACGAAGGAATCAGATCAGATATTGAGGTTGAAATCAAGGCGATCTTGAACGAGGATTTTGAGTCACTTTCGAACGATTCTGTTATAGAGAGTCTCCGGTCTTGTTACAGAACCGTGTTTTCGATTATAGACTATTTCCGCGAGTGGGTGTCTGAGAGAAAAAGGGACAAAAAGTACTTACAAGGCAGTTTTCTCGAGGAGAGAAAGAAGGTTGAAGACTTTTTATCGTTGCTACCATCAGAGCTTCTTGCTAAACGCACGGCTCAATGCAATTCTTACGAGCGTGCCATTTTCAACCTTGAACAGAGTTATGCCCACGACAAGATGGATAAAGACGAGTTCTTCTCTACAATCAGACACATGTACGCTGAAATCAACGATACTGATGCTTTGCAAGGTGTGTTGAAGAAGTTTTCGACAGAAAGTCTTCACGATAAACTTCTGCAATTCCAGTATTCTGAAGACTGGAGAGTCACCCAGGAGTCTCTTGCTGCATTAACGGAGCTGGACTACAAAGAAGACAACGAGCAAAAACTTAATTCTGTCACTTCTTTGTTGAGATGTCTTGACGAACATTGCGAGTATGATCAAGTGCTCTCGAAATTGCGCGAACTGGAGTCGTCCTTACCGGAATTTGAACCTACCAAAGATTGGGTGGTTTGCGGTCTTCAGGCTTCCATTTTTAGTGGTCAACTAGAAGAATTGAAACGCTGGGTAAGAATGTCGGAGAAATATCCTTCCATCACTTCGCCAGGGTCCCAACTTTCAATTTACTACGAATTTGCTCAAGGTCTCATTACGCTGAATCTCAACGACCTAGAAACGTGCGAAAAGCACATTTCCAATGCCATCAAGTACGTCGGAACTTTCCTATCTGTTTCGAGAGAGATATCGCCATCAAAGATCTCAAACTACATGGTCATGCTTCACTGTTTGTATGACTTCAGAGCTCTGTCTTCGCTACCAAGTGCTAAGAAACTCCAATCGTGCTTAGACTTACTGCAAATTCGTGCCAGAAACTCCACCAAGGATTTCAAGATCAATTGGAAGATCCACTCGCTCAGCAAATCTATCGAAAAACTCCATCCGCTGAGCGAAGTTCGTGATCATGTGGGAGACTCGATGGTGCAAGGCTCACGGTTTTTGCGCGAAGCTGGAAAATACGATCTTGCTACCAAAAGTATTACCAACGCCTTATTTATTGGGACCTCATCGGAGTTGCAAGTGAATCTTGAATTTGCAAAATTGTTATGGGCTCAAGGAGACCATAGTCAAGCATTGAAGATTCTGAAGAGCTTGCTCGGAGCGTCCGAAGTTCGCAAATCACCCGAAATTCAGCTCACATACACTGAATGGCTGGAACAGTCTGCAAACGGAAGTTCTGACGAAATTATCAAGGGATATGAAGCAGCTGCAGCAGTTGACAGTATTAGCGGAAAGCCTCAGTACTTCTTGGGTCGTTATTACAACAAACTATTGGACGCAAGAGCTGTGGAAACGCCTGGTCTCAAAAAGCCAGAACGCGATTTTTACGGGGACCTGGAGTTTAACATCATCAAGGCCTACATTAGATCTGCCGCTTTCTCAAACGACTTTGTGTTTGAGGTTCTGCCCAAAGCAGTTACAATTTGGTTAAATTATTCTGCCAAGTACCAAAACGCATCAGACCTCACTGGCTATTCGTATGAGACCATCCACTCGAAAAGACGTGACAATTATTCAAGCATTTTAAAGTTTGTTAAGGTGGCTGCCTCCAAGAACGAGCTACCTATCTACAAATGGTACACTGTGCTTTCCCAGCTTTTGTCCAGAATGGTTCATGGAGACTCCGAAACAGAAGTGGTGATTCTGAATGTGATCACCCAACTTGCCAAAGCGTATCCGGAGGTGGTACTCTACTCTGTGTATGCTCAAGTTCAGTCCACCTCGCCAGAGAGAGCCAAGAGAGGAAAACAGATTTGTGAGACTTTGCAAAACAACAAGAAGACTCCGTTATCCAAGCAAGTGTACTCTGCTTTCCAGCTACTTGAGGCACTGAAAGGAGTTTGCCAGGCCGATATCAGTCGTCAGAAACGAACAAAGATTCATCTGTATACGGAGCTGCGGTTTTCGTACCCCGAAGATCAGGAGTGCCGAGCCTTAGCAATCCCTGTGCGAGTGAACTTCCAAAAGCTGCTAGCTACCGGTGTCAACCACAATACGCTGCGAAAGTCCAATAACTACCAAGTTGACAAGTTTATTTCGTTCAGAAACTTTGATTCCAAGGTCAGTATCCTGTCTTCTATGCAGCGTCCGCGGAGATTGTACATCACAGGCACAGACGGTCGCCGATACAGTATCTTGTGCAAGCCGCATGACGACTTGAGAAAGGACGCCAAGTTGATGGAATTCACCACTGTCATGGACAGACTGTTGAAGCTGGATTCGGAAGCAGACAAACGGAACCTGACCATCAATAACTACGCCGTTGTTCCTCTGAACGAGACGATGGGGCTGATTGAGTGGGTGGACAACGTGAAAACTATGAGAGATATCATGTTGTCGTACCTGCAACGGCAAGGAATTGTGATGGACTTTGGCAAGATCAAGCAGCTGCTGAACGAGGAGCTTTCTGTGACAGAAAAGATCCACAACTTCCAGAAACTCACCAAGATGTACCAGCCGGTGTTGCAAGTTTGGTTCCAGGACCAGTTCCCGAACCCTGTGAATTGGTACCAGTGCCGAAACGACTACACTAAAACGTGTGCTGTGATGTCGATTGTTGGGTATTTGGTTGGAATGGGTGATCGTCACGGAGACAACATCATGTTGAGCGAGCTGTCCGGACAGATTCTCCATGTTGACTTTGACTGTCTCTTCGACAAAGGTAAGAAACTTGCTGTTCCAGAGCGTGTTCCGTTCAGATTGACCCAGAACATGACTGCGGCCATGGGGGTGACGGGATACGAGGGAACGTTCAGAAAGACCTGCGAGGTGACCATGAAGATTATACGGCAGAACGAGAACAGTCTGATGAACGTTCTGGAAACGTTTCTTTACGATCCGATCATGGACTGGAAGGTGAAGCAGAAGAAACGCCGTTCTACAGAGGAAGCTGACTCGAAAGGTTTGCAACCACAAGTGGCAATGGATACCATCAGACGGAAGATCAAGGGAATTTTGGATCCAAAGGATCTAGATACGGGAGCCAAAGACAGCGGCGGACTGCCTGTCTCTGTTGTGGCCCATGTGGATGCGGTGATCCAACAAGCTACCGCAGTGGAAAACCTGGCACAAATGTACATCGGCTGGATGCCGTTCTTATGATCGTACGATACTAATATATTTGGTACTTAATCACTAAACTCTTCTTCGGAAATGTCTTCGCTTCCGGCGATGCTTTCGTCATCATCGTCCTCGAAACCGCTCTCATCGTCGCCCTCATCCTCTTCGCTGTAGTCTTGCTCCGAGTCCACGTCCTCGTCCTCTGGGTTGTCGTCCGAAGGATTGAAGTCGGACTCCTGCTCGTCCTCCTCGCTGTCTCCATCAGAGTCGCCGCTACCGGTCAGGAAGGTCCAGCCCCCGTCCACAAAGAACTGGTATGGATCAGCCTGGATGGTCTTCATGATGGTGGTCCAGTTCAGATTCACCGTACCTTCACTGTACGGAATATCCACGTCTGTCAGCCATGCCTTCACGTCTTCCAGCAATTCCATAGGAATGGTGGATATGTGCACAACAGGCTTGCTAAAGTCCTTGAACACAAACACAAGATCGAAGTTCTTGAGACCAAACTGGACTCTTTCCAAGTGCGCGACCTCGATCTCCTCCAAAGTGATCACCAAGAATGGCAGATCAATCAGCTGCACCAGACAGTCTCTCGTTGGAAGACAAACCACAGCAGACCGCGAAGGAACACCTTGGAACCCAAGCTCTCTGAATGGAACATCAAGATCCACAAGCCCGTTAGAAGCATCTGCAATCTGCTCGCCAAAACTCTTGAACTCCTTGTCAAGAGCAGCTTTTCTTCTTCTCTCCTCCTGTTCCTGCTCCAACTCGTCCTCATCGCCATACCTGTACTTTCTCTTTCTGTTTCCGGTCTCGTCAACGGTGATATCAGAAGCCTCTCTGAAAAATTGAACATCGTAGGTCTTCTTCTTACCAATCATGATTGGCGTCTTCAAGTGGCAGTGAATGATCACAATCAACTCTCCCTTACAAGACTGAAAGAACAGATGCTTGATGTTGGAAAACAAAATGTCCACTCTCTGGTCGCTTCTACCCAAAGACTGGTATCTGATACCATTTTGGTGAATAGCAACGCTTCCCGAAAGTCTCTTGGTTTCTGGGGTTGGTCTCACAAAAACATTATCCATTCTCTTTGGACGGTTCACTTCCACCAGCGAAGCCTGTGTGACAACATCTGCTTGTTCTCTCTTCTCTGCCTCTCTCTTGACGGCCTCCTTTTTCATCTCGGTGATCTTCTTCAGCACCTCGGTCATTCTTTCTCCGTCCTTCGAACGGAACGTCAAACTTCTGATGAATTGCTTGTCGTCACCAAGCTCGTAAGGAAGTTCCTCCTTCTTGGTCACGGCGATACCTGGAGAGTTGAAGTTCAGCTTCAAGTGGGTGTATTCTCCTTCATCACTCTTCAGCCCGTTCTTGAAAGCGTTGATGTGGAATGGAACAGGTCTTCCACAAATCGGAAGGATAATGGTCTGGTTCTTGGAATCAATGTGTATCTTGAGATCTCTCACATTGCTAGGGATCTGCGACTCGCGAACATAAGACTCGTATCTCTTGAAAACGGCACGCTTGTCAGAACCGTCTTGCGCGTCCTCCGGGTTGAATCTGTCGAGACCTTCCTTTTGTCTTTTGGCATGGAGTTCCTTTTGAATTTCCTGTTGGATCTGAGTCTGGTCTTCGTCGGATGTCTTCTGCTCCGATCTCATCTTGGCCTTGAGAACACGGGTATTGACTCCTCCGTTGCTCACCTTCAAGTCGGCCTTGTCAGGCTTCTCAGCCTTCACCTTGATATCGTCCAACTCTTTCTTGACTTGAGTAGCTTCGTCATCGTCGAAGTAGAACGCAATGTCCTTTCTCACCTTTGGAGAATCTGTCAGCACAATCAAGTCTCCACCAGTGACACGGACGGTGTCTGCCAACATCAAGGCGTAGTTACCGAGTTTCGGGTCGGAAAGACCACTGAATCCAAGCACTAAATTGTAAACCGAGTTCTCAGAAACAACTCTCTCGTTCCTGGCGTTGAGAACTCCAGAAGAGTCTCTGAAATCAATTCCAATCAAGGAACCCATGTTCTTCATAAACTTGTCGGCCAAATCCGGTCTTTCAGCTTCGATGAAGCTCAAAGTCTTGCTGTAAACGTCTTTGGCAACAGCGCCGTCTTTCATCAGAGAGAATGCCTTGGCTTGCACTTTCAACAGGAAATCGTAGTTGGCTTCCATTTCCTTGGAAGGACCAATTAAGAACGTTCTTGTGACATTGGAGCAGTAACTTTTGTATCTGAGACCCAAAGAGGCCAGGATCACGGAACCACCAAGATTGTCATCGGTCGACTCAACAGAGAACTTGAGTTCGTACTTACCGTTACTTTGAACGATAGGCTTGTAACACCAGTCGAGGTTATTGAGATCGAAATCCGAGCCGAGCTTCTTCATTCCTTTTTCGGTTTCCATGCTCTTGAAGAACTTGCCGTCATCGATCTTGTTCTCTATCTGATCCACCAACTTGGCGTTGGAAACAGTCAGCTCCTCATCGATGATTTTGCTCATTTTGTCGGTGAAGTAGCTCATCATATTTGTAGAGGCTCTGGCAGCTGTTCTTAACGATCTTTGTTCGTCTTCATCCTTGTGTTCCAACGTGGCAGAGACACCAGTTGCACAGTCCACCAGGTCGAATTCTGATTTGGATGCATCCCAAACGGCGTTCCATTCGTCAATGAACTTACCGGCATACTTGTCTTTGGATAAGATACCCAGTTTTTTGCCACTTTCTTTCAGTTCTTGGATGAATTGCTCAAACAGCTTTTTATTATGCTCTGTATCCTTGGTTCTTGCGAGAATCGAAAGGTTGGTATTCGAGCTTTTGAGAGGTTCCAAGTATTTGGCTTTACCGACAGAGGTTAGAACAATCACTTTCTTACTGGTGATGTAGAGCAAAGTGGCGGGGAATTCGTATCCCAACAACCAAGTGTGAAGAATCGTGGACTTGTGGTACGGATTCGATTCATCGCTGGATCCAACAGCCACAAGTAAACCAGCAACGGAATTGAAGTGGGGCGAGCTGGCAATGTTCTTCTGCAAAAGATGGAGTCTCTTGCGGAACACCGCTTGATCGATTTGAACTTCCGACATGGGTAAGTGAACAAGAAGTGGTGGAAATTTAACCTACGCGTTTTTTTCTTTCATCGCGAGTGACAGGACGGCGACGCGACGTTGGCGATGGTGGGTGGGCAAAAATTTTCCCGGGTAACTTTTTCTCAAGTCTCGTGCCAGGCTGCCGTCCCCTTTGTCGTACAGCGGTGAAAACAATTGAAACGTTTGAAAACAAAAATAAATCAGAGACTTGGTAAAGTTCCATTTAGAAAATAGCTCTTGACCATCATGACTGATACCGCGGAAGACTACTCGTACGACTACGAGTACCTATTTAAGAGTAAGTATTGGACAGGCGCCGATCAATGCTAACAAGACTAGTTGTTCTTATTGGTGATTCCTCAGTCGGAAAGACCAACTTGCTGTCGAGATTCACAAGAGACGAATTTAACCCGGACTCCAGAGCCACGATTGGTGTTGAGTTTGCCACCAGAACAGTTGAGATCGACGGCAAAAGAGTGAAGGCTCAGATTTGGGACACTGCGGGTCAGGAAAGATACAGAGCAATCACCGCTGCGTATTATAGAGGAGCAGTGGGCGCGCTTGTTGTTTACGACATATCGAGCTCCAACTCGTACGAGTCTGTCTCGAGATGGCTCAGAGAAATGAAGGAACATGCAGACGCAAACATAGTGATAGCTCTTGTTGGTAACAAATCCGATTTGGACCACTTGAGAGCCGTGCCTACAGAGGAGGCCAAAGACTTTGCTGCAGAGAACAACTTGCTCTTCACGGAGGCATCGGCGCTTAACTCGGAAAACGTGGAACTCACTTTCCATCAACTTATTAAAAACATTTACGAAATGGTTTCGAAAAGAAGATTCGATGTTGATGGTTTGGACTCCTCTGCTAACAAGAACCTTGGAGGCCAGACCATTACGCTTACACCTGCTCCAAAGGACCAGAAGATATCCAAAAACTCCGGCTGCTGCTAAGACTGACATACTCGATTCTAATATTATGTATATTGACTCGTTAATACCATCCATTTTTGTTCATTGAGCTTTAGGTGCAGGCTCGTTGAAGTCACCATCGTCTTCTCCATCGTCTTCGTTCAAAGCAGGGTTCTCTTTACTCAGTTCTTCGCTCACTTTACTGTAATCAACAACCTTGCCACGAGTTCTTCTACCAGTGGTGATGATGTTTGCGGTGTCAATTTCCAACAAATCGTCTTCCTCCTCCTCCTCAACCACCAAATTGTCATCATCAACACCTTCCTCTTCCTCTTCGTCAGAGTCCTTGTCTTCAGGAGGCGGGGCGTCGTCGTATTTCCGTCTAGCGTGCTTTCTCTTCTTCTTCTTCTCCTGGTCGCCGTCCTCAATTTTCCGTTTTCCGGCCTCCTCAGACTTGGTCTCTGCCTCTGGAGCCTCCTCCTTCTTGGCTTCAACTTCAACTTCTGGCTTCACTTCAGATTTCTCAGCCTCTGGCTTCACCTCTTTAACTTCCTCAGACATGGTTATACGCGTTGTGGAAAAGTTCCACTTCACCTAAAACGTCCAGTCAGCAATGACATAAGCAACCATGACGGTGGCCAAGGCTTTTTTTACGTTCTGTCTCGGCCTCGCGCAGAAAATCCGAGGCCGAGGTCTTCCCAACTGTACCGCGCCTCAGTCAGATGGCGCGGAAAAAAAACCTATGTGGCTAGATTTTTCTATCTACCTGCGGAGAAATTTTCCATATATCAAGGGGCAAAAGCACGCTGAGGCATTTATTGGTGTGAACAAATCATCTCAACAACACAAGCCGACACTATTTATATCTCAGAGGCGATACATGGCTATTTAACCCAACATTCGCTTCTCAAATACACATAAAATATCAATCATGCTAGCCTACAGAAGGAGTCCGAGAGTGGTTGCCCGCTTGAACCAGGTCCGGCTGTCTTCGTCCAAGAACCAGGACCCCAAGCTTTCCGGCCAAGGTTCCTACGGTTCGATGAGCGAAATTGATCCGGTGCTGCTGGACAAGCTTTTCAAGAAGAACAAACCCCAACGATCGGTCTTACCCACACAAGGGTCTTTCCTCTTACGTCAGAGAATGGCCAATATACAACAGGAGGACAAGTTTCAAGTTCTAGACGAGAGCTTGCTCAAGTTGCAAGAAACCCCAATCAATTTCAATTACTATTTAAGAAACTTAAAGGACCTCAAGAACGCCAACCAGTTGCCCTACAAATTCGGTGCCAACCAACAAGTTTCAACAGACTCTGGAGTCAACGACATGTTGCGAAAAATCGTGTGGGAATTCGATGCTCCCATCCGGTATGCGTTTGGATATGGCTCCAAAGTGTTTGATCAGGGTGCCACCAAAGGATCCAATTCTCAGGTGGACATGATCTTTGCCGTGTCATACCCGGATCATTGGCATTCCCTCAACATTTCGCAAAATCCTGACCACTACTCGAGTGTCAGACACCTTGGCTCAAGCGTTGTTTCCCAGATAGGAGAACTAGGTGCCGGTGTCTACTTCAACCCATTCGTGAAGCTGAATTTCAAGAGAAGTCAAATGGATCCCAATTTCGAGCTGAAATATGGTGTCACTTCCATGAAGTCGCTGGTCAGTGACTTGATGAATTGGGATACGATGTATCTGAGTGGCCGGTTGCACAAGCCAGTCGCGGTGGTTAGAAACGCACCCAAAATCTCTTTGCTTAACCAGTACAACTTGACCAACGCCATCAAACTTGCTCTGCTGCTGGTCAACAAAAGTGATATCTCGGAGTACGAACTCTACCATCAGATTGCAGAATTGAGTTATCTGGGAGACCCAAGATTGAAAGTGAAGGGAGAGGATATCCATAAAGTCGACAAGATTGTGGATAACCAGTTCGACCAATTTAGAAGAATGTATCTTCCGCTTCTGAAGAACTACTTCCCAAAAAGCGTTCAGCAGGTGACCTTGGAAGACAACGCTGAACACAGATTCAAGATCAACTTGGATGGACAAACAACAGCCGAGTTCATAGCAGACTTACCAGACTCGTTCAGAAGACGACTGTTGCTGAAGTTCGGCAACAAGTACGAGTCCAGCTTGAGTGACGATTTGTTTGCAAAAAGAATCCTTATGCCAGGAAAGCCATTGGGAGATTTAAGTCCAGCAAAGTCGTCCTCTGAACTGTCGTTCATGGACCTGCAAAACATGAGCGAAACAGCCAAACTCACAGAAATCCCAGTGGAAGACTGGAACTATCTTCCAAACGCTTTCAAAGTCCAGCAGTCGCCGTTCATCAGAGAGATTGCCAAGGACGAATTACTCGTAGGAGCCCTCAAAGACACAGTGAAAGAAACAGTTTCAAGACCAGCCCTTGTTCAAAGCCTTAAGGGAGCTTTGACTGCTGGCGTTTTCAGATCGTGGAAATACGCCTTGGAGAAGAGAAACAAGTTCAACAAGAGTATCAATAACGAATCATAGGTTATGACAATATTATGTACATTCAAATATTACAGAAGCTTACACAAATACCGCGCGCTCTTATACAATTTTTATAACACAACTGGATCTCTCACTGTAAGAAACAGAAACCTGAGAGCTGGAAGAGTTCCAGTGAATAGCAGAAGCAAAATTCGAGGAGTTGGTTTCTCCTGGTTGGAAGAATCCAAGCTGTTTGAATTGTCCGTCTGCCAATATCGACCATATCATTATGTTTCCATCGGAATCTCCTGTAGCCACCTTGGTGTAGTCTGGCGACAAAGCGGCCACCAAGATTGGCAGCCCGTTGTCAACCAGTTTGGAGTCCAATGTCTTGTTTTTGTAAATATCCCACAGTTTGAGCGATCCGTCCAGCGAACATGTCAGCACATACCAATTACCTCCAAGCTTGCACCAGTCAAGGTAGGTCAGCGGCTGAGAATGTCCTGACAAGACTTGCAAAGAATTGATCGAGTTTCCTCTCCAGATCCTCACTGTTTGGTCATCTGAAGCAGAGCATAAAAGGCGGAGCTCTTTATTGTACTTAATACTGGAAACGGTGTCGGAGTGTCCAGCGAGAACACCAATTGGCTGGCTGTCTCCCAGCTGATAGACGTTCAAAGCGTAGTTTGAGCCCGGAAGCACAAAGATGGAGTCGTCTATCCAACAAGAGTCGGTCCCTAGACATTTATCGTTTGTCTCTGCCAAATTGTCAATGTACTGGACGGATTGACCGGTTTGCGAGTCCCATACCACAGCTTTGTTGGTGATATCAAGACTTAATAGATAGGAAGCGTTTGGAGACCATTGGATGGCAAGAACGGGTGACGAGTGCATGGCCATGATGAACCTTATGGAGCCGTCTGAGTCCCACAACCTCAATTCACCGTTTTCGGAAGCTGTTAAAAGAAGGTTACCCTTTGGACTCCATGACAGAGAAACCACTTCTTTGCTATTGGCCGGATGAGGCAGCACGTTCGATTGCAACTTGGCCGATCCGTTTTCCCAGGTCAGCGAGCAGATAGCGGAGGTCGAGTCTCGCTGTCCCCAGGCGAAAGAGTCCGAATTCTTTGGATTCCAGCTGTTTGCGAGACTGGATGGGAAAGTAAAGCTCTCTTTGAGAACTGGGGTGAACTCTTGCTCTTCTTCCACAGTTCCATTCTCCTGACCGGTCAGAGCCTTTTGCTGAGGCTGCGGAGCGACAACAGAAGAGCTCCCTATCTTTCTTTCTTCAACACCGGCTGCAGGCTGAGATATCGAGTTAAACAGGTTGAAATTCATGTTTATTATGTCCTCGGAGGCTATAACACCTCCCTTTTGCACCATATCGTTGACTTTGTAGTAAAGAATGCCCTTTTGGACCAGGTCTACCAAGCACCCAAGTGGTATCTTGTCTGTGTATCTTTCCTCATATTCGTGCACCTTTGTTTCGTCTTGTAAGGCAAACGCACTAACTTCGAGTCCTCCTTCTTGAAGATATCTCCAGATGAGATAATTCAATTCTGTCGTAGAAAGAGACATCGCTCGCTTAATAGTGGTAGTCCTAGCAACGACAACAAAATACCCACCAATTTTTTTTTCCAGCTTGAATTATAATTACGTATTCTGACACCAAAATTCATGTGTCAGTTAAACTTTGTAGAAATCTGAGGTAGAGCAGCCTGTTTATTCATGACGCTGGTTAATACAGACTCCAACATGATGGAGACGAAACTGGCGACATTCAAAAATGCCAAATTTTACAAGATTCCTCCGCCAGAGGTTATTCCCGATACCATGTTCGCTATAGGAGAAAATCCTGCTAAGGGGTATAAGGAGATACAGATAATACGATACCAGTTCAAGCCTGAGAACTGGCGTTTAAAAAGGTCCAATTATCTTTTCAGAGGATCTATTGAGCTTCACGAGTTGCAAAGTTTCGACGCCTTGGACTCGTCCAAGAGTTTATCAGCAGAACTAAAATGTCGCCTGACTATTAATGCTCCAGGAGTTGAAAATTGGGGGAAGGCATATTATGAAAAGCTTTACCACGAGGGACTGTTGGTGACAAACTATAAACAGCACAGTCCATTTATGACAATTCAGAAGATCATTCACCAGCATTATGTGCTAATTTTAACAGAAGGTGATAAAAGGATAGCTGTTGGGATGATTCTTCAGGATTTCTTTGACGACTTACGACTCACTTCTAACCTGAAAGACTTTGAGGAAAGATTCAGGAAACTTCTTGCTTTTAAGGACAACTTTGTGAGCGACTCCCCTACTACAGCAAAAGAAGACCCCTCAAAAGGGTCGCCCAACAGGTTTAATATTGATGATGACGACGAGTTTGGGGATTTTGTAGCCGGATAGCACGAACTAATGAATCATACTAATATCTATTTACATCGTAATTACATATCTCTCTTCCAAGTGACCTCCTGTTTGAGTTTGATCAACTTAGCGATCTTCGTTCTTTCGTCCCATCTCTTGAGAGCCTTGTTGACCTTATGTTGATACTTGGCCACGGTCTCTGGGTTTGGAGAGCTGCAAATGTTGATAAAATGGTCCGAAACACCAAACTTATGTCTGATCTCCCGTCTTGGAATGCCTTTGTTTCTCATCTCCTGGATTTGCTCGATTTGCTCGGGACTTAGTCCATAGTTCTTTGGTGTTCTAGCTTTCGAGATTATAGGCATGTTCTTCACATGGGCGCCCACACGAACACTTTCCTCTGGATAATAGACAACCGAGTTCTTTCTAGGATCGGAGTCGGGCAAAAACGCCTTGGGGGTGATTTCTGGATCCAGAGCGGACGGTGCAGGGTGATAGAAAATCCCGTCAGGAAGCTGGGGCTTCATGTTGAAAGCGGAAGACTTCGCATTATATTTGTTTGGAACATGTGTTAACTTCTGTGGAATCGACGTCGAGTTAAACCTCACCTGAACCAGAGGCGAGACCCGCATCAAGGCCTTTGTGGAAAGCATGTTGAATTTTTCAAGTTTTCCAGTTTGAATTTTTTAGTGGTTTGGAGACTCAAACTTTTCTGGTGTACGGGTGTAACAGTTTGCTTCCCAGGTGGCCAAGTTTACGTAAACCTCCCAGACACCGTGTGTAAATCGAGCCATCTTATTGGCCTTGTGCGCAGGTGAAAAAAAAAAGTGTGCAGGGTGATTTCTTTTAGACAAACAAACACCGCTGTTCTTCTTCATGTATATCAGAGCAGCCAATAGAGTACGCATATCGCGCTCGATTTTCTCCACAACATTCGTGGTTGCATTCACATTGGTCGCCGCCAACAGCGTTGTGCCGTGTCCCGTTGACAGAGGCGTGATTAGTGAGAGTGAAGTTCCCGGTGAACTGAGAGAGGAGATGATGAGAAGACAAAGACAAGCTGGTAAATGACTCAGGTACTGTTCACAAGACGTACAAAAGTCACAGCGCACGAACAATACACAGATTTTCAACACTATGGATCCGACAAGCTTGTATATAAGCTGGAACCACGCATCCAGGGATTGGTTGCAGAACTACACATTGATACAATTAGCGATGGGTATTGAAAAAGGAGCAATATGAGCTACTTGCCACCGCTTGAACCTGTTCATAGTTACATGGTTGCAACCAATGTCGGAACTTCTGACAAAATGGTAGATGAGGGTCTACCGTTCGGAGCATTAGTACATAACTTCGGTCCTACGATCGCGCAGTTGTGCGCTGGAGCATCCCATAAATAAGGATTGTATAATACGAACCGATGATAAACATTCATGGACATCTGATTGGTTGTATCTTTCTCGGTGTTTGGCCACACGTTGTAGGTGTAAAGTTTTTTTCTTGTGCACGCAGAATTAATCTGAATTTTAAACCATGAGTGAGGAAGAGGGCCATCCGGAATACTCTCCTGAGAGTCCACCGCCTGTTACGAGGGCTTCTCCGGGACCAGATGTTAGTGGTGGAGAATCGGAAGCTTCTGAGAACTCTGTTTCCGCCCAAGTAGATGTCTCTGAGCCCACGGCTTCTACTGATGCTGAGCCCAAGGCAAGCGAAGACGAGACTGCCAAGCCCGAGAAACCTTCCAACTCGGACGATGACGAATATGACCCGGAAGCCGTTTATGATGGCGAAGAGGAGTTTTTAAAGACATTTGCCGACCAAGCTGCCGAAGAGCCAAAACAGTCGGAGACGGAGGAAAAGGAGGCCAAGGAGGAGGCAAATGTTACTAACACAGACGCAGAGGGCTCGCCTGAAGCTAAGTCTGAGGAACGCGAAATTGCTGGAGATTCTGAAGAGCAACACGAGTCTCAAGAGTCTGATGAGCCTGAAAAGTCAGCAGATCTCGATCCCCAACCAGAGACTTCGTCTTTACCAACCTCCGCCGATGGCATCGATGTTGACGTTCCACTTTTCAACGATGTGATTAAGTACTTCTTGCAGAGCCCTTTGTTCAGCGATCCGAACTTTCAAAACCTACCTCCTCGCGAGAAGGAACAGATGGTGATATCCGGTTACAACCAAGCCAACGGCACAAACGTCCAGGTCAGATTGAATTTCGCAGCTACAACGTCATACAACAAGCCGCAGCTACGTCCGGGAGAAACTTTCCAGGTGCTTGTTCCTATTAATCCGTTCTGTTTGAGACCAGACATCAGCCAGCCTATGTCTTTTAAAGAGAGAAATGCCTACGAACAGTATCTCCGAGACGAAGACTCCGCACTGAGTAGTGGCAAGTGGGACAACTTCCCGATCGGTTCGCGACTGTTCATAGGAAACTTGGCCGTGAACACTCTGACCAAAGAGGACGTTTACCGAATCTTCCATCCTTACGGTGAAATAAAGCAGGTGAACATTAAACAGGGATACGGATTTGTGCAGTACTCCAAAGCTGAAGAGTGTTCAAAGGCAATTGAAGGCGAAAAGAATGTGCCCTTGCACAACCGTTTTATGCACTTGCAAGTCTCAAAGCATCAGATCCAGAGAGCCATGGAACAACAGGGCAAGAACTCCTTACCCTCGAAGAACTCCCGTGGAAGATCCAGATCTCCTGAAGGACGTAATAAGCCTACGAGATCGCGGTCTCCTATCAACGAAACAGAAGTCAAAGTCATCACCTCGCTTGATTCTACGCCTGAATTTAATAACAAGCTCCTGAAGAGACTCAAACAGGATGGACTGAGTCTGGAGACCGAGCACTTTGATCTTCCTGGATCCGACGTTCCACAAGAAGCTATAACGTCTGCAGCCTACAATGGAATCCTTGCGGTGGTCATTACTCGTCGTGACAAGCTCGATGTCATGATCTATGAGAAAACATCAGATGGTGGCATCAGATTCGACGAGTACACTGAAATCTCCATTGGCGAGGCGGTTGAGTTAATACTTGCTGCCAAAGGCAAGCGTTTCGCCTCTGGCTCCCGTGAGGTCCAGTCAAGAGGCCGCTCAAGACAGAACAATAATCAAAATAGACAGACCAAGAACGGCAACCAAGCATTATATGGTTCCAGAGGTGGTCGACAACAGCACCAACAGGGATCTGGAAGTGGAAAGCACAACAACTCCAGATACAACAATTCTCCAAGCCCTTACCCCACTGCATATGCAACAGGAAGCAATGCACAACCATTCATCCCACGCCCAGGGTATCCGTCTGTCACTCCTCCTCCGCCTGTGCAGTACGGAATGCCTCCAAATGTGGGATTTGCTCCATCGTACCCTGGATTTCAGCAGCAAATGTATCCTAACGTGAGTGTACCTCAAGCCTCGCTACCCCAGGTGCCTCCGAACCAAAACCAGTTGTTGCAGACGATGCAATCGATGGACCCTTCAACCCTTCAGAACGTCTTGTCTTTGATGCAGCAGATGCAACAACCAACTGGGTCTGCTCCACAGCAACCTCCAATGCAACAAGGAAACGCTCTGTCTGGTCTTCTTGGCCAGTTGCAGAACTCCGCTCCAGGAAACTCTCCACCTGCACCATCTTATTCCGGCGCGAGTAATCAATTTTCCCAACCTAGTAATTCCAACAGCGCCGGCAGCTCCAACTCCAATAATCAAGACCAAACCAACGACTTGTTTGAAACCCTGGCCAGACTTAAGAATAATATGTGACGCCTTGACATGCTGCATAACTCTCTAATTAGTATATTCTACACTGTAGCGTTACAATCGATTTGGCACTTGATAATCTACACGGGCTTTAGTAGCTGCAACCAAGTCTGAGACAGTCACTATGAACTTTTTTCCTTTCGACGCGTCGCCGACGCCACCTTTTCGAGATTTGATATTTTGATTCAATTTATATTTTTGTAGAACGCTTTGTTTACACACGCAACGCTTGACAACGAGTTCATGTTCTGAGCAATAGCGAAACTTGAACGTACATATTTAACATTGACCAATCACATTTTACAGAGTCCCTTAAACATTTGCTATCACACTTCATTACTCACCTAAATTGTACAAGTCTGGGGGGATCATGAACGTCTCAGATCAAACACTTCGACAACTACGAGCTACCATAAGGTATTCGCTGGATTATGATTTGCTTTCAACAGCGGAGTTTACTTCAGAACGATTAATAGCCCAGGATCCAACAGATCTTGATAGTATACACCTATATGCGCTGGTGATGTACAAACTCAGACGCTACAAAACAGCTTACAACTTGACTTCTCCCCACAGCGCACAACATGTTGGCTGTTCGTACATTTTCGCCAAAGCATGCTTGGAACTCAAGTGTGAGCCGGATGGAATCTCCGCTCTGACCAGAACCTTGCCGATGTGGTCTCAACTAGCTCGATCTGAGGACCAGGATTCCAGATACGTGCCCGACAGTGTCGCTTGCTACATTTTACTAGCGAAGTTATACGAGTCTGTGGGTGATGTTCGTCGAAGTGCGCTGAACTATTCGCAGGTCTTGAACTTTGATCCATTTATTTTCGAAGCGTTTGAAGAACTGTGCAAAATGGGAGTGAAGGTGAAGGTGAACTCCATTTACAAAACCAACCCGATAGCCGAGATTTCAGGCTCTCTTTTTAACGCGCGTGACTCTTCTTTTGACGAAAAGAAGTCGGGATTTGGATTCTCCAATCCAAGAAACGACACAAAGCCATTTTTCAAAACGCCAGGACATTCGGGACCTAATTCAAGCAACAGCGACTTTGTCGCGCAGACCCCAGAACCTCAGCAAGTTAATAACTCACTGGCAACTCCACGGGTTAAGCAACTTCAGATGCCAGAGGCACCGATCAGAAAGTCTGCAAAGAGCTCAAACTTTGAAGGTTTCAAACACCCCAGCGTGCCACCAGATTCGATTCGCCGAAAATCCGCCAGAAACTCCAGTTCGATCACATCTAGACTCCTTGGACATCCTCTAAACACATTAACTGACACCAACTACACATCCGGCAACACGAGTGCATCTGCATCGGCCTCATATAACCATGGCTCTAAACGCGATGGAACAGGCATCAAACGGGTGATAGGGTCTACGTTTGCAACATCTGGAGCACCTAAGAACGACACACGGCTTGATGTGTCGCAGAAGAATCAGGACAGCCAGCTCGTATCTGTCTATTCGAAGCTGGCTAAAGGGTATAAAGCCATGTGTTTTTACGATTGTTTCAAAGCCATCAGAATCTTTGACTCTCTTCCAGAAAACGAATTGAACACTCCATGGGTGCTGGGAAAGCTTGGAAGGCTACACTTTGAGATTGTCAACTATGAAGAAGCCGAGAATTACTTTATTAGGCTTCGGCAGCTGGATAGAACAAGATTGAAAGAAATGGAGTACTACTCAACGTTACTATGGCATCTTCACAAAGAACTGGAATTGAGTTTCTTGTCGCACGAACTACATGGAATTTCTAAGGACTCGTCTGAAGCATGGATCGCAGTTGGAAACCTGTTTTCGTTGAAGCGGGAGCCAGATGAAGCAATCAAATGTTTCCAGAAGGCTAACCAGGTGGACAAGAATTTCGCCTACTCTTACACTTTGCAAGGACACGAGTATTTATCCAACGACGCTTTTGAGAACGCTCTAGAATGTTTCAGGCATGCAATTCTTCTGGACAAGAGACATTACAATGCATTTTATGGAATAGGAATGGTGTATTTGAAGCTGGGGGATTTCCGCAAAGCAGAGTTCCATTTCCGCAAAGCTGTGGAAATCAATCCTGTGAACGTTATTTTGATCTGCTGTGTGGGAATGGTGCTTGAGAAGTTGGGCAAGAGAGAGCAGGCGCTGCGCCAATACATATTTGCTTCGAGATTACAGCCTCTGTCAATGCTGGCATTGTTCAAGAAGGCACAGTCGTTAATATCGTTGAAGCGGTATGATTTGGCTTTGAAAGATTTTGAAAAGCTGGAGAACCTGGCTCCTGACGAGGCGTCTGTTCACTTCCTATTGGGAAAACTGTACAGAATTTACGGCCGCAAAAACGATGCCATCAAGCAGTTCACCATTGCACTGAACCTTGATCCAAAAGGTTCTCACTTGATCAAAGAAGCACTCGAAAGTCTGGAAGACGAAGAGGACGTGGACACAGAGCCACAAGACTCTTAAACTTGAAAGTCTGTATAATTTAACACGAATTACTTAATGTTTGTACAGAGGCATCAATGGGTGGCTCCCAAGAATAATGTAGCTGACAAACAGATAATCATCACAACAAAGCCCCATATTGCGAGAGCCAGCCCGGAGTATTTTAGCACAAGGTCTTTGGTGGAGAGTGAAACGTTGCCGCTGCCAATCAGCTTGTATGCGAAAAATCCCGGCAATATGAACGAGATCGATGTGGAACCTGTGGAACCAACTATAGCCAACACATGGGCAAGCGACTTGACCGTGATAGCCACCAAATACGATAGAATCACAATGATTGTGGTGATGATCAGGAGTTTTTTGTTGGTGAGCTCGACGTAATGCTCATTTTCCTCTTCTTCCATCACGATTGAGTCGTCAATCAGGACACTGCCGTTTGGGGTAGGTGACTGGGCAACCAAGTTGCGGCGCTCTTCGGTCGTGATTGCGGAAGACGTGGTGGACGATCTTGAGTACGATCTGATGGATTTGGCGAGATCAGAGTCGTTGATGTAGTAGGCCACATGGTTGATCGAGGCTCTTGCAGGATTAGACTGCAATGGGTAGCTCAATGCGACCAAGATGACGATTGCGATTCTGCCAATGGTGGAAGAGACAGAGTTTGGATACATGGTGATAATGTTGCCGACAACGTTGTCTCCAAAAGTGAGGTAGCCCGATAACCCAACCACAAGATAGAGAATGCACGCGGACCCGATTGATATGAAGTTCATTTCTCCGATATTTGCCAGAGACCGATCCTTGAGCTCGTTGATGATTCCCAGCTGGTTTTGGTGGCAGGTGAAACCAAACACCAGAATGGGGAACGACGACAGCAGCGAGATGATCGAATCTGGTTGGAAGTAGTGGATCGGTCCTCTCACGATGTCTTCCTTGCCGCCGGTCCAGATGTGAGCGAAATGTACCACAACCAAGATCACCAGGTACCCCACCGAGGAGAGAGCAACCAAAGACGCGGTTTTCAGCGAGTCAAGCTTGCGCTTGTACACGAGCGGCAGGATGGCAACCACAAACAGGGTGATCCACATCGTTCTGCTGGACAGAAGCGGGTAATGTTCCAGGTTTTCGTTGGAAACGATGGAGCTCATAATTTGGGGCATGAGGTCTCCAATGACAATTAAATAGGAACAGCCAACCCCGAAACATTTGACGGCAATGGCGAGATCAAACACGATCCCGAGCTGGGGGACGGTCAACTTGGACAGTGAGAAGAACGAAGCATGGCCAGGAATCGAGTAGGTGGAGGCAACAGCCAATAAATAAAGACCCAGGCCTGAAGTGAGGGCCGAAAACAAGACAAACACCACGCCCAAAAACAGACCGTTACATTTGATGGCGTACGGGACACTCAGAAGACCTGCTCCCAAGATTGTGTTCATCAGGTTGATAACGCCCGATCGCTTGGTGGCGATTCCAGGAACGCCATTTGTCTGCACCATGGTAAATAGAAAAAATTGATACAAAGCTAGCTTTTTTTTCCAGGTTAGTTTTAACTATATACAATGCCCTAGTATCCCTTTCTCACTGCGTTACGCACCACACCGAGTAGTTTTCTGACACCTGTATCAAAGCGAATCTTCTTGGTTTTGATCTTTTGGTGCAATTTCCGCTTGCTCGGCTTAAGGTAGAATCTTTGATCAAGAAACATTCTCTTGATCTTGTTGTTTTGAACCATACCGTTGAACTTTTTGAAGCTTCTGCTCAGGTCTCCGGCCTTGACCACAACAGATCTTCCGGCAATCATGCTTTCCATGGGCAGCTTGGTGGCAAATTCCAATGCGTCTGGTTCCTTGAACGACCCGCTCATGGAGAGCGAGCTCTCGCCAAGGAACGACGACGAACCTTGTTGTCCGGTTCTTTGAGCCTTGTGGATACCGCTCAAAATACTGATCGGATCAGGCTTCGATCCTGTCGAGTTGTATCTGACTGCGCGCAGGCTTCCTGTCACGAGTCGTGGTCTTATGATTCCTAGCATCCTGGCCGAAGTTACAAAATTAATCAAATTTTTAGAACGTAAAGGTAGTGCGAGAAAGCAAAGCTGTGGATTTTTTTTAGCTAGTAGAAATATTTCAGTGATAATGAGCACAGACCCAAGCCAGTTGGCCGAGAAAGTCGAGAAGGTTGTCATCGACGAGCCTGTGGAAGACGACGTTGCTGCCGATGAGACTGCCGAGAATGGAGACGGCGAAAAGAAGAAAAAGAAGAAGAAGAACAATAAGAAAAAGAAGAAGGGTGGAATCAACCAGTTCTACCCCGACGGTGTTTTCCCTGAAGGAGAATGGCAAGAGTACACTGGGAGCGAGGAGAACTTGAAGAGAGTCACTGACGAGGAAAAAAGATATCTCGACCGCCAAAATAACAACACTTGGAACGAGTTCAGAAAGGGAGCCGAAATTCACAGAAGAGTCAGACAGACCGCGCAAAAGACCATCAAGCCAGGAATGACCATGACCGAGGTTGCCGAGTCCATTGAAAATAGTGTCAGAGCTTACAGTGGTACGGACGACAGCTTGAAGGGCGGAATGGGATTCCCTTGCGGAGTGTCTTTGAACCATTGTGCTGCCCATTATACTCCAAATGCCGGAGACAAAACTGTTCTACAATACGATGACGTTATGAAGGTCGATTTTGGTGTCCATGTTAACGGACACATTATAGACTGTGCTTGGACCCACACCTTCAACGAAAGATACGATCCTTTGCTGAAGGCAGTGAAAGAGGCCACAAACACCGGTGTCAAGACTGCTGGTATCGATGTCAGAATGACAGACGTCGGTGAGGCTGTGGAGGAAGTGATGGAGAGTTATGAGGTCGAGCTCGACGGCAAGGTGTACCCAGTCAAGTGTATACGGAATCTGCAGGGCCACAACATCAAGCCGTTCCAGATCCACGGTGGAAAATCCGTGCCAATTGTGAAGAACGGTGACACCACCAAGATGGAGGAAGGCGAGACTTTTGCCATTGAGACTTTCGGGTCCACCGGTAAGGGATACGTTGTTCATGGCGGCGAGTGCTCGCATTACATGAAAAACCTGGACGCTCCAGCTAACGCTCCTATCAGATTGGAAAGATCTAAGCGGTTGATGCAAACAATCGAGAAGAACTTCGGCTCGTTGCCATTCTGTCGTAGATACCTCGACAGAATCGGTGAGGAGAAGTATCTGCTTGCATTGAACCAGCTGTGTAAGGGAGGCTTAATCACCGAACATCCTCCACTTGTCGACGTGAAGGGATGTTACACTGCTCAGTACGAACACACAATCCTGTTGCATCCAACCAGAAAAGAGGTGGTTTCCAGAGGAGAGGATTATTAAAGCTCATCTTTGATAGCTGACAGAATGGATGATACTGTTGATACGGTAATTTCTTCGACTGTAGACGTTGGATCTTCAAACAGCGTTCCCGTAGCACTTAAAATTGTTGTGGTTGCGGCTATAGTGAGATCTGTCGGCGTTGGGCTTTTGCCTCTGATTGAAGTTGCTCCCCATAATGTCACGGCCACAGTTTTGTACAGCAACCAGAAAAACAGTCGAATTGGCTTCCTCAATATTCTTTTGTATAGTATCCATGCGCATACGGAAATGAAAAAGTAAAGCGATGTATAGATTTGTCTTCTCTCCTTGGTGCTTGATTCGTTGATTGTTCTCACGAGCTTGTTTGATCGCACAAGGATGTCTGTGAAGTATGTGTATTTGTTGGAAAGAGCTGTCAAGGAGGCCGACGATTGGGCCAGATCAGAAATGTTCATCTCACTGGCTAATAGGGAAGATTGAAGCAATTGGTTGATACTCTGTAATTTGTGCGTGACAACACTGTTTTTGTCAAGCAGCTTCTCCTGATGAGATAGTTTCTTCAACGTGTGGTCGTCTAAAACAGGTTCAACAACAGAACCTTCCTCCTTTTCGATCTCCTCTTGTTGTGGTGTCCAAGATTTGGAAGAGAGCAATGTCTCCCTCAGGTCCACCTTGACGTCCTGGTATCTCTCTTTTAAGAATTCATAATCGTATTTCAAGTTATGGTAAGAATCGCTCGAGACACACTCAAGTTTCACTTCAATGACTGTGCTGAGCTCGTCTAATTTCTCGTACATTTCCATTGCCTTGGTCTGAGCTTCAGTGCGAACCAAATCCAAATCCAGGTCTTTGGATCCGTTTGATTCTCTAAATTCGTAAAGCTCAATCTGCAGCTGCTTGAGCCAATGCTTCAGATCCTGCAAACCACGTTGTACCTCCTGCTCCATTACACAAAGAAACACTCTGATTTTTTTGATCGTGATTTGAACAAATGCAAGGATGTAGATTTTTATTGTCAAAAGAGAAATCGGTGGCGAACGAAAAACACTAATCAATGATTATAGACACCTTATCCTCAGGAGTCGGGAAAATCCCTGACTTTGAAGTTTCCCAGAATGTCTTTCTCATTCAACAGGGATATGGAACCAAGGAGATCTCCGACAAAGTGCTCGAACAAATCGAGAAACAAGAAATGGCTCCTTACTACTACTACTTGACCCACGAGCTAAAGCTTCCTGGTTTCAAGTTCGACAAGGCTTTGTACGACAAATTGAGCAAGCAGAATGCCGATAAGGTTTCTGAGCTTAAGAAGGAGCTCGAGAAACTGTCGGAGGACGACGAGGGCGAGTTGGAGATACTCAAAGTTTGGACTCAGATTGGAGACTACTATGCCGCCATTGGAGACAAGGCTAACGCATTGACCACTTTCAAGAAAACATACGAACTGGCACCATCCACGGGATCCAAGATTGACTTGGTTTTAACGATTGCACGTATTGGTTTCTTTTACGACGATAAGGTGTTCACCAAGAAATATTTGGACGAAGCAAATGCATTGATCGAGAAAGGTGGAGACTGGGAGAGACGAAATCGATACAAGACATATTCCGGAATTTACTTAATGTCCACGAGAAAGTTTGAAGAGGCCTCTAAATTATTGATTGATTCGTTGGCAACCTTCACATCCACAGAAATTTCCACTTACGAACAAGTTGCCCAGTACTCTCTGATTTCTGGTGCGATTGCGCTCGACAGACCAGATTTGCGCAAGAAACTGATTGAGTCGCCAGAGATTCTCACCATTGGCACCAGCTCTCCGGAATTAGCTCCGATCTATGGCCTGATCAAGTCCTTGTATTTCTGCGAATACAAGGACTTCCTCCCATGTTTGGTCAAGACCCACGACGAAATCTTGGTCAAGAACAAATACTTAAAGCCACACACAAACTACTACCTCAGAGAGCTAAGATGCAAGGCATACTCTCAACTTTTGGAAAGTTACAAGTCGCTTTCGCTGAAGTCCATGGCTGACACTTTTGGTGTTTCTGTTGATTTTCTGGACAACGATTTGTGCAAGTTCATTCCAAACAAGAAGCTGAACTGCACTATCGATAAGGTGAACGGCATTGTGGAGACCAACAGACCAGACAACAAGAACAACCAGTATCACTTGCTGATCAAGAACGGAGATGCATTGTTGACCAAGCTGCAAAAATACGGTGCAGCAGTGCGTTTAAGTGGTGCTGAGAGAGTTTAGTAGTGATAGAATTGAGATAATATATTTGAAGCTGATATAGCTTGCTAAAAATATTGTTCAGATTGTTCAGATTGTTCAGATTGTCCGCTTGAGGCTGCAGCGGGAGCTTTCTTAGGCTCTGCCAACGCCTCTTCGTTACCCAAAATTCTATTATCACTCACCTTTTTGAGACTTGCTGGTCTCTTGGAGCTATCGGATTTCTCGTTCTCTGGCTTGACGTCTGCCTTTGGTTTCGATCTGGAGCTCTGATTTGTGCCCTTATGCTTTGCGGCAAAATTTTTGGTAGCCTTTGATGCGGGTTGAGTAGATGATGATGTAGCCTCTTCCAAGTTTTTATTCACCACCGAGGGTTCATCAAACACTTCGGCGTGCTGTTCGTCTGCGTCAAAATATTCCGAGTCTTGAGAAGCCGGCTTCTTGTTAGACTTTGGAGGGCGGGGTTTTTCCTTCACGGAATCTTTAGAAGCGACTTTTTCGTCTAATTCGAAGGAGTTTTCAGATCCAGCCGTTAACTTGGAAACCTCCTTGTTGATGGCCTGGATCTCTGCGCGGTCTCCTAGTTCCTGCTCTTCCTTTTTAGAGCTTTGTTTGTTGTTCACCACCTCTGGCGTAGTTAGCTTGCTCTCCAGCACAAAATCTTCTTCCAACGTATTTCTCGGAGAGCTTCCAACACTGGGCTTAGCCAGGCTGTTGAGTTCGTCTTCTACCTCAACCTCAGAGGAGCGCGGGATAAGGTAGAAAACACCAATAACGAGCAAAATCGCCAGCCACAGAATGGTGGATCTGTTCTTGGAGTGAAACAGCGATTTCATGATCTGAAGCAATTTTAAGTCCACCTGGATTTTTTTTATCTAATCGGGCAAAAATCGTGTTCCACTTAATTTCTCTGGTGCAGCCCCCATCTTCTAAAAGATTGCCGTTGATGGTTTCCAAACCTGGACAGAATTATCGTCAGAGCAGCTAAGAACCATTCTAGAATCGTGCGGGTTCCAGTCCAAGTCGTTCACGCCCAACATGTGACCTCCGTGCACAAACAGTAGCTCCTTGCCCTGGTCTCGTGACCAATCCCAGAGCTTGACTCTGCCATCTGTAGATCCGGACGCAAGCACGGAGCCGTGTTCAGGGTTCCATGCGGCACACGTCAGAGACCCGTCATGTGCGTTGGAGATGGTTCGCACCGGCTGCTCCATGTTCCTAATATCGTGCAACGAAAGCACTCCGGATTCGTTTCCGGTGACAAACCCAAACTCGTGCGTGTGGCTGAAAGATATCACATTAACGGGCGAGTCTGAAACCTCAGCTTCCTTCACGCAGCTCAACTTGGCTCGCGTATCGAAAATCTTGACTTTTCTGTCATCTCCAACAGACCCAATCAAACTTTGATGGAAGTAGAGATACTCCAGACTGTTGACTCCGTAATCGTGCGCTGCTGCGGTTGCTACCGGACTCAGCACTGAGGTTTTGTACTTCCGTTTCTGGAATTCGAGTCCAATCACGTTGCTGGTAGTTGGTTTCTTATCAGCTGCTGCCTTTTGGAATTTCTTGATGTCCCAAACAGCAATGGTTCCATCAGAAGCACCCGACGCGAGCTCTCCTTCTTTGAACCTATTCCAATCTAGCCCCCATCCTTCGCTCTGATGGAACTCCAGCTTGATGTCTGAGAAATCGTCGTCGTCGTTAAACTCCTCTTCCACGTAGCTATTGGGCTTCTTGGTTCTGTCAAATATCGAGATATGGCCCTGATTCGTGATGGTGGCTATGAGATCCGGGTTTTGGGGCATGTATCTGGCCCTGTTGATATCCGATCTATGTGGTATTTTCTGGACCAAGCTCATGGTACTGGCCTCCCAGTCATTTCGCTTAGCGATGAACTCGTTCTTCAAAGGATCATAATTCAAAGCAACGTCAAGCTTTCTGGCTTTGGGCTTGAGCGTCTTGAGTCCGTAAAGTTTCAGGCTCTCACACTTGTTCATCCCACTGGAATGTGACGCTAAAAGAATCCGCTGTTGCAAAAAGTCCGAGTCGTTCAGATTCTCGATGTCTGGGAACCATTGGGCAGTCAAGCTTGGCCAGAGCATAGAGGTGGTTTGAATGTAATCATAAAGTAGAGGGCCGTTTTTCTTCCAAATAAAGTAGTTATTGCGTGTTTTTTCATCTATAGGGTTGTATTCTTGAGTGATTATCTCAGAAGTTGGACTTGAAGGTTGTTCAGTCCATGACATTACCTCCGACATGATTTAATTTTTCAACACGCGTGAATATTTATTTTCGTGTATCGGTGTACGGGCGCGACTTGACCATGAATGCCAGATTGCAGGATTCGTTGCTCGAGTTTAGAAATCAGCATTACAGCAAGTTCGTGAAGGACATTGAGAAGAATGGCCGCAAGAACGAATATTCTGATGGAATGTCGTTTACCGAATTAGACGAATGGCGAACAACTACCTTATCAAAGACTCTGCATCAAAGATACAAAGATACCGGTATACTATGGCTGGAAAAGACAGAACTTGCCAAATTGATGGAATGGAAACTTGCACGAGGAAAGTTTAGGGCAACTCTAGAAAAATTGATCCAGAGTAACGATCCAGACTCGGTCAAATCGTTTACAGATGCAGCTTTCCAGGTTTTAGTTGATTGGACTAAAAGCCGATCAGATGCGTCTGAACCGTTTCCAATTGTCGTCCGCAAGGCTATGGATCATGCATGTAAATTAAGAGGTGTCGGGCCAGCCACCGCAACGCTCATATTATCATTGTCTGGTCCTGCTCTGCGCATGTCAGACCTGGGAGCGCACGACGTGCCATTTTTCTCTGATGAGGTGTTCGAGATACTCAATCCCAGCTACGGTAAGATAAAGTACACTGCCAAGGAGTACATCGATCTGGTTTTATCAAAAATGGCCGTTTTCGACGCCGCAAAGCTGCAAAACGTAGAAGAGGCATTGTGGTGCCTGCGAAAAACGGAAAAAATAGGCAAGCCAAGCAAGTCGGTTGAGAAACTGCTAGATGAACTCCGCAGAACGATAGCTCTGGCCCCTTCTGAGGAAAAACCTTCTGTAAAACGTCGTAAAATCCAATCTTAATTCCTAATCACTGCCATGAAACCCGCCTTGTCCCGCCAATAGGAATACCGTGCAACCACAAAGAAACCCTTGCATGGAAAAACTTTGGGACCTTGATCACAAAAAAAATATAGATCAAAAAAACAAACACGCTCGTTATTTGAAAATCATGGGTAGATCGAATCCAATCACCCTAATTAACCCATTTGCTCTCAGTACCTTTGGAATTGCTTCTATTGGATGGATCATCACTTTTGCCGGATGTATTGCTACAAACACGCAAAATAGTTTGTTTCCCAAGTTTGCGTGGTGGGCCGTGGTGTATCAGCTATTACTGCTCATAGTGATTGTGGTGTTTTACATTACAAACACTTTCCAATATCACCGTTTGTTCCTGACGTGTTCCATCGGTGTTGCTTTCGTGTATAACTCGAACGCGGCAAACAACCTGGTTTATGATTCGGATTCGGCACCAGGAGCGGCAAGTGCCGGTTTCATCATCCAATGTATCATCAACATTCTGTGGATGCTCTACTTTGGATCTGAACCAAGCTCTCCAATCATTTCCTACATCGACTCCTTTGGAAACGGCAGTAACGTTATGCTTTCCACTAGACGGTCAAAGTCCAACAGAAACACTATGAATCAAACACAACCAGTTTACGATGAGACCTACAAAGAAGAAAACACTGGATACCTCGACAGAAACTCGTTATCGAACGACACGACTCCAGCCCATGAGAATCCGTTCAATCAAAACTACTCCTCGCAGCTCAACGGTTTGGAGAACGCATCCGCTTCGAACAGAGCTTCTGCGCTACATGAGGAAGACTATCCGATTACGGTGAGAGGACTGTTTGATTACGAGGCAAGTCCTGATGATATCAATGAACTTTCGTTCAAAAAAGGTGACGTTTTCCGCGTCAAGGATACCGTCGGAAATTGGTGGCAAGGAAAGAACTCCAAGGGAGAGATCGGAATGTGCCCAAGCAACTACTTGGAGGTTATTGGATAGTTCCGTCCCATTTATATTGTTGTTTAATGGCTAACTCTTCAAATATGTTTAGTCGATCGACCGCGTTTTTTTTTTATTGTTGTAGCACCTGCGTCGGATCTTATAAACCTGTAGAAAAAGATAAAATAAAAACAAAGACCAAGAGTTACTCGTTTGAAGACTTTACGTCAGTTATACTTTTGGCGGGATTAGCGTAGTGGACACTGTGATAAGATTTTCAAAGTGACCATAGCACGCTCCCGAATTCAAGCTTTACGAATAATTTACTTAAAGGCGACCGTTTTGATTCACGCTGAATATAAAACACAACGCCAAAAAGAATCATCTTTTATCAATACCTCTGTCTTGTCCAGAATTCAGGTTTTTGCACCACATTTGCATATATGTTGTCTGAACTGAAGCGATCTTATAACTTACTACAATAATGGCGGAGTTGCATCGAAAAATAAGCAACCTCTCATCACCAAGCTCGATCAATAGATTGACTTCTTCAAACTCCTCTAATATCACATCGTTCCCTCCAACGTCACGAAATCAACCTGCGAGTCAGTTCACATCGTACCCTGCTGACAGCCAAATCACTTTGCAGTCGTCCCATGCGCTGGTGGATGACGATGATTCAGACGACGATCTTAATGAACGTCCGCCAATGCTTAGTTCCTACGCAATAACATTGCTGCAGCAGTTGACAAAGAACACCTATAATGTTGATAAGAGGGACTCGTCAGATTACAAAACGATATTTGATGAACCGCAGGAACAAAAAGAGTCTATGAGTGAATTATCTCAATTAGATACAAGTCGCCCCTCCAGTCGCCGATTCAGTTCTTTCAACTCAAATATAAGTCAACCAGCATACCTAGGATTGGAGAAACGATATGGCATAGAAACAGACCAGTCGGAAAATACCGCGTCTAAATACAGGCAGTCTCTCAGATCTGCTCGCTCGTTTTCAAAGTTTGGGCTCGGTGCACCAAAGAGACTTTCCGAAAGTGAGTTGAACGAACTGGCCAACTCCCCCGAGAATTATGGCAAGTCTCCAGCATTGGAACATCGTAATGAAGAGGGTAAGCACACGGCTACTACCAACATGTTCACGAAATCCGACAAAACGACCACCGCGCCAACGTATTACGATCCCGACAGAGAGGACGACCCAGGCATTGGAAATAAGCATGCTTATGTCCAAACACCAAGGCACGAAAGAAATAGACCTATTTCGTCCTGCTCGCCTCGTGTGAAAAGAAACAATCTCAGCGAAACACCTTACCGTGCTGATCTACAACTGAATCAGGCTCAGAAAACCTCGCAGCTAGACTCAACTATCAATCAGAAAACTCCCACCAAGACACCCGCTCTTGATCGTTATGCCACTCCTGAGCAAGCGAGACGCGCATTGACCCCCCTTTCACAATCACGTTGGAACCAGCAAAAGAGTGATATCTTTGATTTCCATGAGATGAAGGACCGGCTAACACCCAAGAAGTCGTATAGCCATGATCGTCTTGGTCAAATCGACGAGAATCCTCGGCGCTCGGTCGAGAATATCCAGGCTCCCGTGACCACCAAAAAGGCGTGGGAAGAACGCGAAGCTAGATCGTCCATTCACCAAGAACGTGTTTACGAAGTTGAAAAGCCAAGCAATATACTGACAATCAACAAACAAGACTTTGAGTGTTTGGAACAGATCGGAAAAGGTGGTTCTTCCAAAGTTTACAGGGCGCGAGCTGTGAATGGAAAAAGAGACTATGCGATAAAAGTTGTTACATTCGACCAATTCGACGAAGGTGCTATTGTTAGTTTCAAAGGAGAAATTGAAATTCTGAGAAAGCTTCGAAACCAAGATCGGGTAGTTAAGCTTATTGACCACAGTCTAAAGGAAGGTTCATTACTATTAGTGATGGAATGTGGTGACATAGATTTAGCTCACGTTTTGGCAAGTCGAGCTCACATGCCATTTGACGCCAGTTTCACACGGTATCATGCCGTTGAGATGGTCAAATGTGTCAAGGCTGTTCACGATGCAGGTATTGTTCATTCTGATTTGAAGCCTGCAAATTTCTTGTTTGTGAAAGGTACTTTGAAGTTGATCGATTTCGGAATATCCAACTCATTATCTGATCAGACTGTGAATATCTACCGTGAATGTCAGATCGGGACTCCAAACTACATGGCGCCAGAGACTTTGATTGAGGTCAACAACACATTGAAAGGTGATAATTTGAATGGAACCTGGAAAGTTGGTAAGCCCGCAGACATTTGGTCCTGTGGCTGCATCATCTACCAAATGGTTTACGGTAAGCCACCATATGCAAACTATGCTGGTAACAAGCGAATTCTTGCCATCACCAATCCGAAGGTGGAAATCCAGTATCCGCGTGTGACAGCAGACGGAACTAGAGTGAACGGTTTGGTTATTGATACCATTCAACGATGCTTGAAACGGAACCCTTCATTAAGAGCGAACGCAGACCAGCTTCTAGATACAGACTTTTTGAGACCCAAAGTTGTTACGCACAAATTCATCAACGATTTGGTTCGCAACGCTGTGAAGTATGGTAACACCCATCAGTTGGTGTCTGACCACAAACTTGACATCCTTGTTGAGGATGTGTGGAAAAAAGTTAACGAGTATAGTTAGGTTGTACAATAATAATTACAGCATGTTTGATATGCTTCTTTAAAATACTTTACACCTTCTGTTTATCTTGGGCCGAGCTTCTCCAATATTCTTGGGCCTTGCTCTTGCCATTCCTGTTTGCTGATCCACATGTGGTCTTTGTCTGCCATGATGTTGGCAAGCACTGCTCCTCCGATGAAGACCATGTGCTTTCTTCTTGGTGGATCTTCGATTCTCACCTTGAACTTGTCCAATCTCGAGGCATCTCCCTTCAACACCTTTGTGAACCATTGCTGTTTGAGTTCCTTTTCCAATCTGGACGGAAGACCTGGGTACATGGACGAACCACCACTGAGAACGATCGACTTGTACAATGTGGATCTAATGTCGACCTGACACGACTGGATGGTGTTGAATAGAGACTCACCCACACCTGGCTGTTCGATGTCTGTCAGAGAAGGCTGGAACAGACACTCTGGCGCCTCGAATCTCTCCGAGCCGATCTTGATCACTCTTCCGTCTGGCAACTCGTAATTTTCAACCAACACGGTAGTCTCGTTTGCCAATTTTGTGTCAAAATCGAGGTCATAAGAAACATAGCAAAGCTTCTCTTTGATCTGTCTCACTGTCTCGAAATCTGCGGTTCTGTTGAATGCATATCCTCTTCTCAAGAGCAAGTTGATCAGGTTTCTAGTAACGTCTCTTCCGGCAACGTCTAGTCTTCTGGTCAAGTGGTTCAGCACCACAGACTCGTAAACTGGAACAATATGGGTCACACCGTCTCCAGAGTCCACAACCACTCCGGAAGATAAACCTTGGGCATACAAAGCAAGGACGGCTTGGATTGCAACGTACACTCCACCAAAATTGTATTTCTCGAACATGACATCGCACATTGTTTCTCTGTTTTTCAAGGGGTTCATTGGTGGCTCTGTTAGCAACACTTTTTGTCCAGTGGTGTCGATTTTCATTCTCTCGTAAAAAGCGTAATCCCATAGATGTTCCATATCTTCCCAGTTTCTGATAATTCCGTTTTCCATCGGATATGATATTTGCAACGATGATCTGACGGCAGAGGCCTCGTCTCCGCACATGATATCCTTAATTTCAATGTCTCCCGTCCGCTCCTCTGCTCTCAGGATCGGTCTTCCCACGATCGATGGGAACGTGTGGTCGGGAAAGTTTTTTCCGGCCCGTCCAATTTTCACAAATCCGGTACCTTGATCAAGGACAATTGGCTGGTCCAAAGTCATTTTACTGGCAACTATTTCGCTCAATGCCTACTCGCAAACTCTCTCCTTTAATTCTTACAACACATAAAATAGAAAACTGGACTTTTTGGCTTGCCACAATTTTCGAGCTCGGCCCACGACCTTTCTTTCCATCAGCCGAGCATCGATCTCTTACGTCCTCGAAGCCTGACCCCTTCCAGCCGTTTACTGACCTCGTTGTACTTGCGCTTGTTGTTTGGTTTGTTTGTGTACGTTGATTCGTATCCCTGGAGCAGCCAGTCATTGTATGTGGCAGAGTAGACTGGATGAGTCGAAGATAGTGCTCGTTCCAGGACGTATAAGTCGACAGCCTTGTCTTCCGCGAGAGACGAGTGCGAAGACAGTCCAAAGTCAATTAAAGTGGGTTTATTTTGGTGGTCTTTCTCGACCAGTAAGATGTTGGAGCTGGTCAGATCGCCGTGAACAATATCTTGAAGGTGTAATTTTGCAATTGCTTCTCCAACGAGGACCAGAACCTGTTTCACAGTCTCGTCGGACGCACTGATCGTTTCTGAGTTCTTTTCCTCTTTTTCAAGATACCAGAGCCAGTTCTTCAAAGAGCTGGTTTGTCCGTTTGGCAGCTCGTAGCCCAAATACTCCATCCATATTAATCCGTGCGGTGCGTCAGTTGCAACGAGTTTGGGTGCCGGGATATCTAAACTGTGTAGTTTGCTGAGTAGTCTTGCCTCTGCGGTAGTGCGTGCTTTGGTCAATTGTTTGTCCAAGACGTCGTGTCTATATGGCTTGGGTGGTCTGTATTTTATGACATATTTGTGCGAGTTCTGGATCTGGGCAGGCTCCACGGTATTGGGAAGGTACGGGTGTTTCGATGTGACAAACACAACTGCCTCTGCACCTTGTGAAACCACATCCAAAGGGATTCCTTCAAGATAGGACTGCGCCTTGGCTACAATTTCGGAGCTCATCAGAGATGTATTTTTTTTTTTCACTATTATTTAAAAGGAAGACAAACTAATTTTGGTGTTGCGTTTACCAGCGTTCTTTTTCTCGTTGTGGACAAGCATATGTCGGAAATAGGCCAAGAACTTGTTTCCTTCCTTTTCGCAGTCCAGCTGTTGGATTTTGATAGTCTCGTGGCATTTCTCGCACTCGACGCTATGCACTTTTCGTTCTGTACGTCCTCTGGTCTTGAGCCGTTTGATCTCCAGAGCCTCTCCGATCAGGCTTGGAAACGGCATCTCCATTCCATTAGAGTACACCCCGTGTAGCTTCGTCACATGGTGCAGATAGTTGGAATCCTTTCTTTCAAAGAAGAGATCGTTGATGTCGTCAGACTTACAGTAAGGACACAGTCCTTCTCCGTCTCCTTGTCCTCGTTCTTGATGCGATTTCTTGTATCTCACCACCAGTGGCTCGTAATAATTGGCATTCGAGCTCGAGTACCTGGGCGGAAGAAAAAACTCAGCTTTTGGGTTCCGTTTGTAAATGTACTCGTCCTCGTTTGAAACTTTACGGAAATAGTTGAAAGTGATTCCGTTTGGTTGGATGTAAGGGTTGAAGTGCAAATCGAGCCAATGATTCAACTTGTCTGGGTCGGTTTCGTTGAAGATCGTTTGCAACCCGGAATATTTCGTCTTCTTGGTGCCCTTGTAGTGACCTCCACTCAAATTATCCTGCCTTACCTGTGATATAGTCACGGCTGGCGAACTCAGCACAGGGGTTTTCGGCGTTGACGATTCCCAGGCCTTGATTGTTTCTGGGTTTTCAATGTCCATGGACACAAATAGCGGGGTTTGTTCTCCGTTCGGAGATTCTGTCGTGTAAACGTAGTCGTTGTCGTGAGAAATGCTAGAAGTAGGGCTAATATTAAGCGAAATGTCAGAATCGTTAAAATGTTCCATGATCGGGAAATCAAACACCTCGTTGTCCGGAGACATCATCAGATCGTCCTTCTGGTACGAATCTTCAGAGATCGTGGTGAACTGCTCAATCAGATCAAACATGTCTTGATCCTTATTTTGGTCATGTGACTCGCTAGTCAGGTACGAAAGCGAGGCATCGCTTTCGCCAAGAAAGGCCGAGGAAAACTCGAGTCCTTTCAAATGCGAAGCCTGGTCGTGCAAATGGATGTTATCCCCTTGAGGGAAGTAGTCTAGCTGACCAATATTGACCAGCTCCTCCATTGAAAATCTGAACGAAAGAAGGAATGATAACTGGCTCAATTAAAAGGGGAACTCCTGATACTTATATCGATAGATGGATGGCAAACCGACCACCAGAGGCAAATTCCCGATGCTGTCATCGAACAAAATCGTCCTATTGTCGAAACGGTTGTCTGTTTCCGCATTTGGTAATGGGATGGGGAAAAGGGCACCGTCCCCAGATCCCGCATCATCCCGGGACTGCTGAAAACGGAAACCACATGGACAGTAAGTGGCAAATCTCGTTTGCCCCCAGCCCCTGAGCCTCACCATCAACCAGCTACATGTTCAGCGTTTACGAAATTATTTCCGGCGATTCACGTGACTATCAATTTATTTCTGTTGTTGGCCACCGTAAAGAGCTTTCCACTCGTCAATCTTTTTCTCGTCAATTCTCTTGAACAAGTACTGGGCCTTTCCAATACAGTGACCTGGCTCCACCCACAAGTCAAACTCATCTGGGATCTTGAGCTCTGGAACTCTCAGGATCTCCTCGATCTGCTTGCTTGTCTCTGGCATGTATGGTGCAATCACAGCAGACACCAAGTACACAATATTCAGACCAATAGCAACAACAGCATCACTTTTCTCTGGAGAGTCGTTGTACAGAGAGTTGTCGAGCTTGTTCTCCTGCAAGAACAAATTTCCTCTAGCAGAAATCATCATGGCAGTCTCCAGTCCCTTTCTTAAACGAACAGCCTCCATATCATCAACATAGGTCTTGATCAAAGAATCAAGATCTTTCTTGAGAGTTGGGTACACTTCACAGTCGGTAGTCTTGAATTCTGGAACCACACCGTTGTATTTGGCAATGACAAACTTGACCAGTCTGTTAACAAAGTTACCAAGGTTGGCCAATAGCTCGCTGTTGTTTTTCGTCACAAACTCGTACCACGAGAACTGGGAATCCTGACTCTCTGGTCTAACAGAGGCCAAGTAATATCTCCAGACAGAAGGCGACACACCAGTTGCCTCGGCATTGTTACCAAAGACACCAATTCCTCTGGACTTGGAGAACTTCCCTCCCTCGTATTGGAGATACTCCGTTGTGTTCAAGTGGTGCAGTAAAGTCCAGTCCTCCTTGGTTCCAAGCTCAGAAGATGGGAAAACAACAGAATGGAAAGGAACATTGTCCTTACCCATGAACTGGTAAAGCTGAACATGTTCTGGGTTCTTCCACCATTCCTTCCAGTCGTCGGTATAGCACGCAGTTATAGAAATGTAACCAATTGGAGCATCGAACCACACGTACAAAACTTTCTTCTCGTAGCCCTCCAATGGCACTGGAGTACCCCAGACCAAGTCTCTTGTGATACATCTAGGCTGTAATCCCTCCTTCAACCAGGAATTCGTGATGGTCTTGGAGTTCTTGGACCATTTTCCTTTTTCCGCAGCTTCTTCAAACCATTTTCTCAAATCTGGCTCAAGCTTGTCCAGGGAGAGGAAAATTTGGTTAGATTCTCTTGGCTCAGGCGTGTGACCGTCCAATTTACACCGAGGATTGATCAACTCAAATGGATCCAACAGGTTACCGCACTTGTCACACTGGTCTCCTCTGGCATCTTCGTAATGGCATCTTGGACATTCTCCTTCAACGTATCTATCAGCCAGGAATCCCTTGTGGACTGGGCAAAACAATTGCTTCATAACCTGTTCTTCCAAGTAGCCGTTCGCGTTCAACTTCAAAAAGATATCTTGTGCAATCTCTGTCTGCTTTGGTGTTGTCGTTCTACCAAAGTGATCGAAGCCGATTTGGAACCACTTGTAGACATCCGAGTGAATTGCATGGTACTTGTCGCACAATTCCTGTGGAGTGACGCCGTCTTCCAAAGCTTTGGTCTCTGTTGCAGTACCATATTCGTCTGTACCACAGACAAATAATGCATTGTAGTTTCTACGCTTGCAGTATCTGGAGTAAAGATCTGCAGACAGAACAGAGCCAACAATATTTCCAAGATGAGGAACGTTATTAACGTATGGTAAAGCGGAAGTGATCAGAATGTTTCTTTCATTAGGTTTTGGCTTCAACTTTCCCTCAGATTTCTTCACAGAGTGGCCCTCCAACACCTTCACCTTGTTGGTGTTCTTCTCTGGGACACGCTGGATCTTTGTGATCTTCAAAGCATTGGAGATACCCGTGGCAACTGCTGGGATTTCAGAAAATTGCTTGAACCATCCAGAAAGCTTGGAGTCGGAATGCTTGCTCAAAATTGGATAAAGCGAAGCAAACAGGATAATCTGAGACACAGATTCCGAGTCAGCAGACGTAACGGATCCGATCTTGGACAAAATCTCAGAGTCCAACTTATTAGCCTTGAGCGCAGGGAAAAGAATCGTCTGATCTTGAGAGATCAACTCATTGTCCTCAAACACCTTTGTGTCTTTGGTCTTCAAGGAAGCCAAGTATTTCACAATAGAGTTTGGTTCGATCAACTCGAATCCGGATTTGGTATCCTGGAGCCTCAACTCTTTTTTGCCTTCACTGTCCGCCACTAACTCAAGTTTGGGCTGGAAAACCGAGGCTGCTATCGAAACCTTCAAATTTTCAACCAGGGATAAAACGGATCCATCCTGGGATGACAGTAATTGTAACGACATCGTTATCTTGAACACTAGTTTTGTGGCTAATTGAGATAGATGATATCATTTTTGGCCGGCAAATTTTTTCGCGTCGATCGACCCGCCGCCAGCGACCTGCCTCGTGCCCTCGTCTCATATAGGGTGTAACCTGACTGCGATAAGAGGTACCTGATTGGGACCACAACCGATACAGGGTAAGTAAGAAATGAGCCATGGCGTTTGCGGTTTCATTCAATGCGTAGATTGGCCAGATCGTGGCTTGCGCTTCGTATCTGTTCCTCCGGAACGCTGGCCGGCTCCTGTACCGGGTCTTGCTGTTGCTGATCGTCTACCTCCATGTGTTTTTTCTCTTCCTCGCGCAGATGCTTGGTGGGAGTCATGACGCCTATTTTACCGTCAGCCCCAAAATATCCCGGTGCAACTCTACGTATATCTCGCTCCCAGGAAGCAAAGCTCTGCGATTTCTGTTCAATTGCCGGTTGTCCATAGTTGGCATTTAGCCTGGCTGCTGTTTCCTGTTGTTTGTGCTTCAATTCCTTTAACTGAGCAGTTAAGTTATCGACCTCCTGTTGCTTGAAAGTGTCCACTGACGACGGTAATTGCTCAAAATCGTAAGGCAGGGTCACGGGCCGTGGTTTCTCGTACGAACCAGGCATCGCTATGAGTGGGATCTGCGATAATAGACGCGATTTAGAGTCAGACATGGTAAACTGATATTACAAGACTATCTAAAAAATATAACCATCCTTGCACCTTGATCAGGCTTTCTTGGACACCTTCTTAGCCCTGGTCTTGGTAGTCTGTGCTCCGGTGGCCTTAGCTGCCGGAGCTGAAGGCTGTTCGGAGGCCTCGTACTTGTCTTTCAGTTCCTTCAAGTAGAATTCCTGCTTCACTTTCAAATCTTCAAAGTAAGCATAGAAGAGACCACATTGGAGCAAAACAATTCCAAGCAAGATAACAACAATCATGGTTTCGGAAGCAGCAATGACACCCAGGCCGGTGTTCTGGTCCACATCACCCCATTCGCCCACAATTGCCGAGACAATACCGATTCTCACATTGCTGATGTAAATACAAGCAGCTAGAACCAAGGCACCCAACGTACCGTATTCAAAGTATTGGGCATCTTCGTTAGGTCTGAACACCTTGATGAAACTTCCAACAAATGCAAGAGCAAGAATTGCATGGAAAGTGTTGGTGATGATTGGAGCAGCTTGTCCCCAAGTTTTGTAATGATTCAAGGCGGCGTCGAAATATAATTGGCCTTGAGTAGTGTCCCAGATAGTGTAGTAATCATATGGCCAGTTGCCAAAAATGACACCTAAAGCAAACGAAATGGACGTAATGATCAACAAGCTACCGACTAGCACCAAACTTTCGTACGAAACCATAACGATAAAATGAGTTTAGTTGGAAAATTCAATCACGGGCAATTACCAACTATGGACGAAAAGATAACGAGCAGTTCTTTTTTTTTTATCAGGCCAAATTTAAAGCCGTACATGAGGATTCAAATTATGATCAAGTTAAGCGTAGCCTGTTAATTTACGTCGTGCCTTCTGGATTGGTCTCTCACCAGCCCAGAATTTCTAGTCCTGTTCTCGTATATCAGTCAATAAACCATCAATGCCTTCTTCTTTCTCCGGGAGAGAATTGTGGCTGTTTTCAAATTCAGCTCAAACGGTTGCTTAGACATCGAATCTGTGTCCGATAATCCACCGCTAGAACTGGTAAGTTCGCCATTGGACGCGAATATCGAGTTGTCGTCGATGATTGCTCCCTTCGACGTCTCTTTTTCATACTTCAAGCTCTTTTGTCTGTACTCAGGATGAATCTCGTCTGCATCTGGCATCTCGTCGTCCTCGGCCAACGCATCCAAATGCTTGTCACCCTTGTGTTGTTTCTGATACTTGAGAATAGCAGCCTCCTCTCCCATTCTGTGCACTGCAGCAGAAATATCAAACGCCTCTCTCATCGCGATAGCAGCTGGAGAGTACAAAGCCGGGTTCTGCTTCATGACGTGAGCCGGAACAGCACCACTCACTGAAGTTGGCTTTGGAGCGTAAATCATAGATCCTTGTGACGAATCGGACGACGCACTCAAAGGACCAGATCTTCCGGTCGAAATTGAATATGAAATGGAGTTCTTTTTGGATAACAGTTCTTGTTGCTGTTGTTGGAATTCTTCGGCCTGCTGGCAGCGTTTTGAAAACTCGTCAATCCATGGGTCGCTCAAGAAATCGTCAATGGTATATCTGTACCGTGGATCAACAGTAAGCAGCTTGGAGACACAATTTTTAGCGCCGTCGCTGATCTCATCCCACCATGGTGATAAGAACTCAAACTCACCTTTCGCCACCTTCCTGGTGAGAACATCGATTTGGTCGTTGAAAAATGGAGGGAAGCCACAAAGCAAAATATACAAAACGCATCCCAAAGCCCACATATCAACTTCCTCAGAATATCTCATATCTTTCACAATCTCGGGTGCAGTATAACCAATTGTACCACATGGCGTTTTCAGCGAGTTACTAGCAAATATCTGTTTTGATAATCCAAAGTCTCCGATTTTGATTGATCCGATTCCGGCACCACCCACATTTGGAAGGAATTCTCCTTCATCCAATTTTGAGTTCGGGTCGTCACTCTTGCGCAATTTTCTCGATTTTGAAGGAATGAACTTAATTGGGTTGAAGAAAATGTTTTCCGGCTTCAAATCACGATGAACAACACCGGCCTCTGTGTGCAAATACTTGATAGCCTCAGCGACCTGGATTATCACGTGTCTCGAAAGATCCTCGCTGAAATATGTGTACTTGACAATCTCATTAAAAATTTCGCCTCCAACAACGAGCTCTTGAACAATGAAATAAAACTCTTCAGTCTCAATGAAATCGTAAAACTTGACAATGCAAGGATGATCCAGCTGTCTCATAATAGTCACCTCTTTGAGAACAGAAGCTTGTTGACTTTTGTCCAGCTGGTATTTTTTAATCACTTTCACGGCAACCTCCTCTTGCAACTTGACATCCAAAGCCTTGTACACGGTAGAAAATGCACCCTCTCCGATCTTGTCAATCATCTGGTATCTTTCTAACACCTGTTTCTCTTCTTGTTTCTTCCTCTCTTCATTTTCTTCGTGGACCATGTCCTCTGCAAGCTTGGAGTATTCGTCTCGCCTCTGGTGACGTTTGCCCGATTGTGGAGGAACCTGGCCTGTTGTAACATCCGTGGAATACAAGGTGGCGTTGTCTGGGTCCAAACTCGTCACACTGATGTTTTCCATGCTCATAGGCTGATGATGAGGATGTTTACTAGCCGAGTGATTAGCGTTCCTTCCATGTCTGATAAATTGCTTAAAATTCTGGATGTTAGTTTCCAAACAAAACCCTGTCAAAGTCCGCATGTCAGGAACAGAAACATCCCAACGCTTGCCATCAAAACGGCCGCGCAAAATGGTCCGTCGGGTAAAATGTTCTTTTCCTTTCCATTTGCCTTCGAATGACTTGGGAGTACTTACTGAAAACATCTTGAAATTCAACTGTCAATGAATTGCAATACTTCTCTGCAATCAACCTTTCTTACTCAAATATTATATCAAGAATAGTAAGATCTCTCTGCTGCATAAATCAGGATGTTATTTTGCTACTTCTTCTGATTTTTCCCCTAGTTTCACAGCCATACTCAATTAGTAATGAAAGGCTGTGCAAAATAATTTATTTGCGATCAGTTGGACTTATCTAAAGCCTTGCCCTTGTGATGTCTTTGATAGGTTGTCAGCTGGACGAGCCGCAATTTGTGGTAAACCAACTTCCTACATTGGTAAAGTTCTTGAATGCCGTCAAGAATGATCCTTCCTTGATACAAAAGAAGGCAACTTCTAAAAAACGAACAATTGCCGATATACTAAGAGAACATCATGAATATTATGGAATCAGACCGAAAAAGGAGCTTGTATCCGATACGGTTCGCATAGACCTTGCTGAGAGATACATGTTTCTTGCAGAAAGTACTTTGTTAGGTGAGTTCTCAAAGATCATTGATTCAGATAATTTTAATCGACTTCAATCACTATACCATTCGGATCAAGATCCGGTCGAGCTGCCCCAGTTTGAGGTCGGACTTAAACTCCAGGACCAAGTAGTGGAAGTGTGGACAAATCCAAAAGGAAAACACAAGTCCTTGTTACTATTCAAGCTGCAGGTGGACCGACAGTATCTTCCATTCCTTTCGGCACAGCTGAATTTGGCAAAGAAGGCTCACAAATTGGACACAATCAAGTTGGACAAGCCAGCATTAAACCTAACGTTAAGTCTCGATAGACAGATCAACAAGCTAACGTTGGAATTTCGGATAGCATTCAAGATCGAGTTAAAAGAAGTGGTAGACTACAAATATCCATTAGACACAATCAAGAAGATCAAAGAGGTTTCTCTTTTTGTGTTCACTCCGGAGCTGACGGACTACCAAATGGCCCATTCTTCCAAGTCATTTCCGAAACCGTCGGAGTCATCATTTTACGATCTTGTCACATCAAATACAGAAAAACTCAAATACGGAGACACGCAGATCAAAATATCCAGTATTCGCAAAACTCTGATGAAGTTTCAACAACAAACCCTACAATGGATGCTCAACCACGAAGGTGTGAGGTTTATTGAAGGTACCGATACCATTGAGCGAGTTCCCGATCAAGCTTATGACGCTAAAAACCTTGATCTGATATCTGAGTCGCTGGACTTGGTTACATTTGGCTGGTCGTGCGTCCAGTCTCTTGCATCTGGAAATTATTACTGGTACAATTCGTACACAGGGAACATATGTTCCACTCAGACCGCTATTGACTATTTGACCCAATTTAATCGATACCCCAAGCATGCAAAAGCGCTTCTTTCTGAAGAGATGGGTCTTGGAAAAACAGTTGAAGTCATTTCTCTTATTTCCGTGAATCCAAGACCCGAACCATTTGGTATTCAAAAGATGGACATCTTCAATGGAGGTAGAATAGTCACGGAGTCCAAAACCACCTTAATCATCTGCCCCCAGTCGATCATTGGCCAGTGGAGGCAGGAGATTGAAGACGTTTCTTCATCTCTGAAGATAATGGTTTATGAAGGAATATACAACTATGAGAAAGAAGCAGAAAGCTCAAATTCCACATTGACTCCTTCAGATATGGCAGCAAAAATTAGAGAGCATGATATTGTTTTGGTTTCGTATCACACAGTTTCGCGGGAACTGCACCGGGCAATATTCAAGCCCGTTTCCAGACCTACCCGTAAATGTGCCAAGAGACTGAAATTGAATTCAGGAGTTATGGAATTGAAGGAAGAGTCAGCAGTCAAGGTTGAACAAGATGACTTCGATTTTGAACACACTGAGTACGAAAGAATTGATTATTCTTCACCTTTGATGCTTGTTGAATTTTGGAGAGTTGTTTTGGATGAGGTGCAAATGACAGCCAGCATGACCGCAAACGCCTCGAAATTTGCAAGAATCATTCCTCGTGTGCATTCCTGGGGTGTTTCTGGTACACTAATTAAGAATAATCTTAACGATCTTCACTCGTTGTTGAGTTTCTTAAGGTTGAATCCGATTGATCTTTACTCTGGCACAAGTGGCATATCTCCCTGGGTGAGTATTGTCACTGAAGCTCCATATTACCAATTTCAAAGACTTTTCAGCAAGATCTGTTTGCGGCATACAAAAAAAATGGTGGCAGATCAGATCAAGCTACCTCAACAGACAAGAATATTGTTGAGAATGCCGTTCACAGCTATTGAGCGCGACAATTATGATAATCTATTTTCCAACTTCTTGCGCCAGGTTGGGCTGAATGAGCAAGGTGAACCGGTCGTTGAGGACTACGAGCCGGCAAAGTATTACACCTACATGCGTCAATGGCTGATCAGGTTGCGCCAAGTTTGTTGCCACGCACAGCTCGGTACAGGACCGGGTAGCAGAAGGAGATTTGGTGGCATATTCTTCGGCGATGACAATGGACAAGACAAGTTTGGCATGATTTTGGGAACATTGGACGATGTTCTAGCTAATCTCAAGAAAGTCACTTTTGATGATTGTATTTCCGGAGAGAGAAACATTTACGGTCTACAATTACGGCGTGGAAAGATTTACGAGTTCTTGAGACTTCCTCAGGAGTCGTTGAAGATCTTTGAGGAAATCATGGCTGACATCGAGGCAAAGGTTGAGGAGCTACGAAACGCTGGAGAAGAGAATCTGCCAAAGTTGCGTTCATGGTTGGAATTACTCTATCAGACCTATTTCCTGTATGCATCTGCACACTATCAGCACTACAGACCAATGAGACCAATGCCAACGGGGTTTGATGAGAAGGGACATATACCCGAGGATGATGAAGAAGTTCTCAAGCCGGTTGAGGAAGTGGATGTGGATACACTCACCCCCAATGAGAAAAAGCATTACGAAATTGAAAATGAGTATTACCGCAGAGCAGACGACCTTCTGACGCAAATCTTGCAGGACCCTATCTCGAAGGTGAACGAAGCTATTGCTAAGCTCGTTGAGAGATTTGGAAGTATAGAAAGCTACAAATTCCCAACTTCGAGTGTGAAGAAGAACAATTCCGAGCTCTTAAAGGAAGCTGGTATTGAAAGTTCGGTAAATTTATGGAGAGCATGTATCCCATTTGATGTGGATGTGAAGGAGAATTACGCTCATTCGATACAGGCGCAAATGATCTTTGAACGGTTAGTGAAAACGAAAGCAGATATTAATCTCCAAGGGCATATGATTAATACATGGGTTGCAAAACTGGTGGAATTATTGAAAGAGCCGGTTGTGAAGGATGAAGAGATTCAGAATACTGGTGAGGAATATGGTGTTTCGTTAATCAATCAAGAACTCGCACATACTTATCTGGAGGAATTGCAACTGATTCTGGAGGATCGTGAAAACGCCATGATTTCAACAGACGATTCTGCCCAGAAGAAAAGCAAGTCATCAAAGGAAAAAGTGCTTGTTAATGTCAACCAGCCTACGAATTACGACTTGCATGTGCATCTTGACAAGATTCGAAGAAAAGTTATTCCTGAAGGTTGTTATAACGCTAAGTTTTGTCTCCGTGCGATCCTGGTTGAGTTTCAAAACCTTGTTGCCGACTTGGCCAGACATGATGAGCAAGGCAACGCCAAGTCCAGCGACTACGAGTTTATGAGTTCCGTTGCCAGTGACGTCAAGAAGGAGTTTGATTTGCAAAGGGTGAACATCAACCAATTGAGAACAAAGCTCTTTGACACGTTGAACGATACATTCAACGCTAAAATCAGTTACTTCAAGTCACTTCAAATCAAATCGGATATTGTTGCAAACTATCTGCCTGTTAGACCTGCGTTCTCGCCTGAAATGACCCCGAATGAAAAAGCGCAGCAAGATCTTCACACGCTTCAAATGGAAATCAAGTCATTGGAGGACTCTGTTAGATCAAGCAAAGTCAGATTGACATATTTGAACAGTCTTATTGGCGATACAGGTGGTGACGAAGATCTTGAAACGAAAAAGGAGAAAACATGTGTTATCTGTCGATCATCAATTGTTCTAGGCACTCTGACTTCTTGCGGCCACCAATTCTGCAAAGATTGTTTGGGCGAGTGGATGGGAGTCCATCCAACTTGTCCGATGTGCAAAAAGCGGTTGTTTGCGTCAGACTTGTACTCTTTCACTCTGACGAGAAAGGAGCTCAAGGGAGGGATGATCTCGGAGTCGCAAGATCCACCGGATTCGAAATCGTCGGCCGAGGTAGATCGAGACCTGTCGAAGCTCTACAAGTCGTTGAATCCAGCGATGTTGAAAGAGATCTCCTCCATCGAGTTGAAGAAGAATTACGGTTCCAAAGTGGATATGATTGTTCGTCAAATTCTCTATTTGAAACAGATGGAACAGGATGTTCAGATAATCGTCTATTCGCAATGGACAGAGTTTCTCAAGTTTCTTGGCAGAGCATTGCGTCAAAATGGAATCAGCTTCCTTTCATCTTCTGACGTTGCCCACGAGAACCCAAACACGAAACGTGGGAGAACCACTTTTGGTAGCAAAGAAATTGAGAAGTTCAAGAAAGACCCAAGAATCACGTGTTTTCTGCTGAACGCGAAAGCTCAAGCAGCGGGATTGACACTCACAAACGCCTCGCACGTGTTTCTGTGTGAGCCCCTAGTGAACTTGCCGTTGGAATTACAGGCCATCAGCAGAATTCACAGAATCGGACAGTTGAAAGAGACCAAGGTTTGGAACTTTGTGATTGAGAACTCTGTTGAGGAGTCCATCGCCATTTTGTCCACCGCGAAACGAATGGAGCTTGTGCGGAAACGGACTGCCTCACAGTCTAACATCGACGAGGTTGACGATGACCTTGTTGATTCCACAGAGCTCACAAAGACACTAAACGGTCTGGTTGACAAGAAAGTCAGCGGAGGTGAAGTAGTGTCAAACGACGAGCTCTGGGCCAGTTTCTTTGCCTCAAAGTCGGGCACCGTGATGGACTCTGTCGTGGCATGAATGTCTACACTCAAAACACAGTAATAGCGAGTAATTATCAGGAAAATCGGATCGCGAACGTAAATAGTAGAAGAAAAAGCCTTTTTACACAGCCAGGAAGCTGGTATCGTCAGAACCATTGTAAACTCTTCCGTCGTCGATCAAAGTGGCGATTTTTGGCTCGACCTCGTCAACTGCGATGTTGAAGTTCTGTGCAATGAGTTGCAATGGCACTCCGTCGGTCATCACGGCGCTGTTTTCCTGGACAAACTCAAAGATCTTCTCAAGGTCAGACTTAGGACCATCGGATGATCCATTGCCCACAAACAATGAGCCCTCACCAGATGTTCCATTAGAGTGGTTAGACTGCTTAGCGGATCCTTTGCTTTCCAGGTACACTTTGATGGCGCTGAGGAAATGGTAAGGAATCTCGTTGAAGTCCTTGACTTTCTGAACGGTCTGGGTCTGGATCTGTTTCTTGCCAGAGAATTCTCTGATTGTGGCCACCACCTTGACGTACTCGCCGGTAATGAACGGTTCGGGCTCGTTAGCTTCCTCGTCATTCCATTTTCTCACTGACACAACACCGGTACCGTCCTCGATCTTCAGCGTGGTGGACTGGGCTTGAGAGGATTCCAGCTCTCTGATGATCCCCACGAACGAGACATAGTACAATTCCAATCCGTGGGTCACAAATGGGGCGTCTGGCATCGATTGCTCGGCTTCGTTGATTTCCTTGATCGTCACTGGGATGATGCTCTGAGTCACAGATGATCTGTTTTGCGACGAGCTTGGCCCGTCAGAGGCAAATCCGCCACTGTTGCCATTGTAGTTCCCGTATCCTGTTCCGTCGGATGTGAAATTGTTGTATGGCTGATATCCACTCATATTTATCAAACACTAACTATTTACAATTGTATGGAGGCAAAATTTCTTTTCGTAATTTTTCGTGTCTTACGCGTCGCTGCAATTTCCACGACGCGCAGGATCAAATCAGTCGTCGCGTCGATCACTGATCAAGAATCTTGCGCAGACGATCAGGTGCCGTTCTTTCCATGCCCAGGTACTCCATGTCGTAGGTGGCTCTTCCTCTCGTGAGCGACCGCAGCTTGATCAGATACCCGATCATCTCCCGTAATGGTGCCTCTGCTCCCACCACCTTATTTCCAGATGCCTGTGCCGTTTTCATGTACATCAGGGTCGGGTCGTGGGGGATATACGTTTTCTCGGCCTGTTCTTTGGCCCAGATCAGACTCTCGTTGTTGCTGGTACTGGCCTCGTCATCGATTCCTGTGATTTTCGCGTTCCGTGCGCTCATCAAGTCCTGAGTCACCAGTCCCAGGTCTTGGTCGCTCACATACACAGACACCTTCATCACCGGCTCCAGCAAAGTGGTGCTGTTCTCGTCCAACGACGACAGCGCGTCCATGATGGTTGTTCTGGTGGAGTTAATCAAAGGCGAAATGCTGTTTGCGTCTGTGAGGATGGTCCATTTGTGAATCCGCACAATTATGGAGTGTAGTGGTAGCTTAGCCCGTTGGCCGCCAACTTGCAGAGCTCCATTGACTCCAGAGAGAATACCATTGATCATTGTTTCGTACGACATTGGCAACGACCAGATCTGGGCATTCAATGCCTTACGCACTGGTTCTGGTGTAGAAGACGGCTCAACTATCACCACGTTGTCATCCTGCTCCAAGTAGTAGACGCCTTCGTCTGGCAGTTCTAGGTCCTCCACGGGACCTTCAAACGACTCCAACGAAAGCTCCACCTCGAACCCGTCGCCAGTGTTGCTTTTGAACACTCCCGTAGGTACTGTGATGGTCTCCTTGTAAGTGACTCTCACTTCTCCAACCTCTGCGTTGGCTTTCATGTCGTTGATCAATCTATCTTTGGTGATGTCCAGATGTAGCTCGCCCATTCCAGAAAGAATGTTCTGGCCAGAGTCCTCGTCATAGCTCAAATGCAAACTTGGATCTTCTTTCAGAAGCGTGTCCAAACATGTCGTTAGTTTTCTGTTGTCAGAAACGGTGGATGGTTCTATCGAAACAGAGAACACAGGTGGAGGAATTTTGATTGGCAGCAGCTTTGCAGCCTGTTCTTTTGGAGAGAGCTGATTGGTGTTCTTTGATAGAGAATGCCCAATCAGAGTATCACCGGTCACAATCTGGTCTGTTCCAGTAATAACTCCAATGCTTCCACTTGACAGGTACTTCACCTCTTGAGGAACATCCGCGTTCATCAACAATAATTTGCCAATCCTAACTTTTTCTCCTGTACGACTGTTCAACACGGTAGAGTTTGGTTGCAACTTGCCGCTGTAAACTCTTACAAAAACCATAATTCCTCTTATTGGGTGCGAAATCATTTTAAAAGCCAAAGCTGTCATCAAGTTGAGGTTATTGTTGACCACCAATCCAACACGATTATCCATTTTCACCGGCAAAGATGTATCACTTGCCTGCAACTGCTTTCTCTTTTTGGTCTTTGTCTGGTGGATCGATGAGGAAGTAACTTCGGGCACGCTGATTTCCAACGGAGACGGTAGATAATCGTTAACTGCATCCAACAGAGGTTGAACACCGATATTTCTGAAACTGGCGCCGCATAAAACAGGAGTTGCAAACCCAGAAATACATGCCTGTCTAAGGGCGTTTTTTAGGGTATTGGCAGGCACTTCCATGTAATCCTCGGTTTCCAAGAACGAGTTGATCACGTTCTCGTCAAACTCTCCTAGCTGCTCAACAGCCGCTTCTCTGCACTCCAAGACTTGCTGGTATAGTTCTGGGTGCTCTGATTCGTTCGAAATGTCAATCACATTAACCTTGCTTCCGTCTGATCCCAAGTCGGTGTTATTCCAAATAAGCAGTTTTTTGTCGAAAACGTCAATCACTCCTTCGAAAATCATTTGTCCGGTAGAATTGTCCTTCACAAAGTACGGTACATTGACCAGCACCACTCGGGTGGCCAGTCTTGAAACAATCTCTTTCACTGTCCGTCCAAATCCTGCACCTTCTCTGTCCATCTTGTTGATGTATGCTACCACTGGAATATTGAGTTCCTTGGCCTGTTTCCAGACTTTCTCGGTCTGTGCTTCGACACCGGCCACCGCATCCATGATTGTAACCGCACCGTCCAAAATTCTCAACGACCTGATAACTTCGAATGTGAAATCGGCGTGTCCTGGCGTATCAATAAGATTGATCTTGTGCTTATTCCAAGGAATAGTAACTGCCGCGGATTGGATCGTGATTCCACGATCCTTTTCTTGGGACATGTAGTCTGTGACTGTGTCACCCTCGTCAACATTTCCAATTCTGCCGGTGACTCCAGAATAGTAAAGCATTCTTTCGGTGGTGGTGGTCTTACCAGCATCTATATGTGCAATGATTCCGATGTTTCGCACCTTGTCGAGAGGAGTCTTGAGCAATTCCGCATGGTGGTCTGTGGAGTTTCTGGCCAATGACGAATGGAACAGGCGTCGTCCTTGGCTCAAAAAGACAGACCCAAGTCTGACACCCCGGGAAATCATGACTGAAAAAATATTTGAGAAAAATAATTCGATACTCTTCCCAATGACTACGACCCCGTTCGATATTAAGAAGACCTATCTTAGGTTCCTTGAAGAGGATCCGGAGATCACAATGCCTGTGGCGGCTATTGAGAGTCTGGTAACGATGCTGAGAATCAAGCAACCGTCCACTTCTTCGGAACTCATAAATCTCCTATCAGACGCAACAACCCATCTGAAAACGTCCATTCCTAATGCCATTTCTCTCTCCGCCGGTTGCGACCTGTTTACGAGATTCGTTCTCAGAAATACACATCTATACTCCGACTGGGAATCGTGCCGAACTCATCTGGTGGAAAATGGCCAATTATTCTTGCAAAGAGCCAAAGAAAGCAGAGAGATGATCGCCCAGGTCGGTCTCAAATTCATCAGAGACGACGACACCGTGCTTGTGCATTCGTATTCGAGAGTCGTCTTGCACCTGCTGGTTCACGCCAAGAAGAAGTTTGTGCGGTTCCGTGTCTTTGTGACCGAATCCAAGGTAGAAAACGATGCCAACGAGGGTATCAAAATGGCCAACGCTTTGAGAGAAGAGGGCATCCCAGTTTGTCTGATCAATGACTCCCAGGTCGGTTACGTTCTTAATAAGGTCGACAAGGTGTTCATGGGAGCAGAAGGTGTATCTGAGAGTGGAGGTATCATAAACAGAATGGGATCTTACCAAATAGGAGTTCTTGCGAAGAACGCCCAGAAACCCCTGTATGTTGTTTCTGAATCTCACAAGTTTGTCAGAATGTTCCCATTGGCACCTGACGATCTCCCAGTGCCGCCTGAAGGCGCTCTCAACTTCTCTCTGGATACCACCAAGGGATTCAATGCTTACCATCATGTCGACTTCACGCCTCACCAATACATAACGGCTCTCATTTCCGATCTCGGTGTGCTCACTCCATCGGCAGTCTCAGAGGAACTGATCAAGATGTGGTACGGATGAACATAGATATTAATTAATAACGGCGTACTTTATTATTATTTAGTCGAACTTGGTTTTCTTACCCTTGGACTCCACAATGGCAGCGCTCTGTCTAGGAGCGTTAGCCAAGGCAACCGAAGAAACGACTCTCTTGGACGAGTCGCGGGCGCTGTAATTGTCTCTCTTGTCGTACTTTGGCTTCTTCATCTGGAATCCGCTGCTTCTTTCTCTCCCAGTGCCATATTCTCTAGGCTCGTGTCTTTGTGGTCTTTCCGTAGTCTCTTCAGCAATGGCAGGTCTCTCGCCAGTCTTCTTCCCAACCTTTCTGGCAGATCTGTCCTCACCATACTCCAATCTCAAAGGTCTGTTGATCAATTTGCGCACGGTTTTGTCTTTCAAAGCGTTGGTTGGTCCTTCAACGTCTCTGAAGTCTATAAAGCAGAACCCTTTACACTTGCCAGTATCCTCGAAAGTGGCCATTCTGATCTTCACTATCTCACCACAGTGTCTGAAATGCTCCTCCAACAGCTCCTCGGTGGTATCGAACGATAGGTTTCCAACAAACAAGATTCTAGAAGGTGGATTTTTTGACAATTGTTCTTCAGCTTTGGCAGGTCTTCCTTCAAAGGAATTGGCGTCCTTGATAAGCAGCTTGCGTCCGTTCAAGTTCTCCTCGGAAAGCGAAACAGCACTTTTCATCTGCTCGAGCGTCTTGAAGTCGATGTATGCGAAACCCTTGATTTTGTGGGCAGTCTTTTTCGGAATATTAACTCTGGTAATATCTTTCTCTTCAATAGGAGTTTCGGAATCCTGACTTTTGGCAACCAAAAACTGGATCAGATCCTCCTTAGTAGTATCATAAGACAAGTTTCCGATCCAAACACCAATCTTAGGCTCCTTTGGAGCAGACTCTGTCTCCTTAGGCTTCTCTTTCTCCTTTTCAGAAGCATCTGCACCCTTTTCTTCCTGAATTTCCTCAAGAGATTTCTTGCCCTTTTTCAACAATCTCTTCTCCTTCTTGGACAATGGAGCCTGCACATCGAGCTTGATCTCGAGCTCCTCCAGCTCGTCTGCTTTTCTCTTCGTCTTCTCAGGCATCACCTCTTTAAATTTTAACTAAAAACTTTTTTGCACTGCCAGGATCTAGACTATTGGATCTTGACAAGGTTACCCGGGGACCACACAATACGAAGCTGCCGAGTCCAAAACCTGGCGGATAGTACGTTCGAGTTTGGGTTGTGAACGTTTCGGGTTCATTTCGACAGGGTGCAACCATTTGTGACAAATTAGTTTGCCAAGTAATTAGGCCCCCTGGAAGGGCCCCGAACATGGATCTAGACCTCGCAATCTCGGGCAGTGTTCTATTTATAGGCCGTGCTGACGTAACGCAATTTGTTTTTTTTCGTCTCCTCGTTTGTTTATTTTTGTAACAATAGTGGGAATGAAGGTCCCCAAGTTGGATATTTTTATAAATTGATTTTTATACTTCCTTCATTTTCGGAAACAACAACTTTCAATCGTTTAGTCCGTGTGATACCATTCTGAGATGAAGTTTGCAGCATCCATTTTGTCCGCACTAGCGTTGACCATCGTTAAGGCAAACGCCGAGGCTAGCGTAAGTGAAATCATTTCTTTTTCGACAAACACTAAGTACTAACATATTCTATAGTTGGGTTTCAACTTGGGAGTCCAAGCCAACGACGGCTCTTGTAAGACCGCCTCTGATTACGAGTCCGATTTGGACACTCTGTCCGGTCAAGCTCAGACCATCAAGACTTACGCTGTTGCATCTTGTAACACTCTGCAGATTCTGGGACCTGTTGCCGAAGACAAAGGTTTCACCATCACCTTGGGTATCTGGCCAACTCCAGACTCCACTTTCACTGCTGAGAAGGAGGCTCTTTCTTCGTATTTGCCAAACATCTCGAAGAGCACCATCAAGGCCTTCACCGTTGGATCGGAAGCTCTTTACAGAGGTGACCTGACTGCCTCCGAGCTGGCCAACGACATTTCCGAGATCAAGAAGCTCTTGTCCGGAATCAAGGACAAGAACGGTGACTCTTACAGCGACGTTCCTGTCGGAACTGTTGACTCGTGGAACGTTCTTGTTGACGGTGCTAACGCCGATGTCATCAAGACCGCCGACGTTATCTACGCCAATGCCTTCTCTTACTGGCAAGGACAGGCCATGAACAACGCTTCGTTTTCTTTCTTCGATGACATCATGCAAGCTCTGCAGACCATCCAAACCACCAAGGGTTCTACCGACATTGACTTCTGGGTTGGTGAGACCGGATGGCCTACCGAGGGAGACAACTACGAATCTGCTCAGCCATCTGTTGACAACGCCGAGCAATTCTGGAAACAAGCTGTCTGTGCTATGAGAGGATGGGGTGTTAACACCTACGTCTTTGAGGCCTTTGACGAGTCTTGGAAGCCAGACACTTCCGACTCCTCCGCCGAGAGATACTGGGGTGTGTGGACCGATCAAAGATCCCAAAAATACGACCTGGACTGTGACTTCTCGTCGTAAAAGCTATTAAGTATTTTACTTCTATCGATATACTTAGATGATTTGTTTAAATTATCAAAATACAGCTACTGATACTAGCAAACTGAAGTTTTAATAAATCTTCTTCTTCTCGTCAACCGACAACTCTCCAGCACCGGTGTCCACAATCAAGAGCAGTCCACCAACAATACTGAGTGTTTGGAAGAACTCGTATCTGAGGTAATCTCTTCTGGTGTCTTTGTATCCGTATGTCCAGTAGTGGTTTGTGGTGATGTTGAAGACTGTGAGCAATAAAGTCAGGATAGATGCGCTGAATTTTGTCTTGTAACCAACGACGATCGACAGACATGAGACGATACCGACCACAATAACGAGGAAAGTGAACAGGTTCCATTTCACGGTCATGGTGAAGGCCAAGAAAAGCACAATCAGCAAGATACGACCAACAAGCAAGAAATATTTCTTGTTGTCCTTGGACTCCATCAAAGGCAGCCCTGGCATCAGCAAGGATCTCTTGTCAACGACCAAGGAGTCTGAAAGAGCCAGCAACAGACCTCCGATCACCGAAACGTTTCTCAGGAAAAAAATTGGCTCAAAGAAGAGACCGTAGACGAACCCTTGCAGAAGAACAATCGACGACAACAGACCGGTGGCGATCTCTGGTTTCTTTCTCAGAACCACGAGAACAGCTCCTGCCAACATCGAGATGATGTTGACAAACAAGAACACCCTCACAAACCACTCGTATAGATGTCTGTACGTGGCAAGGTAGTACACCTGTTCCTTCCACTGGGACATGATCCGGAGCGAGTCTTCGAAAAATGTGGCCACAATGAAGAACCGCCCAATGAATGGTACGTACGGCTTGGCTGGACCAAGGTGGTTGTCGATAAGTTCGTCCACTTGTTTGGTGAATTTTTCAAATTTGATGACATACGGGTTGTCTGAAGGGATCATGCTTGCGATTTGATCCAAAGCAGACGATGTTGATTTAGCGAACGAGGGTTGTTTCTGGACTCCTGGTTGGGGATCGAAGCTGTCCCTCTTACCGCCCGGAAATTGTGTGCCTCTGAATTGCATCGTTTTAGTGTGTTAGCCTGGTACGGACAAGTTTTTTTCCCTGGTGATTTGTTTACATCATCCTGTTTCAGAAGGTCGATTTCCCAATTGGCATTCTTCGGCTTTAAGATGTCAATTTTGTAACTACGGTTCTGGTGGGTTTGATTACATTGATTACAGTCGGTCGCAATTGACGGGCCAATTTACGCTTTTAAAGTTGCTGGATCAATTTGCCGTCCTCTAAAAATAATTACCCAAACTGTCACAGTGTTTGCATTCTGGAAAAAAAAACCAGTTATTATTCTTTGCATCAACTAATTGGTATTATTTACACGTTAATCCACCATATAAACAGACTCCAGGTCAAACGACTCCACCAGCTCTCGCTGTGATCTCACCTGTTTGGTCAGCTCGCGATAGAATCCCAAACTGATCTCGCTCGTCTTCAGGTCTGTCAGAACCTTAGACCGTCTCAGCGACTGCTTCTCAACCGTGGTTGCAAAAGCGTTCGACACGTCCTTGGCCGGGTAGTTCAGCACCTTGCGCACCTCCTTCGAGATCCGCAGTGAGTTCATATTCTCGTAGTCCTCCTGCTCGATCTTCTTCTTGATCTTCTTCACAACCTTGCGCTGGTACGCGTGCGGAGCATCCTTGTACATGTAGTAAAGAGGCATTCCAATGGCAACACAAACTAAGGTTCCCGGTATCACCTTCTTCAAAATAACACCAGGAATATAGGACGAGAAAGATGCAATACCGGTCACCGTGGAAACCACGCGAGGCCCATACAACAACGCCATGCTCGATATTCCGCTAGCCCAGAACTTGTTAGCGGTCAATCCAATCAACAGGTTTGTTCTCGAGTCTGGAATAGTAACTCCGCAGATCTTGCAGAAACTCTCAAAGTTAGGATCAATGAAATCAAGCACCGACACCTGGCTTTCAATGTGTCGTTGCAAATTGTCTTTTCTCTTGGAATACATCGAGCTTGGAATGAATTTAGTGTTTGGTAGAACACCTTCGCCCAGAGCTTCGATTCCAATACTCTTGATATCGTTAATGGCCTTTTCTGTCTCAATCCGAGCGTGCTCCTCAGAAGCATTCACGCTCTCCTGGATTTTGTCAATGATCTTCTCTTGAGCAAGTCTTGCGTATTGTGCAATGTTCGAGTACCCCTCAAACTCGATTCCCAAACCCATGTGATCCACTTCGTTGATTATCTGGTTAATCTGGGTTTTGGAGTAGTCGTAGACTTTCTGAGAAACCGACTCAACGAGCCTCAAAATTCTTTCACTGGTCTTTGCCGACGACTGGAGAATGGCCTCATACTGAGGACCAATCTCCTTGAGCTCCTTGGCCCTCTCATCTCTCGTCTGATCATAAAGCTTCTCGTTCACTTGTGAAAGCTCGATGAGGTCAGAATAGAGCTTTATCAAATAGTTCTTGGCCGGAAGCAGTTTAGATAACGACCGCTTCTCCAACACGAATTTTCTGAGTGATGCCTCCAACTCATCGAAGTCTGGTGAGTTGGGTTCCCCATTATCTGGTCCATCGTCGGGGTCTCCACCGTCGGGGTGATTGTTCAAGACTTCTTTCGAGGAAACAAAGTGCACAAAGTTGGATGAATTTTTATGTGTTTCTGGAGATAAACTCTGAACCTGATCCATGACTTTCTGCTTGCACTTGTCCTGGTCTTTAATATTGTCAAACTTGTTAACAACAATGAAAATCAAGTTCTTGTCGTTGTTTACGCTCGAAATGAATTCTCTTCCAGATAGCGTGAAGTGGTTTTCGGCGTTCACGACGAAAACCACCAGATCAATTTCCTCCTGTCTCGAGAAGACTTGTGTGGTATGATAAGAGTCCAGATTGAGACCCGGAGCATCTATGAGCTTGATATCGATGACCCCGTTTTTCAAAAGTGATTGATTCACTGGCCGGTTATCGGTGACATAAACAATCAACAGCGAATAAACGTCACTTTGGTACACCAGCTCGTCAAGTCTCTCCAACGGGAAAATCTCATAGGATCTTTCATCATTCTTCAGGTAGACTGACCCGATCGGAACAGCATGAACTTCTTCAATACCGTTGTTGTTTTCACGAGCATCTATTATCTCGCAGAAAACGTTGGTGCACGGCTGTTGGTCTTCTGGGAGCACTTTTCTTCTAAGAAGAGCGTTGCAAAATGCCGATTTTCCTGAGTTCAAATCACCTGTGACCAACACCTTCGATGATGTGTCGTCTATTCTATCCCTCAACGACCTGAGGTGTCTTTTGATGTGACTAAACTTCTCATTTAAAAGCTGGGACAAAGCAGACTTATCCAACGTTTGGAGCAAGTTTTCGGATCCAGGACCAATTTTGAGGTTTATCTTCAGTAGTTCAAAACTGAAGCCTTCTGAATCACGGTTGCTAATGAGATTATCGGGACTGCTGATCGAGTTTTGTCTTATTAGGGCAAGCTTGGAGCTTCTGGAGTTCAACTTGGAATCGATGGTCTCATCCTGTATGTTTGTAGGATAGAAAATTGGGCGCTCGTTGTTCTCGGATTGCAGCTGGTTCAAGATGTCTGTTGCAGTATTGATAGAGCGGTCTAACGATATTCTGTTCTCGTTGTACTGGATCTGAGAAAGGTGTGATCTTGCAAGATCCGTTTCCCGTCTGGTGTTATGGTTCAAAGAGGAGATACCGTTCTCAGTACGAACTCCGGGTTCACCGTTTACCAATGTCTGGCCGTCAAGAGTACCTTGTTGCCTATTAAAATTGGCCAAGGCGGGCTCTCTTAGGTCTCCGCTTGACCCAATAAGGGTGGCGTTATCATCCTGGTCGGCCTCTTCTGACTCGGAATTTATTAACTTGGAGCTATCTTCAACCTTGTTGTGACTCATTTATGTTTCAGTTGGCTGCCTTAAAAGACAAGCTGTCAGATATTCCACTGCTGATCAGAGCAAACTAAATAAACAGGTTCAAATTAAAGGTTAATTCCCCATTTATTTTTATTACGTCAGGAAAATTTTTCTATAATCAATGTCTTTTAGAAAGCGAGGAGAGATAGTCAGTGGACCGTCTGCGAGGTCTCTTCCAATTTCAGGTCCGGGAATTCCACGGGGCCTTCCAGGTAGGGCTCCTGTTGTTGGGGCAGGACGAGTCCCTTCACCTTTAACCGCTACTCGTAAAACTCCCGAGAATCCACTAAAAAATCATCCTGGTGTCAGACCGTCTATATTAAACTCACAGCCATGCATCTCGGTAGGGTCCAGCGATATCGACGGAATAATTGGTCACCAGGGCCTTCCTATTGGATCTTTCTTGCTGATAGAGGAGACAGGAACAACGGATTTCGCATCAACTATAAGTAAGCTTTTCATGGCTCAAGGAATTGTGCAAAACAGACTCAATCAATCACAGCAGAATACACACGAAATACTTATAGGTCTTGATCAGCAATGGGCAAAGACACTTCCTGGTGTTTACAAAGGCAGTAAAGAGAAGAAAAAGGAAAGGGTGCAGCAAAACGAATCAAAGGTTAGTGTCTCTAATTTAGTTGATCAGAAAAACGATCTGAAAATTGCTTGGAGATACGGCTTGAACCAGAAAAAGACTGAAACTGAGGATAGCTCTGTTGACCAGTACCCCAATTACTCAAATCAGTTTGACATCACTTCCGTGATGACGGTCGCTCCAGGGCCGAACGAATTGACATGTATTCCAATTGATGATCTGAACAGAGCACTCAAGAGAATCGAGGAAACAGTGATGCGAAACCCATCCAAAGTGATTAGAATGTGTGTTCCACTGTTTCTAAACCCTATGATCTATCAAAACGGACTATCGGCGCCTGAAATCTTAAAATTTGTCCATGGACTGAAGCAGATTCTTAAGAAATATCCAGATCAACTAGCTTTGCTGATGACAATCAACCTTGATCTGTATCCTCGATCCAACGCTCTTGTAACCTACATAGAGCAGATATCCGATGCCGTGCTTGAGCTGAGACCATTCAACCCAAAGCTCCACGAGTTGATGGAAAGAGTGTACAAGAGTCAGCCGGCCAAGATCAAGCATGGTCATTTGAACATTCACAGTCTTCCGGTGCTGGCGGAGTCGGGACTGATGTGTGTTCAAGAGATGGAGTACAGCTTTAAGAACGGCCGCAAACGGTTCGAAGTCGAGAAATGGAGCATTCCTGTCGAAGACGAGGAGGAGAAAGAGGAGAAACTAGATTTCTAACAACGCTAATGACGCCACCGCTACTAATAGTTTTAAAAACCAATTCCATTCACATCCATTCATTCTACGTAATAATCGTTAAAAAACCTAGGGGTGTACTTTGCACCCCCTCATCTAAATCAAATGCAAAACTGCTAGCAGTTACTCATTAACCGAGTTCAATTGAACCTCATGAAACTTCTCCTCATTCTGAGAATGGTTGGAAGAACGTCTCTCCTTCTTAAAGACTGGAGGGATCTCGCCGTCAGTGATCAAGTCTTCCAGCTCGTCACCGTTCTTGCCCCAGTTACCTTTACCAAAGCCACCCTTTTTGATATGATTCGGAGCTTGGTCAGGGAACCCATTGTGGGTGAAGTATCTTGGCTCACTGTTTGAGCCCTTATCGTTCCATTTTTGTGTTCTTGCCATTTTGTGTTGTTGTGTCTATAATTCTATACGACGGAATTTGACTCCTATATATACTGCTGGGGTAGAAAACTGTGGAAAAATCGTGTCATTTCCAAGCAATGTCATCTCTTGTGACTAAAATCGGTGCACCTGTGCCTCAACCAAAATTAAAAATTCCGTCATAAGCCGCCCGCCTTCCCCGCGCAAGCGTCACGATATGAGTGCTATTTTATTATTTAGGAACAATTCAGCCCCGAACATGCGTAGAAGGTTCAGAAAATGTTCCCGGTGTTCACCGTATTCCGAATCTTTGAAATTAAACAGCTCGAGATGCTGGCTGCTTTCGCCCAAGATGAAACAATAGCGGAAAAGTAATGCCAATTTCCCCCGCTCCAAATCTTCGGAAACCTGCCTCAAGGGGAGAAGACCGGGACACACCAAAGGCAGCTTGGTTGCATAGGGATCTGAGCATGGTTTCCATAGATCTGCATCGGTCTGTTTGTTGTAAAACTCTAATCCGAAATGTCCACCAAGACTTTTAGCTGTTTTCTCACTGGCTGCAAACCCAACTCCATTAACTCCATAGAGATGTTCGGCAACGTTGGATTTATCGTCCAGAAGCCCGATCGTATTGGTTGGTGGAATAAAAATCTCCTCTTTGGGACTGGCATCTGTGCTCATGGCGATAAGTCCATTGCAATTGGTGACGGTCTTCAATCTGTCGAGCTCGTAATACTTCAACGATGTGACGTCGAGTATTTCGCCGCCAAACTTGGCCTTGTACCGCATTTTCTGACAGTCATCAATGTAATAACCCAAGTAGTAGTATTTTTTCGAAAGCTGCTCGGTTAAAACGCATTCTCTCAGAGCACTGAGTGTGCCGAGACTGAGATGGGCGTAGTCTGGATCCCAAATGAAGTACACCGATGACACGGATTCGGGCAACAAGTCCAGAACAGCAATAGCAACCAGTTTGTCGTCAATGTAGTAGCACTCATGAACAGGTCCTTCAATTGGAAGTCCTCTGATGGTGGACAGCTTCTTGGTTCTCCAAGTGTTGAGACGTTCCCAATACGATTCCGGTCTCAATTCGCCATATTCCATGGGGAAAGAAGACTCGCATAGAAAGTTCTTGAATCCTTTCTCGCTTACCTCCTTGGGGTCTTCGTTGTGAATAGTGGTTTGGTATTTGAAATACAGTGCATATTTTTCAGGGGTAAATTTTGGCGGTCCAATCACTGATCTGAACCGCTCTGTGCTCAGTTCTGATTGTATGATAATACTGTGGAGATCAAATCGCTCGTTCTTCCCTTTTTTCGGCTCTCCACAAATATACTTTACGAATTTGTTAACTGTGTGTCTGTGATCTTTGGAAGGGCGGAGCATATGCAAGTTAGATCTGATGGTGTATGATCGACAGCATCCACGTAAGGGATCTTGTCTGTACAGGAAACTGCCCGAGCGTCTAAAGCCCCTGTTCATCATTGACTCGTAAACTTCGGGTGTGCTCATGTAGACATGACAACAGATCATACCAGGGGTCGGGTACCCCTGAAATGGGGCAACTCCGGCTTTGTATTTCTCCTCGTACGAGGCCAGTGAATAGGCTTGGAGATCTGGATCTTTCTTGCCATGGCAATAGCCACACTCCTGACCAACAATGTATAATGGAGTGCCCACAGCTAAATCCATTGAAAGATATTTTTTTTCTGCGAGTCTGCACTTTTCAATTAAAGAATTGTCACCTTATCATGTATTTGATGACCAGATGGCGTGAATTGGCGTTGCAACCAGAAAATCAATTTACTTCACGTTCTGTGATTACTAAATTTCTCTCCGCAAAATTAGCAATCTTACTAAGTGGTGCCGAAAATGAATAATCTGCAGGCATTGCTACAGAAATTATTTATAAGGGGAAAATTGGCCTCATTAATTCTAACATTCTACTATGAGCGAGAACAAAATTGAGATCCACAAGTTTGCCGATTCCGATGGACAATATAAGCGTAAACCAAGTACCTTTAGAGACTTCATTTCGGCCAAGGAAGGCGCCAAGTTTCCTCCAGAGGCAGGAAGATATCACTTGTATGTCTCATTTGCTTGTCCTTGGGCCCACAGAACATTGGCTGTCAGATCTTTGAAGGGATTGACAGCTTTGATTGGTGTTTCCGTTGTTCATTGGCATATGGATGACAAGGGATGGAGATTCCCTTCGGCAGATGACCCATGTGAAGGGGCCACTGAGGATAAAATCTATGGGTACAAGAGGCTGAGTGAGCTGTACTACAAAGCAAACAAGGACTACAATGGAAGATTTACCGTTCCTGTGCTCTGGGACACCAAGACTCAAACAATTGTCAATAACGAATCGTCCGAGATCATCAGAATCTTCAATTCTGGATTCAACTCGTTGCTGGACGAGAAGCACGCTCAGATCGACATCTTCCCGACTCACTTGCAACAAGAGATTGAGGGACTGAACGATTGGATTTACCCAACCATTAACAATGGTGTCTACAAGACCGGATTCTCCACCAAACAAGAGGTTTACGAAAAAGAGGTGACCACTCTGTTTGAGCACTTGGACAAAGTAGAGGAGATCCTGAAGAAACGGCATCATGCCGGTGAGCATTACCTCACAGGAAATCATCTCACCGAGGCCGATGTGAGACTGTATACTACAATTATCCGTTTCGATCCGGTCTACGTCCAGCACTTCAAGTGTAACCTGAAGATGATCAGATATGAGTATCCTCACCTGCACTTGTGGGTTAGAGAGCTGTACTGGACCATCCCTTCGTTCAAGGACACAACAAACTTCGATCACATCAAGTTCCATTACACAAAGTCGCATCCTGGTATCAACCCTCACCAAATCACCCCACTTGGTCCAATTCCAAACATCCATCATTTGGACGAAGACTAAATAACTAGTATTTTATATTTCACTGAATTTAAATTTTAACGATTTAGTGAAATGTTTAAATTCGTTCGGCAAAAGTTCGTCCCACTTGCTCGACTTAGTTCCAGTACAGGTGCAAAGACAAACCCTCCGGCGAGTCTTCTTGAACTTCGGGTCGGCAGGATCATCGATGTTCAGAAGCACGAATCAGCCGACAAACTCTATGTGTCTAAAATCCAATTGAACGAGGAACAGTCCCCGAAAATTGTCCAGGTCTGCAGTGGGCTTGTCGACTACATGTCGATGAATTCGCTTCTCGATTCGAGAGTATGCGTGGCTGCTAATTTGAAGAAAGCCAAATTGCGCGGAGCGGTTTCGGAGGCCATGGTTTTGGCAGCATCAGATGCCAATGACACCAAAGTCGAACTTGTTGTTCCGCCAAATTCCGTGCCTTTGGGGACTCTCTTGTATTTTAAAAACCACAAACCGACAGATCCATTCAAAACCCTGAACACCAAGCAACGAGACCGGATCCTAGACAATCTTTACACCAACAGTAACAGAGAGGTGTTCTACGGAGATGATACGTCGTCGATATTGATCAATGAGCATAACGAAGACCCTTGTACCGTGGAGACTCTAGCTTCTTCTAAAGTCCGCTGATTGTCGCAGACTCAGCACAGCCAGAGCGAAGATGGAAAATAATTGTGCGGCTTTTGCAGGCGCAGGCACGTTAAGAAGCGCTACAGAAAAAAGGGCTCGTCCGGTCTTGATAGACGTCTTCGGGAACCGGCATTTTCTCCCAAAAGGGGCCCCCAAAATTCGTCGCGAGCTTGATGTTTTGATGCCGAACAAACTGAGCATAGTTGTCAGGCACAATTTCAAATTTACTAATTTTACACGGCACTGTGTGTTTGCGGCGAAGCCCTCGAAAAATTTCAGCCGGTCGAATTTGGGGGATCTTGGTATCCAAGGATTGGGGTTCAATCAACAGGCCCTCCTATTTCTCAACATATTTGAGTACCGTAGCATGTAATCTACAAGGACCGAGCTTGTTTGGCTCCAAAACCCAATTTTTGGCTGCTGCCGAATAATAAAACGCCACACACTAAAATAAAAATTTTGTTGTTAAGAACTTAAAAGATTCCTTCTTTTGTTGTCGCCGTCGTCAATTGAAAATCGATCGAATTTAAAGATCAACACAGTACAACATATTTCCAAATCGTTGGAGTATCTTAAGAAAGTATCTCCCAAAAGCAGAGTGGATTGTATTTGAACCGTCGGGCCGCTCGTTAGCAAAAAATGTCTAAACAAGCTAAAAACCCATCCATCGCTAAACTGGTCGATACCGCGGCCGTAAACGCAGAACAGGGCCAAGGGCCGCAGTCGAAAGCTGATCCGAATAATAAGTTTGCTGCGCCGTCGTCAGCGTCGTCGGCGTCAACTTTTTCATCCAACGGTATTCAGGCTCAACAAGCGGCTCAACAGGCCAATTTCCAAAATAACGGTGGGCAATATTTCCCAATGCAACAGCAACAGCACCCTCAGCAACAGATACCTCAGCAGTATGGTACCAGTTTTCTGCCTCCTCCTAACCCGATGAACGTGCAACAACCGTACTATATCCCGTTCTTCCCAAATCCTTACTACAACCCTTCGCAGCAGCAACAACACATATCGCAACAGCGGTTTTCGTCAGGGATACAACCCACTTCGATGTCACCCAACGGATCGATCAAATTGCCTACATTTTCCGGCTCGGATGCCTATTACCAGAAAGGCCAACAGGGACCACAGGCTCCAGCGGGCGTTGAAACAGCCGCACAAGGGCTGATCCCCCAAAACTCTGGATATATGGAAGCAGGGGCCGAGGCTGGTGGTGCTTTAAAGCAAAATATATATGAAGGTATCTCTCCATCAAAGAGAGCACAACAGTCGGTGGATCCTGACAACGAGTCCAAGCCTTACAAATGTGCCCAGTGTGACTGGGCTTTTATTCGTCACAGCGACTTACGCCGTCACGCAAGATCGCACGGGTCTCCTGAATACCACTGTCCTTACTGGCATCCGGAGTATGCCACGTGTCCGCACAGAAATCAGGGATCATTCAATAGATTGGATGTTCTGAAGAGACATCTGCGGTTGGTTCATTTCGACCCTGAGGTGAAGGAAGAGGGAAGAGAGAGCTTGGTAAGACGACAGGACACGGGTACTTGTTTGTCGTGTGGCAAATACTTTGTGAACAGCAAGGCGTTCATTGACCATGTTGATGACTGTGCTCTGAATACCCCTATGGAGCAATGGAGATTCAAGAAGAATGGTATTGTCACCAGTGTCAAGAAGGATGGAAACAGAGGGTTCGATGAGGGTCTAGAGCCTAATTCGGAACACCCATATCAGAACAACATAGAACAGAGAGTTCTTACAGGAGACGACATTCTAGAGAAGTCCTCAGGTTTAAAATATAGGGAATCAGAGTCTGAGCCAGTGGAAGCAGATGCCGTTAACAACAAAAGATTGGCTTCTTCACTCGACGGCAGCAAAAATGCTAGCCACAATTATCTGAAGCGCCCGAGAGGACGACCAAGAAAGCTTATGTCATGAGGCGAAATGGCATTTATAAGTTTTATTGTTGATTGTACAATATTTTTTTAACGGTTTTTGTAGTTAGGAAAAATTATTTTTCCCAAAAAGGACATTACACGGATAGAAGACCTGGAAACACTTATTCAGACCGGAGACTAAGTGCGAGTTAATGGGCTATAGAAAGAATGAGAGGTAAGCGGAGGCTTGAAAGTACGAAATGCTAACGAAGTAGACTATAAATTGGTTGTTTTAGGAGCAGGTGGTGTTGGTAAGTCCTCGTTGACAGTCCAGTTTGTGCAGGGGGTCTACATCGAAAGTTACGATCCCACCATAGAAGATTCTTACACAAAGGAAATTGAAGTCGATGGGCGAGCATGCAATCTGGAGATTTTGGACACTGCGGGAGTGGCACAATTCACAGCGATGAGAGAACTGTATATTAAATCGGGTCAAGGGTTTCTCCTTGTGTACTCGGTGACCGATAAGAGCTCCATGGAGGAGCTTATGGCTATCAGAGAGCAGGTCATGAGAATCAAAGACACACAGAACGTGCCTATGGTGTTGGTCGGTAATAAGTGCGATTTAACCAACGACAGAGAGCTTACACCTGAAGATGGAATTGAGGTATCTAAGAAATGGAACAAGACTCCATTCTACGAAGCGTCTGCTATGTACAAGATGAACGTTGAGGACGCCTTCATTGACGTGGTGAGACAGATAATCAGAAAGGAGGCTCAGGCATCAGCCCCTACAAGAAGCGGGTCAGGAGCACAGCCAAAGGAGGAGCAACCTGCTGCGAAATCTAGAAAACCGTCCGAGTCGGTTAAGCAGCCGCCGCCTGCCAAATCGAGTACGGTGGCCGACGCTAAAAAGGCGAAGAAGCTCAAGAAGAAGAGAAAGTGTGTAATTTTGTGATGCTACGACATCTAATTTGTGATAATATGACAATTTTCCGTGTTGCTTATAAAAACGTCCGGACAGGCACCACTCGGTGTTTTCTCACTGAGAGGAGCTGCGAAAAAAAAATTGAGAATTTCAAGTACGAAAAAAAATTGACAGCCGTGGGGTTCGAACCCACGCCTCCGAAGAGACCAGGACCTTAACCTGACGCCTTAGACCACTCGGCCAGACTGCCAACTTGTACTCTTTACACAAACACTCTAACATACCGTGTATGCGCTGAGCAGGGCAGAATTTTTTCGGCATTGCACAGCTCTGCAGTGCACCCGGTAGCCTGATCGATAGTAAGTTGCGTTTCGTAATTAAACGACCTCCATATTAGGAAAGATCTATTGACAGCGATTTATTCGAACTCCGAACTTGCTTGTCCAATCACCCAAACGCTGCTCTTCTTGGCGGGGCAGCAATTGCCTTTTCTGAACAACTGAGATCAGGCCATACTATAAACGTGACGTAGACTCGTAAAATTTCGTATCGGGAAATCACAGTTTGACCCATGTTCCGATAAGCCAGAGAGTATAAATATAAGTAGCTGTCGGTGGTGTCTTTTACCATAATAGAAAATGATGAAAGCATTGTGCTACTCGAAGCCTAACAGTATTGCATGGAAATCTGTGCCCAAGCCAGTGATCAAATTGCCTGGCGACGTGATTGGCAAAGTTCTTGCAACCACCATCTGTGGAACCGATCTTCATATTGTTAAAGGTCACGTTCCTGAGAGCACAGCGACTGCCGAAGCAAGTCCTGACAAGGGCCTGATTCTTGGCCATGAGGGAATTATCCAGATCGTCGAGACAGGTCCATCCGTGAGCAAGTTCAAGCAGGGAGATGTGTGTGTTGTGTCGTGCATCACGTCCTGTGGCGATTGCTACTATTGTGCCAAAGACATCCAGGCACATTGCAAAAAAAGTGAGGGTGGCTCTGGCTGGATATTGGGCCACACAATTGACGGAACACAGGCAGAGTTTGTGAGAATCCCGTTCGCAGACCATTCTCTCTACAAAGCTCCTCAATCGCTCTCTTTTGACTCGCTGCTCATGTTGAGCGATATCTTGCCAACTGCCTACGAGGTTGGTGTTCTGGCAGGTCACGTGAAGAAAGGCGACACGGTTGCAATTGTCGGACTCGGACCTGTTGGTTTGTCAGCTCTCATCTCGGCAAAGGCCTTGGAACCAGCCAAGATCATTGCCATTGACCTCGATGACAGCAGACTCCAGGTTGCAAAGGAAATGGGAGCTGACGAACTGATCAATTCGTCCAAGGTGGACGCCAAACAGCAGGTCCATCAGCTAACAACCTCCGACATCAAGGACTCCGGAGTCGACGTTGCTATCGAGTGTGTCGGTCTGCCTCCTTCTTTCGAGCTCTGCGAGGAGCTGATTGCTCCTGGCGGCCATATCTCCAACGTTGGAGTCCACGGATCCCCAGTGCAGCTGCAGTTGCAAAACCTGTGGGGAAAGAACGTCTCTCTTTCCACAGGACTAGTCTCTGCCTACTCCACACAGGCTCTTCTCGACAAGGTGTTGGAGAAGAAAATCAGCCCAGAGATTCTTGTCACCCATCATTTCAAGCTCGACGAGTTTGAAAAGGCATACCAGGTGTTTGGCAACGCTGCCGCCAACAAAGCCATCAAGGTGGTGCTTGGCTCCGATCATTAACGACCATCTCTTATTTTGATTAATGCTATACATTTCTTGACTCTTCATCCGGCTTGGCCCCTGTATTCTTGTACTTCTCCTCTGAGCGTTTCTTCTCTTCTGGATCCAAAACATTGATTCCTCCTTGAAGCGCACGAGAAATCGCCTCAGTGGTTCCAATTATCGGTCGTATCATCATAATCGGCGTAGCTTTGGCAAATTCCTTTGCTGCAACCTGTGCACTGCCACTGCGTGCTGCACGCGTACCAGCAGATACAATCGCTCTCCTGGCTGTATCCAGATTCTTGCCAAACGAGGTGTATGCGGTTTGCAATCCTTCGTTCAAGTTCTCTGGTTGATTGGAGTAAAGACTCACAATCTTCTGGCTCTCGCTTTCCGAATCCCACGTATACTCGTCATCCAGATCACTATCACTTTCCAAAACATTGTTGAGCTCGCCCGTGCTTCTGAAGCTTGAAGGGATGATGAATTTAGTCTTCTGAATTTGTTGGTCATCTTGCAAACTTCCTTGATCGAGCACTGGATCTTCGTCAAGAAGCTCCTCTTCGTCTCCATACGAGTCAAATGAACCCCTATGATATGCTACCGTGTTCAACGAACTGTGTCCAGCAAGCGAGTTATCCCCTGCAATTGCATAAACCACCTCATTGGAAGATCTTCTTCTGCCATTCTTTCTGTTCTTCTTGTAATCAGGCAACCTTGTGGAAGATCCATCTCCACCTAAGGCTTCTTCGGTAGATTCCAAGATGGTTTGTGTACCTGCGGCAAGTTTCACACCAAATTTAAGAAGCTCACCTCCTGTGATCTTTGCAAAAGAAACTGCACCTTGCTGAACACCTCGAACAACCCTTCCGTCTTTCTGATACTCTCTAATAGGAACTGCAAATAGCTCTCTGAACCCAGAACCGATCTTGACAATTGACTTCACAGGAGCCAACCCTGAAAGGACACCTCCTAATTGATTTCTTTTAATATCAGGCATCCATGAGTCATTCAGAAGTTTGTGCAACCTAGGGAACCCTGGAACACCATACAACACAAGCTTCTTCAAAATCATCTCAGACTCGTCGAGAATAAAGAAATTGACAAACTCCGCTGTGTGTCCCGATCTTATTCCAGCATAGTCCACCTTCTTTGGCTTGTAGTCCAGCTTAACCTTCACAGAGTTGACCTTGAATTTCTGGATGAAAATGTCCTCATCATCCAAAGCTGGAGGCACAAACCTATCATCTTTAAATTCACCAAACCTTGTAAGGAAATCCAGTGTATCTTGATCAACGTACAACCTTAAAGGTAGAACGTTGACAGAAAGAACAATTTCTGAAGCGGCAAGAGAAGAAACAGGACGAACCGTATCAATCGAGAGATGGAGCATGCTAGCACCCACCTCTTTGTCTCCTGCCTCTCGAAGGTAACCAGCAAACATCTTCCAACTGGAAGTTGGCACATTGTCAATGATGTTCAATGATCCCACTGTAACATCAATACGACTCAAAATCTCAGAGTCGTCAGTGCTCTCATTTTCGCTGAATAACACAGGATCTTCTGATGGATTGGGATCACTATTCACCAACATGAGGATTGAAACATCAACATTGTCCAGTTCCACCAAGATCTTATGATAAGACGATCTTTTAAGTCTCAATCTATGATTGGAAGTTTTGCCCAAGTCAATGTTATGGGCAGGTGTAGCTGACCGACTTGAAGTATTGAAGTTGGTGGAAGACGTTGAGGATGGGGAAGGTGACAAGGTGTTGCGGTCGTTGAGACTATCAATATCAGCACGATTATTGATCGACTTGTTGATGTTATCGTAGAACGTTTGTGGATCTTGTCCAGCAAGCAAACCAACATGTATCGACTCATATAACATCTCGCTCACAGATTCTGCTTCAATCTCATCGAGATCATCAGGGTTTTGGGGGGAAATTGACTCTGGAAGATCACCAATGTCCTCTTCCACAGGCTGGGGAATCTCGCGTGCCTTGTCTTCAACTCTTTTTATTGCATTCTTGATAGTTGTCTGAGTTTCTTTCCAGTCGTATCCATCAAAGAGCTTAATCCTAACATTTGACACACTGACACTGATAGCCATTGGGATGATCCTGTTTGCCTTTTCGTCATTGCCAAGCCGGTCAAAATGATCATCCTCAAAATAGATGTTGGAGGCCTGTCCAGACTTGGTTGCACTTTTATTCAAAGTGGTTGATCGTCCACCAGAAACAGATCCAGAATCATCTAAAGCGTTCTTATCGTAAAAATCCTCCACAATTTCAAGTTTACCATCATCGATAGCTTCAAAGGAGTATGGTTCCTCCGGTCCAGGCAAAACCTCATCCTGATAGCAGTTTTCATCGATGTCCTTGAATATGTCAACTTCCTGAGTTCTAGGCTTGTACTTTTCATCAAAAGTGAATTGAACTGGTTGTTTGAGGTCCTTCAAAGTTTGAAGAAAACACTGAGACGAATCGGCGCATAGATCAACATTGAGCGAATCCAGATGAATCTTCATATCCACCAACGGGATTAATGCCTTCGAAGCTGGCTTCGTCTCAACAGTTTTCTCCAAAGATTCTTCTGTGCTGAAGTTGATGTTGAGGAACAAAGTTGCTGATGATCCAACAGAAACGTATCCTTTGCTCTTGAAAAATGAGTTCAACGTCCAAGTAGCACGGTTGGCTGTTGAGTCAACCCAGTGTCTATATGCTTTGCTCTCTTGATCGCTTCGAATATTAGCAACATCATCTATGAGGAAAAGTGATATAGAACTGAAGGATGATTGGAGCCTTGTGTTGCCATCTGCTCCAACAAATAGATCTGCAATACCTTTTTTAATAGCAACTTCTATTTTGGAGTTCAGATTCACAGGAACCAAAGCGATTGTCAAATTAGAAAAAGTGAAATGTATCTCCAATTTGACTTTGGATCCCTTGTCTGCGGAAGAGGTATTGTGATCAGGCGTGAGAGATGTTGAAGGCTTGGATACAGAATCAAACAATATTAACCATCTTCCATAGTAGTTAAAGGCACAGTTCCTGAAATGCACATCAAATGAGCTTTTGAACTTTGCAAATAGCATTGGTAAGCTCTTATCTTCTGCATTTGCGGCAACAATGAATGGCTCAACTAGCTCACCATGGGTGCGCACAATAGACACATTCATTATGCTGCTGTGAATGGATCCATCCTGTAAAGAATTCACCATAATATCTTTGAGGGAGCCATTCATATCTCCGAATCCCTCGCGAATATTAGAGAGTGTGCCCGTGATGCTTCCTATCTCGATGGAATTAGTGATGGTTTTCACATTGCTCATGAATAAACTATTACCCATTCTTACCCTCTTCGGTCTTGAAGCAGTTTTCGGTAAATTGATGGTCTCAGTGACCAAATCTGATAGAATGTTTATGTTTTCAACCAGCTGCTGCAAACTAGGAAGTTCAAATTTAGATGTTATACTTTCAAGTTTGACCTTCACTTTTGTGGGCAACCAGGATTCTTGATGCGAATTAGCATCAAAGAATCTGACTTTATCGACACTCTGCGTAACGGAGCTGATGCCGGAGATGAGTAAATACTCACTCGATGCATAAGAATCTTTTTGAAGTGAATTGACCAGTTCCAGTAACACCCTTTCTGTTTCGAACTTACCGCTCGATGAATGATAAGATACTGGGAGAACTGTGGCCTTTAGCATACTGTGATCTGGGAACTTCAAATTAATGTGGATGGATGATGTTTGAACACTAAGTTCAGAATCATTTACCGTTGGGGGCACTTGACGAGAGGACAAACGAGCTTGGCGAGAAAGTGAATAGGCGTGCGCAGGATGACTTGTGGACTGAAGTTTTTCCAAGAGAGGGATGACTAGTTTATAGTAGCGAGAAGCTGTTGTCACCAATTGAGAATCTAATGTGAAATTTGCCGACTTGGGGCATAATACAGTTGTCCTTTGCACATCATTATTCAGAACTTCAAACCCAAGATCAGCGACAGATGAGGTTCGTGATTCGTCAAAATGGAAGAGACTCTCATCTTCTTGTCTTATCACTTTGATTTTCGTTATTGTTCCAAGAGAAAACTTCGGACTCTTTTGCTCATAATTTAGCTCATCCAACACCAATCTCAAACTATTTTGCTCTGCAAACTCTCCATTCGTGGTCAATGCAGATGTAAGACTAACAATAATACTCTCGATACTGAAAGAATTAATAAGAGTTGGAGTGACGGGCTCTTGTGTCTCTTCTGGTTTTTGTTCATTTTCAGGTTTTACCATTGAAAGTTTAGCCAAATTCTTAATCGACTGGAGAAGGGACGAAATGCATTCTGGAATTGGTGCTGCGGCTACCTTGATCACACCGATTTTGACTTCGATATTCTCGATATTCTGCAAACCTTCAAAGTGCATTTCCATCCTATCAACATTGACTATGCGGACAGATTGCGGAGGTTTGGGAGGATCAATCTTTGATTGCTCTGCGGACAAGTAGTGAGATGTAGCACTCATGTAAACAGAAGATGCATTATTACTGTTGAACATCATGCTTTCCATCAACGACTTTTGAATATCGTCCCTGTTATCGGCCATGAAGGAGGTTTGCATCATTTGGTCATCGTAATCGTCATAATCGCTGTCGTCAGTTTCTGTTGGAGACTCGTTTTCCTCGGATTCCAAGTCGAGACCCTCACCAGGATAAACGCTCGGTTTGACACAATTAATTTGTAAACCTTCAACCGTGATATATCGCGTTCCATCTTTTGTAAGGAAAGAGATCTTATCTATACGAGCTTCCATCACTGAGGAGTCTGAAATCATTGTGATTGTAATATCGCGAACAGTCACCTGCAACTTGGCTAGCGCCATGTCCGCAGCTCGAGCGACCATGTTGCTCATCCTGTATTCCTTCGTGTCCTTTGGTTTGTTATCATGATCTTCCGGAGTGGATATGTCGATCTTCTCGTCTTCGTCTATCACATTATCGTCAAACATCATGCTATTTGCCAAATCTGCAGTGCTCTTGGCAAGCGAAAACTGCTCGCTATTGCTCGGCTTGTCTCCTGTAACAGAAGGTGATAGCGATAACTTTATGCCTGTACAATCGATATTGACCCCATCACTCATTGTGAGGGAAAGAGAAAGCTGTTCAATCGAGCCATTTCTCATATATATGCCGGGAACATTGAACTTGTCGATGTCAAGCTCTAGGTTGCGTAAATTGATATTGGAACTGGTCCCCAGAGAAACCTCTAGGTTGGGGAGATCAATTTCTGAAAACAGGGAAAGTTGCTGAAGAACGTACCTGAGCAACCTCTTCTGTATGTTTTGGGGCATCCATTGCGGCGCCATCTCTGAAACAGGATTGCGGAACGCTTAGAACACGAACTGGAGAATGGTTATGGCTCAAGGCAAGAATAATTCTTGTTCGCCACTTTTTTAAGCTGTATATTATCAGATATTTATGATTTATTTTTTTGACATGATAACCAGCCTCCGCGGCGGTGCAACAATTTTGTGATTAGCGTATCAATCTCCAATTTCCACCACTTCACTGTCTAATGCTTCACGGATGATATCAGACTTGCTGACCTCAATCTCCTGGCTTTTTATGTATCCGAGCAAAGCAGCTCCAGAGAGAGCAGTAAGGAGAACTAGCAGTAAATTCACAGGATTAGGGTTCATGTGAAACACTGTATGGGTAGACTTGTCGAGCAGAGCTTGGAACAGGTTGAAAATTCCAGAGATGCAGTTCAGAGAGCCGTACACTGTTCCGAAATTTCTATATCCAAATACCTTGGCACAAAAATCGGAAACTGCTGTGTAATAGAACGGTCTATAAACCACCAGCATTAGAATACCAAGGTACTGGACAAATTGCAGAGGGATCATACCAAACACACCAATTGTCAAAGAAATTTGATAGAGGATGGTTAAGACTGTCAAAGTCTTGAAGTTGTCAAGCAAAAGTCCGATAAATGGAATAGCAAAGAGACCACCGACCGGTAAGGCCACATCAAAAAACTTGTTGATTCCAATTGCAATTCCTTCGTCTTGAAAGTAGAATTCCATCTGCGAACGAATAGTTGCAACAAAGTAATTGACTCTCAACATCTGAATGGTTGCAAAGCAACACATCAAAATGTACCATGGAGAAGTAATCTGTTTCTTTAGCGATTTATCGTGCAAAACACCAAAGATTCCACCAGACTTTTGGTGGAGACGAGAGTCTGCAATCTCTTCGTAGACAGATTTGGTGGACCTTGTGGATCTGATGGACTTGATGGAGTTTCTGCGAGATCTTTGTGCTTGTACCTCTTGTCCAGTATATCTTAGATCTTCAGGGTCCATCGGAAGACCACTTTCATCAATTCCTGTTTCTCCCATCTTGGCCAAAGTTTCGACTGTTTTATATGATTCGCTTGGCATCACTGTAACTTGGCACACAAAAATGAAGATCGGCACAACCAAATAAGCAGTGAAGAACTTTTTCAAAGTGAGGTTGTGTATCAAGTCATTCTGATAGATCAGTCTGTAAATCAAGAACAAGGCAGAGCTGGAATCAAAAGCTCCAGTCAACAGTGCAAGAACAGACCCCGATTTCCCCGGGAAAGAGTTCGCCAATTGGAACGAGCTGATAAATACAAAAGGACCCCCAAATGCAAGTCCAATGTATCCAAACAAGTAGGCGTCGAAGAAAGTTATTGTAGCACCATTTCTCAAACACAGGGATGAAATAAAAATGGCAATAGCTCCGATGATACCTGTCACTCTTGGTCCGTAGTTGTCCAAAATACTTCCAACAACAAGAGCAGTAGCATTGGTAACAACAGCACCCAAAGTAAACATGAAATTAAGCTTCAGGTCTCTTTCAGTACAAACCTCTTGGAGAGCATCTGGTCCAACAGTGTCGCATATTTCTTTGTAAACGCCTTGGTCAATCAAAATAGGCTTCAATGCAGCAAACCCAAATATTGGGCCAGCTGCGAAGAGACACCAAATTAAAGCACAAACAACCTGGAAAACCCGTATTTTCAAAGAAGGAAGCTGGTCCTTTAAAGGATTTGTTGCCACAGGTACCAACGGCGTGTTTTCTGTGGCTGGCATGATAAGCTTTTTTTTTAATGATTATCTACAATTGAAATTTTTATAGTATAAATTCTATCGGCAGTACATCAAGTAGCAATCCGTTATCATAAATTACCGTAAAAAACATTGCGGGGGCAGAAAAATTACTTCGATATGTACATTTGATTCAAACAATTCCCAGCTTGCCAATCTGGTCCTCAAGTTCCTTAGTGGCTTCGGTCTCTTGCTTCTCTGCTTGCTCTTCTTTCTTTTCCTCAACCTCAGAGGTGACACTCTCAACCCACGCGATTTCCTTTTTGATCAAATCCTTGGTGTTTGGAACAAAATGTCCTCCAGGGTGTTTCAAAATTGTAGGGTTTTCGCATTTCTCGACAAGAGCCTCACATCTCTCTGGAACAACAACAGTGTCGAGTTCACCAAAGATGTGCAAGGTTGGGATCTTGATCTTCTGGTCGTAGTATTTCTGGTATTGCTGTGGCTTGAGGACGAACGAAGAGTAAAAGATACCGAACTTGAGCTCTTCGGCAGCCTTTGGTTCTCCAACAATCTCAGCATAGTTGTTGCATACCACAGCTGCCAATCCGGCACCCTGGGAGAAACCTAAGATTCCGACGAACGGACCATGCTCTTTGTAGTAACCTTTAACTGCATCCAAAGCCGGTTGGAGCTCGTAATCATCAGTAGGTTGCCACCATCCACGATAGTCAAAATCGGATTCTTCGCCGTTTTCGCTTGGAGGAACCTCGAAAGGCAAATCAGCCTTTTTAATTTGCAATGATCCCTGCACGAAAACGGTGTGGTAACCAATTTTCTTCAAAGCCTTTCTGATTCCGGAGGCCTTAGCGGAGAAAGTTGGACCGTTTTGGGCGTATCCGTGCAAACACAAGATGGTTCCTTTGATAGCTTTAGCAGACATTCTTCTTAATAAAGTTTTTTTCTTTGCAAATTTTAGGGGTTCCAAAATTACCTTTTAGAGAAACAAGGCGGTGCTACGCTTCGGAAGTACCAATTAGCATTTACTGGGGCTTGATTGGAAGATTATCCAAGCCCCATATATGCTTATGAAATAACCGAAATCTTGAACCCTGAAGATCTCGTCTGTAACCTGTACAGGTGAATATGCAACGGGCTCGCAAAATGTGGTCCACTAATAGCAATGCATATTGAATGCCGTCTTGGCAACCTGAAAGCATCACCAGGACGTCCAAAATTAGCAACCGTATTATATTTTACAATAGCGCTATACGCTGGTTTAGATTTTCTGTTTCACGTCTCCTTGCTCTTCTGCACAGCCTCACGAAAATCTTTTGCTAGACCCAGAGGAGGAAAGATTTGTACCTGAAATTTCTTCTTAATCTCTAATGACCGTGGACCCTATTCATCAAAGCTGGTTTGACCCGCTTCCATTGCAACAGTACCAGGAGCTGGTGAAGAAATCGGCTCCAGAGTCAGTCTCCAGCTGTCCACCAGATCGGACTGTTGGTAAGCCCGCTGTTAGTGTTGCTTGTGGACCTAATCTTCGGTTCTTGGGGTGTTTAGAAAACGGAACCAACAATTACCGTGGAACCATATTGCTGGTTCTGCGTGATTCCGAAAACTCTGAAAAAACCAAGCCTACAATCAAATACTATGTCGGCCCTGCTACCACCGATGTCTCTTTGAGTCTACAGTCCGGTGTTTTCCCCGGCACTTTGTTCTACCAGGAGCAGGGCTTCAGCTTCTGGAGATTCGCAATGGACCTCGAATTGACTCAATATGAGCAGAAAGTCAAGTACTCTGTTAACGACGAGTTTAACGAAAACTTTCAGTTCTTCCTCCCTTCGATCGAGCAGAGTATGAACGTCATGTCGTATTCTTGTAACGGGTTCTCGTTGTCTGTCAAGACCGCGGAGTTCAAGAGTTCTTTGTGGTATGATGTGCTCCGCAAGCACGACCAACTGCCATACCATGTGATGGTTGGAGGAGGAGACCAGATCTACTGCGACTCGGTCAAGAAATCGTCCAGGCCTTTTGAGAAATGGCTTGAGCACAAAAAACTCCACTCCTACGAGAAGCTCACCGACGAAATGGTCAAGTCGCTCAAGGAGTACTACATGAAGAACTACATTCAATGGTTCGGTAAAGGTTACTGGGAAGGAACAGCAGGAGCTACTTTGCAATGTATGTATCCAATGGCGCTGCAACAGATTCCTCAAGTCAACGTGTTTGATGACCACGATATCATCGACGGTTTTGGGTCCTATGGTCATCGGACAATGACTCAGGATATATTCAAAGGTGTTGGAAACATTGCATTTAACTACTATTTATTGTTCCAGCACCACACTTCTCCAACAGAAGAGATGGCTTCGGAACCATCGTGGATACCTGGAGCATCCGTGGGTCCATATATCACTCAGAAATCCAGATCAGTGTACACCAGATTCGGAAGGGAAATTGCATTGGTTGGTTTCGACTGCAGAACCGAGCGTACTAAACATCAAATCATCACCCAGGAGACGTACAGCCGTATCTTTAAGAGAATGGATGACGAGTTGGTTGCAGCCAAGGGCGAGATCAAACACTTGCTCGTGCTGCTCGGTGTGCCAATCTGTTACCCGAGAATGGTCTGGATCGAGTCGCTCATGGGATCCAAGCTTCTTGCTCCTATCAAGTACCTGGCAAGAAAGGGAGTCATTGCCAAAGGCTTGGTGAACGAATTCGATGGTGGTATCGAATTGTTGGATGATTTGAACGACCATTGGTGTGCTGCTCACCACAAGAAGGAACGGAACTGGTTGATGGGCGAGTTGGTCAAGTTCGGTGCTAAACACGGAGTCAGAATCACCATTCTGTCCGGTGACGTTCATCTTGGATGTCTTTCCAGAACCATGACCAAGCTCGATAAGCACATCAGCGCTCAAGAGCGCGAGAACATCGTGGCAAAGCCAGAAAAGGATCCTAGATTGATTTTCAACGTCATTTCTTCTGCCATCATCAACGCTCCTCCACCTAACGGTATGGCCAGCTTTTTGCAGAAACGTGCAAAGATTCATCACTTTGATAGACACTGCGACGAAGACGTTGTTGATCTGTTCCTCAAGGACACTGATGGGTCAGAGAGAAGCAACACTCTGTTTCTGAATAAACGGAACTATGCCGACTTGATTCCTTTCAAGAACCTGAAGAACACTGATAGATACAAGCAGTTCCAACAAGGAGACTTGATCCATCCAGGTCCAACAACGGAGCTTGCCAAGGCCGAACCTATCCACAATGGACATATTTCTCTGAAGAACATTGGATACCCATTGGACCCGGAATCGCTCGTCACCACTTTCCACTTTGAGGCAGATATCAAAGATTTCAACTCAGAGACTTATGACTATGAAGTTCTGATTCCTCATCTTGCTGAACGGCAAAAGATTTCAGAAGTGGGTCTTAAATAACTGACGATGCTGTATCTTTTAAGTATTTAAATTGTACCATTATTCTTTCTTCTCAACGAAAATTGCCATTAGCGCAAACACGGAGTAGAACATGGCCAAGGGATATGCAATTAGTGGTCTGGCATTGGAAAGGTTTAGCACGCGAACGAAAAATCCTGATGAGGAAAGAGTGCACCAGCAGATTGCCAGGAATCCAAGGACGTAGCCCCACGTGTTGTCCAGTCTAATAAGAACTGCCAGCCCGCTCAGGATCACCAAGGGAAGTAAGCAATATCCAATCACAGAGGCGGTTCGAAGAAAATCAAGGGTGTCGTCGGCAGAATTATTAGACATTAATTTGAATAACCAATGTAGAGATATTGTTCCAAGCAATGCGACTCCGTAGATATAGCCGAAGTGAGTCTTACCTGACAAAAACAAAAGCGAACCAAACAGGAGACAAAAGATTAAAGGACCTGCCAAATCCGAGTCTTGAATAATATCTTCGCTCAAACTGCTGGATTTCAGGTTCAACACCGCCAATGTCTTGGATCTAATATGGCCAAAGTTGATTCCCAATTCTTCGAGAAGTGGTGGCTCTCCAGGATATCCACTCGAGGAAAATGCTGCGAGAATACCTGTGCTTAATGGTAGACGATCTTGCTCGTTCCCGGTGTAGGAGTAGCCTGTCTGCATGGACCCCGTCGGAAGCGGACCATTGTAGAAATTTTGCTGGGATGGAGTGTTGTAGAGGTTGGGTTGCTGATAGTAGGACATTGCAATTGATGTTGTTTGATCAACTTGTTAAAAAATAAAATGCGTTCGACCAAAACACGTCGTGACACCTTTACACAGATTTTTTTCTCGTGGTCTCGTGAATTTAATGGAGGATCGAGTTGGCGAATTGATCAACGGAGACTACGGCGATCTTCATCGGTCGGTGTTACAGTTCCTCATCTCTGTGAAGAGCATCGAGTTTGAAGAGCTCTATGTGGTTTTTGTGAAGCTCGTTATAGGCTGTCTACTAGACTCTTCTGACGAACAGACATCAGATCAAGATTCGCATCTACGCGACTTGCTCGCACAATCCCGACCCGAAGTGCCTGGATTGAACACTGAGTGTTTGGTGAAGACCATTGTTCTGATAAATCGCCAGTTGAGCGCGCTGGATTTCGAGATAGTCGAGACATTGGCTCAAGACGACGAAAAGAACATCAACGTCAGTTTTGTGAACACCAAATCATCGGCCTCGGTCAAACTCTCAACTGGCTACACAGAAAAGGAGATCGAAATTATCAACCAGTTGATCGATCGAATGTTCGAGGACCCAATCGACGATGAAGACAATTTGACATACTCTCTAAAACATTCAGATGCTCTGAATCTTGCAAAACAGAATACTAACACAATCACAGACTCGCAAAACTTCATCAACGGACTGGAGGCCTCTGGATGGATAGACACAGTGAAGGGAAAATACACTCTAAGCGCGCGTGCTTTAGCAGAGCTCAAGTCCTACATTATTGGCAAGTTTGACGTGCTATCGGCCGAAAATCTCCGAGGAACAGTATCCCTCTGTCACGGTTGCAACGAGATTATTACAATGGGCTATAGATGCCCCACTTCTAGTTGCTATATTCGCTTCCACGAACACTGTCGTGACTTATTTGTTAAATCTCACAGAATCGAGCAGTGTCCAGGCAATGATTGCGACGCGTCGTTGGATAACATGACCAGCTTCTATTGATTGCCAACAGCGGCAAGCTTTTCCAGCTCGTCGAGATACTGATTTGTTGCTTCATCCACCAAATCATAGACATATTCCTCTAAAACTCGCTCATCGTATCTCTGTCCGTAGAGTTTAACTTCGCCAGCTGAAACGGCGGCCTTAAGGTCCTCAGGAACAACCACCTCGGAATCATCACTCAGCTCAATGATCCCGCGATTGTAGCAGCTGACCATTGGATAATACCCCAGAGATCCGTCATCGTTCGACACGAAAAACTTGGACTTGGTTTCCTTGCCCTGTTTTTGTTCGGAAGAAGGCGGAAGGAAAGCATAGAGATTCTCGAATGCAACCCCTTTCTTCTCACCGTTCTTGTATATGGTGATCGAAGAGCCGGGAAGCTTACACGGTTCAAATTCCACCGTGTCGCGCACAGCTTTTTCTCCAAACACGGTCACCGGATTCAGCAAGTGTTCCATTTCCTTTGATGTTGAGTAATCGTACTGCTCGAAATAGAGCTGACCCTTGTATTTGATAGGAATCTGATCGCGCACAATGTCAAATCCCACCTTTTCGTTCAAGGGAGCAGGGTTTTGAGGCTCGGCTACCGATTTTTCCAGCACCTGTTGACGTGCCAGTTGTCGCTGCAATTCAATTGGCGGCAACTTGACAAGTAGACCCACCACGTCTCCAGATTTAAACTCTTCCGACTCGAGGAAACTGGCTTGTTTGCTCAAATGTACCGTTTGTCCATATTTGTCTCTCATTCCGTAGCCATATCCGTCGAAACCAACAGGGGCCTCAAGGCTGGCTTCTCTTCTAGCAATTCCAAACCTCACATTGCTCTCTCCGTCGTTGGATTTGATTATCCTAAATTCGATATACCAGCTGCCTTCTCTGATCACCACGTTAGTGCGCACACTTCTCCATCCTTGGGGAGTGGTAGCCACGGTGACTCCCCCATTAACCAGAATTCCGGGAGACTTGTCAAAGTACGACAAACGACACTTGAAAGGCGGGAGATCTGTTGTGGAATACATCAGCGACTGAAAAGCAGGATTGGGCCGACACGGCTTGTATTTGAATGCTCGCTTGTTGTTTGGATTGTCTTCATTGGAGTAAAACTCGATGGCAGCCAGCGTTGTATGTTTGTTCAAAGTCGGTTTACGTAGTTCTGACTGTAAGTCTTGTGCCGAGTAAGGCAAAGGTTTTAATCGGGGAACCACCTTAACTGGACCCATGAAATAATTCGTGAATTATTTTTTTCCACATAGATGCTCCGTCAAGTAAGCTCCAAATACAACATCTTCACCAGTATAGGGCTGAAAGAGCGGAAATCTGTGGCTGGAGGCGTTTTGGCTAATACGGTCGCTGCCCTGAAGGACAATCTGACTACGCGAGACGCCCCAACGACATGTTCCTCTAAGATTCTTCAAGACTATGTTTCCCCGTTTGATTCGACAGTCGCGCGGCTTTTAACGAAAGAAAGCACTCACATTGTTGGTAAAACGAACATGGACGAGTTTGGAATGGGAAATTCGTCGCTCAACTCGAATTTGGGTCCGACTTTGAACCCTCTTTACAGACAATCCACAGATATCGTTGAGTACGAGGAAAAAACGTTCTGGACCAAAGGCAACGATATCAACGAACACACAGTTTTCGAGAACCCACAGTCGCCACAGTATACAGAACATCGGTACTTGGTTCCACGCTTGAAAGACAGTTACCAGATCGACCCGGAAATGCGAATTGTTGGTGGATCGTCAGGTGGTTCTGCTGCTGCAGTTGCGGCCGATCTAGTCGACTTCGCCATTGGCACAGACACCGGAGGATCTGTGAGACTCCCCTCGTGTTACACCTCGATCTATGGGTACAAGCCGTCGTACGGAAGAATATCCAGGTGGGGTCTTGTGTCGTACGCTCAGTCCTTGGACACTGTCGGTATCATGTCCAAGAACCTAGACATTTTGAGCAATGTTTTCAAAGTGCTCGACCACCATGATAGCTCTGATCCAACTTCGATCAGCGAGACCCAGCGCAGCCGTAACGAGACTCTTGGAGCCAAGATAAAACTTGGTGTTCCTTTGGAAATGAACTTACCAGGCCTCGATGCTACAATCAAGGAGAAATGGCACTCTTTGCTCCAGAAACTCCAGGAAAGTGACAATATCGAGCTCCACACTGTCTCTATCCCGTCCCTGGTCAGCTGTCTACCGGCCTACTACACATTGGTCACATCTGAGGCATCCTCCAACTTGGCGCGCTTTGACGGTATCAGATATGGGTTCCGGAGCAACGAGCAGACCAGCCAAGAGCCTGAGTTCACCACCACGCGATCCAACGGGTTCGGGTCGGAGGTGAAACGACGCATCATTCTTGGTTCGTACTCGCTATCGTCATACGGCTACAGCAGCCATTTCATGAACGCCAACGGCGTACGCAAGACGCTGATCAACGAGCTCAACAATGTCTTCAAAGACCCACACATGCTGGATGGGGCGGCTAACCCTGAAGGAGTCGACTTTCTTCTGTGTCCAACAGCGACATCTCTGCCCCCATTAGTGTCGGAATACCAATCCATCAAGCCTGTGGAGTCGTACATGAACGACGTTTTGACGGTTCCATTCTCATTGGCGGGGTTGCCTGTGCTGAACATCCCGTACGGCAAGTCAATTGGGTTCCAGCTGGCGGGCCAAATGGGCCAGGACTATAAGGTGCTGAAATTCGCACAATTGATGCAACAACTGTAAATATAATAGATGGGTCTTTATTATGTTCTATAATACAATCAGACTGGCAAAACACGCACGCCTGCAAGCTTGTCGACAATTGGGCCAACCACTGGACTCGAAAGGAACGGTCCAATGTAAGGAAGAGATCGTAAGAACTGGACAACTGTCGCAAAGAACTCTCCAAAGAGCCCCAAGATGCCAAAACTCTCCACAATGAAGCCCCAGAACGAGTATTTCATCAGTATGAGGAACACTCCAAACAGGAAACAGATGGACCCTCTCAATTTCTGTGGTCTCGTGAAAAAATACACGGTTTTCTGGGGTCCAATAATGAGAACTAACCCAATCACGAAAAGTAGGTTGCTCATTGCCAGAAGAGCCGAGTCAAAGAAGGTCAACACCCCCAAGAAGAATAGCAGCACACCGCCTGCCGTAAATCCAACACCGAATTCTAAGGGTCAGCATTTAAAATAATGGAAACTTACTTTGTACCTCTGTCAGCCAAATCATTAACAAAGTGTTATTTTTTAGCGTACAATAAAAAAATCCAAATAAAAATACACAGCCACTAAATGTGATGAAATCTTGCATAGCCTCATTATCGGGCCTCGGGGTCATTATTAATTATCCTAGCTTTAATACTTAAAGGGCAGTGAAAGTTCTTGGCTTTTCAATATCATCAATGTACAGTGTCCAAGGAGACTCCAAAGAAGCTCCGCCTTCGTATTCCGAAACAGATCCTTTGAGTACAGGATCATCTCATACTAATAGCTCTGCTACCCAGCAACAACAGCAACAACAGCAGCAGCAACAGCAGCAACACGACCACCTCCATCAGCCAGAGGTTGTTTTTTATGGTAAACTACCACGCAAATCCAGACACGAAAGGAAATACGAAAGGAAATATGAAAAGACTGCCAGGTGGAACAACATGAGAGAGTCGATGTTTGCCGGTAACGGCTATACACCTGTTCACACGCGAAGTAACGGAATTATCCATAACTTGGTGTATATGGGAGTCAATTATGCGGGCAAGAAGATCTCCGACCACAAAGCCAAAGAATTGCTTCCTGGAGACCCTAGATTGGGTGGAGTGAAATGTCCAAAATGCCAAGGGTCCGGGCTTAGAGAAGGCGACCTGGTTTGCATCACCTGTAATGGACTCGGAAGAGTTGGAACCAATCAGACACTTTAATGGAAATAGTCCAAATAATTGTCGTATGTGTCGTACTCTAATTATCGTCAAACAGATCGTTCACCGCTTCGTAATTAATCTTCTTGCTCAACGATTTATTTTTGAGCATGCTCTTCGCACTATCCGCCGCGGATAGCTCTTGATTCAAAGCAGCAGTCAATCCTAACTGTGAAGAACTTCCTGTCAGGTACTCGCCATACTCGCTCTTTAAATTGTTTGCTCTGTCTTCGGGCTTCGTCACGCGTCTCCGTTTCTTTGGATGCTGGTTGTGACCAGCAATCTTGTCGGCATCTTCTTTCAATCGCTTCGTTTCCTGTGCCAGCAAAAAATCCTGGTTGGATCCCACCCATAAGCGTTCCTTCAACTTGCTTTCCTCCTCGGTCAGAAGTAAAGTGTCGATTTCATCGTCATCCACGTCCGCAAGGTCATCCGGATCATCTGCTATTTTCGACAACAGTTGTTCAGTCTTGGGAAGAGCCTTTAAGAGATTGCGCGGGCGGTTCTTCTCAATCATCTGCTCGAATTCCAAATTTTGCTCGTTGATATCGTCGTCGTCCTGTTCTTCGTCTTCTCCGACAGTCGAGTTGAGTCTGCGCATTCGGTCCTTTTTCTGTCTCTGGAACACGCGTTTCACATGGTCCTGGATCTCCTTTTCGGACAAGCTGGAATCTTTTAGGATGGCTGCCAAAACAGGATCATTCGTCAAATCGTCCTCGTTCGAAGGCTTGGATATCTGATTCTTTAACTTCTTCTCGCTGCTTCTATTCTTCTGGAACGATGGAGGAAGTGTAGATTTCACTTGACCGCGCTCGCGGAACTCTTCCACGGTCAGTCCTGATGCGTGTGTGTTTTTAAATTCGTTCAGTCTTTTCTGAATGGTTGATTCTCCAATATGTGTGACGGCGACGATTTCCGAGTGCGTTCTTCTGAAATTGTTCATACGCGCTGCCAACAGAATACACGCCCCAGCAATACCTGCGGGTCTTCTACCCTCATGAATCCAGTCTTCGCTCATTCGGTGCGCCAATTTGATAGCATCATTAATCACTTTGGGAAGCATTCTCCCGAAATCCAGCTTCTCGGCGAAATTTTGGATGAACAGAGAAGGATCAACTAAAGGAAGAGACGTGATATGGAGAGCCTTCACCATTTTCAAGAACGTAGCTCCAACAGCATAAACAGAGATCTGGAGTCTTGAAGAAAAATCAATCAACATATGATGTGTTTTCTCCTTTCTGCAAGCGATATAAAGACAAGCTGCCACAACGTTCTGCGAACGTCGTCCTTGCACAAAGTTGTTTGTGAGAGCAAGCTGGAACCACTGACAAGCAGCATCGGCTATGTATTCTTTAATTTTGAGTGCGGCAGCCACGTTCCTGATCCGCTTTTTCCCGTTTTGAAGTGTCTGTTCACGCGAGTCTAGTGATCCTCTATTATTTCCAAAGCTCGCACGAGCCTGATCGGCGCCCACTATAGATCCTTGGAGCATTGCAGCTCCAGATGGAGCCTCTCCAAACGTGACCTCTAAAACGATTGGGTTTTCTTCAATAACGGTACCACATCGGGAGCACGCAAGATCAGAGGACGCGGTCTTGTGATCACGTTCGAATTCTGTGTTACCACAGTTCTTACACCGAGGAACCATGCTAGTAATGAAAACAAAGTGTAGAAAAATATATGAAATCAAAATTCGCAGAGTTGGTCATCGTACTACATTTTGATCACATTTTGCACAGCCTTTGCACAG